CGCTCTGGGTTTTCCCAAGCGCTATGTAAATAAAAGATTACTTATTCTCTTACTAATGATGACATTTTAAAACCAGAAACTAAAGAAGTTATCAAAACAACAATTATACTCAAAACAAACAACCTTTTAAACTTTAAAACATGTATTATATACTTTTGTACTGTGTGATTAATTATCTATGCGTCCTTGGGTTTCTTGAAAGACGCCATGAAATGAAATTATGAAAAATCTCTATAAAAATGAACATTAATTTGTAAAAACATTTAAAACAAAACTTGAAATCAAACAAAAGATTTAGCTCCAGCTAAACTGGATTTGGTTCAATAAATAAAACTCAATTGTGCGTCGGAGCTGCCTCCTCATGTCTCTGAGCAGCAGCAAGGTCACGCGTGTAGTCAAAACAAAAACAAATTGGGTGAATTGGGTAGTTTAACTTAATAATATAATACTTTTACAGCCTAATTCTCTCTTTCTTTTTTAGACGAAGTCTACAATCATTAATCACTTTTAACAGATTCTAATTTAAATGTTTGAAAAACGGCTTTTGTAACTAAAATAAAAAATACATGAAAAAATTCTCACAAACAGCTATGAAATATATCAGAGATACAATAATGGACTCACAAAATAAGCAGCAGATTTAAAAGAATGGAATCTAGAAATATGTTAGGTCTAAAAAGAATTGCACAGCTTTTAGCACTAATATTTGGGTTTCAAAAAACATATAATATTCAAAACTTACTCACTAATGGTGTTTAAAAACGTTTAACTGTGTCTAACACAATGTTCAAATGGCAAATTTAGCAAATTTAACGGAATAACTACTATGAAAAGCCAAATTCCTAAAGCAGTAGCTTTGCTTCAGATTCACAGCCAGAGCAGCGAAGGAGGGGGCCGTTTCCCTGACAACGGCAGCAAGATAGTGCGACGCACACACGCACAGGCAGAAAGATACAGAAGAATAACTTTCAAGATTACTTTGCTAAGCAAATATAACTGATGTTGTTCTTTAAACTTTTGTCATTTATCAGCCTGAAATTCGTCAATTTCAAAGCTTTTGTAACAAAGGCCTCCTTAACACGTTTCCCTTTTTATAATAACTTTTATGTTTACACCATGGTTTCACTTATGGATCCTCACTTTAATGGCCAACACTTTTCACTTATGGATCCTCACTTTAATGGCCAACACTTTTCACTTATGGATCCTCACTTTAATGGCCAACACTTTTCACTTTATGGATCCTATTCACTTATATGGCCTTTTCACTTATTTGAACACAATTTAGAGAGTTCGACAGACCTCAAAAACACACCCAAATTTAGCTAGTATCCAATTATGCAGACTTTACATTTAAAAAGGTGTCTGCTTACCTTATTCTTGTCAAAGAGGTGCATGCACGGGCTGTCCGAGAGGTCTGCCAACTCTTTTCCGCGTCGGAATCTTCAATTTAAAAAAAAAACAAAAGTGACAGAAGCGACAAGAAGCATCCAGGAACAGCTCTTCCAGCCTGCTGGAATCTCCACTCCCAGACACAGCATGCCGATCTCCCACGCAGAGGAAAAGAAACAGAGCAAACTCCCCCAAAACAATCCAGAGAATGGCACAAACCGAGCCGCGCATTCTCCACCAAATCTGTTAGGATTCAGCAGACAGAGACGGATCGTGGTGTGCCAAACTCTGGAAGTTTATTTATGTTTCTCTCAAGTTCCACTAGTTTACTCTGTTTCTTTTCCTCAGACAGAATAAAGGCAGTACACAGTTTATATAGTCATTGTCACGTCACACATCGAAAGACATACGTGTCACAAAGAGACAGTCACATCAGAGTCATAACATGGAGTCCTTGTAGAGTCCTTGTACAGTCCTGCACGTAGGCCATATTGCTATCTAATACTAATAATGTCTTATTGTGACCTATGTATTATGACACACCCCTATTATTTAATCACTGAAGATTCAACTGTTCAAAATCCTGAATTCTTTAATTGTATCCGGCCAAGCCCATGTCATTTTTTTGTTTCTGGTGAACATGGAAAGTTTAATGCATTTCTGTGGAACGTTTTAGGCAGAAACACATTTAGATGGACCCAGAAGGAACATTGCGTTGTCCAACTCTGAAATCAGTGCGTCACTTTCAGTACAGTCCTGGTGCCGCCTGGCTCCACGCGTCTCTACTTTTTTATAGAATACCTTTATTCATTGTTTCAGTCCTTTTTTATTTTTTTATTTGAGCAGCTTAAAACAAAGTTAAAGCAGAGCATCAATCAACCTTTTACAACAAAGAACCAAAGATAAGGAAATGCTCAAAGGAAGAAGAATAGAGCCAATTTGGGAAAAAATACTCTTATTGTGCTATTCCAATCCTAATATTTTATTAGTTGCAATTAATTGTACAAGTTGCATCAGGGGTATGACATTTAATTTAGATGCATAAAGGCAGATTTTTTGGCCTTGATTGAAAATAATATGTTTACTATCATTTTGCTTTTAATTAAACGTGCTTCAGATATGCACAGATTCAGCATAATCAGTCCATAAACCAATGCTTCAAGTCATTATTACAAAAACAACAAATATGAACCTATTTCCGTTATCCTGTTTGGGCCGGTTGACTTCAGAGTTCTGCTTCTGTGAACATTTCAGTCTGACTGTGAACTGTTGGCACTAATTAAAGGTTAGCACATCTTTCCTCTGAGTAAGTGAGTGGAGTGTTATCAGCACTTTGGGCGCTCGAAGGCTATAACTGGTAACAGGGGTCTCACATTCAGAGAGACTTGTGAAAACAGAGTGTGTTATTGACAAATCATTTCTGTAAGTTTGGGCAGCATTGCTTTGGTGTTTGTGGGTGAACAGGAGCATGTGAGCGTGCCTTTGTAATCTGGAAAGCTCTTTGCACAGCGCAGGTCACACTTGCCCCTCAATTATTCATCAGCCTGTTTCTATGGCAACAGCTGCAGCCTGTGTTACAGAGGTGGATGACTGATGGTGGTGGGGGCAGTCATCAGTCATCTCATCTCCACTAAAAGTTCTTGGAAAAGTCATGATTCCTGATAGCAATTTCAATACCATTGTGATCTTTTTGAAATGCTGTTTTTTAGCCAGGACCTTATACTGTTCTAGAAAATTATATTTTGTATCAATACTTACTTAAATTAGTATCTAGTAGATACTGTTTTTTACTATTGATCATCATAAGGGATTTTCTACACTATTATTGACAATGCAAGTCTGCCACTTACTCCATGTTATTGAAATGTTCAATGTACTAATGAAAAATACTTAATTAAAGTGTGGTTCTTTATAGAGCAGTCCTGTGACTTTGCTTGACATTGCTTTGTTAATGTGGAGCATTCAGTAACCCATGGTTTTATTTAATTTTTGTTTGCTCCAAAAGAAAGAGTCTTGTTTAACTAAGATTTTGTAAACAAATTAGACCACAACATGCTGTCCTTTTCTTCTTAGAAAACAATGTCATGTGACAGAAGCCAACAATATATGCATATGAAAACTAGAGATAGAGCCAAACTGTTTTAGTGACATTTAGTCATGGACTTCAGTCAATTTTAGTGTTGCAAAGTTAGGTATTCCTGACTCAAGACAAACTCTTTATATATGTTATATGTTATTCTCTTTATAGTGTTTATTTCTTTTTTCTTTGAGCGTGAGTTGTGCTGTCAGGTTTTGTCCAGTAGAGGGCAACAGAGATCAGAGGAGGGCCACATCAGATCACATTCATAACACAAGGCATATTCTGTAAATGAGTGAGTGAGTGAGTGTGTGTGTGTGTGTGTGGGTGTGTGTGGGAAGCATGTGCAGTGTTCTGAGGAGGCACACAGATGTTATGGTAACATTTACACTAATACCTTTTACTCTCACTCGCTCTAATCCATATTAATCTGCTGCTGGAATAGTGACCTACATGTTCAAACTGGCTCACCACCTGCGCCAAGCCATATCCCGGGATCCACCTTAGCCAATCACAGCACTCGAACAGCTTACTAGGCCTTTGTCTATTGGCTATGTCGTTAAACAACAACTACCACTGTGATTCATGCCCATGGTCTCTTTTGCGCGACTAGATTTACATTTGAACTGTTGAGGAATATGCACACAAATCAACTCCCAGCGCCATCTTTCTCTCCCCCAGACTATGATTACTCACTTCGGACATTTCCATTCATAGCCTCAAGGACAAGTCCACCAAGATACTATCATGCCACTATAACTTCAACTATACGCTGGCACAATTCTCCAGCACAAGTCATAGAGTAAAATCTATGTTGTTTTCAATGCCTGCCACGCGAATTCTTCTGAAAAGTGGTGTCACATGAGAGAATATGTCGTACCCATCATTGCTGCATGTGACTATTTTTTACGTTTTTTTCTTGTGATGCATTGAGGCGTTTGTCTCCAACTTACCCTCATGTTCTTTCACCGCCAAGATGCAGATCAGATAACTGGAGAGGCAACATCTTCTCACAACAAGAATATTTGTTCTTTTTCACCTTGAAGTTAACTTAGACCTTGTTTAAATTATGTGTTGGACTCAATTATGCCTTGTTTTATGGAAACTTTGTTAAATGTCTATTGTGTGTATTTATATATAAGAATTGTTTTACAATTTTATTTGCATACCTTTATATGTATCTTTTACTTTTTTATAACTTGTTTGCACCATCTGCCAAAATAAATTCATAGTTTGTGACTTCCTATGTTACTTCCAATGGCATATAAATACAAACAACAACAAATATGTTGTTTGGAGTGGATTTTCACTTCCTAAAAATAGGAGAAAATGACACAAAAATATATATTTTGCATGAGCCTTTGTTATTTCTCACACCATAAGAATCTGGATATATTGTCGTGTGTAAGCTGTATGGATGCAGCTGTGCGTGTGGTCTTAACCCTTTGGTTGTACTCCACTCTTGATATCCAGAGCATTGTTACACTACTCCCCTCTCCGTTCATTTAATCCTGCAGTGTTTTCCTCCCTCTTAAATGTGCACGAATCCATTTGCGCGACCATTTCCTCCGCGTGTACATCCTATCCTCCTGCTGCACGGGCCCATTATAGCAGCAGTCTTCTCCCTTCCACCTCGTTCTGCGCAGACTCGGACCCCCACCCCTCTCCCGTGGCTCCTTTCCCCCTTCTCTGCCTCAGCTTCATGGTGGATCACATCTGCAGCGCACTTTACGCACACACACACGTTCACACAGCAGCGCCCTCTGATCGCCGTGCTTCTGCTTCTGGAGCCTCTTCTCAATGGTTTGACATCGCGGGGCGCCCGGTCCTCGCCTCCGGGAGTGTAGTTTAGTGACGGCGGCATCTGCATGGAGGAGCTGCGGGGGGAGGCGACAGTCAGCTTCGCTTCATCATGATCGCCGTGTCGTTTAAATGCCGCTGCCAGATTCTGCGCAAAGTCAATAAAGGTAGAAGCTCTGAGCGTGTGGGAAACGTGTGTGTGAGCAGACCGCTCCAGACATGGGGAGACTGATGCTGTGTTTATGGTTTATTCCTAATGACAGAGACTAGTGCGCGTGTGTGTTTGGGTGAGTGGTCGTGCACGTGTGGAGCTGCGGGTGTTAAACGCGCTCCCCTCAGAGGGATCGGGTCGATGGGTGCTTAAAAGAGGCAGTGGCAGAGGAACAGAGGCGTTGAGCTTTGCATCTGATTTTCATGAATGTAATATTCATGATGTGTTCTGAAGAGTAAAGAGGCCAGGCTCTGAGATGTGCAGGAGCTGCAGGAATCAAACCACTTAGAGTTTGTTGACTGTCACCTGTGCTATGGCTTATGCACCTGCATGTCAGAATGATTATGTTTAAGGAAAAGTGTGCTTATGAAATAATCAGATGTCAATTATTGAAGGAGTACATAACGGCTTACTGTGGCGAAATAATGCATGCTTAAATGAAGGCGTAACCTATTGTTTTATTATTATTATAATACAATTAAAACAACAAAACCTCAAAACGCATTTATTATAGTAATGATCTCTGAATACTTATTTTACATAAAGACTCCTTTTAATACATGTGTCTATATAATATTAACTAAATTATAGATTTTGTTTACTAGTTGATATATAATTACTTTTTAAACATGTTTTCAGCGGCAGCCCTGCAAGCCATTTTCAGAACTCTGATTTTCCTATGGATTGATGTTATATAAAGCAATTTGAATGGACAAATTGCAATGGGGTTGTGATTGGCCCATGTGCATGAACATGTATTAATTATTATTGCCACGAATGTGTCAATTCTCCAAAGCCTTTCTGAAAGGCGGCCATATGTGACTTATAGAGTGTGGATGGGAAAGAGCGAGATGCTGTTGTCCTACATCTGGAGGAGGAGGAGGAGGCTTAGCTTTCATCTTTGGTTTGCCACAGTCTGTGCGAATATTTCCATTGTGCATTTTTGTGCCAGCGACGATTAAAAATACAAGTGCTGTAGATATCAAGCAGATTAGCACCAGCCAAATTATGCTGAGAAAAATAGGCCACCAAAATAAAAAACAGACTATGTAAGAGGATATTGTAAAAATGTTTTATACATATTTTTGTTACTCTGAGTCATGCATTCACTTCCAGATGCACATTTTACAAGGACAAATATTATAAACAAATTCTTCTTTCCAATTCGACACTAAATATCCCCACTGTGGGACAAATAAAGGATTTCTTAATCTTAAATATATACTGTAAGTAGTAACTATTATGGTACTCGATTCATCTAGCAATTATTTTTCCCAGTTAAACGTAGTGATGGTAATTATCTCCATTTGACCCAGATAAAGCTGAAGACAAGCTGCTGGAGGACATTCTAATGGATAGTTTTTATCTTTATCATGAATGAGAGAATTTACACATTTCTTGTCTTATTATTATTTTGTTCCTGCTTTTATCAAAATGTTAAACCAGCAAAAAAAAAGATAATTATGCAATAATTACCTTATAATTTAGTATCAACATCGCAATTGTCCGGATACAAAATAATATCACTAGATGCAAGGCAATGCATACTCCTAGTTAAACACAATGATTAATCGATGCATCATCACAGACCTATGTTTTTGTGATTTTCAGATGAAGGGCCGTACACCAAACACTCGGGGTCTCGACCTCCGGATGGAGCGCTGGCAATCAGGAGGCAGAGTATACCAGGTAATTATGAGAGTTCAAAACCTGCACAACACAACACATTTTTCACAGACACAGATGTGCATGTAAGGAAAAGGAATAAGCAGACAGTTGTGTGAGCCTACACTTCTCCCCCCGTACGTTGTGCTGATCGCTCTCTCTACACTTTGCTTCAGTTCAGTTCATAATGTCTATGTTACATACTTTACTCAAACTGTAAGTAACTCCTCCTTTAACACATCTTAAGCTGACACACAAAATTAAGTGTGTTGTCAAAGCTGTCCTACTTTCAACATGTATCTAAAAGCTTCTGTAAAAATAGATGAACTTCTTGTCATTAACAGTAATATCATTTGAAACTGCAAACACAACAACAGCAGTCATCAGTGGGAGTCGTGTAGTGGGTCTTGTGGTGGGCTCGAACCCATACCCTTCAGGCTCTAAGGCCAATGCTCTCTATATGGATTCTGTCCCATATCTATGCACATAACCAATGTATATACTGAAATCTGGAATATAAATAGGTAAATATAAGAACATAAAATATGTGACTTGCAGCGCTCAGAGAGAATGAACCGCTAAAATCTGAAGTCTTAGATCTTATCACTGCAAAAATGACAATGTCTTGAATGCTCTGTCGGCATCTCATTTAAAAGAAAAATATCAGGCTCATAACGCTCAAGATAAATACTTAGGCTTCCAAGCAAATATAAATGACAATTCAATATTTTAAATAATATATAATATATTAAATATTTTCAAATAAATATATGTTGTTTCTTTTTTTTCTTTTCTTTTTACATTTTAAGTGGCTTTCACTCTGTTATTAGAATTTTGCAAATATGTTTGACTAATGCATTTTGCCACATTAAATTAATTTGTACCTGCATATAAACACAATAGTGTGTGGCCCCTGCAGAAAGTAATTGCCCACGTCAGACAGTGTCCCTTTGACCGCCACAGCTGCTCCTCTTGCTGACGTGCAGGTTGAACACATATGACCTGAGTGCACCTGCGTTCACAAACATTGAATACGCTTCTGATTTATATCTACATTATGAGTGTCCCGTGTCGCATCTGTAAAAAAACAACAAACTGAATTGTACTGTTCACACTGACATGAAACAGGTGATACAGGTTTTCATATGGGGCTGCGGGGAACATCAAATCGGAATTGAGCTGCAGTGTGAATGAGGCCAATGATTCTTAATTGTAACTAGTAATTGAATTGAAAAGTTGTCATGGTAGATTTTTTTTTTTTTACCAATCTAACAATAAAACATTTGTCATTTATAATAGGTCATATGCTAAAAATGTATATGTTGTTTGTAAATCTTTTTTTTTTTTTTATATTTTAACGTTTTGATGAAAAATGTGTGCAAGTAAGTTTATTTTATTTGTATAGCACCTACCACAGACCAGGATCACAAAGCGTTTCCCATTTAAAACATTCATAAAAAATAATACACAAACAATTCATGTTTTTTCATGAATTAGCTTGACTGTACTTAAAGAAATAGTTTTAATACTATTGAAATAAGTCATAGATCTTCCCTACTCTTGCATGTACTTGTCCAGATGAGTTCCGCGGCTGCTCAGTTGTGGAGTTGATGAAAAAAGAAGGAACGACGCTCGGTTTGACAGTTTCAGGAGGCATCGACAAGGATGGAAAACCACGAGTGTCAAACCTACGACAAGGAGGCATCGCCGCCAGGTAACTCACTGAAACATTTGTGTATTATTACAATCTTCAGAAAGTGTTTCCTTCACTGTGCATCATGACTGAACGGTGGCGTCTGTGCAGGAGTGACCAGCTCAACGTGGGAGACTACATTCGCGCTGTTAATGGCATTAACTTGTCCAAGTTCAGACATGATGAGATCATCAGCCTACTCAAAAATGTCGGAGAGCGGGTCGTGCTGGAGATTGAGTATGAATTGCCACCTGTTTGTAAGTCCCTTTTTGTTTCATATGCCTGATTTTGCTGTGATGGATCCAGTGTCACATCCTGTGTAACTGTGTTGCAGCTGTGCAGGGCTCAGGTGTTATGTTTAAAACAGTGGAGGTCACGCTTCACAAGGAAGGGAACAGCTTTGGCTTCGTTATCAGAGGTGAGAGGTGCACTGGGGGGCTTTGCATATTCAGTCTGTGCTTTTTTAAGATTCTCATGACACCACTTTGTCTTCTCAGGAGGAACTCATGAAGACAGGAACAAGTCTCGGCCGATTGTCATCACCACAATCAGACCGAGCAGTCCTACCGACAGGTGCGCAAGTCGTCCTGACTCCTGTCAAGACTTATGTTCCTCTCTAACCCTGCAAACGTTGAAAACACTGTCTCTCTCTTTGTAGAGAAACAACCATTAAGCCAAGTGATCGATTGCTCAGCATTGATGGCATTCGTCTCCATGGCAGCACACTGTCGGAGGCCATGAGCATTCTAAAGCAGTGTGGGCAGGAGGCCACTCTGCTGATTGAGTACGACGTGTCCGTGATGGGTCAGTAATTAACATTTGACCGCTCAATTATGACCCTTTTCTCCTATAATGATGTGTCCAGACTGTTGACTTTGGAAACTAATTTTGGTTTTGGTTTAAAAAGAGAAAAACAATATTTTGTGACTTTCCCACAGACTCAGTAGCCACAGCGTCAGGTCCCCTTTTGGTAGAAGTTGCTAAGGCCACTGGCTCAAGCCTGGGAGTTGCTTTGTCAACATCTATGTTCTGCAACAAGCAAGTCATCATAATTGACAAGGTCAAACCAGCCAGTATAGCTGACAGGTAACAGGCGCAGACTTGTTTCTCGATTGCCTGTGTTTTTCTGTTTTGATTGTGCTTCTGTCTTATAGATGTGGTGCCCTTCATGCTGGAGATCACATTTTGTCTGTTGATGGAAAGTCAATGGAGTTTTGTTCTTTGGCTGAAGCAACTCAGTTACTCTCAGCCTCTGGTCAGACAGTTCGCCTGGAAATACTTCCCCAACATCAAGCCAGACCTGCTCTGAGTGCACCTCAACAAGGTACACCAAGATACTTTTCTACTTTAGTCCTCAGTAGTGATGCAAGAGTTTTGTGAGTCCCATCCCTTACCCTGTAGACAACCACTGCCCACCCGAAATGCTGTACACTGTCTGCCCTACTGCCTCCCACCTCCTCTCAAGCACATGCATACGCAAAACAATGTGTTTTACTTTATTTGTTGAGTTTATTAAGGGACAAGTCATGAGCACATACTACAGACTACAACCTTTTCTTAATGTCCATCCCTAGTTGGGCATTTACACTCAATAAAACGATGCAGTTAAAAACATAAAAGATTTAGAAATATATGTATTTTACCTACACGTTTTAGTTACATTATGTTGCATCAGAAAATGGAATGCAGTGACCAATCCAATAAAGGATTACAAAATGTTGTGTAATCGTTTACAAACTTGTCATACTTTCCCTTTGTTTTAACCAATACCCTCCTCTGTGTGGCATGTGTGTGTGTTTGCGATTGTGTTTGTGTGTGTGTGTGCGTATAGTCAAGGTGCAGCGTAGTCCCCGTCCCTTACCCTGGGAAACTGGAAGCTCCACCCCCTTACTTCCCCCATACCACTACAACACGTACCACCCTGACCAATCAGGTGCCAGGTCGCACAACCGCCATACAAACAATCCTTGTATGTCTTCCTCTCTAAAACCTTCAGTGTGTTGATCGTACTGACAGAACCAAACCTTATTTTTCTGTGTTTTTAGCTCTCAGTCACTCCTTCTCACCTGGATCCATGTCCGCCTACAGTCTCTCATCTCTCAACATGAGCAACGTGAGCACACTGCCCAGGAACATGTATCCCACTAGTCCGCGAGGTACACTCGCGAGGAGAAAGGGCAAAAAAAAGGACTTTAAGAGTTCATGTAAGTATTTGAAAGGTTTATTTTAAAATATAAAGTCATCAGTTTTAACTAACTGTGTGTCCTCTGCCAGTGTCTCTGGCGTCCAGCACAGTGGGCCTGGCTGGTCAGGTGGTTCACACAGAGACCACCGAGGTGACCTTGTTAGGCGATGGAATAATGGGATTTGGTTTGCAGCTACAGGGAGGAGTTTTTGCAACAGAAACACTATCTTCCCCCCCTTTAATTGCCTACATAGACCCTGACAGTCCAGCCGAAAGGTAAATGCACGGTTTTCCACTTGTTTGTGCTGTGTCTGACAAGATAATGTCCGATTTGGCAGGTGTGGAATCCTACAGATTGGTGACAGGATTTTGTCCATAAACGGCATTCCAACAGAGGACTCCACGTTAGAAGAAACCAATCAGCTACTGAGAGACTCGTCCATCACAGCTCAACTCACTCTGGAGATAGAGTTTGATGTAGCAGGTTTGTCTGCTTGCACCACCGTCTGTATGACACGGTTGTAATATGTCTCAAACATCTTGTCTGAAATGACTGGGTCAATGTCGCTATTGGAACAGCTGAGCAGTAGTCTCAATAAGCAGCACCATATGACATGTGGGCTACGATCCACAAGTCTGGCTGGCTGTGGGCTTCATTATCTAATAAAATCTGTTATTTATTTTGCTGCCATACAACTATTGCATTTTTTTTTTGCTTTCAGAGTCTGTAATCCCCAGTTCGGGCACATTCCATGTGAAACTCCCAAAAAAACCTGGAGTGGAGTTGGGAATCACAATCAGCTGTAAGGAGATTCTCACTATACTAATTTTATTATGGGAAAGAGTTTCTATACTAAAACGCTTTTTAATGAAATATAATATCACCATGGATTTACTTATTTTCAAATGTTTTGTGTCCCAAATGTAATGTTTTGCTGTTATGTTTGTGTCTGTGCAGCTCCGTCTAACAGAAAACCTGGTGATCCACTGATCATCTCTGACATCAAGAAGGGCAGCGTGGCACACAGGTACTGCACACGCACTCTCACACAGCTACACACATACACACACAGCTACACACACGCACACACACACACTCTCACATAGCTACACACATACAAACACAGCTACACGCACGCACACACACACAAAGCTACACACACACACACACACACACTCACAATGTGCTGTATAAGGCTAGAACATAACTCTAGGTCAGAAATTGTTTTGAACTTCAAACTATGTTAATTTTAATGTAATTGAAACAAACCGGATAAATGTCCTCATGACTGTAATCGCACATAATGTTTTATTGACATAATTGTTTCTCATGTGAAAGTTATTTTGTATACTCGATCCTCTTGTTCTCTTGTCTGCATCACATTTGGTTTTAAAAGGTCGATGCCCTTTCAGGACTGCTTTACTTTCAATCTGCAGACAGACAGATCTGGGTAGCAGCTCTGACCCAGAAATGGACTAATAAACAGGCAGATGATGCCATGACATGATGACAAATTTTAAGATGTCAGAAAAAAAATAAAAAAATACAAAATAAAATGATTGCTGTAGAATTCCCATTCACTCTTTTTAGATCATTTAAACACAAACCTACAAAATTAACCACATTTTATTTGTATGAATTAATGTAATAAGATAATTCACTTGATATAATTCACTTGATTCACTTGATAATTGTGTTAAAAGCCCTCCTAGGGACGGACATTGCAAACTAGCCTTGACTATAAATGTTGTAGTGTTTCACATGTTGATTGTGTTCACTTGTCCCTATCAAATAAATCAATAAATAAAAATAAATAAATAAATATGCATAGCTCATTCATATAATCTATATTTTACAGGTGTAGTCGTGAGAGGCACCTGAGGCTCATTGTTATGTATTTAGTACATTTGTGTTCTCAATATTGATACAACCATATTATAAAAGAGACTAGCAAAAAGATGGCCTTATGAATCGCTCTAAATGTGTGAAGATATAAAAAGGTCAAAAGCGGTGGTTAAGTAAGTAAGTAAGAAATCTATATTTATAAACCGCCTTTCACAGACCAGAGTCACAAAGCGGTTTACAGTTGTGGCCATTTGAGAGATGGGAGCAGGGTCGCCAGTACAGAAGGCGCATGCCAGACCTATTGTACATGTTTTAAGTGGTAGGGGAAACCGGAGTACCTGGAGGAAACCTACGCAAACACGGGGAGAACATGTGAAACAAAAATGTTTGCTATCAAATTTTTTTCAGTCATGGACATAATTCAATTAGTGTGTTTGGTTTGAGTATTTTTAATTCTTGGCATTGGTCTAATTTGTCATAAACATTTGATAAACATGTTGTTGAAAATGTTCTGAACAAAATGACACTACTAAATGAGAAATACTTTTATCCTATTTTTATCCTTTCAACTGCTTTAGCTTATTTCTGTGTGTCTTTTTCCAGTATGAGAGCTCTTTGTCTGTAACTGTGGTGGATCTGTGTTTTCAGGACGGGCACATTGGAGTTGGGAGACAAGCTGCTGGCTATTGATAACATTCGAGTGGAGAACTGCTCTATGGAGGAGGCGGTCCAGATCTTACAGCAGTGTGAAGAGTTGGTCAAATTAAAGATCCGCAAAGATGAGGATAACTCAGGTACTCATTCTCACTTTTCAGCCTCCAGCTTCATCCTCAAATCATTTCGCTGATCGACTCGTTGCTTGTTGTTTCCAGACGAACAGGAAGTGTCAGGCAGTATAATCTACACCGTGGAGCTGCAGCGATACGGAGGTCCACTCGGCATTACCATCTCAGGCACCGAGGAACCATTTGACCCCATTATTATCTCGTCCCTGACCAAAGGAGGACTGGCAGAAAGGTGAATAAAACAACAACAACAGAACGTAATTGCACAGTCTAGAGTTGACATCAACACCCAGACAAAAACAGCCGCACGTGGAGGAGATTTGTGAAAAGGGAAGCATTTCTGGATTCCTAAATGTCAACTCATGTCTGTCACATGGGGTGAGATTAAGGAGGACTCAAAAGCAGGAATGCAAAAATAAGGATTTAATAGAATAAAAGTCCAGACGAAAACAAAAATACAAAAACAAAACCAGGAACAAAGACAATACAATGGGCCAGCAACAAGGGGAGAGAAGCACAGGGTAAAACACATCAGGGCGGGGCAGATAATCAAGTCAGGGGAACAAGAAGTCAAACTAGAACACAGGGAAAATAATTCAAAATAAAGTAAAATAACACAAAGTCCACACCATGACAGCGTAAGCTAATGTTGGCTCAACTTTAAACTATGTAAATGATATTTCCCTGAGTAAGAACTTACCTCACTCTGTCTTAAAGATGAGGGAACAAACTTTCAATCACACAAAATGGTGCTACATTAGAAAATCCATCTTCCTTGCTCTCAAAACAGTTTGGCTTTTCAATAGGCCTAAATCATCTATCTTATTTGCCCACATTTGATCAGAATGAGGTTCATAAAAATGTGCCTCATTTTTGATCCTCATTTTCTTTACAAGCCTTAAAATGAGCCTCATTTTTCTTTTTTTCATATCAACCCCAGAGAGTCATAGAAGAGTTGTTAAGGAGTGTAAAAAATGTTGAGCAGTGTGAATATTATTAACTTTATGTAAATCCATTTGATATTCTTAGTCATATAAATTAAACCTCCGTATTTTAAGAATTTTGCATACGGCCCTGTTTGGAGTGTTCAAGTGTGCTGCTTATTTAGACTTATATAAACTAAAAAATATAAATTGATCATCAAAAATGTGTCTAAATCTCTACACATGCATCTTGTAAATGTCAGTGTATTACTTTATGAAGAAATGAAGCGTTGAGGTTGAGTGCATATCTGTGATTTGTTTTACCTTGAGTGTCGTACTGTGCTCTGCAGGACTGGGGCAATCCATGTGGGAGATCGTATTCTTGCCATTAACAGCAGCAGCCTCAAAGGCAAACCTCTCAGTGAAGCCATTAGTTTACTGCAACAGGCTGGAGAGACAGTGACTCTGAAGATCAAGAAGCAAGGAGACTGTAAGCTCACCGCTGCCATTTTGATTCATTTATAATTTATTGCTAATGTCTTAAATCATCTCTCTTCATAGTGTCGAGTCCAAAGACTTGTGTGATTGGACCCGGTATGATAGAAATTGGACTTGGCCAGGAAAACCATGATGGAGAAGAGGAACCCGTGATTACCGTGATCCCTCCGTTGGGGCAAAGATCATTTTGTAACCTCCCGTCTGTTGACAGCGCAGTAGAATCATGGGATGGCTCTAATTTAGACAGCACCTTCACCAGTCCGGGTAAGACTAAGACTCCACGCTCTCCTGCGAAGGTTTCTATCGTGTGCGTAATGTTGATTGTTATGTACTTTTTGTGTTTTTAGCTCCAACATTTCAGTCCGTTCCTTTTGGTTTCCACGAGTGGCGCAATGCAAAGGCCACAAACAGCCAGTCCTCGTCCTCCACACGCCAGAGAGTCAACCCTCTCTCGGATCTGGGCCTCAGCGATGATGACTGGGACCATGCACCACTCGGAGGGTAAGGCACAACAACTATGTAAACATGATCGCTCTGGATTACAGGAAAATATGACTTTATCTGCGCTCATAACCATGCTACAACAATGTTCCTTCGTCAAAAACCAACATTGTTCTTGGATGTTAATATCAGGAGCTTTCACCCTCCTTACAGAATATCAATTTGTGTATCCTTGATTGTCTACATCAAAGCCGGTTTTCCCTTTTTGAAATAGATGCACCGTCTCCAAATTAGTTTTGAGCTTTGCTGTTGCCAAATTGTGTTCATTACAACTGCGATCATTACAACTGCGATCATTACATTACAACTGCGTGTTTGCAACTATCTAAAAAATGTGCCACATTAACCTGGTATTTGAGTGCCTAAATGTGCCATATAGAAACACTTTAATTGAATAAGCTTACACTACTGTATAATGTTACTCCTATCAATCAAAAAATCCTTAGACACATTATGTATGGATTGTGCACTTTCATAGTAGTTACCCCCCCCAAAAAGCTATAGAATAAAGTAAATGTAATTATTAAGTGCTTTGTTTCAGCTCAGGTCTTTTCATGATAAACACAAAACATTTTCACATTTACTTTCTCAAAAGTAAATTGAAAAGTGTTGTCATCACTGGCCTAGAATACTTCAACATTTCTCTAACTAAACAAGTGTTGGAAGAGTAATAGTAGGTCTCTGTCTGCAGAGCGTGTAACCATCCCAGTGGTCTAATCTCTGACAGCAGGTATCCTCCTGATTTTGACTTTAAACCCTCGCCCTGTTCCCTTCACAACGATGACCCCTGAACACAGAGACACTGGCATGGCACGTCCACTCCCTCTGCCCGTCACTGCACACCACTGCAGGGATGTCTTCACAAATTTAATCCCAATCTCACTTTGTGTAGGTTCAGCGTTGCCCATGACGGGACAGATCCAGACCAGGAGGAGAACTTCTGGTCTCAGGCACTGGAAGACCTGGAGACGTGCGGTCAGAGCGGGATCCTGCGCGAGCTGGAGGTGAATCAACCAATAAACCATTGTTCTAGTTTGATATTTCACAAAGTCAAAGGGTTGGATATGGTCAATAGGTTGCATTCATGTTGTAGATTTTTATACAGTAATGTCGTCAGATGGCGGGCTGGGTCCTGAAGATGTAAAGTTTATAGATACAATTGCAATGAATTATTACAAATACAAAAGGTATAAGGTGACAGTGAAGGTAAAGTGTGTCATCTGATCCATAAATGTTGAGCCTGTTCCTTTTTGAGATGACAATTGGCTCCACAAACTACGGTACTTGCTGGACTAAAAGCCTCTACTTTGTTCAAGTTCTTTTCTTTAAAGCTATGCGGCTGATGTGTGTATTTTTTTTGTGTTGGTGTACTCCATGAGAGCTAAAATATTAACAATACAATGTCATGCTTCTAATACATACGTCTAAACATTACCATATAATAAACAATATTTGTACCTTCTAATGTCAGGTCTGTAAAAGGACTATTTCCTTTTGAATATTACTTAAATAATTCTTCACAGGAAGTGACATTTTCAGACTGGAAGTTCAGTTCAATGCAGAGTTTTGTCAGAGCAGGGATATGTGCCTATTATTTTGACTCCAGGTTGTAGTAGCTATAGGACCATAGACTGTAAATATTAACAGACGTAGTCACGCCTATCTTCGCCATTCAAACTAATGTGCCACAACTTCCGCGGTCTATGGGCAGTTTCAAAATGGCCGCTGGGACTGGAAAATGTGAAAAAAAAAACGCATCTGCGCATGCGTCAGCCGGCACAAGCCCCATTCATTTAAACGAGTGCCTTCAAAAAATCACTAAACTAGAGTGGTCCTAAAAAATTCACTCTCCTCAGCATTGACACACATGTGAAACGGAGCTTTGGGCCAAGAGCCAACTTAATTGGAGGTCAGCTAATGCTATACGTTAGCATTGAATAATTCTTATTCCGGGTCCACCCCCATCGGCCCGGGGTGGTATTGCAACCCTGTCAGTGCACATCATTTTGGCCATTTTTGAGCCGGGACCCGTCTCCACTGTATAGGACGCTAGTTTATTAATATGTTGGTAAATATAAGGAAGCTAACAGTTAAGGTATGCTAACTTGTTTATCTCCTCACCGTTCATTGTGTTAAGCCAACAGTGCATTGAAACACCACATCATTAAAGACTGTTTTGTTTGTTCGGCCTACATGTGGACAAATTTCATTTCCAATTTAGCTTGTGTGGTTTGTATAAAGATGCACTTAATAGTCCAGCAAGTACTGTAGTCATTTATATTTTCTCCACGGCTAAACGTCCTTTCATCTTAAATCTTTGAGTCTTTCATTTCATTATTGCACCACTTTGTGAATGTAGTGCGACACAGAGCCTACTGAACCTTTCTTTTTTAATAATAGAGCGTGTAATAGTGGTAGAGGAAAGAACCATAAGTAATCATTATTGTTGAGTTAACTGCAAATACATCATAGACTTCTTGCCTGACTTTATGCCGCCATCTTGATTTTCACTAAGCATTAAATGATTGGAATTGTTTAATATGCACACATATGAAAAAATAGAACTGGCTCCTTTTCTTCTAGGAGTCTGGAAAGGAGACGGACCTCCTCAGTCTGGTACCTCTTTTCTCCCCACTTACTAATCGCTCCTCCTCTTTTCATAGTGAATGGAGTTTTAGTTTTGTTGAACTCCACACCCCGCCAACTGGTCTTGAATGTGTTATTAACAGCACTAAGCTAGCTCAGCCCATGGTGACGCCATCGTGACATTTGACTGACACCACCGCAGCTTCTCCTCAGTTGTGGTGCACCGGGCATGGCAGTTTGAGCAAGGCATGCTGGGAGAGCTTGTGCAGAGGCCGTTTGTTTTGCCAGTCATGGAGCTGATGTGTCGGTCATGCATGCGTGCAATGAATTTTTCGGAGCATATTTCTGAGTGACAAGGGTGAAGCTTGAACAAAACAGTGACAATTTTAGAAGATTTCCTCTAAAATACTGTTTGTGCTGCAGAGAAATGATGCGTTTTGAATCTTACACGATTTAATGTTTGTCTTTAGTGAGGAAATGGTCTGATTTGCACTTTGTTTTGCACATGTTCTGTGAAGAGATGTCCATTCAAGGTCTTTCGATGCACTAGTTATAAGGCTTGTACATTTGGAGTGATCAGGGTCTTATGCAGATTTTTAGCTAAGGTGCAATTCATTTATATATTTACATTTTGAGAATACTATTATTGTATAATTAAGACTTTAGGTATACAAGAAAATTAAAATAAATGATAACAATCGTAATATCTACTCGCCAATACAGCAATACAAGAAGCTAATTGAGAATTTATTGTTATTATTATAGACTAAAAACATTGGAATAACTTTTTATCATCATGTTTAATTGAGAAAAAAGCCTGATGCCTAATACCTCATGAGCCTCAGTGCTGCGTACGGCCGTAATGATATTAATAATAATACCTTTTGTTCTGTACCAAAAAGAATAGTCAAAATGAAAGTACAGTTTGGGTTCAGATTGCCATGCTGCTTTCACACGTGGATCAATGTAAATTTTGTGTTGGATTGCTGTTGTAGGCCACAATCATGTCCGGCTCCAGCCTCAGCCTGAACCACGACCCCACGCCTCTGCGCAGCACACTGGGACGCCAGGCGAGCTTTCAGGAGCGCAACAACTCCCGTCCGCAGGTAATGATCAGTCCTCCCCATTACAGACAATACCATTAATCCTGTGTGAAACCGGTTTAAGGAACTCTCTGTTACTTGTAGGTGAGTGCACGGTCTAACACGTTACCGTCGGACCCGCAGCGCAGAGCCTTTGCCATGAAGAAGATGCGTCAGGAGGTGAATGAAATCCTCAACCAGAACCCAGTGGAGCTCCATAAGGTATATATTATATACTTCAGGCGCTGCGCAGAAATTGTGTGTTTTTTTATGAATTGTAAAGGTTAATGTTCTCGCGCAGCTGACTCTGGAAAAGACTTCGGATCTGGACGACTTTGGATTCAGTGTGTCAGACGGTTTGTTGGATCGTGGGGTGTACGTCAACAACATTCGACCTGGAGGCCCAGCGGAGCAAGTCGGGTTGAAGGCTTTTGACCGGATACTACAGGTAAATTCTACCTCACTTTCTCGCCATGGTATCAATTATGATTTTTGATTTTATTGTTTTAGATAAACCATGTCCGGACCAGAGACTTTGACTGCTGCCTCGTAGTTCCTTTAATCGCAGAGTCCCCAAACCGCCTTGAACTGGTCATCAGTCGAAATCCCACTTCCTCCGTCATGACAAATCACATCGACAACAACTCTTTGTCTCCACCAGTGAACCCCAACATAGAACCTACTGAGCTGTCCATGAGTGGAGAAGACGGTCCAATCAAATGGAACCAACCCGGGGACGGTGTAGGGGCAGGTCTTGTGGGGCAAGTTAATAATAATTCATTATAGCATTAAAAATACATATAAATAATATATACATAAATATATATAAACATTTATTAATGGACGGAACCGGTTCTAATAGTTTGTGGAAAGTGATCGAGGGGAAGACGACATGAAATAAAAAGACGTTATGATCCATTCGTACCGGTTCAGAGGGGACCGCTCATGGTGCTACACACACTTTTGGAACTACTACCACTAAGCATCAACCTGCAAGGGCAGCCTGAAAGCACATGGATGACTATTTGCCTTCGCAGTTATTACTACTGAAGCCACAACTGGGCCGAGTCGGACTCACTGCTCCTGCGCGTTTAGGAGCACGACGGGAGCTCGGTGACAGCAGGTGTTTTTGTTTGGCAGCGGTAACTGAGGCTGAAGGAACCTCAACTCAGACCTTATTGTGCCACATCAGCACAAACTCTGGTGGAACTGCTCACTCGTGTTGATTAATATGTGTTGCCATGGAAATAATGAATGCTCCGATTAGACTCTTCGATGTTGTGCTGATGACTTGTTTTTTCAATGCACCAAACGATTGCTCATCTGATCTGGGTGATATTTCTAATGAAAATGAGGCCAATGGACAAAAACAAGAGAGAAACAAAACACCTGCGAATTATTGAAAGAATCAAAACTGTGCCAATATTGTTTCTGTTCTGCATTACAAGATAGCTTTCAACTTTTTTATAAACAATGTTTTTTTTTATCAGTCTAAGCACCTTAATAGCACAACACAACCACTACTATACATCTCCCACACAAAAAAACTACTCATCTGATTTTAATCGGAGCATTATTGATTTAAAAAAAGGTTCAACTTGTTTAAGTTGTGTGCCATGAAAAACCTGCAGTTTTACGATGATGAAGCTGAGCAGATCAATAATATTTCTTTCTACTGTTTACACCTGTTGGACTGGCCACACTGTGTGTATGCTTGTGTGCGAGTGGAGGTGTGTATGTGAAAAACACAAGGCCAGTTAAGCTCAGACCACATTCAAATGTTTTTTTTTCTCTTGGAGTTGCCTTCCTTTTTCCCTCGACCAAAAGGCAGCCAGGATGAAAAGAGGTGTTTTTGAGCGATCCGGTGATTGGCTGGAACCAATCAGAAAACGCTTACTGTTCAGGAAGGAGAAAGCATGTCCCCATACCATGACCTCAAACCTACCCTCCGTAACCGTAATTTAATATGCTAATCAATTTTTGTGCTTTTAAATGAGTGTGTCAATTTTGTTTGTTTTTCATTAAGACTGAACCCAAAAACATAAAAAATAGACAAAATAACGGTTTAGTCTTGTTGCTGTTCACATTAAAAGTCTAAAATCACATTCACATTAAAGCCACAATGTTTCATGACAAAAAAATCAAATCCTGTTAAAACAGGCAGCCTGTGATTGTGTGTGTGCGTGTGTGCGTTTATTTGTGAGTTGTGTCTCCATGTACGTGCTCTCACCACAGTCTGATCTCACTATTTTAACTGGCCTTCTCTGCTTTGTCCTTAAAAACACCTCCATGTCTTTAAGTGCTCTACTCGAGGGCTAATACTTGTTACGGCATCACGCTCCACTTTCTGCAACCACAGTCGAGAAGCACATCTAAAAATGATCATGCAACTCCGCAAACAGGGCTACAAAGAGCCATAGACAATACTATCTCATAACTGCACAAAGACACACATAGCTTATCACAGAGACTTCACTATGCAAAACTGCAGGACCAAGCTCTAAGTCAAAACTAACAAGTAACTTATTTTACACAATCTAAATCAAATGTGGATACGTGGCTAAAGTGTGTATAAAAACATAGGCTTAGTATTTCCTAATGTATTTAAATGAGCCTTTGTTGTTCCGGACCTGTTTGACTAATTTTAACATCATTATTATTTTATCTTATAGACACTTATCCATGGAACATCAATAAAGTCATGATTTTTAACATTAACGTTTTTAACATTCAAAAATCAGTTTTTGGACATAGGCTTGCATTCATTTTTACACCTTTTATACAGGACTGAACCTTAATTTTCTTCAGCATCTATTTTGATTCATATTTGCAAACGCCACACTTATACCTGACCTGTACATGTATAAGTCATATCTCCAGTCTTTTACGTGGCATTTGCAATGTATAAGAAGTTTAATATTCTCCTTCTGTTGTCTTTTATATCAAGAGAAAAAAATAACTCCATCTTTTCATATGACTGTATATTTTCTACAGAGTTGTGAGCGATCAAAGCCATATTCACTGCTGTCTGTGGGAGGCACTGGTTGTGTGTCAAAGAGCATCATAAATAGTTGTGTGTGTGTGTGCGTGCATGTGTGTGTGTGTGTGTGCAACATTGCTGATATTTGCACTCATTGATTCATCAGGACATCCACCCACGCGCACACACAGACGCACAAACATGCTTCGCACTGCCATTTATTATAGTGGGTCAGATTGTGGGTCCATGTAGCTTCACCAATCAACCAAACTGTATTTTTATTTAAAGGAACAGGGATGTTGTAAAGTATTTTTGTACAAATTTAATACTTTGGTAGCATGATGTTCCTGGTGTTGTGTCCTGTCGGGCTCCACTGCTCTCTTTCACCCCCCTTTATATGGACGACTACTGAGCAACAATAAAGAAATGTGAGAATTACATTGTGTCTTCTTTAAATGCACAGCCTTCTTGCGGTTCCTTGCATATTTTCCCCATTGTGAGACTAATAAAGGCATTCATTCATATCACTGACAATGTGGCACTTGAAGTGTGACCAGAAACAGAAAAAAAGAATTAAATATTAAAACAATATTACAGGTTCGACTTGACATTTTACAAGATTATTGCATATCAGAATTTGCAACATGTTTTAAAAACTGGAAGATTTAAATACAGGAATACTTGTATCCTCTACTAAAACTATATGTTTATTATAAAATATATCAAACCTGATCATGAACTCCCATGACGTCATCAACTCCAGAACATACTTGTACAATAAAAAACAAAAAGTCTGATTTTTCTTTACAAACTCTGGTTTCTAACTCATCTCAGTATTGGGCAATTCTCAAATGTATAAGTATTATATTTGAGAGGGTATAAGATACTAGTTACTGGGATTAAATTGCAAAAGAAGATATAGCAATAAAATGTCTGCATAAAATGTCTGCATTTAAAATAAAACTCATGAGTAACTGTTACATTTAATTTTTTATTTTAAAACACCACTGACTGTTGTTGCTGTTGTAAACTTTGGGTAAAGTAATATCTTAGTTAAATGCTGGACATTTTTACAATTTGAAATGTGATGCGTGAGTGATTTGCTCCAAATCGAAATATTAAAATTGGATACTTCAAATTAGCCTGGCAATAAATAATGCAGTGTTCCACATATTTATTGCGTACACTTGTCCCTATAAATAAATATAATGATATTGACAATGTAAATGTTACTGTTGTAGTTCCTCCACTTTCCACAGGGCGGAGCCAGACTGTGCGCTGTTCGACTGCTCTGGTCTGATCCGTGTATTTGTAGCATTTCACGTTAGCTTAGCCGTCAGCGTTGTCATTACGATATACATTGGCCTCGTTGTTTTGTATATTTTATTTATTTGGTTATTACATAAATAAACACCAAAACACGTCGGAAAGATGTCCACTGCTCTGGAGAGCTACATAAACCGTATCCTTAAACTAAACCCGGGTTTAATGAACGAATGAATGAATGCTAGTTAGCCTAACACTGTTAGCATCGATGTTAGCTCATGCTCATGTTTAGTGTGGTGGATAGATTGTGGCGATTATTATTTTCTAAAATAACCTTGTCTAGTTTCCTCTGGTATGGACTTTTCTGAACATGTTTATCAGGCACTGTGGCTATTGTCACTTCGGATGGACGGATGATTGTGGTACGTTCACTAAAATAATCCTAAACACGTTTCCATTGTAGTATTGATAGTTAAGATTAAGATATCCTTTATTCGTCCCACGGTGGGAAAAATGTCAGTTAATTTTAATCAAATTTTAAGTTCTCATTAAAGTATTTTTCTCCAATGTATCAGGTTTTGCAAAATGCTAATGTACTAGTTGCATTTAACTTCACAAATCATAGCTGTAATATTGTTGAAACATGTGTTGTAAAGCACTTTGTGTTGCATTCTCTGGATGATAGGCGTTTCATGAATACAATTTGATTGATTATTGTTAAAGTACAATATTGTTCTTGTGTTATAGGGGACCCTAAAAGGCTTTGACCAGACCATCAACTTAATCCTGGATGAGAGCCACGAGCGAGTGTTCAGTTCTAGTCAGGGTGTGGAGCAGGTGGTCCTGGGGCTGTACATTGTCCGAGGAGATAATGTGTAAGTCACTATGCACAGCTCAATTTAAAATACTAGTGTATAGTGTACTAAAAGCCTCATTCTTGGGCGTTGCAGGGCAGTGATTGGAGAGATTGATGAAGAAACTGACTCTACGCTGGATTTAGGAAACATTAGAGCTGAACCATTGAACTCAGTTGCGCACTGATCGTGAGGAAAAGGAATAATCCACTCTATAAGGACTCATGGCTTTGTTTTATTTTTTCGTTTTTTTTTTTTTTTTTAAATAAAAGTGAGTTTGTTTTAAAGAGTTTGTTATTTGTTTTACTGACCAAAATCTATTAACATGTATTTGGTTTGATGGTGTATCTGTTTTGTTTCCATAAAAAATACATGTAGTTTCTCCCAACAGAACGAGTATTATGAAAGTAAAATGTGTTAGATTGACAGAGGCCAAATTGTTTTGGGCGTGAGTTAAATGGATTGTATTAGTTCTATCGCTGCAGTTTGAAAGTTAGAAGTTAGGTACTCCAGCTTTAAAGATGTAACTTGCCTTGGTGAAGCTAAAATTGAGACTTACAGAGAAGTATCAGGAGTGCTGCATGGATGTGAAATGTGTGAGATTGAAGCCAGCCAGGTGCTCTTTGGAGATAGAGGGTGAATTCTGTCTACTTGAGACACAAGCAGACAAAAACGAGGCACTCCCACAAAGATGAAGTTAAAAAGCCTTTATTTGAACGTGGCTTATATAATCTAAAAATGCACCAAAGCAATTCAGCCATTTGCCCTCCTCAGATGCCCTTAAATGAAATCATACCATTCAGCGTTAAACTGTCTATCTCCATGGAAACAAGCAAGGGCAAGTTACTAGTCAGAATCACGTTTTTTTTTTTCATGCATTATTAAAAAATACAATTAACAAATGCAAAATAAATGTTAACAATAGTAAATTAATTATTGAGAAAGACTCATGCGAGCTGATACACATTTTTAAACAAGAGTAGACTTCATTTACTTCATATATGAGTGAGGTAAACCTTTTTTAACATTTCATATATATAGGGTCAATATGTAAATCTGGCTCTTATTCTTTTCTGTAAAATATGTGACACTGGCATTAGTTGTAATTTTTTTCTCCATCTGACAATATGAAACATTCAAACTTGTGGCGGCAGAATTTCCTGGACCAAGCATTGCTTCTGGTATGTAGACTTTTCCTTTGATTCTAAAACCAAACTGTCCTGCAGCAGAGATATTTGGTTTTCTGTTGGAGCTGGAGTCTCATAGTGAAGCCTCAACCAAGGAAAACCTATTGTAGAAAAATCAAAATGATCACTTGTGACGTGGAACGTGTTACTGTTGTGTTGTCATTTACCTTTGGGCACCTCTTCACCCAGCGACACCAGAACCTCCGCACCAACACTGTGATTGATAGGTGCCCCGGCGGTTGATCGTCCAGCTCCCAGTTGATGTAGGACTTGGGCCAGACACAAGCCATCTACATCCTGGACCACACCTGGGACCACAGCAGCACCGTGAGGACACATGAACACACACAACATCAAACTATCCACATTATAATTATTTCATTGCACAAGAGGAAAAGCACGGTTGGTTTGTGTTTATGTGCTTCAATAGGTCAAGTGTGAATGCTCCCAGTAATAAAAAAAAAAAAACAGGTTTTCTCTTGAGCTCTATAAAAAGTCAAACAACTGGAAGAGTAGCTTTAAAGGTGCATTCCTCAACCGTCCTGGTGCCTGCTTTTTACTTGTGTTCATCTGAATGTTGTTGTGGATATTTATACATTGTGTTATTTACCTTACTTGGTTCGGCTAAGTCATATCTGTTAGTGTATAAGGATAAGGATAAGGCAAACCTTTTTTTTTTTTAACCAGGTACAAGTTTATTTGTCAATTGATGTATGTTAAAAAATAATAATAATAAGAATTGTGCAGGTTTGATATAAATAAATACAAAAACTACATGGCATATTCTCACTGTAAAAAAATCAACTAAAGTCAAACCAACTTACCAACATTACAAAGCAAAGCAAAAACATATCTATCACAAAGAGCCAGTACAGCTGAGGAATGCACCTTCAAAGTGTAGCCAAGTTTTATTATTATTATTGACCTTTATGTAACCAAGAAAGTCCCACTGAGATTTCAGAGTCTCTTTTGAGTCTCTTTTGAGTCCTGGCCTCAGAGAGACGGGATCTCTCTCTTTACTGTTATTCTTACTTAAGCTGTATACAGTACTTGCTGGACTTTTAAGCACACCTTTATATAAACTGCCCCAGCTACATTTGAAAAGAACATACTTTATATAATTACTCCTGTCCTCATGCTTACCTGAACTTTTAGCTTCCATGATTTATTTACCAATCTATTTTGATAATAAATGATCGTTTTATAGTTACTAAAACTTGGTGGAGTCTGAATAATTAGTCCATAAGATCTGCTCTGACAACAGCCCAACTTTACCAACAACGGAAATACAAACATCGGTGAAATCGCTATAGAGGCCTTTAGTTCAGCAATTACACTACAGTTTAGTTTTATTTCCAGCAAATGTCAAAAATGTGGAATATGACTGAACAGATTATTAAGTAGATTTAACAGAAGCACATGCACTTTATCTTAACATTTGTTTTGTTTCATTCGACTGTCACTGATCTACGTTATCGTTTTAGGGTTAGAATTATTTGTTATTTATTTACCGTTTTCCCGTGTCTTGAGTTCTGTGAAATTCTGGGATTTTCTCAGGACTTGATAATAGTCTGTGTTTTTGGCACAGAGGAGCTTAGCTGTCTCTTTGGCCACACCCTGAGCCTCCATCATGGCCTGAAACTTGGAAAGGGCCTCTCCTCTCACCACAGCTTCAGCGATTTTAGTTTTTCCCTTTGATAAGTCGGACGCCAACCCTGTCATCATCAGCAGAACACCCCCTGGACAAACAAAAATTCTAATTATTGTACAGCAGCCTTACAGTGTTTTTCCTTTCTCTTACCAAGAGTTTCCACCAGCTCCATCAGGTCATCAGGGCCATTCCCCTTCAGTGTCTCGAGGGATTCAATCACCTCTAAACTGTTCCCCACACATCGGCCAATTGTAGAATCCATTCTGCTGAGGACCGCTGCTGTGCGGATCCCCAAACCATTTCCAGTACTTTCCTTGTGAAAAAGCATTTGGTCAGATATTTTGTCTTCTGTTTTTAATCCTTGTGCCATCATCAAACTTGTTTTTTAGCTGAAATTATATATATATATTTGTTTTTTTTCAGCCCAGGGTCATTTACATCATTATAGACCGTAATTTAGGGTATTTTTCTTCTGCTTTACCACACAAGGGTTGGAGTAATAATAATTTACTAATTCCACTAAAAGATACAAACCAATGACTGTGCAAGTTCTCGGGCACTGGTTAGGTCTTTGTACAGAGCACCTTTTCCAAATTTGACATCGAGCACCAGAGCTGACAGTGTTTCTGCCCCCTTCTTTGAGAGGATGGACCCTGTAAACAACAACACATTTAAATCAATAAACAATCATTTTATAATGGAGTCTTGTGCACCTGTGATGAGTGGCAGGCTGTCCACAGTGTTTGTAGCATCCCTCATGGCATAAAGGACTTTATCTGCAGGAACCAGCTTCTCAGTCTGACCCACAATGCAACAGCCCACTGTTGTCAGAACATCACAAATCTAAAAAATATGATGCTTATAAATGTATGAACTGGGTTACTTACTGAGTAACCAAAAGGCAAAGTGTCACCTCTGCCTGCGTTTGGTCAATTCTAAACCCAGGAATGGATTCAAGTTTATCCAGAGTTCCTCCTGTGTGTGCTAGTCCCCGTCCACTGATCATGGGCACCTAAAGACGCTGTGATGTCACACACCACATAGAGCAGTATTATCAGTATTATGAAGCCTACCTTACAACCACAAGCAGCTAATGCAGGAGCCAACACCAGGCTGACTTTATCACCGACTCCTCCAGTAGAGTGTTTGTCAACCACGGTCCAGTCGTGGGGCCAGGACATCACGTCCCCAGAGCGCATCATTCCCCGGGTGAGAGCCTGTGTCTCAATGACACTCATGCCCTTCATCCAGATGGCCATGAGCATGGCTCCTGGAAGTGAAGGTGCAACATTTACACACAAACACACGCCCTGCACACTTTGTCACATACCTATCTGACATTCTTGTATGGTCTTGTCGGTAACAGCATTGAGGAAACGTTGAATCTCTTCTGTGCTCAACTCTTCTCCATCTCTTTTCTTTTTTATCAGATCTGGGATGGACTGCATGTTGGCTGCAAGTCAGTTTCACAACATGGTCAAAAAATATCACTGCCTCGGGTTATTTATTTCTCATGCCATTGTCATTGATTTTGCACAATTACAGAAAAAGATACAGTGCCTTGCGAAAGTATTCGGCCCCCTTGAACCTTTCAACATTTCGCCACATTTCAGGCTTCAAACATAAAGATATAAAAAATAAATTTCTTGTCAAGAATCAACAACAAGTGAGACACAATCGTGAAGTGGAACAAAATTTATTGGATAATTTAAACCTTTTTAACAAATAAAAAACTGAAAAGTGGGGCGTGCAATATTATTCGGCCCCCTTGTGCTAATACTTTGTAGCGCCACCTTTTGCTGCAATTACAGCTGCAAGTCGCTTGGGGTATGTCTCTATCAATTTTGCACATTGAGAGACTGGAATTCTTGCCCATTCTTCCTTGCAAAACAGCTGGAGCTCAGTGAGGTTGGATGGAGAGCGTTTGTGAACAGCAGTCTTCAGCTCTTTCCACAGATTCTCGATTGGATTCAGGTCTGGACTTTGACTTGGCCATTCTAACACCTGGATACGTCTATTTGTGAACCATTCCATTGTAGATTTGGCTTTATGTTTTAGATCATTGTCCTGTTGGAAGATAAATCTCCGTCCCAGTCTCAGGTCTTTTGCAGACTCCAACAGGTTTTCTTCCAGAATGGTCCTGTATTTGGCTCCATCCATCTTCCCATCAATTTTAGCCATCTTCCCTGTCCCTGCTGAAGAAAAGCAGGCCCAAAGCATGATGCTGCCACCACCATGTTTGACAGTGGAGATGGTTGTTCAGGGTGATGAGCTGTGTTGCTTTTACGCCAAACATATCGTTTTCCATTGTGGCCAAAAAGTTCGATTTTGGTTTCATCTGACCAGAGCACCTTCTTCCACATGTTTGGTGTGTCTCCCAGGTGGCTTGGGGCAAACTTTAAACGAGACTTTTTATGGATATCTTTGAGAAATGGCTTTCTTCTTGCCACTCTTCCATAAAGGCCAGATTTGTGCAGTGCACGACTGATTGTTGTCCTATAGACAGACTCTCCCACCTCAGCTGTAGTTATCTGCAGTTCATCCAGAGTGATCATGGGCCTCTTGGCTGCATCTCTGATCAGTCTTCTCCTTGTTTGAGATGAAAGTTTGGAGGGACGGCCGGGTCTTGGTAGATTTGCAGTGGTCTGATACTCCTCCCATTTCAATATAATTGCTTGCACAGTGCTCCTTGAGATGTTTAAAGCTTGGGAAATCTTTTTGTATCCAAATCCGGCTTTAAACTTCTCCACAACAGTATCTCGGACCTGCCTGGTGTGTTCCTTTGTCTTCATGGTTCTCTCTGCGCTTTAAACAGAACCCTGAGACTATCAAAGAGCAGGTGCATTTATACGGAGACTTGATCACACACGGGTGCATTCTATTTATCATCATCAGTCATTTAGGACAACATTGGATCATTCAAAGATCCTCATTGAACTTCTGGAGTGAGTTTGCTGCACTGAAAGTAAAGGGGCCGAATAATATTGCACGCCCCACTTTTCAGTTTTTTATTTGTTAAAAAAGTTTAAATTATCCAATAAATTTCGTTCCACTTCACGATTGTGTCCCACTTGTTGTTGATTCATGACAAAGAATTTATATTTTATATCTTTATGTTTGAAGCCTGAAATGTGACGAAATGTTGAAAGGTTCGAATACTTTCGCAAGGCACTGTAAATTTCATGGCACAGTTCAAACACATGCAATACAGGCTTAACATGCTCTGGATAAACACATGCTCTCCAGTTTATCCAGAGCATATCATGTAATTTTAGCAACACTGTTTCAACATTTGAAATGTTAGTAATTTAAAGACTTCCATAACTTAACCACTTGCTGCTCCACACTATAATTACTGTTGACGAATTGGGAACATTTCAGAGTTGGTATTGTCTCTAAATCATCTCGTGATCTGTAAATGCTTGTAGTAATAACATTTCTACACTTCTGCCATATTTTCTGTTATGTTCCTAAATCAGTGTGCACACTAGTGGTTATTACCACCAGTATAAGTATTTTTATTTAACATTTGAAATCAATAAACAATTGATCTACGGGTGGACAACTACTACTGTCGGCATTTATCAGAATTTGTATAAACACTTTAATTCATGTACTTTCTGTAACATTTACAAATAAGACACTGATATCAAATAAATTACAACATTTTAAATCAAGCAATAGATACAAGGATTTTGTAATGATTGAAAATGTTACAACATAATTCAATATTTACACTGTTTTCTTTTGAACTCTAAACCCATGTTCCTTATTTGCAGAAAGTGCAACATTGACCTACCTGGTCCGACAGTGACAGTGAGTGAGGCTCCAGACACTGACACTGCTCAAACCTGTTTCTATCCACCAATAAAATCAAGGGGAGGGATTCACAATAAGGATTTATGGTTCCTGTTGGATGAACTCCTGCAAGAAGTGTTTACTGAACAAAATATCGCTGACAAAACACACAAAATAACTTTTATTTATCATTAATTCCTTTGTATGCAGACAGGGGGCTAGTGCCAGACCAACAAAAAAACATAACACAATCAAACAAATACTATTTATAAAGTGCAGTTATTGTATGAAATACACAGATCAGCCTGAAGCAGACTGCGTACGAATCAGCTGGTTAGCTTCTGGTCTTGAAATAAGCAATGTACGATATGTACGATAGGTCTGAATATAGTGAGTGAATAAAATGATGCGAGGGTTTGGTTTGGTGCCTCTCTCATGAAGTGAATGAAAAATGTCGGTACTCCCAAACATTGTAAACCGCCTTCGGGTAACCTTGGTCAATAAATATATATATATATATATATATATATATATATATATATATATATATATATATATATATATATTACTCAGTAATATATATATATATATAACTCATATATATGAGTCATATATAACTCAGTAATATATATATATATATAATATATATATATAATATATATATATATTTATATATATATATATATTATATATATATGTAATATATATATATATATATATTATATATATATATATATATATATATATATATACATATATAGAAATACTACTCACTTCTTAACCAATTTTCTGTTATTCCCATGAAACCCTTTGTGGTCACTTTTCACACATCTCGCAGGGATATTGCTTGAGCTTTGTTTTGGTCAAATGTTTATTTGACATTTCGGGATCAAAACAACAAATCGATTAATAAAAACAATAATTGGCCAACAAAAGGAGTATCAAAATTCAGTACTTGTTGGGCTATTAACCGCACCTGTTTATACACTTCACTTGCTGCATTTGAAAAGGACATTTTGTCCACTTATAGGCCATACTGGAATATGTTACAATGTAAATATTTAACAGCCAATAGAACTATTACTGGTAACAACAGGATTTAAAGGCACTGTTAACTTGTGATGGACAAAGCTTAAAGTAAATAAAACAACAAAATCTAAGTAGGCAAATATTCACTCACATTTGCAGGCTTACCTCAACTGTTAGCTTCCATGACTCATTTACCAATATGTTTTGACAATAATCGAGCGTGCTATAGCTTCTAAAACTGAAATAAGTCCATAAACTCTGCTCTGACAAAAGCCTAGCTCTATCACAATAAAAATACATACAATGTTTGCTTTTGCTATACTGACATGGTAAAAGTTGTCAGTTATTAACCCAAACCTATTATGAAGGTCAAGGTTAAGCCATCAAGCCACGAGAAGAAAGAAGTTAAAGAAACAGTGTTATAATAAATGACTTTATTATAAAGGTTACAATCTGTCATGAGCTTCGCTTTGGCCTGTGGCCATGCGCACTAGTTTTCATATGTTCCCTAGAAAAAGGAAGAGGGAATTCTACAAATACACACAGCCACACCACTCACTCAGGGGGTTACAGACGTACTCAAAGAAAGCTAGAAATGAGGAACCAGAAAAAAATAATCTAAACTCAGTCTTATTCGTCTGCAGTGATCATCAACACAGCCGCCCTGTACTTTCTATCAGACAAACCCCTCAAATATCCTGTTTTACCATGGTATGCTGGAAGGTTAAGTTGAGATAAATATACAATAAATAGATTAGATATAAACCAGATAAACAATTCCTACAATTTCACTGTCGCAAATGTAAAAAATGTTTTGCAAATTGCTCATGAAGTTAAAAGGGGCAAATGTTTTTTTAAACAATCCTATGCATTGAATTTCTATCTTTATACGTTTTCAAATAAATTACTCTATGGTACTCTTCTACATGATTTCAAACGCTGCGATTAAAGATCTGATGATTTTGCAAGCAGCAAGAATAATATAAACTTTGTCTCTAGCACATGTTGTGTTACTTCATAGCTACATTTTGCTTAAACTAGTGCTGTACACTTCCCTTAGTGATGTTTTGAACATTATCCGTTTGTGATTGTGGCTCGCCTTTAAGCTTGTAAACTGCAGATCTGTGACACAGGCACTGGACCCATGATTGTGCTTTGAAGATACACATTGCAAAGTTAGCAATGAATATTTTAAATGTTTTAATTAAAATCATGTTCATAAAAATCATAGTTTTCATAGTGTTGTGTTATCAGAAAAACAGAGGGACAATAATTGCTAAGGCAACCCTCTGTTTAAGGACAAACATTTTTTTATCCTTACATAAACTTTCCATAACAATTCTAAAAGAGTAACACAACAGTCTCAGTACTTTGAGCTCCTTCTCAGAGCTGGTTCACAAAATTAAATCCATATTTGAGTGTACAAACATGTAGCAGAATCCTAGCAACGGCCTTGTTTAAGGAAGATACTGCCCAAAGTACTTTTAAAGAACAAAGAATATGAAACACAATTTTCCTCATACTGAATATAATATAAATTGTAATTCTTGAACGTTTTGGTATAAAACCCTTGATCTGGGCTGTTGTCTCTGGAGGCTAATTATGGCCTTTGAAAAGTGTCTGAAGGAAGCTCATTTTATGGCAGTGGGTTCCATATGGCATTTTCTTTGTTTGTTTTTCTGATTCTTTGAAGAACAGAAGAACGTACTTAAATGTTGAACCTAAATGTTGTGGGTCAGGGAAGGAAAAAGCTAATTCTGTACAAATGGCTTTAAACAAATAGCACCTTGTACAGTCAGCCCTCGATAAGAAGGTTTGTAACCAGAGGTTTACAGATGGAGCTCGGCTGCAGCTCTCCCTGAAACACACACAAAGTCACATTCATTGACAAATCATTGTGAAATTCAAACATCATTAAATCAAGCTTGAATTTAACTCATTGTCAAATCATAAGAAATTATAACTTATTTCCATAAAGTCATCACCACAACGTATTATTACTTCTTATTTATGAGCTAAATTATTTGCATTGGTATATGAACTTAAACAAATGTCTAAGTAATATTGGGAAAATAATCAAGTCACAAAAACCATCAGGAAGTTGTTCAATCGGCCCCATCATCGGACTGTGGGACACCGCTTTCAGAGTTCTGTTCATATTTTATCCAGAATGTTTTTTAACAGATAAGATAAATATCAGATTGTGTATAAAATAGAATACACTACTTCGAAAACATTCACATTTTTGAGGTACATGAGTTTCATTTTGTTATTTGGGGCAGGCTTGAAAATATAATATAACAGTTTACAATAACTATTTTAGTGAGCCTAAATTCCATGTTCTATTAGAAGAGATAATCTGCTGAGGAACAATTGTATGTCACAGTTCTAAAAGGTCAGATGTAGGCGGTCAAGTCGAGTCCAGTAGCTGTCGAAGTGCCCTCTCTATGTTGATCCTGTGTCCCAGTCTGGTGACGCCCAGCTCCACGTAGTCCTCTTTGGTGAGGGCCGGCAGGTGTGAGCCTTCAATCTCATGGTCTTGGAAGCGCTGGCGGTGTTCAGCGAGCCCCACACTCTCCAGCCAATCGCCAACATCGTATTTGTTCCAGAGGTTGAGGGGACGCTGCCTCCACGGGCGGAGGGCCAACAGGGGCCCACTGAGCACGGGGGAGGGGCACGGAGAGGCGTGGGGCGATGGAGAGGGCGAGCGGGAGCGGGTACGCGCGCTGGCGCTCCTCATAACAAAACGAACTTCCTTTGGTTCTGAAGGCAAACTGAGGCTGGACGACTTCAGGATGGTGAGGCCTCGGCCAGAGCTCAGGTCTGGTCTCTCTGGACATGAAGTGGGAGAAGTGGCCAGACCGATGGCCCGCTCCGCAGGTGAAGGGGAGGGCGACGGGCTGCGGCGGGTGACGGGATAACGGCTCCCGGGTCGCACTGTGTAACTGGCTCCGAATCCTCGCTGGGAAATGGTGTGAAGTTCACCTAGACTGGAAAACAACCTGCAACAAATCAAAGGTTGTAATATTGTTGTTCATTATGTGAGAGATGGGAACTTTAGCATGCAGACGAATCGTTTCACTACAGGAACACAACGACCTGGACTCACAAAAATGGGTCAACTCGGTCTCAAGAATGTTTCAAAACTGAAATTAATCTGTCATTCATTTTGATATAACAGGTGCACGTGAACAGATCATTAAGTTCCTGTGGTGTTCATTAATCTTGATGGGGTGTAGTTTTTGTTGTTAGTACAGTGCAGTTGTGTTGTTAGCTCATGTTAGCTGGGCAAAGAACTAACATATGAAACCTACTTTTGTACTGTCCACACATCTGGAACAAAACAACAGCAACAGTGTGAAAGTGGTTTACATTTATGTTGCATAAATATTTCACAAAGTGCAATTGTACTGGTGTGTCGACTGACTGTGAGGGTTAGTCTATTTGCTTGCATTGTTTATTGGATGCTTGATATCATACCTGGCACCTCCCACAGGGGACCTTCTGCCAGGGTCCAGTGGACTGGGTTCTTCTCCCAGAGAATGACTGTCTTTGTTCAGAAGCTGCAGACGATTGGCCAGATCCAGGCCGGACCCAGCTCTTCCACTCAACTCCAGAGCTGAGGCCGAGCGGCTCGTTAGATCTACAGCTGACCCAGAGCTTTGACCTCCCAGTGCAGCTGGTCGAACCCCTTCATCTGGACTAAAGCCCCTTCGCTCATCCATTCTGTCATCGACACCTCCCCACAGCTTGGACCTCCTTTGGAACAGGTAACGAGGCTGCCTCCCTCCTCCTCCAGTGGGAGACGAGCACAGGGGGGAGGATGGAGAAGATGCACTTAATGGTAGCAGTTCACTGTCTGATGACTGTTTCAGGAGCGGATCTCTGAGAGAAGAGCGCCCTCTGCCAATGGGGGAGCGGAGGCGCGGCTTGAGTGCAGACGGGGAAGTGGCAGAGGTGTGAGTGGCTGGAGGAGATGAGGGGGATGTGGGAGCAGTGGGTGAAGCTAATGTGATGGATGGAGGCAGAGAGCTGGGGGAGGACGACTCTTGATGCTCTTCACTGTTCTCTTCATCTCCTCGTCTCCCCAAAGAGTCTGCACCTGCCTCTCCAGCGCCCCCTTCAGCACTGCGTCGCGGCACTAGGGACAAGGAGGAGGGTGGTGCAGGCGCAGATGAGTTGGAAAACCCAGGTGGCGGCGTAACAAGGCCAATTCGCCGAAGCTCCTCCCTCGTCTCTTCATCACTGGACGACAGAAGAGCAGGTGGAAGAGTGACTGTGTAAGCCCCGCCCTCCTCCTCAGAGCTACCCACGGTGAGACTGCGGCGCCTTTCAATTAGTGCAGAGTGGCTCTCATTGGCTAGAGCTGCCAAAGGGGTAGGTCTCCAGCGCTCAGGGGAGGGGGCAGCAGGAGATGTCACTCCGCCCTCTGTTTCAGGGCGCTCCACCTGTCCTTCAGGATAAAGGGGCGGAGTAATACGTTTATGCCTCAATTCTGGACTTGTCTGAGGGGTTGCACGCTTAGTCCTCTGCTCTGGGCTGGTTTGTGGAGTGGTGCGTTTGGAGCGCGGCTCGGGGCTGCTTTGGGGCGTGCAGATTGGGGTGCGCTTGTGTCGGCCTTCTGGACTGGCCGCTGGGGTGGGGATGGGAGTGGTGCAGGCAGACGCATGTTTGCTTCTTGGTTCAGGACTAGGTGTGCGGGCAGTTAGCGCTCGTTCTCGTGCAGCAAGAGCAAGTGCAAGTGGAGAAGAAGGATCTAAGGATAACAATAAGTTCATCATCAATTATGCATAGCACATTAAATGTTTGTGACATCATCACAATGGTTTGGGTCTATCACTGAACCATTATATAACTCTATAATATTCGATTTTAGTTAGACTTTTTTAAGCAAATAAAATAGTATAATCATAATTGTGAAATACTATATACATCAATAATAACTGACTTTTTTATGTTATAATGCGTCAGAGAAGAATTACATTACATTCTTTGGACCAATTAGTAAAGTATTATTAGTTTCTTATCACTAAACATTGTTCTGTGTCCAACTGACCGAGCGGTTTCCCAGTCAGAGGGTGCAGGAAGGTGTGGGGCGTAGGAGAGGGAGACAAAACCGGAGCTGGAGGAGGGAGCTCGCCGAGGTCGTCCATTGAATGGCTCATAGTCAGAAGAAGTGGAGGCTGGTTGTCCGACCCGGCTCCTTCCACGGACAGGAAAAGGGACGACCGCCGTCCTTGGACACGAGCGCGCTCAGAGAGCACCTGCTGCTGGTACAACTCAGCCCTGCTGGGACTGCTGCTCCCCTCCTGTCTGCCATCATGCTCCTTGCCCCCGAGACCTAAGTGAAAACAAGACCATTAGCTAGAAGAAAGATAAGCAATTAAAAAGCCAAGACAATTTTAACCTTGTTCCTCAACAGGAAGTTGCTTTAACAAAGGTGACTTCCTTCTCTGGGGTTTGGTGGGTGGCGCTTGCTGTCCGACATTAGCGTAAGGGTTTTCTATTGGTCGTCCACGACGGCGTTGCAGAGGTGAGTGTCCTAGAACAGGGCTTGAGCCGTGCAGGGAGAGCGTGGAGGTGTGCGTTGCAGTGTGAAGGGTATGAGTGGTAGTGTGTGTGGCAGTGTGCATGGCGTTGTGTGTCTCAGGCTGGAGCGGTGGTGTGTCCTGCAGAATAATCATGGACCGGGCCTTCCTCTGCCGCTCCGCATGGGCATGGCTTCTCGCGGGTGAATCTGAAAGCTCTGGAAGTCTTGGCTCAGTGCCTGGTTTAAAGCTGGACCGGGCTAAACCGTCCCCTCGAGCTGGAGGAGGAGGCGGGAGGAAGGATGGAGGAGGTCCAGACTCCAGGATGTAGAGTGAGGACATGGAAGAGGCAGCGGGAGGTGGTGGAGGGGCCGTCTGCGGAGGAGGAGGGATGAAGCTGTCTGTTAGAGACGAGCTCCGAGGAAAACGGCTCTCATTGATTAAAGCAGAGATGCGGCCATCCTCGGGAGTACCTGTGGCCATAGGAACCATCATGTCAATACTGTAAACAATCATATTCTGTTATATTGAATTAACAACTTATTTTCAAATAAATTATGAGCCAACTATTGTGTTTTACCAAAACTCTTGGTACGAGACATTCCTCTTGGTAAAGGCATAGTGCTCTTCTCTGGGGGGGAGGGAGGAACCAAACCTTGACGTTCAAATAACGCCTGAAAAATCACATGGGATCACATATTGTCTTTGTAAACCTGTGTGCAAATTAAAAAATAATAAGGCTTACATTTATCTCTGCCTGAGTGATCCTCCGACTAGTTGGTCTCTGTTTCACTGTTGCTGCCCTAAAGTCATCTGATGGACGAGACCTGAGGACAACTTCTTGGGAACCTCCTGCTAACATCTCGTCCAGTTTCTCTGAAGAAAAATATGTTTTATGTATAAAGTATTCAACACAAAGCTCATATTGTTGCCATACTAATTACACAGACTTCCACAAATACAAAGGTCCTCAAAAATTAAGTCTCATCTACTATAAATATGCAGCTATTCTTTGAAATAGCACAATAGACACCAACATGGACACAACACATCAAAAACACAACACAGTCTACATGGACCGTTGTGACTCACCATAGCGACGCCTCCTGGCTGCAGATAGTCATGGGTTAAAACATTAAGTTACTTAAAAATTACATTACAATACAAAGTCTTGTGCAAGGTCTAACAGACAATGATTTCTGAGTAATTAATTCCAGAATCTACTTTTACTATGTGCTTAATAAATACATTGAGATTTTCAGTCAAACAGGTGTTTGTTTACCTATCTCCTCTAGGTCAGCAGTCATGGACTTGGATCTGAGGGTCAATGAGGTGCTTGGAGCTCTTTTAGGAGGGGGCGGAGCTACAGAACAACAAAACACACAACAAATAAAACATCTCAGTTGTTTTGATCAAGGGAATTAAAAAGAAAATCATTACAATGATTGTTACAAAAAATGTATTTTGATTTAGTATTACATTTTTAATCATCAATCAATTGCAAAAAAGAAATTGTAACATTTCCAAGAGAAAATGTTTATGTGCACCTTTCTTTCTGATCAAGGTGGATTCAGATTTTCGGGACACAGAGACGACTTTCATGAGCAGACGGCTGCCTCCCTGACGGATCAGAGAAACCACTTGCCGATGACCCACTTTGACCACGTCACTACCGTTTACCTGCACAGATTTGTTAGTTTAATAACATAATGACTCAATTTTCTTTAATTGACCATTACCTCTATAAGAAAATCTCCTGTCCTAAGGCCTGCCCTCCAGGCCACTCCTCCTTGATCCACAGACTCCAAGTACTGCAGGGCAGGGAACGCTGGGGTGGGTGCAAATTCTTCAATTGGAGTTTCCGCTACAAAACACAAAACATTTTAAAACATTTTTTACAAATGCGTATTCTATTATTCTTAACATTTGTAAAAACAAAGAAGAAAAAAAAAATCCTGTGTAATTTGTAAGTTGTAATTACCTTTAGCTCCTCTGAGGACAAAACCAAATCCCTCACTCTCTCTCTTCTGCAACACTGCTGTTTTCTCTTCAATCACATAGTCGCTAATATGAAAGTAAAGAAGGCAAGATACTAAGAGTATAGTTCTTATTGCATCTGTTAAGTTATGTTAGAATATTTACCTGTAGGACGTGTAGTTGTCATATGACCCCACAGTGTAATGTCTGAACAGTCTTTTAGTCCGGTCCTCTCTTGTCTCTGAAATCAAAGGTAAACGAAATCACTGAGTTTTTGATTTTGAGCAATATACCACATATTCTTGCATACATGTAATTAGGGAAATACATACAATTAATCATTATGTCCATAGCAGTTTTAATGGCGTGTACCTAGTCTGGGATCATATTGTCTCATCTGTACTTCCTCCACGCAGTCAGCAGGAAACCAGCCAGTGCGTCCTTTGACATTGCCTTCCCAAAATCCTCCTTCCCCAATAGACTGCACTACAAGTCCAAAAATACATAGACATGATTTATTACCTCTTCTTTAAGATTGATCACTGATTGTTGGTTGAATGAATGCATGTATTGTTCTCAGTCAGTGTCTGGACCTTTGACGCGCTCTCCCCGGTGCAGCTGGATTTCTCCCGCTCCCTGAGGGACATAGGAGCGAGTGGCAATAAACGTTCGTCCAGGCACGGCACTGTACAGGCGCCTCTTCCTCATCTGGGGCGTTAGTGGAGGGGAAGATGGGGGACTGGTCTCTACATGCCCACCTCCACTCGGGCTGAAGAAAGATGAGACATTTAGATGGAATTGTTTGTTTAGAGTAGACCATAGAGTTGTATAAGTTAGCTGGACATTTAGGGCCGGTTCACGCTTATTGGATTATTGGATTAGGAGACGTCATGAAGTGCAGGTACAAAAATGAACTGTCTGAGGGTAGACCAATGTACAACTTTCACATCTCCACAAAATAGACACAACTAGCTCCATCACTGTAGCTCCATAACTGTTTTTTCTGTGTTTAATACTAAACACTAATTAAAATTTGCTGCTTCAATTCTAATTTTTCCTATTGAAGGGTGTAAACCTGTATTGCAGATACTTATTTCAGGTACTAATTTACACTCTACACTTGTATGTAGTTGTATTTAATTGTATTTAATTTTCTAGTAATTATAGTGAGGTAAAAAGTGTCTGAGGACAAACATTTATTTAACATGTGTAAATTGCAATACATGTAATAACAATTAAATAATTCTAGTAGCTTGTTATTACAACATTTTAGTTTTGCTGTAGTCGATCTACAAATACATCTTTGTTCAGCCCCTTATGTAGGTTATGTTTGCACCTGTGTGAGGAGCTTGTACCTGAGTCTGCGTGTGTGGCGCCTGAGTGAGTGCGTGTGTGAGTCATGAAGCATCTCCAGACTCTGGAGTGAGGGTCCAGGGGAAGAGGCGGGGCTTTCCAGCGCGTTGTCACTCGCCGAGCGAATCAGGGAGCGAGGAGATGACAGCCCGTTTCCTGCTGAAGTTCTGGGACCACCAACTCGCCGACGCTTCGTGTAGGAAGGAGATTCTCTAAAGGGGACTACTTGGACACAAATATATGTGAGTATAGTCAATGACAAATCGTAAATGTGATCAATGTATTTAGATGCATATGGTTTTACATTGACTCACCAACATCAGAGGGTTTATGGATTTTGATAATTTCAGCCAAATCAAAGTTACCAGATATAATTGCCACCTTTAAGAAACGTATAATATACAATTATTACAATCATTGTTTCAACCCCCCTCAAAAAGATGCGTGTGTGTTTTGTTTACCTGAAAAGCAGTCTGATTATTGTAGTTTTTCACATCTTTATTGGCTCCCCTGAACAAAAGGACTCTGGCACAACTGTCCTGTAAAACTCCATTTAATGAGTATTAGGAGATGTTTGATCACATTCTTGTGTATATGCATTCTTATGTTTTTATATATCCTTATACTATATATATATATATATCCTTATACTATATATATATATATATATATATATATATATATATATATATATATATATATATACATATATATATATATACACACAGTGGGGCAAAAAAGTATTTAGTCAGCCACCAATTATGCAAGTTTTCCCACTTAAAATAATGACAGAGGTCTGTAATTTTCATCATAGGTCCACTTCTACTGTGAGAGACAATGTAAAAAGAAATCCATGAATTCACATTGTAGTGTTTTTAAAGAATGTATTTGTAAATTATGGTGGAAAATAAGTATTTGGTCAATAACAAAAATTTAACTCAATACTTTGTAATATAACCTTTGTTGGCAATAACAGAGGTCAAACGATTACTATAGGTCTTTACCAGGTTTGCACACACAGTAGCTGGTATTTTGGCCCATTCCTCCATGCAGATCTTCTCGAGAGCAGTGAACACAGACTTTCAACTCCCTCCAGAGATTTTCAATGGGGTTGAGGTCTGAAGACTGGCTAGGCCACTCCAGGACTTTCAAATGCTTCTTACGGAGCCACTCCTTCGTTGCCCGGGCGGTGTGTTTGGGATCATTGTCATGCTGGAGGACCCAGCCACGTTTCATCTTCAAAGCTCTCACTGATGGAAGGAGGTTCTGGCTCAAAATCTCACGATACATGGCGCCATTCATTCTTTCCTTAACATGGATCAATCGTCCTGTCCCCTTAGCAGAAAAACAGCCCCAAAGCATGACGTTTACTTTTTTTTACTTTGGTCCCAGCTCTCTGCAGGTCATTCACCAGGTCCCCCCTTTTGATCACCGTTCTCATGATCATTTTGACCCCACGGGATGAGATCTTGCGTGGAGCCCCAGATCGAGGGAGATTATCAGTCTTCCTTTTTCTGATAATTGCTCCCACCGTTGATTTGTTCACATCAAGCTGCTTGCCTATTGTAGATTCATTCTTCCCAGTCTGGTGCAGGTCTACAATTCTTTTCCTGGTGTCCTTCGACAGCTCTTTGGTCTTGGCCATTGTGGAGTTCAAATAGGTGCCATTAATACAGGTAACGAGTGGAGGACAGAAGAGCTTCTTAAAGAAGAACTTACAGGTCTGTGAGAACCAGAGATCTTCCTTGTTTGAAGTGACCAAATACTTATTTTCCACCATAATTTACAAATAAATTCTTTAAAAATCCTACAATGTCTCACATTGGAGACCTGGGTGGCATCTCTGACTGCCACCCCCCTGACCCAGAAATGGATTAAAGGGTAGAAAATGGATGGATGGATGGATCCTACAATGTGAATTCTTGGATTTTTTTTCACATTCTGTCTCTCACAGTTGAAGTGTACCTTTGATGAAAATTACAGACCTCTGTCATTATTTTAAGTGGGAAAACTTGCACAATCAGTGGCTGACTAAATACTTTTTTGCCCTACTGTATATATATATTAGGGCTGTCAAACGATTAATTTTTTTAATCGAGTTAATTACAGCTTAAAAATTAATTGTAATTAATCGCATTTCAAACTATTGGCAAAATTATGCCATATTTTTCTGTAAATTGTTGTTTGAATGGAAAGATAAATGACAGCTTAGTGAACATATGTACTGTATTTGTTTGTTATAACAATAAATCCGTATAAAATGGAATTAACACTATTAACATTCTGTCTTTCTGTCTAGACTCAAACCAAAACCATTGTTTGTTACAGATGAGGGACATTTCAAACAGTCTGAAATGCAGAATGTCATTAAATCTGTTTGATTTGCTCACACCATAACTTTTTTTGGCACAATCAACATGAACTGGTTGTCGAAAGGAAAATTAGGTACCTCAGCTTTAATTTAGCGAGTGCGCTTCGGGAGAAGACACGGAGGAGACTGAGGCTCCGCAGTCCAGCTTCAGCGCTGTAGATATTGTGTGCATCGGTTACGCAAAGACACGTACGCACACTAGAGAATAGTTCTGTAATAGTACTGTGCGTGGTCTTGGATATGATCCCATTACGCCGTTCGCCGTGATCACAGCCGCTGGAAGTGGGAACTGCTGTCCAGAGCGCTGTGGCGCCCGCAGCTCATCATGCAGAGTTCATACAGGAAACTACAAGTGCCCCGCGGTCACGCGTGTATTCTTTCAAAACTTGAATTCCCAGAGGGCCTACCTGCTCTGTCCCCATCTTACACACACGCATGTGTCCGCGGCATTCTGATTATTATGGGACGCATGGGCATGCGTCAAATGCGTAACATTTTTTAACGCGATTAAGATAAGATAAGATAAGATAAGATTTGCTTTATTTATCTCACATAGGCGAAATTTACATGTCACATTTGGCATGGATAGAGACACTCAGATTGTGCAAAAGGAGGAAATGTGCAAACATGTTAATGAAAAAAATTAATTAACGTGCGTTAACGCGATAATTTTGACAGCCCTAATATATATATATATATATATATATATATCTATATATGCATGCGCGGGCGGGAGCCAGCTGCAGAGTTGTATTGCTCCCCCTTTTCTTACTTTTTAGAGAACTTATTTTTATTGATGCTAGACTTAGAGATTTTGTTTTATTTATCTTGTGCTGTGTGCTGCTCTTTCCTACTGTCCTATAATTTGTGATGCAACACTGAAATTTCCCCACTGCAGGACGAATAAATGTCTCTTAATCTTAATCTGTATGTACACAAATATACATACACAAACCAAATGCATAGACAGAAAGTTGGCCCAATGACATGCTCAGTGTAGTTATTTTACCTGGTTGTAGAGCGCACAGAGATGCAGTGCAGTATTTCCTGATGCATTCTGGGAGCCCATGTCAGCTCCGTAAAATAGCAGGTGCTCCAAGTGCTGCACGTTACCATAGCGACACGCCTGTATTCGCACACAGAAGCACCCACACAAGCAAAAATAAATAAAAACATTAATTTTTAAGTGGTGCAATTATATCATTTACATGAACGTTCTCATCACCTGGTGAATTTCCTGCCACCCATTTTCATCCGTTATTCCTAAAATCATGGAGGAAAAACACAAAAAATCAACTACAAAAACATTGTGGATATATTTTGTTATATTAATCATCTTTGGGTCACACATAAACTTTGACACTCCAATAAGGTGCATTTTGTTGACGATAATTACTACTAATTACCAATTACTATTCTAATGAACACTGCAGCGAGCATCAGGTACGAAAAAAAAAATAGTTTAGAGATAAAAATTGACTGCGCAACTCTTACCTAGGGTGGCATGGTCTTGTAATAGCAGCTCACAGCAGTAGGGGGCTCCACCAACCATAGCAGAGTGGTAGAGAGGAGTCAGGCCCCTACTGTCCTTGTAGTCCGGAGAGGCTCCCAGATCCAGTAATGTCTGCAGGACACAGTCTGTTATGCATCAGATACTCCTGAATCTGCACTGTCTCCAAAAGAAAGAAGATTCACTTGGAACACTAGTTGTTCCTGCTTCCAAAGTTCCAGACTGCAGTTGGATTGATCTGGTTTTCTATTGCATTCAGGAATAGTAAATCCATATATCTGGATTTACAAAGACAATATCAACCATGATCATAGAGAGGGCTATGCCACGGATTCTTTAAGCCCAAGATGGTGAGTGTGACACAAACAGTTACAGAGCTTGAGGAGTTGGAACAAAACTTTGTCAATGAGCACTTCCCTATTGGGCTCCATTGAGCTAGCGGGTTAGCATTGTCCATCTATCTCAGTCTAAGCGCTATCTTTATGACAATTTGGTTTCATTCAGCCAGACTAAAGACAACATTTCACAGCCTCAAAAGTGATTGGAAAAGTTTGAAATTTAGAAATCTCTGTGACCCATGCAGATTGAGTGTATTGTTCCTTTTTGCACTTCTCTTGAGCATCTACAGTATTTTTAGAGAAGGAGCTGAATATTTACTTTTCTCTTAAACAATCGATGTTCATGTGGTAGAATAGAAATGTTCTCACGGTAAGAGCAGCACTATTTCTGCAGATGACAGCTCGGTGCAAGGCTGTGATGCCATCTCTGGTCCTAAAGTCCAAATGAGCCCCTCCACTTCGAAGAACTTTAATGAGGTCACAACTCTCTTCCAACTGGACAGCCAAAGTCAATGGACACTCTATGAAAAATAGATGAATTGAATTAAATGGATCTACAATAAAACATTATTGACACACTGCTCAGATGAAATTTGAATCAGTTCCTTACCTCCGCTGTCAGAGTCATGGAAATTGGGATCAAGACCTTTTTCCAACCATCTGCAAACTTTCTCCACATTTTTCTGGTGGACGTGTTCCATAAACCTCTTGAGGTTGGCCTGAAACAATTAATCATAATTATAATCACGTTCACACATAATTATGAAACAAAATTTGACATCATACGTTTTTATTTTTGTCTACCTTGGTGTGCAATTTTGCCAGCTGCTTGTCATCAACATAGCTTTGAGTATAAACTCTTCTCTTATAGCGGAACTGAAAAAAGATGATCAGTTTTAATAGTAACATTGTCAAGGCTGGCTCAAGTCCTGGGTACATGACATAAGCTGTACCTCCAGATATGGGATGGGTGTGATGTTAGGCAGAGGATACTCCTTCAGCAGCCTCTCTTCATCCAGAAACTTTCCTGCTCGGCCGTTGAACGCCGGCTGGAAGAGACCATAGTTCAAAACATCCGACAGAGACTGAGTCAAGGTCACCAGAACCCTCTGCTTACTGGTCCAAACTGGCAACTCTGGGTCCAACCGCAAACATTTCTGAGAGACAAAGACAGGAAACACACATAGATGGACAGGGAGGATAAACACAGACAGCCCTGGACAAGTTTTTTGGAGTGTAGAGTCATTTTGTGTGCGTCCTACAGCAGTAATTCGGCAACATATAAAGCCGCAACCCAGATAAGAACTGAATTTAGAAAATAAATAATGAAAAACGTTTTTATGAGCATTCAATAATTTACTACAAGGCTAATATAATGAATAAACAGTATCGAAATTTCCCCACTGTGGGACGAATAAAGGAATTCTTATCTTAACAGCATTGGAATGTTATGTTACAGCCTTATTCCAAAATTGATTACATTCATTTTTTTCCTCACATCTCTACACACAACACCCCATAATGACATTATGAAAAAGGTTTTTTTGAGATTCTTGCAAATGTATTAAAAATAAAAAACAAATAAATCACATGTACATAAGTTTTCACAGCCTTTGCCATGAAGCTCAAAACTGAGCTCAGGTGCATCCTGTTTCCACGGATCATCCATGAGATGCTTCTACTGCTTAATTGGAGTCCACCTGTGGTAAATTCAGTTATTTTGACTTGATTTGGAAAGGCACACACCTGTACTGTATAAGGTCCCACAGTTGACTGTGCATGTCAGAGCACAAACAAAGCATGAAGTCACAGGAATTGTCTGTAGACCTCCGAAACAGGATTGTCTTGAGGCACAAGTCTGGAGAAGGGTACAGAAAAATTTCTGCTGCTTTGAAGGTCCCAACCCACCCAGTACACATAGCACCAGCCCCTAATTGATCCTCCTGCAGGTGGTGAGTCCACAGGAGCTGAGATCTTTCAGCGGGGGCTTTGGGGCAAAGAGGGGTTAAGTGTCTTGCCCAAGGACACAACGACAGCAGTCATCAGTGGGAGTCATGAAGTAGGTCTTGAGGTGGATTCGAACCTACGACCTTCAGGCCCAAAGGCCGATGCTCTACCAACTGAGCTAGTATCGCCCCTAGTGTCAATGATGGAGGCCACAGTGGCCTCCATCATCCGTAAATGGAAGAAGTTTGGAAACACCATGACTCTTCCTAGAGCTGCCCGGGCATATAAACTGAGCGATTGGGGGAGAAGGGTCTTAGTCAGGGAGGTGACTAAGAACCCGATGGTCACTTTGTCAGAGCTCCAGCGTTCCTCTGTAGAGAGAGGAGAACCTTTCAGAAGGACAACTATCTCTGCAGCAATCCACAAATCAGGCCTGTATGTGAGAGTGGCCAGACGGACGCCGCTCTTTAGTAAAAGGCACATGGAGTTTGCCAAAAGGCACCTGAAGGACTCTCAGACCATGAGTAAAAAAATTCTCTGGTCTGATGGGACAAAGATTGAACTCTTTGGCGTGAATGCCAGGCGTCATGTTTGGAGGAAACCAGGCACGGCTCATCACCAAGCCAATACCATCCCTACAGTGAAGTATGGTGGTGGTAGCATCATGCTGTGGGGATGTTTTTCAGCGGCAGGAACTGGGAGACTAGTCAAGATAAAGGGGAAGATGAATGCAGCAATGTACAGAGACATCCTGGATGAAAACCTGCTCCAGAGCGCTCTTGACCTCAGACGGTTCATCTTTCAGCAGGACAACGACCCTAAGCACACAGCCAAGATACCAAAGAAGTGACTACAGGACAACTCTGTGAATGTCCTTGAGTGGCCCAGCCAGAGCCCAGACTTGAATCCTATTGAATATCTCTGGAGAGATCTGAAAATGGCTGTGCACTGACACTCCCCATCCAACTTGATGGAGCTAGAGAGGTGCTGCAAAGAGGAATGGGAAAAACTGTCCAAAGACAGGTGTGCCAAGCTTGTGGCATCATAGTCAAAAAGACTTGAGGCTGTAATTGCTGCCAAAGGTGCATCAACAAAGTATTAAGCAAAAGCTGTGAATACTTATGTACATGTAGTTTCTTAGTTTTTTTATTTTCAATAAATTTGCAAGAATTTCAAAAAACTTTTTTCATATTGTCATTATGGGGTGTTGTGTGTAGAATTGTAAGGAAAAAAATGAATTGAATCAATTTTGGAATAAGGCTGTAACAAAACAAAATGTGGAAAAAGTGAAGCGCTGTGAATACTTTCCGGATGCACTGTAAATAAATGCCAATAGCCAATGGGGAAAGTTAGTCCAAACAAAATGATTCCAGCCCGCTAAAAATGACCCCACATTCCACCAGTTGAGAACCACTATCTTACAGCACTGTGAGCCTAAGGCAAGTTTCCTTCGGCTTCAATAAAGTAGAAGTTGAGTTCAATCCTGAATCTTTAGTCAAGTTTTTGCCTAGCTCCAGCAGTGGGTGTTCCCTGTTGCATAATAGTTGATAGTACTATATTGTTTCACTGATAAATAGACTCAAGTCTATTTATCAGTGAAACAATATAGTACTAGCAGCTGACAGCAGCATCTAAAACAATTCCCACAAGTCCCAAGTGTGAGTGCATACTGAGATGAATGCATTTAAAGATTCCACTGTGGGCCTTTGAGCAGGACGTGTGTTACCGTCTGCTGCAGATCCGGGATGCCAATGCGGACAACAATGCTATTTCCAGGGGGACTATCTTCCCCGTCGTCGTCCCTGGCAACAGCAGAGCCTGTTGGGTTGCCGTTAGTAACCGCCTGTTGCCCCGGGCGATCATGTTTGGTGTCAGCGGCCGGACTCAGAGGCATGTGGCTGAAAGATACATATGTACACCATGACTGCAAATAACTTATAAAACATTACATTGTTAAATTTTCCGTCCCTTTCTGTTGAACAACCACTATCCCCCATCGTTCTCCGACCATACACCTCATCCTCTGCTAATAATAGTTGGGGATGGGTGATTGTATCCTGTTATTCAAGTCTGGGGTGATTGTTCTCGACCCAGCCCAGTCTACAACACACCACAGTGCAACTTCCGTCATGATTTTGCACTGAAAAAGAAGCCACTTCATTTTGCATGCCATTGACGGTATTAATCATCGCTGTGTCTAATTGCTAGTTGATTGTGTCTCAATCCAATAAAGCGATCATAATACAAGTCAAAACTTAATGACTGCCTGCGTTACAGCCGCGGATAAAGAACGAGGATGATGAGCTGTGAGTCGCCATAGAAACTGCAGTAACGGGGAATCCTGTGCTAACCTTAGTGTGTCAGTCTGTGTGCTTGTGTGTGTGTTAAAATAAGCACTGATCTACATGCTCGCTGTTGCCATGGAAACACAGCTGAATTTTTTTTTCTTTTTTTGAGAGCAAACCACGAACAACTACCACGGCACATGAGCTCTCTGCTGTACTGTACCAGGCCAGATGTACAGTGAGGCCCATTGTGCGCCTGGAGGCCACAGGTCGGGCCTTTACGGGGTTACACAAATGTTTGGATTCATTTGGATTAAAGGGAGGCTATGTGATCTAGGATTCATTTTAAATATTTGTATTTTCCAATGTGTAGTATGATATTCTGCAGCAGGAATACTACTTAAAGCTGCATTCCTCAACTGTCCAGGAGGAGGGCCCACGTTTTGCTTGGGCTCAACTAAATGCTGTTGTTTTTTCTGAATATTTGTTATTAAACTCTGGTTTTACAATGGAAACAAGCATGTTGGATGGAAAGTTATATTAGTTTATATTAGCATTATTAGTTTATATTACCATTATATTAGTGGTGAAGCAAGTCTCACTGTAATAAAATCATCCATAATTGAGGAATGTACACGTTTTAAACTCAGCAACATTTCAAGCAAAGCAATAACATATATGACACAAGAAGTGGATATTTGACCACTTCATTAAAAGTGGGGGCCCCACCAGCACAGAAGAGTAATGCACCTTTAACTTATAAATACGATGACTTACAATGACCCTAAATAGTAAGGCCTGAAGGCGAGATCAGATACTTCCAACAGTCTTTATAGCTTTTCTGAAAGATAAGACACGTTTAACTAAAACTGAGTTTAAATAATTAACTTGCAATATCCTATTATGACCAAGTGAAAAATAACTGAAACCCAACAAGTTCATAAGTATCCACACCCTTTGCTAAAATAAACAACACTAAGCTCAAATGCTCATGTTTGCACTGATTGTTGATGAGAGCTTTCAACTTGACTGGAGACTGGAGATTTAAAAAAGGGACACACCTATCTATTTAAGGTCCCACCGCTGACAGTAACTGTAAGAACAGAAACCAGGCCGTGTGTATTTACCTTTTCGATGCTGTCATTACAGACACAAATTGACTGAATGGAGGCGACAGGAGGCAAATGCATCAAAGCATACTACACTAAAATTAAATCTAAACTGTATAAAATGTTAGTGGCATCTTTTTTGTAGGTTTTGTATATTTAGTTTTAGGTGAATCCTAATTTCTTTCCATTTTGTTTCAGTTTTCCTCCAGAACTGAAGGACGTGAATCAAATTAATTACAAAAAATAGGTTACAATTTAATCTGATTTTTTTTTTTTTTTACAATTACTTAAAACGCTGTGACACAGTAGCATTCTGCACTGAGGAGGATTTAACACCATAAACTTTTGTAAGCCACGCTTTCCAAAACATAGATTTTATACAAAATTAAAAGTTAAATGTTTTATGGATTACTCAAAGTGATTCAAGTGACTCAATTAATTAAAGTTAGAAAGCTCTATTTTCAGGAATTTAGAAACTGAAACTAGGGAGACAGTAGCTCAGTTGGTAGAGCATTGGCCTTTGGGCCTGAAGGTCGTGGGTTCGAGCCCACCGTAAGACCTACTTCACGACTCCCACTGATGACTGCTGTCGCTGTGTCCTTGGGCAAGACACTTAACCCTACTTTGCCTAAAGCCCCAACTGAAAGATCTCAGCTCCTGTGGACTCACCACCTGCAGGAGGATCAGTGAGGGGCTGGTGCTCTGTGACTGGGAGCAGCTCTGTGACTGGGAGCAGCTCTGACTGCCGCCCCCCCAACCCAGAAATGGATTAAGGGGAAGAAAATGGATGGATGGAGAAACTGAAACTTTTAAAGGGGTTCTCCTCAAGGACCTCTTAATTTTTTATAAACACCAGCATATTTGCAATCAAGGCCTGAATAAAAGAAAATGAAAATGTAAATGAATGACAATATGTGTCAGCTGGTGGATTCCTGATGAGATGATCATCTCATTATAACTTTAGTCATAAAAACGTCTTTATTAATAATCGCGAAATGAAGAAGACGACAGTCTAATGCACAGTATCTAAAATCACAGGGGTGACTCAGATTCCCTCAAACAAACAACACATGCTTTGTGCAATCTGGTTCAACTGGTCCTTTCAGAATAATTTTAACAACGTATATTTTTGCTAAATGAAAGGACAGATTACAAGAGTTTTCAAAGGGGTTTGTGAACAAGATTAACCTTCAGAATGAAGCCAAACCCCAAACCAGAGCACTGACAGCTGCTCAAACAGGAAGGGATGTATGCTGTGTACAGATGTAGTTAGACCATGTACCAAAGTTTGCGGATAATTAAAAATTCAAAGGCAAATACCCAAAACCTGCTGGAACAGGATTGAATCCATAGCAGCCACTGAAAAATCACTTCTCATCTCAAAAACCAACAATAGATGATGCAACCACGGTATACTAACAGACACAATGTTCCAGTTGATAACAAAGTTTCCTGTCTAGAGCTAGAACACAAAAACTGCCATCATTACCATCATGAATAAATGAATAGATTTATATATAAAGAGCAGACAACATCCTCCCACGCCCCATACTCAGGGATGTTATATTGTCATTAAAGCTTTCACTCACTCATCTTGATGAGTCAAATATTAGGCACAGTTCAGCTGATTACAGTACTTCAAAATCAAACTAAAATGGTGAGACAAGTTACAGAAACTTTGTACTTTTTGGCACAACAGACTGCTTTGGATGCTGCCAAGTTCACACATCTTGAAGCATCTCTGCTCTTATTAGTTATAGTCACAGAAATACCTCATTTTCTTTTCTGCATCTTTTCTTTTATTCTTTTAAATAGGAGAAAATAAGAGCTGCTGTGTTGCTCCCAGCAGTTGTTTTCTCTGCAGTGTTAGTTATGTAATGTCTCCACAGGTCCACATTGAGGTGATTGGTTCGAGACACTGCCTGATGAAGCTTCCACAATGCTTCTGATCCAAGTACTAGCATATTATTATGCAGTAGCCTTCCTGAGTAGAGTTCAGTTGCTGTGTAGTACTTTCATGTTTTGGCTCAAAGAAAAGCTTTCTAAACAGCACAGGCAGTTCTTCAGTCACAGATGGAAGCAGTTTTAAAAATATAATAATAATTCAAAAACCACATCCTCAATTATTTAAAGAAGAGTTTGGGGCTTTATCAGGCAGACACATTGTTCATTTGAAATTGTTGAATAGCAGACCGAATAGCATATATGTTGTACATAAATTGCATACTTTGCTGACAATTCTACATTGGAGCGTTGCATAATTAAGGCAGACTTCTAATGTCTCTTGATTGCAAGAACACTGTGTTATCAGCTGACAATTATCACACAGTCTCTCAGTTGTCAAAAAATAATAATCCACTTCACATCATGAAGTGTTATTCCTAGATGGTGTGCTTTGTGCTAATGTGAGGCAACACCACAGAAAATATGTTGTAAATCTATTCAATACTTTTTTTTTGAGACAACAGAGAAGGGCTTACCTATTTTCAGCAGTCCCATTAACCTTTTCCAACTCTTGTAAAGATATGTTGTATGCTTCTTCGTGGTGCTTGGCTGGCCTTTATATGCGATGTTGGCTCAGGCTTTGGTTGAAACTTTGGCTTTGGAAAATGGAGGTCTGGATCTTGCCGAAGTGGGAGAGGAGCTGGACACAGATTTCTTCACATAAAATCTGGTGAAGTAAACGTCGGACTTGGTTTTGATGTTGCCTTCCAGTGGTCAAGTGAGGGGTCTCCGAGTTTGAGATTGTGGAAACCGCCCTGCCCATCCTGTAGAAAGGGAAGAGTGAGAGGAAGACCGTGGGTGGTGGTTGGGAGTCAGAAGAAGGATGTGAAGGGGGAGAAGAGGAGACGGATTTCAAGTGAATGTAAGGAATATGAGATATTAGGGTTCAGTTATATTACTGAATTAGCTCAACTGCACTTATAATGTCTAGACATTTTCCTTGCTCAACTCAAATGCAGTAAAGCTATTACATCACAGTGAAAATATAACAAGTTTAAATAAGGACAGAGACCCTTGTCTAATCCTCGGGTCAAAATGTCCCACCACAGATGATTTAAAGTAGAAGAAATATACCCTAAATTAAAGTCTAAAGGGGTCTAATTGACTCAGGGCTTGTTTAGTTAAGAAAAATCATAAAAATTAAGCTTGATATTTTTTTTCATTAGGGTCTTTTTTTAACCACTGTGGCAGGTCAACTTGACCGAAGATCAAGGGTTAAGCATCGCCTCTCCACTGTTGTAACATAATTCTGTTGTCTAAAAGGAAATTTGATTTACAAACTGTATAAATATACAGCCAAAATAACATTTAGATGAATCAGCCAGAACAGTTGAGGATGCACCTGTAACTATGTGTTTAAAAAGCCTCATCTAAAGAACCTATCATCCAAACTGGCTTGCATTACCGTAGCCTTTTCTCAGTTAGAAACCATGTGGCATAAATGATGGTTGTTCCATTGTAGTAACATATTGTAAAATGTTAATAATATCCAACTGGTCCAACTTTGTTGGTCTGTTATTCACTAATAGTCCATATGCTGGTTAGCAGATTGTTGCCTCCTATTAGATCAACATGATATCCAGGTGGAGTGTGGGCCTACAAACCCAAAATGTTTCCATAGAAACTGATTGTATGGCATATTGATTTGTAAGACACATACATACACACACACATACACACAGAATCCTTTTGACCTAGAACCACCTACTTCCTGGTGCTCACACTTCCTGTTTCCTGTGAGTGTTGCCAAGGAAATGGATGTTTGGCAGGAAAAATCTGAGAAGCTGAACATTACCGATAACACAAACACAATGGAGACCAAAATCCACCCTGAGCACAACAGGTTTGGTGTGATCAAAGGTTTAAAGCCTTGTGGTTGTCTCAGAATGCTTTCAGATATTCACAATACAATTCTGATTCTGCATGTCACTGGGGGAATTTGGCAAATTATTCATGATATAAAATAAATACGCATAACTCAAACCAGCATAAAAAGAGGATGATGCATTTTAGGGGTTAATCTCATCCAATCCATTGTGTATGCTGATACTGAATGTAAATGGGTCTTCTCTAAACTCAGACATTTTTGCCAGGACTTGTATCTGTCAGCATATAATTGGTGCAATAGCGCAATTGTCACCATTTGCTTATATCTTAAATTGTTATGTATTAGAAATGCATAATGGTGCTGTTATCAAATTCCCACTGTTAGAGTTGGCTGTGAGGGGCGAATAGACTAGATGTACTATGTGTGTGTCCTGATGGGTCCTGATTATGTAGCTCCTGTGGCCATTACTATGGAAACCGATGGCAGAAGCTGTTCTCGGACACACATTTTATCTTGTCAAGTTTCTCACTTCACTGAAAATTTCAAATCTAAGAGAAGTCAAATAGCTTCAGAGTCTTTTCCACCATGAGGCTGCCTGGGGAGAACTATTTATTCTTCATACATGACTCACTTTTAAATATGTATATTGGAATGCTAAAGAGACTCAAATGGCAACCAATTACCTAAAAGAAAAATAAGACAAGTCAGAATTAAGCACAGAATCACTAATGAGAGCCTTCAAAGAAACCCATTTCCTGTTTTTAAAGTGGCGGGTTTTTGTACAGAGTGGAAGATTATCATTTCAGATAGAAAGTCTGAGGCTACAGCCTACACACTTACATAACACACACACACACACACACGCACGCACACACACACACACAGAGGATGGTAAAGTGCTGCTGGAGGGAAACTGAAACAGGAAATAACACCAACCCAGGGAGAGAGGAAAAGCAGGAGAGCACAGACAAGGCAAAGACGTGAAGATGTTAGGATCGGAGGAAACTGGTGGATATAAGAAAAGGACAGTAAATACTTTGGGGTCAATAAAGGTCTGCTCGAGAGATGGAATCAACTAGGACTCAGGAGGTACAATAAATGAGAATATTGTGAAAGTTACAGTCAGACACATAAAGCAAGTGCATGCACAGAGTTTCTTTTCACCTTTTCCGAACAGAGGTAGAACATAGTAAAAACTGCTCACCCAGAAGATCAGCGACTCCCCTCCATTAAAAGACGAAGCAAAAGATGACTGAGTTAGGAGGAAAGAGAAGGGGGAAAGAGGAGAGATGACTTGATGAGGGGGAGAAGAAACAGAAGAGGTGTATCTGCAGACAGAGGGGAATGAGCGACAGAGAGGATGAGTGGAAGGCTGCTTGGTTCAGCCCACACACTGGAGCATGACACACACTGCTGTGTGTCTGTGCCTGTGCACAACAAAATGCGCACGTAGTCTCCCACTCCAATGCGTGGGTTAGAAAACACACCTCTCTCGATGGCTTTGCGAGAGAGAGGGGTAAGCAGCAGCGTGGGAGTGGAGGAGCGGCCCGACATCTCCATGGTAACCATGCACTAGCAAAAGTCACTACCATCATCAATGACAGGGCCTAGTTCTGAGCAATGTACCCGTTTGCAGATTCCCCAAGTCGACATGGGAATGTGTCTACCAGGTAGTGTAGAGGAACCTTGCCATTTATGTTTCATATCTTTCAACATTGGTTGGTCATATTCAACTCTGATATTATCTATATAAAACGGATCATTTTATTAGAATAATAGAAATTAAATGACTTCTAAAGCCATGGAAAATGAAAGACTCAGGTTAGCAGCAGAGCTGTATTATAAAATGTCAGACATGATATTCTGATGGATTGATCAGTGAATTACATCTTTCAAATTCAATAATTCACTTCATGATTTACAGGATGTTACACCTTTGAAAGACCTTGTCTTTCCTATAGTGCTTTAATTTGAAGATTAGCAGCACTTTTATTTTATTTCATTAAATGATTGAGGTTTTTTGTCCCCATTATTCAAATGAGTTAGAAAAAAAATATGGTCCCTAAACCCTGCTCAATATTTTATATAATATTTAAATCTTCAATTAATAACAATAATGCATGTGTTTTATATAGCGCTTTTTTGGACACTCAAAAGATACTTCATATCATTACTCATTCACTCCATACACAGTGGTGATACACTACTACTGCAGCCACAGCTGTCCTGGGGCACACTAACGCTGACACTGATGTCTGTCAGCAGACATCAGTGGGAATCGGTGAAGTCTTGTGGCAGGCTCGAACCCACGAGCTTTAGGCTATATCCACACGAAGACAAAACGCTTATAATTTCAGAAACTTTTTCTGTAAACACGGAGTTAGCTCAGTAAATGTGTGCGTCCATATGAATGTAGTCAATACGCCTGAAAACGCTGTGAAACTATGCCAGACCTGTTGGTGGCGCTGTGACGCAATGACGGGATCAAGCCCAAACTTCCGTGGGCATGCGCGGAATTTTGTAAACAGACAACATGGCGAGTGGGCGAGCTGGTACTACATTAGTATGGACGGACGATGAGGTTGAACTGTTGCTTCGGGTCACACTGGATTACAAAACCAACAAGCTACATTGTTGTTGTCATTATTTTCTGAGTGCGGCGCATGCGTGCTTTAACAAGAGGCGGGGCGATGACGCAAGCGTCTCAGATACATTGCGGAAAGGCAGTAACCACGGAGCGGCATATACGGAGTTTTGAAATCTTTCCACTCTGGGACCTAGTTTCAAAAATGTTCGTTTACACCCCCCCAAAACGCCGGCCTCGTATGGACGATACACTGGATTGATAAAGTATTTTTGCGTTTAGGCCTGAGCTTGACTTCGTGTGGACAGGGCCTTAATCTCAAGAGCCACTGCAGTACCAACTGAGCCACTATTAGGAATTTTGAATCTGTTCTACTTAATACCAAGCTCCAAAAGAGGACAATACAAACGTCAATTTGTACGTCTAAATGAAGAGGTGATTAATCAACACCCGGTGTTTATCAACTTCTTAAAGTTCATTTTTTGTAAACTTCAACTTTATGAGCTTAGGAATCAAAAAGGAATCAGTCATGTTTGACATATTATTTATTATAAACTTTAAAAATAACTTTCCGTAGGAAATATTTCCGCATTAACAGTTAAAATAGTACAAAAGAATTTCTGACAGTTTACTACCAAAAGGTTACAGACTTAATAGTTTGCAGTGTTGGCTCAAATCTGATTATCTTGGTCTAAAAGTCAATGGAATGTGATAAGATAAGAAAACAGATATCCTCCTCCTTAGGTTTCTTTGACTCCCTTCAATATGAGATCCATGTATGCTCCAGTGACCAGACTCTCTTCAGAGACTCCCAGTTGCTCCATCAGTCCGTGGGCAACCTTAACAGCAGAACAGTTTTACACAGTGAAAAAGGACAAGTGCCGATACAACTCAATGGGAAAGATGTAATTGTTAAAAGAAATTAAGAAAAAAAATAGATTTCTAAATGCTCATTTCCAGATGATTAGGATAGTAATTATAGTCATAATCCTTAATATTGATATGTACTGTCAAAGAAGATTTCACATGAACATGACCTATTAAGTCATCTGTATTGGTGTAGCTCTCATTACAGAACCATGGTCACGACGCTCAACCAAAAGAGCGATACATTTGTGAAGTGACTTATGTAATAATCTCACCTGTTGTCCCTCTTCAACAGTCTGCTCAGGACGCATCACCACCTGAAAACGACACAGTCAGTCTGAATCTCATTTTCTTCCATGTTAGGATGGATTTTCACACCTGATTTGCCTTTTCATTTCTTGCTTTGGGTAATGATCAAAAAGGACAAAATCGCGGATACAAGCCGTCAAAATGAGTTTCCTGGAGTCCCTGGGGGCTCCCTTAGTGACATAGGCTGTGAAGCTCAGAGTTAAGCCACTGCTCCTCCACATTGAGTCCAGTTGAGATGGCTTAGGCATCTGTTTTGGATACCGCTTGGACACCTCTCCTAGGGAGGTGTTCCAGGGATGTCCCACCAGGTGGAGATCCCACAGAAAACCCAAGACACACGGGAGGGACTATGTCTCACAGCTGGTCTCCGGATTCCACAAGATGAGCAGGAGGCAGAGTGTTCGGATGGGGTAGTCTGCTTGGACTGCTGGCCCTATAACCCAGCCGCAGATAAAGTGGAAAATTCCTTGCGGTACTTTGTTAGGTAAATCATATGATTCTCAAGAATAACATACAACAGCAGCACTACATCATATCCAGAAAATGTATGCAAATAAAGACATGCTTTGGTTAGCATGTTTCCTTTAAATGTTAATTTTGAAAAAATATATTATTATTTTTTTATATTAAAGTTAAAAGACATGTTGTGGAACTTTTCACTTGCATCCATGTGGATTAACTGCACTGCCAAGAATTTAACATAACGGGTCAGACCTTTCCACGAACCTGACCTATTGTATTGGTCAAACAAGTAATTGAAATAATAATTGCTAGAATTACAATTCTAAACAAAAGATTAACAATAGTTAGGCTGTTAGTTAGGCAATTAGTGACAGCTTAACTTTATTCCCTCACACAAAACTGAATTATGTTTTTTTTTATGTTCTTCTGAACAAACACCACCATTTTATGAAATTGGAATAATTTTCATTGTTCACGTCACAGATAGGGTAGGGTAGAGCGTCAAGTTCAGAAGAGATAAAAACAACATTCCAAGTTTTCACCAAAGTTATCATAATAACCTTTTAAATCCGTGTTTATCACAGTAATTACCTCCAGCTCCATGTAATGCCCAAGGCCCTCCACAGAGTCCAGATGGATTCGGGTCTGCCCAACAAGGAAGAGACGCCTCTCCTTTCGCACTTCGCCTTTGACACCGAGAGCATCCGAGAGCACCATCTAAAAACACACACACATATACGCACTGTACTGAATGGCACAGGCATTATTACAGCATGAGTACCTAACTTTTGGTCAGTTCATTTTTTCCTTTTATATACACTGTGTTAATAAAATGAGGGCTGGCATTCTCTTTTCACTGAAAAAGTTGATCTAAAGTCATGAGGCCAAAGATGCAGTGACAGTCAACTGTTGGTGGTTTCAAAGTTTGTTCTCCAGCGTCAATATGATTACAATAGTTTTTACCCTGAGAGAGGACGGGTCACTGGTGGGACTGATGGAATAACGAGAGAGCTTGGGTCCATCCGAGTCAGGGCGCTCATAGAATATAAGCTGCCCAGTCCCATCCTGAGGAAAAAAAAACAATTTGAACATGGAATAAAAACAACAGAATAAGAACAGAAAAAACAAACGAGAAAAAATGCAAGACAACAACAAGAAGAGTACCATGAAGTCTCTGAGCTTCAGCCGACCCTGGCTGCAGTGGAAGAAGGTGTCGTGTTGCCGGATGATGGCGCCCTCGGACTGGCTGAGCTGAGCGGCTACTCCAGCAAAGTCTTCAGGGTTACTAACGACGGCTTTAACTTCTACGTTAGAAGGCATGGTTCATCTGTCTGTTGTCAAACACAGGCAGTATTGGTGAATACTTGTGGTAATATAGTTAGCATCATTCCTAGCATCATACGAGCATACAGCATTAGCAGTAGTGACGATGCTAACAAGCTAGACCACGTTACTGCAGGAGTAGCTAGTTCACTGGGACAGACTGAACCATTTCGAGCTGTATACACACGAAGCTAGCCTACTATTTATTCATATCAGAACAAAAATAAAAAGAAGTGACAGAAGTTTTGTTTTGACCGCGAAACTCACGTGTGGAGGTCTTTTCCTCTGTGACTTGTAAGATATGATAGTGAGACACTGCCCCCATGAGTATGTACTATATATACATGATGGTCTGTACGTGCAAATAATTATCTGGGATATCTGTGGTATTTTGTCCCAATAGAAAAGAGAAGGAGAAAGACCCTCGTAAGTGTAACATTATGTGAGCAAGTCAACAACATGCTGTCTTCATCTTTTTATGTTTTATGCAACTTGTAAGAGGTTTGGGCTGAGAGCCAAGTGAGGCAAGGCAAGGCAAGTTTATTTATATAGCACAATTCATACACAATTCAAAGTGCTGAACAAAACAAGAAAGCATTAAAATCATAAATAATCATTAACATTAAAAAGAAAGATAAAAATATAAAATCCCTCAGTTGTATGCACAGCTAAAGAGAACTGTCTTTAACCTGGTTTTAAACATTGTCATTGAGGAGGCCTGTCTCACATCTTCAGGAAGACTGTTCCAGATTTTAGCAGCATGAATCTGAAAAGCAGCCTCCCCATGTTTAGTTCTGACTCTGGGCACTAACAGGAGTCCAGTGAGGGTGGTTCTCTCTTTTTCACGTTCCTGTAGTTAGACCATATATTCTGTAGTTAATATTTACAGTCTATGAGTTAGACCAGTTCATATTTACAGTTTATGAGTTAGACCATGAGAGAAGTGTGCGTGAGGAACAATTTTTGTTTTTGTTTTTCTTTAAGCCCAGCTTTAAGAATATAACCTTTTTTTGTGAGTAGATGAGGTTTAGCTTGACTCTCTTGCATTTCATGTATAATTCAGGCACACACACACGCACACACCCAAAACAAAGACAAAATACAAATAAATGAACTATATGGTATGTTAAAAAAAACTGTTTATGCTGTAGCATAAGGAAATGGTGGAAACTTATTTATACATTCATACACATTGTTCAACAATATTATTCAATATCAGTGCATCCCTAATACTGTAATTATGTATCATAGATTGACCAACAAAGACCAACCAGGAAAACCACCTGTCACATTCTCATGTATAATAGAGCCTGTTTACAAACATTAGGTGTTGCACATGTATAAGAAATCTGATCAACTACTACATATGCCAATATCTGTTTGGTTTGGTCAGTTCGTGCACTGTCAACTTGGCACGAGCAGATATCCGCTGCGGTGGCTTATCCTAATTACATTTAGCTCCATGATGTGCTGGCCGCCTGGCATTAATGAGCAGCATCAGTGAGAGAGACACAGACACAGAGGGAGTGACAACCAGGACAAGGCTCAGGTCAGGACAAAAACACATGTGGGATTTGTGATGAGATTTACTTACTTACACTTTTGTCTTTTTCTTTGGATTTATCTGAGATTTATCTGAACAGTGTGAACATGACAGTCACTTATTCCAGTGAAGTGGCCAACGCGTCCTTCTTCAGTTTCCACCGCCTGCTGCTTCGCTGGAGGGGGAGCATCTACAAGCTTCTGTACAGGGAGTTTGCTGTGTTTAGTTTGGTCTATGCTCTGCTCAGCCTTGTGTACAGGTGATGTTTACAGTGTTTTTCAGGGCATACTCTTGCACTTGTTCACTAATTTTCTCTTTTTGTGGTTAAGGCTTGTCCTTTCTGAATCTCAGAGAAGACTGTTTGAGAAAGTATCATGTTACTGTGACGTTAAGTACAGTAGCATACAGGGCTGCTCTTTTTTAGCAGGGGCCTGATGACTGCAGTTTTCAGGGCTGTTGGGAATATTCCAGAATGAAGGGACATGTTTACTATCTGTGTGAGTGGTGAAGGTAAACAGGACTCTCAGAACAGACTTCAGAAATCTAGTGGGTATTTCATCCAGGCTGCATGTGGAGGAGCTAAAACTGGAGATTATTCTTGGACATTTTTTACATTACCAGGTGCAAAGTAAGTTAGCTCAGAGAGCCTTTCTGGCTGTTGGATGGTTATCTGTGTTTGGAGACAATGGCGGTTTTTGATGCCTTGAACCTTGTCATTGAAAAAGTGTGCACAAACCTCATTGCATTTACGTTTGGAAGTTAGCTTAATGGCATCTGCACAGGGGGGTTTGGTAATCTATTATTAAACTGTTGAAAACAGAACACGCCAGATTGTTACTTCAGCCTTCATTCATTTCAGAAAAATTCTTTCTCTTCGTACTACGTAGCACCCGGTTAAAAATAGCACAATCTTTTCTTTGAAGATTTGTAATCAACCTGGAGGTTGGACTTGCGCACTTCGCTCGGCCCTCGGACACGTTCTCTTTTTGTGCCCTGACCGAGGGAGGGATGTCGCTTTAGCCACGGCGCCTTTGTTATTTTTCACTATTTTAACCTTCACAGGGGGCATCGGTTTATCAGAACATTCAAAACACTAGAGGTTGACAGAGTTAAACAGTTCTCTACGTAGAATACGAATTGCGATTTTCAAAGTTTATCATTCCATAAAATAGTTCACTTGTATTTTCATTTATTTGTACTTCTTGCTCGAACAGTTGCAGAGTCCACTGGTGGTTTGTTAGTGAAAAACATGTCAAAAAATACAAAGAAATGATCCGAAAGAAGAACATCGACCCACGCTTATATTTGGAAATATCACCCCTTTGTAATAAATACAGGTCTAGAAGTGTGCCCCTCCTGTGTGGGTGGGGCCACTCACATGCTTGAGTGAGAACCAAAGGTAATCAAGTAAAGACTCAGCTCTTTTGCATTTCTGTCATCAACTTTATCACGTGCAATATTAAAAGGCACTGTTAATAACTAAACTATCAAAATCTGTGATACAACTGAAAGCAACTCGTTTAAAATTATCATAAGACTGTGAAATGACTGCGGTGGCTTGTATAGGACTATGAAGAGTATTGAGGAGGAGTTGTTTTGTTGTATTTTAAAAGTCTCTCTACGTACACCATATTCAAAAGGACAATAGAGACATTTCTATGGGAGACAAAGTGGTCTCTAAAATGTGGCAGCTAAGCTCTCTCCTTTTTTGTGTTTACCGTTATTTCAGATTAAAATTTGAAAATTTGGTGGATTGATGCTTCTATTAAAACTGCATTTTCTGTAGTTTGGTCACGCCATGTTTCAGCCATGAACATAAGATCAGATTATAAGAACAATAAAATTTATTGATAAAAAAAAGACTTTGATAGAAAGAGATTGCATTTAGCATGCAAGTTTTCAAAGTTTTTTTGCAAGTATTTCAACAAAAAAAAAACAAAAAAAAGGGCCCGGGGGTTTTTGGTTTGGGTCGTCTGATTCTTACACGGAACAAGATTAGATTTTCCAGAATTAGAATGATTAACTCCAGATGTTCTTTCTGTAATGTATTCTTTTGTGTTATCATAAGGTGAATGGCACAGGTGGCTTCATGACGGGCCCCTGCCGGGTCTCTCCTCTAAATAGCTGCCAGTGGCATCGCGAAGCAGAGACCCTGTGCATCCTAGGGAGAGGTGGGAGGAGGATGGAGGCGTGGGTGGTTCTTGGTGTTGTTGGACGTAGGGGGGTCCTATAACATAAATAAAAAAAGTAAAAAAGATTTGCGCTGAGTTGAAAAAATGCTTACTATATACAGGTTTTTGTTTCATCTTTAAAGGTGCCATATTGTGTTTTCTTCACAGTCCATCCTATGCACATGTTCCTTTGTGATATTAAATTGGGTGATACACCGTTACGACACTCAAAACTTGTCAATTATACCCATTACGTTGGCATATGAGATGATAAACGCCTCAAGTGAAACACTTGGATCAGTGCTCTGTGCGCTGTGAGCCCCCACAACCCTACCCCCACCCCCACGCCCGCACGGGTGATGTTGCATCATGCATACTGTTCAAGGTTAAACAAAAGATAAATGTACAGCTTTTGCTGTTTAGTCATTTCACAAAGCTAGTAATACCCTATCCAGTTAATATAATAGATCCATGCCCGGGAGCCAGAACAGGTGTTCTGTCGAGTTGGTCCGCCCGTCCAGATGAGCTCCCACAGCTCTATGATGTAATGCAAACCTGCACATGCGCTTCTCATGGCAGCCGAAGCAATCCAAGATGGCGGACATGAAGTCTGTGAGTTGTGTAAAAAGTTTAAATATGAACGAATAAAGACACAAATGTCACTTTTAATGCAATTTGAGGCGAGATGTTGATGGTTCCAATTTTGTTATATGTGTGTTTTCAGAATCAAAGTTTCGTGTAAAGTTTTGTTTAAGCATAACTGCTCCTGTGAAACCACACTGCTACTGCGTGAGAGCAGCACCTTTCCTGTCGAGTTGAGCTGCCGCATACGTCAGTAAAATGAGGTAGGCTGATGGCGCAGGTTTGCATTACATCATAAACAGCTGAGGGAGCTCATCTCGACGGGCAGACCAACTCGACAGAACACCGGCCAGCAAATTAATTATCTTGGCCCCCGGGATGATATTGAATTAGTATTAGAACCGGCCCGCACAGAGCCATGACAATATTGGATTAAGTCACATACTACTGATACTAGGAAATTTCTTTGGCTCTCGGTGCAAAGAAGATAAGCAGAATAAAATCAAAGGCATAAATATAAATAAATCTACATAAAGACTACACAATGCGCTGTAGTCTCTGTTTGTCCCTGACTGTGGCTCCAACGAACCACACGGTGATGGAGGAGGTGAGGATGGACTCGATGATGGCCGTGTAGAACTGCACCAACATCTGTGCAGGCAGCTTGGCTTTCCTGAGCTGCCGCAGGAAGTACATCCTCTGCTGGACCTTCTTGATGAAGGCTCCCACTTGAGGTCCTGGGTGATGGTGGTGCCCAGGAAACGGAAGGACTCCACAGAGGTGATGGGGGTGTCCATCAGGGAGGGTGGGGGCGGGGGGGCTGTGCTCTTCCTGAAGTCCACAATCATCTCTACTGTCTCCTGGGCGTTCCAGGTTGTTACCACTGCACCAGGACACCAGCCGGTCCACCTTCCTCCTGTAGGCGGACTCATCGTTGTTGGAGATGAGTCTAATGAGGGTGGTGTTGTTCGCAAACTTGATCAGCTTAAGAGTCGTGGCTGGAGGTGCAGTGGTTGGTGTACAGGGAGAATTGCAGGGGAGAAAGAACACAGCCCTGTGGGGCTCTTGTATTTATAGTCCTAGAGTCCGAGACAAAGCCCCCACTGAAAGATCAAGGCTATGCTCACACTCAGAGAGCAGCCGTCCTCCTGTGGACTCACCACCTGCAGAGGGTCAGTGAGGGGCTGGTGCTATGAGACTTGGGTGGCATCTCTGATTGCCACCCCCCTGACCCAGAAATGGATTAAAGGGTAGAAAATGGATGGATGGATGGATGGAGTCCGAGACATTCTTCCCCAGACGCACTCGCTACGTGTGTTTTTTTACTTTGAAGGAAGTTTGTTTTTGTCCGTGAGTGTGTTGAAAAATGTTTTTCATTACTGACAGAGCACCTTCAGGGACTCTGTAAATATGTTATTTGCAATCATTTAGATTTTTTTAAAAAAATATTAAACCACTTCGGCCCCGAGCTTGCAGCAAATTTGTTTTTTGGCCCTCTGATGTACAGTATTTGACGTTGACATCCATGCTGTAAAGTAATAAAAGTAAGATTAAGATTAAGAGATTATTTATTGTTTCACAGTTGGGACATTACAGCTAGGTGTCCCAGCTTGAATGTGTATGGCCATTTCCTGGTACATCGGTATGATTTTAGCATCTCCACTTATTGCTCATTGTTTTTGTCTCTCAAACAGGTTTCATGACTCCTGAAGAGAGAAAGGTGTTTGAGAATATCCACTCACCTCATCTGAAGTACTGGATACCGTTTGTGTGGTTTTCCAACTTGGCAACGCAAGCTCGAAAAGAGGGCCGAATCCAAGACAGCATTGACCTGCAAAACATTCTCAATGTGACACAAAATTATGTTTAATCTTCTGTTTCATTTGTCAGAGGCATTGGATTCCAAACATGTTGTGTTGGGAAGAGGACTAAAATAGTATCATTGTTGAAACACCAAATTAACAACATAAAGACATTTGCATTATGTATTTTCACCGTTACAAGAGATAATAATACTATTTACTTTTGTAATTTCAGTAGAATTAGATTTGTTTTTCCCCAGATTTAAAAACAAAGTACCCGCTACAAACTCAGTGATGCAATTGTAAAGAATAGTATTTCTCCTGAGATATGACTTGAACTAATTTAAGAGCAATACTTTTGTTTTAAAAGCAGACAACTTCCCTGAGTGTGATGTCATAGTGGTACAATGACATCATACTATTACACAATTGAAACAGGAACTTTAAGACAGAAAAGGCAGCGCTACATGTTTGTGCCAGAAGTTTGATAGATCTAAAAACAGCTCCATGTAGGTTTTGATGAAAAAATAACATTTGAGCATTATTATCAAAAAAGTATAAGAGCATATAACATATTTTTATAATTTAGAATTGTAGAGTGATATGTAATCCATAAAGCCACAGCTTGTGAAAAAGATGAATTACACTGACTTTGCAGGAATTAGAGCAGAGATCTGGAACTGATATCAAGCTGAAAGATTTTAATTTTGTCCTGTAATCAAGAAATATATTTGTATTCTTGTATTTTTCCATTGTTCAATTTTAGATGGCTTCTACGTAACAGTCCTAGAGTATTGTCCAGATATACCATTTTCAACAAATCTATAATGATCTGATAATATTAAAGTCTAACCTGGCATCTGCATTTTAAGCCTGCATGTTGGTTATTATTTTCATTTATTGTGTTTATCACAGGAGATGAATACTTTCAGAACATGGTGTGCAACTCTTTTTGGCTTTGACTGGGTTGGAATCCCCCTGGTCTACACACAGGTCTGTTCATTTGTATCATTAATGTAACTATAATTCAGATAATTCCATCAGTAATCAGCAATTGAATGAGCACTCATCCATCTCCCACACCCACACACTTATGCACACACACATGAGCACGCATGCACATACACCTCTACACACACAGACAGTAGCAATGAAAGGTAGCTTTATGTCTCTCTTTAGGTCGTCACGTTGGCTGTTTACACTTTCTTCTTTGCGTGTCTCATCGGACGGCAGTTTCTTGACCCAGCGCAGCGTTACCAGGGCCATGACCTGGACCTTTATGTCCCTGTGTTCACTCTCCTACAGTTCCTCTTCTTCTCTGGGTGGTTAAAGGTATATGGGCCCTATATCATCCCTACTTAGATAAGGTAAGAGAACCTGGCTGGGGTTGAAGAGGAAGAAAATAGATAGAACATTTTTATAGAAAAAATGATTGGTTAAAAGATAAAAATATATTCAAATTAACCAATTTGAACAAATGATGTATGGTATTTATGTATATGATCTATTAGTTAAATGGAAAAAAGGCTATGTAGCACCCAAGTGTCTTTTATTTACAGACCACAAGTGGTCACAACGCTAATTATGCAAATTGGTAATTCTGACCAAAATATTGGTAATACAACCAATATCGGTTTAACCAGTCAGATGTGTTTTTGTTATCACTAGTACTTGTAATACTAGTACCGTTACATGCCAAAACAGCTGATCTCTATGCAGGTGGCAGAGCAGTTGATCAATCCATTTGGAGAGGATGATGAAGACTTTGAGGCTAACTGGATTATTGACAGAAACCTGCAGGTTTGTTTGATAATGAGATCCAGTGCCTTGCTACATTTATACCCCATGAAATGTTTATGTGAAAACCACGGACAATTGTAAATATATACATAGTTTACTGAAAAACATGGCCTGCAAAAGTATACAGCACCCCCCAGGGTTGGGAAACACAAGTGTCTGAATAAAGGAAAACACAATGTTTAAAATATGGAAAAGTTTATGAGGTTTTAATTAGAAAAGATAAAGATGGGGCATTTGCTATCATCTATCTTATAGAAATATAGTTTATGGTTGTTTGTTCTATAGATCTTATATAAAATAAAGAAGTCACATAATGTCAGCAACAGAAGACATTGTGACATCACTTGTTACTTGGTCTTCGTAGGTGTCCCTCTTAGCTGTGGATGAGATGCATATGGACCTCCCTCATTTAACAAAAGATATTTACTGGAACGATAGTGAGGCCCGGCCTCCGTACACATTGGCTGCTGCAGACTCCTGCATCGCTTCCTTCCTTGGGTCAACCACGGACATGGGGTGAGACACAATTATCAGTTTTGCATACATTACCCCATTTTTATTGTTAATATAGAGACAACAACTCGAGATACATACATTTGTTTCTGTTCTAGTTTGTCTGACATTCTGCAGTGTGATGAAGCCAGTCTAAATAACACAAAGCATCTTCAACAGCAACGGTCATGTACTTCTCAACAACCAGAGTTGGTAATACACCTTTAGAGATTTGTGAGTATGGCAAGAATCAACTGAAAGCCTTATAGAGTGTATTTTATTATTGTTAGGTTCTGGGCAGAGTTCGTCGGCTGCTGAGTGTTCAAGAGCCTCCAGATCTGCAACTTCCTCGACCCGTGTTCAAAAGACACAGCAGTGATGCCACAGGAAGCTTCTTCCCGAGTCTGGGGTATTGATTCCTTATTATATAGTTATGCTTTTAACTTCATTACATCTGATTTTCATCCTTTGAAGGCTCACCCCACACTCAGAGACCATAGTGACACCTACCTCTCTTGTCATGGTGCACCCTGTCATGGACACACTGTCCACTGTGAAAGAGGTCAATACGACACCGCCCTCCCCCGAAAGCACTCACGCTCAGGCTTTTCCTCAACTTGTGGTCAGCCCTCCGCTCTTTTGTGAAGCTGCTCTAAATGTGAGCCCGTCTCTCATTGGTGCAGCCAGAACATCCTGTAATGGCTTTGACGTGTCCCCGACTGAAGACGTTTCAGGGTTGGAAATATTACCAAGGTCCTTTTTTATCTAAATATTACTTTATAGTTTGTCATGAAGTTTACTTTATAAGACTATTATGTGCCCTCACAGAAAAGGTTCCTCTGTCTCTTACTCACCAACTCAACATGGTCCTAAAGAGTTTCGCTGGACCAGAATGTGCTCTCTCAGTCACACACATGCCAGGCCACGGCGGCGTCAGTTCTCTCTTCAGTTCACTCGCCATGCGTCACAAGGGTCAATACGCAGTCTGCCCAGCCCCAAAGGTCTGGGAAAACAAAGAGGAGGACCGCCTCGCTTACAATTAGGCAGCTCTGCTTGTCCTCCTGGCAACACTCTGCAAATCCCTAACTTATCATATGACCGGGATCAACAGGGGACAGAGCTCACTGACAACGGGGAACAACAAGAAAACAATTATTCACCTAAGGCACAGACTGTAAGCCCTACTCCAAACTGAATGTAAGTCATGCTATGTATGTAAACCTTGGACTCAATTACACAATTCACGCAAAAGATTTAAGTCCTTTTATTATTTATCTACGATGCATTCATTATTATTATTTCAAACAGAGTATTCAGTTGGGCGTTTTAAAGATGCAAAACCAACTCTATCATGTTCTCTGTCAAATACACTATAGTACTCAGTCAGAAAAACATCTCCCAAGATCCACAGCGGTCCTTGGGAAGATATGATGTTGACTGGTTGAAAGCCACTGAAGCATACAGACTGTCCTCTCTGCGTCTCCTACAGGCCACAAGAGAATTATTGTGTTAGTTGACAAAATACATATATGTGTAAAATGTAAGTGAAACTATATGTGAACTAAATATGGGAAAAATGTTATGTACCTTCCGGACATATTGCTGAGGAGTCAATGTGTATTCTTTTCCTCCCAGCACAAAGGTGACTTGAGGCAAACTGGACAGTCTTGCACAATCCAAGACAAACTAATATTACGAAAGTACAATGTTAGTAGCACATTTACAAAAAAAGAAAGATTTTATATATTTTACAATCTGAAGATGATTTACTTCTCCAGTGCTGCTTGGTGTAGCTCCAATGAACTGTTGTATAGTGAGGATCTCAGTGAGCGGTCCACCAAGTAGAGATGTCCCTGTGTCAACTATACCTTGACATCCTTTCAGGCAGAAAGAGGTTGCGCCCTGCACTGCAACACTTGATAAAAAGAGGAGGCTATTTGAGCTATTTTATAGTCAATAAAATGTTCTTTAAACATTGGCTTTAAACCTGTCAATTTGGATCTGCCAGTAGCCCTGATCTGTCACAGGGATCCAATGGATCTCTCCAGAATAGAACTCTTTGTCTGTTCCTCCAATAAGAAGCTCGCCCTCGGAGCTGCTGCCATCTGCCTTGCTTCTGTTATAAGACACATGTTACACCTTTCAGACGTCAAAAACTCCTAAACAAATAGAAAAATAAAAACTACAAAGAATTGTTATGTTTTACCTGGTGAGGTAGAAAGAAAATACTGCCTGGTCAACTTTTTTTTGAGCTATAATGTTGTCAAAAACTGTTTTCCCGCTGACCTCTGCCAAAGCAGGGTAGCCCAATCCCAAGACCCCATCAAACTTTGCAAAAGCAAATGTAGAGCCAGGTTCATACACCGATTCTCCAAACTCTTGATTTTCTATGGTCATATTTCCAATCTGCAAACACATTTAATGTCACTTAGAATTTTTTAGTATCACCCTTCAATAGCTTGAGAGCAGTCAGTGCAAAAATATACTACAATAAATAAACATACAGACCGTGAGAGTCTCTTTCGCCGTGACACCAAGAAGTTGCCCTGAACCATAGTGAATCCCAAATGACCTGCCGTCATGCTGAAAAGAACTAGACTCAAATGCCTTGAAATGTCTGTGTGTGACTGCAAACACATGCATTCTCCTTCAATTTAAGAACACTCATTGAAATTTAAGGCTACATGAAAAAAATCATTACCACAGGCTTGGCTGACACAGTAAGAAGAAGGCACCCACAGGTCTGCAGAGCCGGTGTCAAAAATGACAGAAAAGTTTTGTGCCGGAGTCCCCAAACTTATCTCTCCATAGAACTGAGTCTGTGGGGAGATATACAGATGTGCCCATTAGGCCTAAGTAAATACATACTTCAGTAATCTACATTATAAACACAAGCATCCTGTTAAAACTAGTTTCTTACATCCATAAAATTGTGAATTCTTTCTTGGGAGCGGTCCAGTTGCATTGAGGGTGTGCCAGGAGGGAAGCACTGAACATAGCGCCGGCTGAAGGCATCAGGATGGTGATCCTTCAGAAAGTCCTCCAACAGACCACTAGCTCGAAGATTTGTACGAATTGAGAGCATCTGCTTCAAGGGAATTCTGTGCCATAAAGTGGAATATCAGATATGAACAAAGATGAGATAAAGCCAAATAATGCAAAACAAGCCCTGTACCTGATCATTGCAGAACTTGTCCATGTCCCGATCAGCAGCAGCAGCAAGAGTCGAGGCATCTTCACCTATCGCTCACAGAAGCTAGACTGACTTTATTTTTTCAGGACCATTCTAGCACTCATTGGACTTTAGGGTGACGCAATCCTTTGCATTTGGCTCATTTTTTATCACTTGTAATATTATTTAAAAGCCCAAACATTTTTTCTTTTTAATTTTAATAAATAATGCCATTATAACTCAAGTTAGCTTTTATATTGCCTAAAAGAACCTTTTATTACTGACAATTTAAACCCAAAAGCTTTGTGTAGACATTGTAATGTCTAGGTGACTCTGACCCGACTCCTCTTTGTATTTGCACTTGAAGTACATAGTAACAGAACTGTTACTCTAACATCTAATCTAATAATAATGTATTGGTTTTATACAGCACTTTCAGGACACTCTTCTCATTTCATTATTCTTTCACTCCATACATGAATAACTGCTACTGCAGACACAGCTGCCCTGGGGCACACCGACACACTGAATTTAATTTTATTTCCTGTACCATGTTATTGCAACTGATTTATGTGTTGAAGCGGACTGTATATGTTTGACAGATATGGGTAAGGCACGACTGCTACTGGCAGTCTTAACATGCATTGAGCTGCAGTGGGGGTTGTGGGAGTATGTTTTTTGACTTGTGAATGTTATTGGGGCCACTACATACAAGCCAGGTTGTGCTTCATGGGAGTCCCTTCACAAATCTACATGTTATAAGTGCAAAAGATGTGGATTTAACTCATGTTTGTGAACAAATAAATAAATAATCTAAATCAGATCAAGATGACCTTTGTATACAACTTTGTTAAAATTCCAATAAATTTAATACAAAATAATCACAGCTTTAAACAAAAAATTAGCTCATCAAGAGTTTATTAAGTTCCAGTAAACAAAAAGCATACGCTGACATTTGAACCAAGTGGACCTTACATGAAGTTGTTAAGTGTTCAACCATTATTAACTTATCAGCAGTTTCAAGTCGACTTGATTTAAATATACTACAGACCAGGAGCAGACATGTGTTGTCTGGTACAATTTGGAAGCCTGACAATAGTCGATGTTTAACAAATAAAAATAACAGTGAACCTTTTGTATCACAGAGAGAATGATAAATATAACTGCTTCTCTTCACTCTCCTCTAGCAGGGATGATGATCTGGGACCCTTTTCCTATCAGAGAAAACCAAAAAAACACAGTCAGATAATGATTCAATGATATTTTACGGTCTGAAAACACAGGGCCGTGTATGCTGACCTGGGCGCCGCTTTGATAATGTTATCGACTCTGAGGATCATCTCTGCAGCTTCAGCGGCACTCAGCAGCACCTGCCGTTTCACCTGGAAGGACTCTGTGATGCCCAGCTCTGACATGTCCCCCACAGTCCCCTCAGTCATGTCTGCAATACACGTTCATTAGTAACATTTACTAATATTCAACACAGAAATTACAATTGAACGACATGAAGTTTTTACTCACTCAATCCAAATGTGATCTTGTTTTCCTGATGTGCGGCTCTCAGCTGAGCGATGAGGTCTGCGCTGTCATAACCGGCGTTGTCTGCAATTATTGTTGGTAGCTGGGGAACAGCAAGAGGACCATCATCAGGACAAGAATTTAGCGAACAATTTTATTCAAGACGAATACCCACAATCCTCAGAGCCTTTGCAAAAGATTCCATGGCAACAGCTTCCTTCCCTGCTGTCCTGTTGGCCAAATCAGTCACAACCTTGGCCATCAGCATTTCACTGCAACCTAATAAAAAGACAGAAGTCATTAGCATGTTAATAATCTAAAAAGGTTATACACACATGAACGCACCTCCTCCATAAACTGTGCGGGGCTCTTTCACAGTTTGTGCCAACACACACAAGGCATCATGCAGCGAGCGCTCTGCTTCGTCAAGGATCTGCTGCGTAGCTCCACGCAAGACAACAGTGCAAGCTTCACCTGTAGAAACACCATGTATGGTGAGACAGATGAAGACTTTTGGTTTGCATTTGTAAAGTGGAAGGTACATACCCATTTCCACTCCAGAGAAGTGGATCAGTGTATCCTCTCCAATCATCACCTGCTCAATCAGTTTGCAATGACCCAGTTTGACCATCTCGGGGTGATCAAAAGTAGAGGTGATCTCGCCCCCTATTTAAATTGACAATTTGTAAAAAAGCTTATACATTTACTTTTCATATGTACAGACTTGTTATAGTACATACCAGTGACTAATGCCAGGCGCTCCACACCAGTAAAGTCTGCGTGTTCAATTGCCATGACACCAGCCTGAGCAAAAAGCTGCTCTGGGTAGTTATAGATCAACTGTCTGTAAGAAAAGATTTGAAGTGAAGACAGAATGAATCAGAAAAGTAGTTCAGGGCATATCTCCTGCTTGTTTACCGATTAATGAAGCAGTTGATTCCATGCTGGAGGATCTTGTCAACTTTATCCTTCATCTTTTCCTTCTCTGCCATTTCAATCTCAGCGACTTTTGCGGTGGAGTCAACACGAACCCTGGAACCAAAGATCTAAAATACAAACAGGATACATACAAACTTGATGAAAAAACAGGCAAAACCAAGTAGTAAATGGATAGTAAAGGACAGGGATGCTTGTGGTGAAAGGCTAAACTAACAAACCTTAATTTTGTCTGTGTCCATCCCAGTGTTTGCAATGAGAATTTTAACATTTTCCAACCTCTTAGGTTGGTTTACGCCAACTTTTTTATCCAACAAGAAACCTGAAAAAGGATCATCATTAGCAGGGCAGGAACAAAAAAATAGAAATCCAAATTTTATTAAATACCTTCATCCAAGTAAGAGTCAATGAGACTGCCGCCCAACTTCTTTATGATGTGAATGGCCCCCAGATTTCCAGAGCCTTTGAGCCGTTCAACAGCACTCACAGCCAGGTTTGCAAAGTGGTCCTTGTGATGAGTCAGAAGTTTAGATGACAGAGTGGTGCGTGCAATGTTGAGCAGATCCTCTTGGAAACGACTCTTGTCGTTGCTTAAAAAAGGGGGGAATTTTGTTATTAAATAATGGCAAGATAATACACCAGTATTAAGCTTTCTGATATTGCTGTACAAAGCCTCACCTGTGGTCTACAGCTGCATCTCTCAACGCTTCTCTCGCTACTTGAGTAGCTTTCCTCCAACCAGAAATAATCGTCTGTGGATGAATTTTCTTGGCAATGAGAAGCTCTGCTTCCTGTGGACATAGATAAATTAAGTTTGTCTAGTGTCAAGCCATGTTTCTGTTCAGAACTAGAAATCATCATCTTTATTGCCATATAAGTAACAGGAAGTCACAGACAGTCACAGACTAGATGATTCATCTTTAGGGGCTTATCCTCAAAAAAAAAAAAAAATAGGAAATTGCTTTGGCTCTTGGTGCAACAGTCAAAAAAGAGAGGTAGAGTGAAGTGAGTAAAAATCAGCATACACTTTAAAATATAACAAATAAAATTATTGCAATTTACTACATACTATATACAAGTGCACTTGATGCACACAATATGCAGCAAGCAGTGCAGTAAGGCGACAAGTTTCTTTTCATTCACTCCGCACTTGGCGATGATTAAAGTGAAGCAGCCAGTCTTTGCCACCCCCCCTTCACACATTCACAAAAACTGTTCTTTACCAATATTAGGAGCCAATTGTATTTATTAATCTGCAATATGGACGATTAAGCTCCGTTAACAAGCTAAAATATAGAAGGGCTGGGACTCAATCTCCATGACAATTGTAGGTCCATATTGAGATATACGTGAGGTCCAAGTATTTGCACACCTTGCAATTTTGCAAGTTCTCCTACTTAGAAATTAGCGAGAGGTCTGAAAGGTTCATCATAAATATATTTCCACAGTTAGAGACATGATGAGAAAATACATTTCTATGTTAATGTTTTAAATGTATGTTACTGGGGTTCATAAGTATTAGCACACATGAGAATCAGGCAGAATTATGACTCTAAAATAGATGACAGTCCACATTAAAAAATTCACCTTTACCCCACAACTAATCATGCACCACACCCCTTTGAGCTCATTAAAGTCACCTGTGCAGCCCAGTCAGTCAAGGTCCAACTGATCCAAAATTGTAGAGCTCCAAAAAAGCTGGAAAAGACTATGGAAAAATTGGAAGCAGCTTGGTGAGAATAAATTAGAGCCCCTTCCCAATTCCCACCTTAGCCCTTAAAATGTACCCTTGTACTAGATTTTGCACGTGCCAGCGGGGGTTGTAGGGTGTCCCAATACTTAGGGAACCGTGGGTTGAGTCCTAACTCTAAAAAATCACATGCACGTCTTTGTCTTCATGGTCTCTGTGCGCTGGTTTGGCTAGACGCAAGACTTTATGAAAGAAAAAAACGATGTCCAGCATCACTTAAACCTGCCAGTCCTCCTAATGTTTAGATACAAGTGCTGTGTTTGTGTGGATGCAATCTAGAGCCAAGGACCGCTAGAAAAATCATGTTTCCCATATGTTTTGACTGGGAGACTCCTTACTGCGAGCGCAAATTAGAAATCCATCCTAATTTAGGCGCAGCCTTGCGTCATACGTCCGTCATACACGTGTATAACTAGCAGTTTAATTATCACCATAGGTTAACATGGAAAAATGTTACGCGGGTCTTCTGCGCGTACAATGCATACGCACTGTAATGCCTCCTGGGTAAATTAGCAGTAACAGTGGAAATACATCTAGACCTAGGACATTCCAAACCTCTCCCTAATTTCTAAGCTGGAGAACTTGCAAATACTGCAGGATGTGCAAATACTTGTGGATCTCACTGCAAAGTTTAAAATGAAAATAATGATCCAAGACAAAGAGCACACAGATTATCAGTACACTTACTCGTAACAGCTCAGCCGCCAACACTGTTACAGAGGTGGTCCCGTCTCCGACTTCATCATCCTGAACCTTGGACATGTCTGAAACCGACAACATCTTTGATAAAAGTAACAACGGTACATTACATCTGTCTAATAAGGATGCAGTGTAACTCACCAACTAATACTTTTGCTGCAGGATTGTCAACTCCGATGGCTTTCAAAATTGTTGCTCCGTCATTTGTTACGGTTACTGTACCTCCTTTGCCGCCACCAAGCAAGATCTTATCCTATCAAAAAAAAAAATAATTACAAGGAATAGAATTACTTCATAGTTTTGAGGACATATGTTGAATGATATGGCTGTTTTGTACTAACCATGCCTTTGGGACCAAGAGTACTCTTCACCAAATCCCCAATAGCAATAGCGCCAATAAAGGATGACTGTCACATTCAAAATGAAAGGTTAATCGTTTTGGTAAGATCCATTTTAAAGGCTGTAATCAATGATTATTTTGATAATTCAGAAGTTGGTCAATAATTCTTTCGAGCCACCAATTAGTTTAGATTTCAAAAATGTCAATGAAAATGGGATTCTATATTTGACAAAAGAAAATCTAAAGTGATGCTCCTCGTATCTTCATAGAGAGGACTTCTTACATGTTTGGTAGATTTATCAGAACACTTAGTAAACATGCACAATTATCAGAATAATTATGCCTCTTCTCAGCATGTTTATGTAAGGATAAACAATTGATTAATCAGTTCAATTATCAATTAACTTGTTAGAGCCATAAACTATACCACTACTATAGTCTCACCAGTCGTGCAGTCTCAGCTTTTTCTTCATCTGCACCATGTTTAAAGATGTTAACCGGGGCCATTGACATGGATGCCTACAGAAACAAGTTATTACATAAAATAACATAATACATGATGAAATACATTTATTTTGTCAGTGATATGCATTGTCATTTACTTTTCAGTAACAAAAGCAATTGAGGTTTGTGTGGATTAGGAAGTTTACGTCAACACGTAAAGGGCCCCTAGTCCTAGCCCCGCCCATGAAAGCATGGAAACCACTAGAACATTTAAAATTAGACCTCAAACTTCATCTGAACATTATGTAGCGATAATCTAGTGCATTTTGGATCTTGCATAATTCATGGGGGACACGCAGAATAGGTTTAACTATTCAATAAAATTGTAACACTCTGTGACAGACAAAGCCATACTGACAGGCTAACCTAGCATGCTAGCATCTTTATGGCATCTCTTATAATAATTGTCTGAATTATTATCCCAAGAAACCTCAATGAGCCAGTACAAAGTTTAAAAATACATAGAAAGATCGCGCAGCATTAGCCCTTTCATTGACCACAATAGTCTGTTAACACGAGCATGTTTCTGATTTCATTCACTACGCCCATGTGCTTCACCCGGTTAGCATAGTTAGCATCCAGGTATCAAATTGTTCAAATACAAACAATCAAAAGACTGCAAACAATGGGACACCACAGAGTCACATTTACTTAACAAGTTATTACATGAGCGGAATCACTCTATTTCTGTAGTCGCAAAAATAGGGAAATATTACCATGATGTCAGCGATTCAAGGCAAAAGCCGTGCACGCAGAGAGAAAAGGGACTGGGGAGGAAACTAGCGTCGTAAAGACGAGCTCACGACAGGTTGCATTCACGGACCGCACAGTGATGGGAATTAATATAACTGCCAAAAAAGTTTGTGATAACTGACCACTGTCGTTTCGATATCCGATTACAGATTTCAATCAAATAATGTCAATGCAATAGTCAAATGTGTTATTATTGATTAATAGCTTAATATTTACAGTCTATGTTAATAGCCAATCAGAATGGGTGTTTTCTCCAACTTGTATTAAATACTTAGTTATTATTTAAACAATGCTTGTTATTTTACTATAAATTAAGATTACTCCTAAACTACTTCATTTTTACAGTAAGTTGTAATACCATATGGGACATTGTGTTGCTTTAGATATTTGCTTTTAAAGGACAACTAAACACCAAATATTTTTTTACTCATAAAAAAGCGAGAGACAGGACATCACTTCTTCATAAACACCTCAGAGACAAAGAGAGAAGAGACATGTAATATATCATAACTGAGCTGGTTGAACAACTCCTTTGATCACTTATAGATCCATATTTGATCATCACTAAACTGTTTTGTTGTTGTTGTTGCTTTTTTAAAGGTAGTGCAGACAAAAACAAGAACAAAACAGCAAAGTAATACAAATCTAAATCAGAAACCAGTGCTACCTCATGAACATGTGAGTATTTTTTATGTCGGAAACAAAGGAGAAGGAAGTTGTTTGGCAACGTAGAAAGGACTAAAGGAGCCACTCACACACAAAAATTATATGGTATTCTTTGGCTAATGAAAAAGAAAAATAAGATTACATATTTTGAAGTAATTGATTGACTTTGGTTTGATTCAGAGAATGTTGATTCCGTCTACAAATAAAGTAACCTCAAAGTAAAGCTAGTTTCATAAGTAACTAAAAGATGCAGCCAGTGGAGCGTGAGGGATTCAGTTGTGTTGGTCGTCTTTCAACTGTAACTGAACATGTCAAGGACACACATTTACGTTTTCAATGTATAATTGTATACTGCTTTTAGATATTATTTTCTCATGTTTGCATGTATCATATTTTATAATAGACAAATCCCAATTTCTTATTTTCACTGATTTTATTAGCTTGTATTTTAATAATATATATATATAGTGGCAGAAAAAACAAAAAGATATCCATGTATAAATCAAAGTTTGACCTTCTTTAGTAGAGGAAGGCTACATCTTATTAAGAGCCTAGCCTAAGAATAATAAGGCATAGCAAGTTTATTTGAACTATAATTTATCAAAAACATTTATTCTCTTGTTCAAGCGCATTCGATTACACACATTCATTTTTAGACCTAAAACTAGACAAAACATTTTGTATTTTAAATGGAATTTTTTTTGTCAAAATGAATAAGGAAGCGAAGACTCATAAGAAAACATTTAGAACCGCTGGCACAATCACACTCTACAACTTCCACCAAATCCCAATCAAACGAACATTGTACTCTTTGTAGACACACAACAGATATGCAATGTTCCTCACTTCTTCTTTGTGTTGCGCTTTCGTTTTTTCTGACTCGATGTTTGAACTGGAAGACAGTAGATGTGCATTGGGAACTTCCGGAAGTAGCTGCTGACCCAAGGCCTGCCCATGCAACAGAAACAATTTAGATTTGTGACACAATCAAAACAGAGATCTTTGACAGTACTTTGCCACTCTTTGGTTGAGGCTGAGGTAGCTGAGGCCTTGCCACAGCAGCTGATTCTCCTGTTGACGAAGAAACTCAACCTCCTGCTCTCGCTCTATGTCCAAACGTAGAGATTCACGGAGCTCAGACTCAATGGCACCTAACTAGAAAAACAAAACTCTTCAGATTGAAAGAAAAATAAACCATGTCATAATGACTCCATCTGACAACAGTGTTTGACAGAATACTTTAAAAACATAATCAGTCACAGAATACTGAACACCTGCTTTAATGAATGTGAAATGTCTTCCATTATGTGGTCCAGTCAGAGTGCTGTATTCTGAATACTTGGAATACTACCCATTATAGTCTTCTGCCTTCTGCCTGAAGACAGACAGTCTCAGCTTCATTCAAGGGATAAGGGAGTGCTATCTCAAATCTACATTTGAATTGTAGAAATTCATGATTTTCAATAATATCATTATATGATATCTAATGAGGTGGGAGCTCAAGGCGCTATTGGAGCCTGTTGTGTTCTGGTCTGACTCCACTGTTGAGATAATTGCTTTTTGTCTCTGGGACTGGTCTGGGTGTCATGGTGTGGACTTAATTTGTGTTAATTTATCTGGTTTTAGTGTGATATATTTTTGCTTTTATTCTAATGCTAATTTACTCTTGTTTTGAGTTTTAATTCCTTGTATGTCTTGTTGATTTGCCCTCTTGTTGTCAGCCCATTGTTGTTTTTCACCCATGTCTAAAATTTTAGACTTAATCTAAATTAAAATTAAATTTAAATTTTTTAAACTTAATCTTAGTGTCTTGTTCCCGGTTTCAAATATGACTTTTTGTGGCATTTATTATATCATATTATTTTTGCAGATCTGCTTTTGGGTTCTTCCTTGTTTATCCGTGACATAAAAAGCGACCTTTGTTGGTTCATCCAGCCAATAATGCATGATCAAATGCCAAAATGTATTTCTTCAATACTAACTGTTAATAGTTACTCCGAAATACTCTGGATATGGTACATGCGTTCTATCGCTCATCAACGATTACTATATCGACTTCAATTTTTTTCTTCATAAAACAATTATGTCTTAGCTGTAGATGGCTCGATAAGATGTAACTCAGTTCTGCTGTTTATTTTCTTCTATTTTATTTTCTTGTTAAAGAATTTGATCAAAACAAAAAATGCTTCACTGACCTAATCCTACTTGTATAAAATAGTTTCACTTATATCATTTATCGTAATCATTTTTCTGAAGTAATATTAGGGCTGAAACAACTAATCGATTAATCGACGACTAATCGATTATTGAAATAGTCGACAACTATTTTGGTAATCGATTAATCGTTTTCTGGTTCAAACGGACTCAAACAGAGCAAAAATGACATGAAAATGTAGTATTTTTGATTAAAACCAACTTTGTTTTTATAATTTCATGAATATCTGTCTGTCTCATCCAATCAGATAGCAGAATTAGCACAAAGAGCCTGTTACAAACATTTACTTTAAGTTTACGCCATCAATACGTCCTCGAGTGTTGCCACTTTAGCTTTTTGTGATGAAAAAATATTTTTTTTCTACACAATTCACAGCCAAGCGATTACTCGATTAATCGTAAAAATAATCGATAGATTAATCGATTACAAAATAATCGTTAGTTGCAGCTCTAAGTAATATATTGTCCATTAGAATCAAAGAATTTGACACGGTGAGTCAAGTACTATGACATTTTTTTGCTGTACTCTATTCTTGCTGTTTATGCCATTTGCTTTAATAAATCCAACTAATGGTTAAATTATTCACTGATTGTGATTACCTCCTGCAGCAGACTCATGTTCTCTTCCTCTTTCCTTTGCTGTTCATATAAGGCCAGCGCTGCAGGATCAGACAGACCTGCCTCTGGGCTGGCCTCATTCGCGCTTGTTTGGGCTGAACATGGTTCTTGCTTCTGCAGCTGCTCCTGCTGTAGCTTTATGGGGGACACAATGCATGCACTGGAGATAGACAGAAAGAGGCCATCTAATTCATTGTGTTGGCAAATGCATCCACACAGAGACACAATTACAATCCGAGTTCAGGTTCGCTTTCAGTGGAGTCTGGTCACATCCCTGATGCAGACACTGATACTTACGAGACACACAGGAAGAAAGTCTTGACCCAGTTTCTCACAAATTCGTTCACTTATAGATCAGCTGCATTGTTTATTGAATGGATATGTTCTTATGTTGTTGTAACAACTTTCTATGACACAGACACTGCACTTTATTCAGCAGATAGAGTCAATTCAATTCAATTTATTTTTGTATGGCCCTAAATCAACACCAGTCATCTTTGAGTACTTTGCACAGCTCAGAGAATCAAACAGTTTGAACATAACAATAACAAACACATAGGAGCATTAGGCCAGAGGGTAGCAGGATGACCAATGTCTGGAAAAGGTAAAAAATGTCCCTGTAAGTAAGTCAAATATAATTGAAATAAAGATTCATAGCAAAGCCTGTGTACAAATGTCAGTTTTTATGCAGTGAGTTGCAGTTCCTCACTTGTTGGGCTTAAAAAGCTCATCTAAAGCTGCAGTTACCTGTGCTCTCTGCTGTCTGTCTCCTCCTGAATGTGAGAGAGGTGGCGAGGGCCCAGGCTCCCCGGTAGAACCTGCACACAGATACAGTATCACTTAATTACATGAGAGCAGACAGATGGACCATGCTTCCCCTGAGGATAGTTTCCGTGGTGAAGGGACATCTGTCTTACTGCCAGTTTGACAGATGTCGTTCTCACACTGAGGAAAAGAAAGAAAAGTATCATTACATTTTTTTGGATACATGTGTGGATTGACTGTAAAAGAGAATAAATTGAAGATGTTCAGTGAAAAAAAATTTCCATAGGCAGATCACTATATAATAAATTGCACTTGTCAGTAAAATAAAAAGTTGGTAAGATAAATAAGTACTCAGTAAATATGTACTCACAATGTTCATCTTTGTTTTATCTGCTGCCGTCTGCTCTTGTGCAGATCTCTCCGTCTTCTGCTTCTGTGGTTGTTCCACACCTAATTAGTTTACAGTTGCACCTCCTCCACTTGAATTAGGTGTCGGTTTAAGCTCGCTGGACATCAGGCCTCAGAAAATAGGACTTGCTTAAGTAGGATATTTTTGAGCTGTAAGAGAAAGCTTACAGCTGTTCTGATCCTTAAAAAAGTGACATGTGAGTCCAGTTGTACAAAAGTTTTGCAAACAAGACACATTTTATTTGACTTAGATATTTTCAATAGTATTTGATACACCACTAAGATGACAAAATGAGAAATTTCAAATTTTTACAATTTTTCAACAAGTAACTTAAACTGAGGGTCACAATAAATGTTGCTGTCAAATATGATTGATCCTAGGTAATAAACTGTACAGGTGATAAGATTTACATTTGAATATTCAGTGAAAACATTTGTTATGAAACATAAATATTGATTTGATTATAGAGTCAGAACATTTCAGTCAGTGCAGCGTCTGTAGAAGTGGAAGTGATAGTCAGTAAACAGAATTCCTGCATAGTGATGGTCAGTACTGCAGTCCGCCTGGCCCTGGACACAAGATTCACAACAACTCTTAGCCTTAAGTTACAATGTAAAGTGTATAACAATTGATTACATATTACGTAACAGTTGTGCTCATACGTTTACAAAGCCTTACAGAGTATAGGACATTTATCAGAGAATATGAAGGTTTTTGTTCTCACTCATAAGTTGGTGAGTGACTATTGTTAAGGAGGACTACTTTGTGGCCTCTACAATCTGTTGTGTCACCTTGTGCAATAAAAATTTACTTAATCTTTTTGAGTCATAATTTTTTCTTTTCTGGAAAACTGCATGAAAAGGTCTGTAAAGTTATGAGCAACAAAGTATGTTTTACTTCAGGGTAAAAGTCTTACAGCAACTGATGATCGAAAGTGATATGAGCTGTGATACAAACGAGCGACATGTAGAGGCCATTCATGTTTTCCCTGAAACACAAAAATACATGTGGTCACATGATCAATAGTAGCATGTCCAAAGTGAGGAGTTGGCATGAAACTCTACAACAATAACATAACATAATGATGTTTAATGCAAAAAGAAAAGACACATTGTGAGATTTCATAACACTTTAAAAGATGGCGCCTCGTACGGTCGACATGGCTCTTTGCTGCTCTCTTTTTCTTTTGTTTTTACTTTTTAACTGTGCATCTGGCTGTTCCTACACCCGTGAGGAACTTATGAACATCCGACCCACCGTTCCCATGGACCTATTGCCTGTTTTCTTGGCATCTGCGGCTGATTTAGTTCATGTTCTAGCCAAAAAAGTGTGGGCCCGTAAAAGGGGAAAGCGAGGAGGCCTGCTCGTGCGTCTTAGGAGGAGAGGAGCGCGCACGGCTCTCCCCGGCATTTTTCTCTCCAACGTACGCTCACTGGGCAATAAGATGGACGAACTCAGCCTGCTCATGAGAAGAAACAAGGACTTCGCCACATCCTGTGTCCTCTGCTTCACTGAGACCTGGCTAAATGAGCGGATCCCGGACTGCGCTCTGGAGCTGCAGGGCTTTGGGCTGTTTCGCGCGGATCGCCATTGTGCGCTCTCAGGGAAGAGCAGAGGCGGAGGGCTCTGTTTCTACGTCAATACAAACTGGTGTAACGATGTGACAGTGATCTCCAAGCACTGCTCTCCTGCTCTGGAATATCTTTTCATTCATTGTAAACCATATTACTCCCCGCGGGAAATTGTTTCATTCATTCTTGCCTCTGTTTACATACCGCCATGCGCGGACGCGCGCGAGGCTCAGCGCGCACTCGCAGAGCAAGTACTGTGTATGGAACGCTTATACCCGGACTCTCTGATTATTATCCTGGGGGATTTTAATAAGGGAAACTTGAGCCAGGAATTACCCAAATACAGACAGTTTATCAAATGCCCGACCAGAGAGGAGAACACTCTGGATCACTGTTACACCACCGTGCGCGGAGCTTTTCGCGCTGTTCCCAAGCCAGCCCTCGGCTTCTCAGATCACTCCATGATACATCTGGTTCCTGCTTACAGACAGAGACTAAAGCTCTCGAAACCTGCAGTGAGGAGCTCCAAAGTGTGGTCTGATGAAGCTGTGGAAGAGCTGCGCGCATGCATGGAATCTACAGACTGGGACCTTTTCAGAGCTGCCACAGACAGCTTGGATGAATATACGGACACTGTGACGTCATACATCCACTTCTGTGAGGATAGCATCATTCCAACAAGGACCAGGGTCATCTATAACAACGACAAACCCTGGTTCACTGCTAAACTCCGGCAGCTCAGGAAAGCAAAGGAGTCTGCTTTCAGGGAGGGGGACCGCAGCGGCTACAAAGCAGCTAAATATCAGTTCAGGAAAGAACTGAAAGCAGCCAAGTCCCGGCACAGAGAACGACTACAGGAGCAGTTTGGTAACAACGATACTGCTTCTGTCTGGAGGGGCCTACGGGAGATCACCAACTACAAACCCAAAGCCCCCCCCTGTGCTGATGACCACAAGCTAGCTGACGATCTGAACTTATTTTTCAGTCGCTTTGATGCTGCCCCTGACACCTCTCCCTCCCCCACCCCCCACTACTCTAACGACCCACCCATCAGCCCTGCCCCCAGCCTAACAATAGCCGCTAAAGAGATTAAACAACTCTTCCTGAGGCTGCACCCCCGCAAAGCTCCTGGCCCGGACCACGTGTCTCCGGCCACTCTGAGACACTGCGCCAGTGAGCTTACTCCTGTGTTCACGGCCATTTTCAACTCCTCTCTGCAGTCCTGCCATGTCCCGGCCTGCTTCAAATCCTCCATCATTGTCCCCGTCCCGAAGAAGCCCAGGATCACAGGACTCAATGACTACAGACCTGTAGCACTTACGTCTGTCGTCATGAAGTCATTTGAACGCCTGGTTCTCTCCCATCTCAAGTCCCTCACCTCCCCCCTCCTGGACCCCCTGCAGTTCGCCTACAGAGCCAACAGATCTGTAGACGACGCCATTAACCTGGCCCTCCACCACATCCTACAGCACCTGGACTCCCCGGGGACCTACGCCAGGGTCCTGTTCGTGGACTTCAGCTCTGCCTTCAACACAATCCTGCCATCCCTGCTCCAGGACAAGCTCTCCCAGCTCAACGTGCCCGATTCCACCTGCAGGTGGATCACTGACTTCCTGACGGACAGGAAGCAGCGAGTGCGTCTGGGGAAGAATGTCTCGGACTCTCGGATTATAAATACAGGAGCCCCACAGGGCTGTGTTCTTTCTCCCCTGCTCTTCTCCCTGTACACCAACCACTGCACCTCCAGCCACGACTCCGTGAAGCTGATCAAGTTCGCGGACGACACCACCCTCATTGGACTCATCTCCAACAACGATGAGTCCGCCTACAGGAGGGAGGTGGACCGGCTGGTGTCCTGGTGCAGTGGTAACAACCTGGAGCTGAACGCCCAGAAGACAGTGGAGATGATTGTGGACTTCAGGAAGAGCACTGTCCCCCCGCCCCCACCCTCCGTGATGGACTCCCCCATCACCTCTGTGGAGTCCTTCCGTTTCCTGGGCACCACCATCACCCAGGACCTCAAGTGGGAGCCGACCATCAGCTCCCTCATCAAGAAGGCCCAGCAGAGGATGTACTTCCTGCGGCAGCTCAGGAAAGCCAAGCTGCCTGCACAGATGTTGGTGCAGTTCTACACGGCCATCATCGAGTCCATCCTCACCTCCTCCATCACCGTGTGGTTCGCTGGAGCCACAGTCAGGGACAAACAGAGACTACAGCGCATTGTGCGCTCTGCAGAGGAAGTGATCGGCCGCAGCCTTCCATCGCTGCAGGACCTGTACGTCGCCCGAGCTCGAGGCCGGGCTGGTCGTATCACAGCCGACCCCTCTCACCCTGCACATGGACTATTCCAACCACTCCCCTCAGGCAGGAGGCTGCGGTCCATCAGGACTAGAACCTCCCGCCACAAGAACAGTTTCTTCCCCTCTGCTGTTGGACTCTTGAACACTTCTTAACCTGTCCCCCCGCCCTTTATAAAGTCACTTTACTGCCCATCATACGTCACTTTACTTCACTGTACTGCTGTCACCTTACATTGTGTGCACCATGTGCACTTGTATATTGTAAATAGTAACTGTAACTCTATTTTAAATTTAAATTTATTCTTTAGAAGTGTTTTTTATTCTTATTTTTATTATCTCTTTTTGACTGTTGCACTGAGCCAAAGCAATTTCCAAGTCTGTGACCTCCCGTTACTTACGTTGGCAATAAAAATGATTCTGATTCTGATTCTGATTCTGACTTTGAAGCAACTTTTGTTAAAGTTAAACTCATCATTCTATCAATGTGCAGAAGCCAGTACTTTTCCCTTGTTTTGTCTATCTGAAGGCCAAGCTACATGGCACCGTGGCAGCTGCTGATTGGAGGTCTCCATGCCTCCGCTCTGTATAATACACTTGCATTCTCTTGTATCTGTGATCATGTGTTTTGTTCGTGCTGTCTCTACCATCGACAATAAAACATGTCTTCTGTCTGAATTTAAGACGCGATCCCAGACTTGGCACATCTTCTTCAGGTGGTGGAGGATGCGAGTTTAACTTTAACAAAAGTTGCTTAAAAGTGTTATGAAATCTCACAACATCAAGTTCCCTTTATACTGATCTAATTGTTAGATGTCACTTCAATGAAAAGGAAAACCCTGTTATTCATAATTCACTACAAAACATGATGCATTATTAAATCCTACAGTAACTGAAGTCATAAACCAGGATACAAACAAGTATTACACAATGCACAACTATTGCGTAAAAGATAATACATTACACAAACACAGCTTGTATTAAGTCCTGAGTCCCAATGGAAAAGTTCTGTTCGGCTCCAATGTCCCATCACCTCTGCCTGTGACCTCCATGCAAAGTTAAAAACCTGAACGTGACCAGAGCCTTAAAATGGGAGTTACAGATCAGTCGCGTGTCATTTTGAACTCCAAAAATCAGCATATTGGTCGCGACAGCTGAGCACAGTACCACCACTGTGTATGGCATGAATTAATAATGTCATGTGAAGTTTATTTGGGTGTCATGCTAGTTATTATTTGTATTCTGAAATTCATAAAAAATCATGTAAAATGACCCTTTATGCATTTGCTTTTGTTAAATCCCAAAAAGTACCTAATCATAAATTGTGATTGAAGCAGGGAAACATTTCTCATCTGTTTGTAATTACATCCAACAAGCCCAATGTCCAGAACTGTTTTTATCCACTCAATAAAGCTTTGTTACCTGTGTATTTGTTGGATATCTGGTGCCCGTCACCGTGTTCAGGTCTATTCGGGAAGAGCAGGCTGCAGACTCATCAAAATGACAGAGATGAACCACGAGCAGCTCTGTAGAACTGCATAAAACATTTGTGTTGTAAAATGCATGTTTATCCACTTGTTATGGCAACTTCTTTGGCGACTGCACTTACTTCATGAGCAGAGTGATCCTCATGTTACCGGGCACAAACTGACTGATGGGAACTCTGTAGACAAATCTAGTCGGCCTGAAGCAAGTGCAGTTCTCATTGGTATAGAACTTAGAGCATGTGGATTGTAGAAACTGTAACTGTACTTACCCACATTCGTCCCTAAGACAGTATCTACCATCAATAATCTGTTTGTTTTCCTTGACCATAAAGATTTGAATGGTTGTATTTGTCCCTATAAAAACAAAAACATGTTTTGTGTTTAATAACTATGTAAATAATGTAATAAATGCATATTTGTTTTGTTTTCTGTCACTCACAGTCTCCTGCACTTTTCAGTTTCTTATACATATGTTCCAACCTTCTTTCTGAAAATACAAATTTGCTTTTAAGTGTTGAAGCAGGTTGCTATAAATAAAAGCTAATCCAAGTAATTGTATATAAGTAGTTACTTGTTAAATTGTACTGTTCATCCCATTGCTCATCAAAGGTGACATTGAAGCCATTGCTGCCCCCTGGATGTGAGGGGCAGCAGTACGCCTGGTCACAGTACAAGATGTCACAGAAGTCCACATCCGGAGGCCAAGGCCGAGGCGCACTAGTTGTTTGAACTACTATAATTATAAAACAATTATTCAATTAAAATAGAGAAAAGAAAATACACAAAATTATGTGATTCAAATAACATTTATACCTGTGGTACTCCCGACAGTGCTTAATGGAGGGACTAAACTTGAATTACTGAAACGGAGATCATTACCATTATATTGTGGATTGCAAATGTAAAAGAAGAATTATTACACATTATTTTTGACCATTAAGAATGGTAATGAGGCTTTTTCATTTGATATTTCAACAGGAAATGTCATGTTTCAGAATGTAAAGTATTCTAAGAATTAAATGGTGGTGGGGGGAGGGGTTCATCATGTAGAAATTTAATTAGAGGCAATACCTTGATTGTGATGTATCATCATCATATCATCACAGGTTTAAGACAGGGGCAGTAGGAAGTTACAGTATATGTTCCTGATATTAGCGTGGATGGATCTAAAAACAACTCCAGGTCTCAACCTCTGTGCTACCTGTGCCCGTTAGTGGCGTCTGTGTCCTCCCCCAAAGTGACCAGATACAGAGCAGTGATGGCGATCATGCTGTGAAAACAAACCATGTAGGATTTACTTTCAGACATGTTTAAACTGCACAGATATGAAAATATATGAATTACCAAATGGCAACAGTTGCTAGAAGCACGAAGATGCTGGCTTGAATAACTCTGTTCCGTAAAAAGGTGTTGTACTTGTGCGACTTCACATCTTTCTTTGTTTTTTGAGTTTTCGATGGCAAACTGGCCGGTGTTGTAGAAACACAGCTATTTTTTCTATAAAAAAAATTCAACACAATCTTGCATCAAACAACTGAATTCTGATTTTTTTCTTGAACTGTGGCTGGCCATGAACTCTGGCCTGCAATTTGATAACACAGTTCTCACAGTTATGCAATAGGCTTTTACTTTATTGGGTTATTTAATTTGTCTCGCACACCAAATGCATTCCCTTTGTACATTTACATGTAAGAAAACATGTATTAGGCTGATTTTAGGGGATATGAACCACTTGTGGTGGTTGTGAGAACCATCTATTAGCTAATCAAAACCTATTTAAACAATTTCATTACATTTGTGAGCTCAAAATCCCTAAGGTACATACATACATATAAGGATAATATAACCAGAACTTTTTTATCAATTTCATTTTGGACGATTTCTGTTGGTGTAATATTGTACCATTCTGTATCTATTTTATTGATGTATGTGTAAATGTGTCGTACAGGTTTGAATTGTTTCATGTTTTTACAATATGATCACGGAGAATGAACTACAACCAGACAACTATAAATAATGCTTTAGAATTATGTGTAAACTGTTAGTTGTATTGACAATGACTCAAATAGAGAGAGACCTGTGTGAGCGGAGGCTGCCCGTGAGGCTCTTGAGCTTGGCCAGCCGCTGGTTCCAGACTTCTAGGTCTTGAATTCTCGTCTCCAGGTTGTCTGTGACTTTTGACAGCTGCTGCACCGCACCAACATTTTCAATGAAAATCTGCTCCTGATAACAGTAAAATAAATCTTTGTTTAGTCTTAGGACAAGAATAAGATGGGGAAATACTGGGGAAATACTGAAGTGGGGCGTACCTTGTCCACCATGAGGAAATTGTCTATTTTGGCTCCATCTGAACAGGTGACATCTCCCACTTCTCTGACTGCAGACGGGAGCAGCTCTTTTACTTCTTGAGCTATTACACCTGCAAATAAAAATACAAATATGTCCTGTTATAAAAAATGTTTTGGTTTATTTCTATTCTTTGGTTTTGTTTTTTGTCACTTTTTATTCAATGTGGTGATGTGATATTTTATGTTGATTACATCCAAATGCACTGTTTATACCTGTTTGGTGAGGATGATCTATTCCCATTGAGGTGGCAAACTCTGGTTTATAATCGAATTCTACGATCCTCATTTGAGTGATTCGTTTCAGTTGTTGTTCAGAGTCGACCTAAAGAAAACATAGAATAAGATACATGTTTCTACGAGTCCTTGTAATTTTGAGACACAGATCATGTGCAACTATGGGCTTTACTATTTTGTATATTTTTTTGTCCCTTTACTATTCTCAATTGTTTCATAGTAATGCAATAAAAAAATCACAACAATCCATCAAGTACAACAGTAACCCATTCCACACAAAAAAGCAAATATTATAAACTCCTACCCCATTCTTATATAAAGGCATTTACAAAAATGGCCTAAACGGCACAAAAAATATGAAGATTAGATCAAACCAGATAATATCAACTTCCAGAGTTTTAATAATAATTATTCATTCTAATTACTGTATTATTATAATAACAAAAATAATAAAAAATAAAATAAACTATGGCTGACAGAAAATTATTATTGTAAGGTTTACTTAAGTTGTAAGTACGTGCGTTTTGGCTCACCTCCTGTATGTTGTGCTTGGCGCGCTGGTCAGACGGCTGCATGACAGCTCCCATCACTTTGGCGTTCCCACACACGACCAGCGCTTCATCAGGAGAATCTGTGTTGATGCCCACGCGGCCATGACAAGCCACTGAGTCCTGGACCAGCCCTCGCTGCCACATACTGTCTCCCTCAGTCTCAAACAGGCCCGGGTTAGACGCCTGTACGTATGCAATAGTGTCAAAACAATATAATGATCTAGTTTTGATTACATTTAGCGCTTTAAGCTATTACAGCTTCTTAAAAGATATCAAACCATTTTGTCCAAACCAAATATGAACATGTTTCACCAGAAACATTGTGCTGTGAGATTGTATCCATAATCAATAGTTGCTCTGATGATTCTTACCCTGACTACGATTCTCTCTGACACGAGTGATGCCAATAATAACGTCTCTGCTTTCACAGCTGCATAAACTCCCACAACCAACTGGAAATATCTGCAAAACATTATTGAATGAACATCTCTGAAGAATCTGAAGAATTGTACCATCTGTATGTGAAAGCCTTCTCCCGGCAGGAAGTTAAGCAGCCCAGGCCCTGGTTAGTGCTGTGATCTCTGGGAAAAACCGGGCGGGGTCCTTAGACAAGACACTTCACCCACATTGCCTAGAATAAGTCTGGTGTTTGAGTGATGATGGGTAGTGGTTGGAGGGGTCGATGGAACATACTGTTTGCTTCACTTTTGTCAGTTTGCTCAAGGGCAGCTGTGACTACGGTAGCAGTTTATCACTATTTTGTATAGAGTGAATGAATAATGCCATGTGAAGTGTCTTTGAGTGTCCAAAAGTGCTATATCAAAGCCAAAGCATTCATCTATCTTAAGTAGTGTGTATTTAACTATATTTACCAACCTCTGGTCTGGATTCGGTTTGCCTTTTTTCCTTATATTATTGGCAGTTGTCTCGCTAAAGTGCAGCCGTCCGAGAGTCACCTTGGTCATTTTTTTGCTTGGCAAACTGACTCTGAAACAATATTTTTTTGAATAAATAAATGGTTTTTATAAGTCCTTCAACGTATAAAACATTAATGAATCCAATGTTTCCACCTGACAGGATGAAAAGGCCTCTTGCTGCGGTCCGATTGTGACTGCTCTATCATCACACAGTGGCTGGGGTCTTCCAGCTTTAAGAGAGAAAGTTATTTCCTCAAAGTGCTGCTGAAAAGGAAAAAAAATAAAAAATCTCTCATACCTTGATCCCAAAGACTTTTATTTCAAAATGCTCGACTGCCTGTGGCCCGCTGGTCGTCCTGACATAGTAGGGCTCTCCAGTGACACCGATGTGGACCGTGACCTGGAAGTGGTTCTTCTTCTGGCAGACAAACACCTCATCGGCTGCTGAGTAGGTGAAGCCTTTATCTGCATCAACATGGTAGACCAGAGGGGAGCTGGGGACATACATTCATTTAGAATAATATCTCACTACAATGATGTTCAATTTGTCTGGTTCTCGTTGTTCTCACAGTGACTGGAAGCTGCCATCTAACAATGTGTTCCATTGTCCGGGATTGTACTTGTCCCATGTTAATGAGCTGTACCCTCCATCACTAAAGCTGCTCACGCCCGCATTGACGCTAATGTTAACTTCACAGGACGTTTTAGGTCCCAGCGCCTCTTCACATTCTGACCTCCTCCTTTTTCGATTCTCTGGAGAACTGACAGAAGAAAAAAACACAATTGATGCTCCTAATGTTTTATGACAATTGCAAAATAAAATGAAAACATATGAGGAGCAGTCTCACCAGCTGTGTGCCTTGTGGGCTAACCTCTGAGAATACGATGAAGTGGACACACTGGGTTCTTTCTCCGGGCATGGTGCACAGTATTGGGGACAGAGAGGGGGTGATGGAGGCGTAGGCGGGGTATACCCTTGAAAGTAACTTGCAGAGGGCAAAGCGTGGTATATTGGTGCTTCAACAGCAGGAAGAACAGGTGGAGTCCCAGGTTTTATGTGAATGTTTGTTAGCCCCATGTTCTGGAGCTGTTCGTGGGTCAGCATTTCAGGGAGTCCTTTGAACTGACATGAGGAAGACAAGTGCCCAGACTCAAGAATCTGATGCACGGACCAACGCGAAGGCTTGTAGAGACACTCTGTAACCAAGATCTCAATTGATACATCATTACAACAACAACAAAAAATGCATATTGGGGAAGTGATACAAGTCTCCTATTGTAGGCGCCATACACAACGGATATAGATACAAGTTTCATCTTTCATGCAAGAGAATTCACATACAAATCAGGTGAATAGTGTACAAATTATGAGTTTAAATGTGATGGTGCACTTTAATTATGCCCGTAGGGCAATTCATCCTCTAATTTGAGCCATCCTGATGCCACTAAGTCAGGATGGGCCTGAAGAACAGCGCCCGGGAACCCATCTCCATGAAACTTTCATTTAAATTCATCAATTACAGCCTGAACTCTGGAAGGCAGCAACATCACCGGGCCGGCGCCCCCACTGATGCTCTGCCAAGTTGCATCATTGTCATTTAATAAAATTACAGATCTTTGTCTTGAAATAATTGCACTGTTTGAGGCACCAAACCATAACCAATAATAATCAATGTTTTGCTCTGTGTACTGGGTGCAGCTCTGACTGTCACCCCCCCCGACCCAGAAATGAATTAAGGGGAAGATGGATAGAATCAATGTTTTATTTTTACTTTTAATTTCTATAGTCCGAAGAATAACACACATCTGACCATAGAACGGCTGAGCGTCTAATTGTCCCCTTATTTTCTAAACTCCTATACACCTGATTTAGATTAAAACAGTCTTTAATAAATTATGAAAGCTTGTAGTTATGGCTTGCATGTCTCATTTCATTACACAATGTGGTTGTGTATAGAGTTCAAAAGTTTAGAGATTGTCATAATGAAGACATGATGAAATATACCAGGCATTTGTGCAGGTGAAAAGGCCTCTGATCCCGAGTCGGGAGGAGATTCAGGATGTATGCTGCAAAAGACAAGACATTTGATCACATGACTTTCGCAAACCTAAGACCAGAGATGAATTTGTGTCTTACAAGTTGTTGGGACACATGTCAGCACCGAGGTACTGCTCAAGGATGCTTGTGTCGACTGCATCCGAACTGTCCAGGACTCCACTTAGGTCTTGACCTGTGCGCAAATACAAACAAACACAAACATTCATGACCAGTGATGAGATAAGAAATGTGTGACCTGTTAACCCAGAGGTAGCGTAACATGTGTTTCTATATTAGGAAGTCAGCCTTGTAAGTGTTGTACGAGAATGATTTTTAAAGCCTCACCATTGAAGAATTGATGAAGAGCCTCATTCTCCCCCTCAACATGATGTACTCTCGGCTCCATGTTGCCCAGATGAAGACTGTCTTGGGGATGAAACATGGCCCTAAAGCCTTCTCTAAGAAATAGCATACACATTTATCTTATTGTATTTATACATTACTATTACTAAAGGAATAAGCATTATAATAAACATCTTATATTACATTTAAACAACTAGTCTCTCAAAAGGATGGACTACATGTATATGTTATAACACAAACATGAAAACAGTGTTGGGCAAAAATCAACAAAATGCAGTAGTTCTTTTTGGTTTATAATATACATACATTTTAACACACCTTTCCAAGATGGCAGGCAGCGAGTCAATCACCGCGTCAATCACCGCAAAGTTGTGTGAACCAAGCTGAATTTTGCAAAGCGTAATCCATTTTCAGTACATTTTATGTACAATCCGCACCCATTATGAATCCATCACATAGGACTTTCTATGTTTTTTCTCTTTGTGCTGTTAATAGCTGTATTCCCTTTTCCTTCTTGTTTATGGGTCCTTGACTGTCAGGTGAACTTTGAGCTTTGAACAGGAAAAGCATTGACGCACCTGATACAGGAAACACCTGCCACTGCCCTGCTGAGTATGTGTCATTGTGACTTAGTATGGTCATGTTATATTTCATAATAATATACCGATATATATATATATATATATATATATATATATATATATATATATATATATATATATATATATATATATATATATATATATATATATATATATATATATATATATATATAACAATAAAAAAGCATAAAAAATAGGTGACGTAAAACTGTTGAATGGACTGACCGGCCAAGTATATATGGCGACATGTATTGTAAAGACATTTATAAAGCTGCATAGTAGAATAGTGAGTTTCCCTCCAAATTGCAGTTATGTGTGTTGCCGTTAGATGGCAGAGTCTCCCAGAGGACGACTGCTACGCTCGTCTATGAATAAAACGTGTTAAATGATCATATAGGTTCAGGAGTTCGCGGATCACGCACTAAACGTCATAATCTAATTCCACACATGCTTTAACATGACGGCTTCAGTGAACTCCTTTTGACACTCAGACGCGGGGCACAGCAGTATAAAAGACCGCGGGCTCCTGACCTGTCCCCAGTGGGCAGGAGCTCGCTTTCCTCTCTTTGCTCAGTAGCTTCACGAGTGCAGCCTGGAAACACCCCAAAGTTGAGGAGACTTCATTCAGGCACCAAACTGCGCCGCATACATCCCTCTTTTGTCACAGGTTTACCAAACTTATTATAGAGACTATTTCAGTAGGGGTTCTGTTGAACGCTAACACTTGTTGTCATGTTCTTTAGCGGGTGCATAGTTGTGGAAGAGATGCGCTGGTGTGTGGTAGCGCTGGCCACACTTGCCTTGTGCCCGGCCACAGTCAGTGAGAGGACGGGGTCCAGTGCCCCGGACAGCAGCATCTCTGCAGCGGCCACCAACGCCTGCCCTGGCCGCTGCCGGTGCGATGTGGACGGACTGCTGCACCGGGTCGACTGCTCGGACCTGGGGCTTCAGGAAACTCCCATCAACATCAGCGTGTTCACGTCTTATCTGTAAGTGTTAACTCTACACGTTGTCGCGCACGCAGCGGAATGCCCGCGCGCTCTGCTGAGAAACTGTGCACCTGCCCCTGTTTGTGTTTCTGCACCTCACGCTGGGCTAAAATGGTAATTGTATTTTTTTTATGAAAAGAGGAACATTTTATTTTGCATTATATCTTTATCACAAGTATCAGGCTGTTTTTTCCAAGTATCTGTGAAGGTTCTTTGGAGAGCACTTTCTCCAAGTGTCAGACCAGCTAAGGGCAGGTCATCTGCATTATCCCCTGGAAATGTAACTTAAATTGTTATTAATATCTTATTATGTTCTGCAGTAGAATTCTAACCTACAACATATATGAAAAAGACAATAATTGTTAATGTTTATATGTTATTATCGTTGTGGCAAATATTTAAATTATGGATACTTTATAGACAAAAAACAAGTCAAAGAAGTTGACTCAGGCTTTTATTATATAAAGGGTGCACAATACAAAACTCACACATACACGAGCTCGCTCTCTCACACACACACACACACACACACACACACACACACACACACACACACACACACACACACACACACAAATCAACATTTAGATCATTATTTTCATCTTTGGATCTATATGGATCTTTGAGCATAGAGCTGCGATACACATTATAGTCGCAACTCACAATACTACAATTTCACACACACACAAGACCTATTGTAACAGGATTCAGAGAATAATTAAGTGAAAATAAATCTACATTTTCCAGGATAGTCTATACCGTAGAATACAGAGGATCCATTTTTCTCGGGAGTTTAGTCAGGTTGTTGTCATCTTGGTGAATTTGCAATGCATACATTTGCAAAATGACCTTAGGCGCTGAGACCTTTAAGCTGTTGTCCTCAGAAAGGGTGAAGGACTGTGTTTACAGCAGTGTCCAAATTCTGTTTTCTGTTTTAAATCTTTTCTAAAGTGTGAAAGTGAAATAAATTCAAAGCCATTTTCTTCCTCAGCAGGTGGCCCTTTCTGGCAGCACCATTACATCACTGTATTGTGTGTGAAGAGAGACCTGCCTGTCTTGGCTGCTAGCACAATGTCAAGGATTTAAATTTCACTCTCATTAAAGAAACTCTCTCTTCAACACAGTGTGTGTGCAAACACAAACAGTTACCAGTGCTTTATTTTGTACACACTTTGTACATAGAGAGGTCCATCATGACTTTATTTTCAACTCCAAACAAGCCATCAGAATACATTCTTTTCTTCTATTTGAGTATAGGTGTCTTGGGTCAGGAGAGAGTGAAGTTATACTTAAGCAGGAGAACACTTACAAAGTGCAAGGTGAACAAAAACATGAATCTAACCTGTTGAAAGTAGAAAAGTGAAAAGACTTCTACTGGAAACATGCAAACATGCTTGTTGTTTGTCTGTGCACTTTCTTGTAAAAACACCAAAAGGCCTCATGTAATGTCCACCTTTCAGGCACCTGCTGCCTTTAGTGTCCAGAAAGGAGCTTTTTTCAGGAAATGCAGAAAGTGATCTGAGACAGACAGACATGAGGGAGAATCAGTTTACAATCTCCTTCTGTCCATCTCTCTATTTGACTGCATCACTGTGAATACTGCCATCTGTCAATGTCTTTGTGTGTGTACACTCACTGCATGCCTAAGCAGTGTTGTGTGGCGCACAGGGGCTCAGAGTTCTGCTGTTCTAACTCAGGAATGTTCAGGGTTTTACTTGAGGTGGCTTCATGTACCGTTCAAGACACCATTACATATCCTTAATGTCCTTATAACGTAGTTATCCGACCTCCCCCAATGTGGCACACCAAGAAAGCTTTCCTTCTCTCATGTTGAGTCTTGTTTTGTTGTTTAAACCAGCTCCTCTAATGGACCTCTCTCACAGGCCAGGGGAAGATGCACTGACCACTTACCTGTTCACAGTAGTTGACCTGTGGCTGTGTAAATAAGAATCCTCAGCTCACTCCTCCTCCTTCAGTTTTCTTTAGTCTGCAAAGCGCCACTAGGCTCTGAGATCTGAAGAAAGACCTTGACATTGATGTATTGTCAATGTGCCCTGGTTTGAATCTTTCAGATTGTACGCAACTTAGAGAAAAAAAGATGTCTGTAGGTTTTCCCTGTGTTTTTTCTGGTGAAGGAGCTGCCTCTGTCCGACAGCGCGTTGGGGTACAAACCCCCCGTGCTTACTCACCCCAGGAGGCCCCCATTGACCCACCCCTCAAAGAATCAAAGAAAGACCGAAAAATAGTGAAAGAAGGCAGAGAGAGGCCTTGCTGTCACACACCGCCTTCAAACTACACAACCTCCTTTCTTTTCTTTCTCTGGTTTGTCTTTCTGCTGCCATAGCCATTTGAATAATTGCCTTCACTCCATCACTTTGAGGCTCAAAATTCAGAAAAAAGTCAACAAATATAAAAATTGAAGACCAAATGAATAGTTAATATTCATCTTTTCTTTTTATATATTTTTTTACAATACCATGAACTTAAAATCATATTTCATTGCATCTTTAATCTATTGCATCCGGCCATTTACAAATACTAGACAAGCGTAAAGTGACTAGTCAACCACATCTTGATTGCATGAATGTACAAGCACACTTCTCGGCCACTGGAGGGTTGTAAAAACGCAGTAATAGCAGTCATCTCGTGTGTATCAGCAGTGAATGCTACTCAGCCATGAGTCTGCAGTGAGTGAGGAACTCTCTCTTAAAACACACAAAATAAACTATGCAGCTATGACTGCTCTACCTGTTGACAATGCTGTAAAGCGACACGCACATGCACACATTAACAAGGTTTATAGAGTGTCAAGAGTGCCCTAACAACTGGCATATTCAACTCTAGGCACACCCTGCTGTAAGTCTGTGTGCCCGTGTCTGTGAATCTCGCACTCTTGCTTATTTTATAGCCACATAAATTCCATCCAACATTACAACATATTCGTTGTACTTCTGGAGGCAAACCTGTGCGGCACGTGGCTGAGTGGTGATGGGCAAACAGAAGCTTCATGAAATTATTTGAACTGAATGATTCAATGCTTCCAAACTTATTGTAACTTATGAAAAAGTGGAAACTTGTTGTTACTAATAGGTTTGATCATATATTTTGACTCATATGATGTATTTATTACCCCTCCTTCTCGCATGAAACTCTGCTTTTAGAGCTGAGATGGAGGTGAGACTCTCCAAATCTACCTGTTGACTTTTACTAGGACACTGTCCGTAACACTGCTCTTTGTTCAAATACATAGAACTTTACATGTAGACTTTTCTACATGAAGTGTAAGCTGGACCTGACCTGCACTTGTCATGCTGGTTCTGTTGGGACCAACGTGGTCTGTGAGGCATATGGGTCGCATGGTTCTGGGTGATGGTGGTTGTGCTCCCATAGTTCATCTTCTGAAAGACTTTAGCTCAGACTTAGAGAATTCTTTTGGCGGGGCTTATAGCCACCAAATATATGGTTGTGGAAGTCCTCTCACTCACTGTCTCGCCGACAGGTTATGACTTTTGCTGTCATATGTATATGCATGGTGTTAGACAATCTAGTGAGTGTATTATTACATCCGACACGTCACCTACATTGCCTGAAGGTTTGGTGGTGGTCCGAGGGCAGCCTCGCTTCTGTCAGTCTGGCATAGGGCAGCTGTCACTAGAGTCGAGGCGAGTGTGGAGTGGAAGAATGATGCACAAAAAAGAAAAGTAACTACTTGTCTTAAAAAGTGCAAAAATATTAAAGATTGATAACTAACTGTGTTCCCCTGGTTGAGGTTAGATACAATCTTGAAAAAATGAGTAAATGTACCAAAATTGAGAGACAGGTTTTTGTTTGTTTTAGACAGAGACTCTCTGTCTCGGCTCCTTTCAGAGCTCAGCCCTCCAGAGTGGAAAGATGCTACTACTGATATTATCATGTGGCTGAAATTAGACTGAGATAAGAGTCCAGGAGAAATAAAGAAAGACAGCCACAGGCAGTAAACAAATGAGGCCCTTGTCTATTGTCAGAGTGATAGATCTCCAAGATGCATTAGTGGGTTAAGTGTCTTGCTCAGGGACACAATGACAGTGTGCACTCGGGCTGATGATGTTACCTGACAATGGACTCTTCTCATTGACCTTTTCTGTACGGTTTGTTCTATTGTAACTTGACACCTGTGTCACTCTTTATCACTACTCCTTTATTGAAAATAGGCCTTTGGCTTAAGTCGTTCATCAATGAGGACTTTATAATAATTGGAAGAGGGAAAAAACATAATGTTTAGCTGCGAGTTCCCTTGGGTTTTGTTTTTGGCCCTTCCTCTCTCGGGTCATCGAGGGACTGTGTTGGATCATATTGTTAAATTGGGCCAAAAGCCTTTAGTTTCAAAGTCATATTGAATAAAGATACCCTAGCATATGATTAGTCATACATTTCTTTCGCTACTTCATTTAGTTCGTTCATGCAAGTAGCAAAGAGAAGACTGTTGATGTCTGCAGTGAGGAGGGAAGTGGAGGTCTTGTTTTCAGAGAACTAACTTCCAGTAACTTCCACTCCTGTTTTTGTCACTCGGGTGTGTGTTGGCCCCAGTTCTTATGGCGTCCAGTAAACCCCTCTGAGGGAATGTGTTGAAGCAAGTTTGTCTCAAATCATCATCTCTACAGTGTTGTCCTGTGTCTAAACATTATTTATATATATATATGGATAATTATTATCTGATTTGAACAGCATCATATTTATATAATATTATAGAATATATTCTGTGTATTTATAAATTATTTGGGGTGACAGTGGCTCAGTTGGTAGAGCATTGGCCTTTAAGCCTGAAGGTCGTGGATTCAAGCCCACCACGAGACCTACTTCATGACTCCCACTGATGTTTGCTGTCGTTGTGTCCTTGGGCAAGACACTTAACCCCACTTTGCCTGGAGCTCACGCTGGAAGTTCAAGGCTCCTGTGGACTCACCACCTGCAGGAGGATTAGGGAGGGGCTGGTGCTCTGTGTACTGGGTGCAGCTCTTGACTGCCACCCCCGACCCAGAAATGGAGGAAAAAATGAATGAATGAATGAATTATTTGGATGGGACGGTTTGTAAATGTGCTGCCTCATAGTTTCAAAATGTTAGTTTACAGCCATAAAACACGCAGATTCTGTGTTTTAGTAACCCCTCATGTTATTCTTATTTCTTACTATTAACTTTCAGTATTAATTATAAGAGTTTAATATTACTATGGCATGTTATACGTTATTTTAAAGCTAATTTCCTCAAGAAAACATCTACCTCATTCCTAACATTCTGAACCCAGTAATTAGTAATAGTTAAATAATTTAAAATATACAATATACATTTTTGATTCAATCCATATACAACAATTTATTTGGACAAAATTACCTCCTTAACATAAAAAGTCCAAATATTTAAAAAGATTGTACACATGCAAAAGATTAGCTTAAAAACCTTTCCACAAAGAAAACGATTGATAAAAGTACAGCCTAAAAAGATTTTATGCCTGTCCCCATCCCCCGCCCCTCAGCTAACATTTTTTAGTATTCAGCCCATGACCAAAATGACTTTGACACTCCTGCGTCTAGACTGGTGATTATATTCCACTTACCTGCCCCCCTCTGAGCTCACTGAAGGTAATCAATGAATTACACTAACATTCATTTTTCATCTGTGTTTTTGCAGGGATCTGAGCATGAATAACCTGACAGCTCTGTCCAGCCGAGACTTTTCCAATTTGCACTTTCTGGAGGAACTGTGAGTACCAAACTCAATTGCACAAAACAAAAAACATAACAAAGACTTGCATCTCACAGCTGTCAAGAAGACAGAGGTCTTGCAAAAGTATAATGAGACAATCGTATCTGTTGGATGTTTGGATGTGTGAGATGAGCAGACTCAGGTGCGTGAAACAAACACAAACCTTCGAGCCGTGTTTCGCAAAATCCTACAACAGTTGAACAACTGCAGTGAGGACACGATAAGGCCAAACCTGAACACCACTCTCGCACCACGGTTGCCAGCAGTGTGTGTTCAAATGTTGGTTTATGCGCATGTGATATTTATCGCTGCGGTGTTAGAAATGTCACTATAGTGATTGGACACCACCACTGAGACGGACGGGATAAACTCCAGATGCCCCATAAAAGCACACAGACCTTGCAGCATGTTTGGTATAACACATTTACATTCAATTTGTTTTCTATCACTTTCAAAACAAATAGCCAAGATGAAACTGCAACTATCACCCGTGTCCCTAAAATACCTGTCCCTAAAGATGATAATGACTATGTAGACTGGTCGGCCTGACCTCCACTGTTCTGAAGTCTCTTTAGAAACTGATGGTGAGAGAGCTGCAGTCAGACCAGAGTGCTTAAAAACATGTCTGTTTTATGGTATTATATTTTGAGTTCAATGGAGCAATTACATATTTTTAGCAGGCAAAAGGTGGCACAGTGATCAGAGCTCAGCCTCTCTAAAGGAAGGCCTTGGGTTTGACTCCCAGGCGTGACAGGCAGCGTTTGCATGTTCTGCCTGAGTTTGTTTCCTTTACTCAAAACAACCAGCTTCAAGCTATTTCTGGAGTAATTGCAGTAGGTCATTTAGAAACACTGGGCGACAGTAGCTCAGTTGGTAGAGCACTGGTCTTTGGACCTAATGGTCGTGGGTTCGATCCCACCACGACCCATGTCAACTGCTCCCACTGATGTCTGCTGTCGTTGTGTCCCTGGGCAAGACACTTAACCCCAATGTGCCTGAAGTCCCCGCTGAAAGACCAAGGCTGCATCTGTGTCGAAGGAGCAGCCATCTTCCCGTGGACCCACCACCTGGTGCTATGTGAATTGGGTGGCAGTTCTGATTGCCTCCCCCCTGACCCAGAAATGGAAAATAAAGGGATGTAAATGAATGAATGAATGAATGTTGCATTCTATTGATAAATACAAAATTGAGCAAATAGAAATGATTTTGTAACGGGTATAAAGAAGATGATGTAATATGTACGTTTCTGCTTTCCACTGTTTCTGTAGAGTCAAGGGAGACATTATGCTTTACTTTTTCAAAGCTAATATCCCTAGTAAAGGTTGCATACACAAATGATTCATGTCTTTTTGAGTAACTTATATTTGGTCACTCAGGCGCCTGGCAGGGAATGATCTGTCCTTCATACCCAAAGGAGCATTTATGGGTCTCTACAACCTCAAGGTCTTGTGAGTACTCTCATTATGAAAAAGGCTTCACAGCAGTTTGAAGATGGAGTCATAATGCATGTTCCCCAGAGGAGATGGTCATAGTTTCCTTTTTTTTGTACCAAGGATGCTCCAGAACAACCAGCTCAGATCGGTCCCAGGCGAGGCCTTCCATGACCTGCCGAACCTTCAGTCTCTGTGAGTTGTACATGCACTCACGCTTACAGTAGGTACAGTTTCATATGAGGTACAATTTGCCTGAGAGAAAGCACTGTCTGCACTAAACACATGAATGTACCCATGCATGTGTGGGTAAAGAATTCCTTTCCACTAAAGAGTAAAATGAGAGAGTGCATTTGTAGAGATAAGCTATAAGTAGTGGGACGTCTAAGGTCTCCCTCTCGCTGCTAAACTTATCTGATGGACCATAATGTGAAGGGCCATCCTTCTCTTCTCCTTCTGCCTGAACAGTGCTGCTTTTGTGAAGACAGACTGACAACTATCTCTATACGAATGGGACACTGACCAGTGGGGCCCTGTGATGCTTTGTTTGGACTGATATGAAAAATAAATAATCACATTGATTTGTAATGTAAAATATTTAAACATCGCAGACCCTGATGAAGCCATGAATCATGGAAACTCCTCGGCATGAACATATTCCATTTCCCTGCAAATCAGATCAGAGTGCATCTGCTATCTTCAATTTCTAAAAGATATGTATTTCCACCTGCGCAACATAACTAAAAGTGGTGAAAAACGTTGTCACCTCCAGCTTGACTACTGTAAAACCCTGCTTGCACTGTGTCCTAAATCCTCTATAAAAAAAAAACTTCTGTCTTGTCCAAAATACAAAGAACACATAACTCCAGTGTTAAAACCACTCCACTGGCTTCCTGTGGAGTATAGAATCCTTCTTTCAACATACAAGGCTATAAATGGTATGGCTCCCTACCCTAACCCTAACCCTACCTCCAAGACATGTGTCATATCAACACAACCAAGCATTGCACTCTCAAAACACCAGACTTTTGGCATATTTTACACTCCTGCTCTAAACAATACCTGCTTCACCTGAGAGGATGTAGTCCTTGATGATTCACTGCAGCTGCCAGTCCATTCTGTGTCTGTTAAATACTATGGAGCTTAAGAGTAAGTTGCCAAGTTGAGTACTGTTAAGAAGCCTTTTGCTTATTTCTTTGACCTGCTCAGCCACTTGGTTTTTAATGACATCCTTGAATGGTTTTAGTGGACCTTGAGGGCTCTTTTGGCAACAATGCCTGTTTTCACATAAAACATCTATTTGGTTTAGTGCTGTGCGTGCATGTTTATTGTAGGTATGTGTTGATTCTCATTCTTAACCTTGCAGACGTTTGGATGCCAACCACATCTCCAGCGTTCCGGTCGGCTGTTTCTCAGGCCTAAGCTCACTCCGACACCTGTGGTTGGATGATAACTTACTCACTGCGGTCCCTGTGGCTGCTCTCAGTGAGTTACCCGCTCTGCAAGCCATGACACTGGCTCTGAACCGAATCTCTTATGTCCCGAATAGTGCTTTTAGCAAGCTGAGCCGACTGGTGGTCCTGTAAGTATATATATATAAAAAAATAATAAATAAATCCCAGTTGGGTTTTATGCATATAAATGTCATACAGTATGTGATCATCATATGCTGACCAATCTCATTACCATCTACCACTTGTTCTACAACCTCAGAGGCTAAAATGCTAAATACTAAACATGCTTTAGTATCATTGAAAAGTTTAGATGTTCAGTTGTTTACATTGTGATGATTTGCCCTCTGTGTGTGTGTGTGTCTGTGTGTGTGTGTGTGTGTGTGTGTGTGTGTGTGTGTGTGTGTGTGCATGTGTCTAAGTGTGTGAGTGTGCGTGTCTTGAGATGGTTGCTGGGCGTTTTTGGCCACATTTGGGTTGACTGTAGTGGCCGACCCTGACTGTCTGTGTGAGAATGTGTGTGATGGCATTGAGTGCGGCAGCATTGAAGTCTCCTGTAATTTCTTTTGTCCATACAGCTTGAAGCTAATTTGCATGAAATTACCAAAAGTAAAAAAAAGCTTCTTGAGGGGCCCCGGGGCTTTTTTCTGAAGACACACACACACACATACACGGTTTGTCCGCTTCATTAGTCCATCAGCCTCTCTCTCTCTCTCTTCAGGCATCTCAACAACAATAGGATCGTTTCCATGGGGACTAACTGCTTCCACGGGCTGCACAGTTTGGAGACGCTGTAAGTTTCTGTGTTTTGGGGGAGCACTCGCCGAGCCAGGGTTGAGCTGGGGTCAGGGTGGCGGTCTTTTAAACTAAACATAGAAAAAAAATGTATATGTAGACAGAAACTACAACTTTCAAAATGTGGTTTCAAAGTCACTAATTAAGAGGATATGCCCCAAAGCTGGATTACCTAACTTTGTCCCTTATGAAGAATTTGTTGTTGTACGTCCCAATAGGGGAAGTCTTGCCGAATCTAACATTGAAACCACAAAAAATAACCCGGAGTGTTGTAAAATTCATGTATCTACTACCTGTTTGTTTGGTTCGATCAATAGTTTTCACATGCATGCATTTTTGGGCTCTGTCAAATATTAAGATCAGATGAAAAAGATATGACCAGCCATCACTATACAATAACAGCATGCAATGGTCATATTTGTTCTCAAACTGTTTCTCTGTTGGGACAAATAACATGTATTTATGATTTAAAAAAAGGTACTACAGCACATACAAATAATAACAATACATTCTGTTTGTCTTGTAAGAGCCCTGTGAGTCACTATTTGACACTTTGGGCTTAGAGATGATTGAGAGGTGGCACTCTTTTTTCACTTTTCCAGAGGTCAGAGATACATGCAAGTGAAAACTACAGATATTGTTTTGAAAAGGTTGGAGCTAGATGGTTCCCCGGCTTTGAATGATGGTCTGAAACAAAACAAAAACACAAACTTTTTTTGTTTTATTTTCCTGTTCAAACACATTTTGGGATTTAATGTTGTCCCTCTCAAAAACAAGTCCCTGAATGAAAGCATGTGATGATATTTGGTTATTAGCATAGACTGTTATTAGCTGCAGTCAGAGCAGATTAAGCGTGTGTTTATGTTAGTATGTGTACAATCAGACAAACGTATGCGTGTGTATAGAAATGTTTCTGTTTTGTCCCTCAACCATAGCGGCACTTTTAAACACACAAACAGACACGGCTTCGTTTGGAAATACTTGTGTATGTGTGTGGTTTGCTTGGCGCCGTGTGTGGCCTTGGCTGTAGCCACTATGCTAATCATAATTACCATTCAGCAATACCTGTATGGTCAGCAATAATAAACCACACCAGAGCCATTCCAAACTTCAAACACAAACAGACAACACAAGCAAAGTCCATGTTGAGAAAATTACAAAATGCTCAAAAACACAGAGATTCGGACCTCCCTTGAGAGATGGGGAGCAATGTCTCATTTTTCATTCTGCATTTTCATATAGTAAAGACCTGACTCATTCAATCTTTGCTGCAGCACTTCACAGCCATACGACTTAACATGAACTTAAACACAAGAAACAGACTGAAACAATTTTAATTTAATGGTATTTTCTCAGTGTGGTACAGCTGTGTGAGAGCCACCTGCATCACAGAGATGGATGAGAGCGTCTAATTGAAGCCATGTGTGGACTCCAAAAAGGCTCTAGTCTGTGTTGGTGATGAAAGGAAAGAGAGGAAACATGCATGGATTCTTTAATAAATGGAATTGATGGAAAAAAATAAAATACTTCATGCTTTAGTGTTGTATGCACAAACATATGCCAAAAGTGCTTCCAACACTTTTAACAGTTTATCTGCAAAATGTAGAGTTTCCTAGTATTAGAGTTTACAAAGCCCCTAAGCTGACATTAGCCAAATAAAGCTACTTTCAAAATAAAGCTACTTTGGAAAAGGCGTTTGTGGTCTTAAAGTGGATTTATTTTTGTAAACTTGTTTCAAAGTCACTTTCATGTTAATTTTTAGTGAGCATCAGTTTTCATAATCATTTATTTTTCCTTTAGAGATTTAAACTACAATTCTCTGGTGGAGTTCCCGGTTGCTGTTCGTTCTTTAAAGTTCCTCAAAGAGCTGTGAGTAGACAGTGAAATGTGATCTTTACGGTTTTGAAATGTCAATTGAAATCGACATTGATTTTACCGAACACTAAACGAAAGTCTTTTATTTGCGGTTTAGTGGTTTCCATAGCAATAACATCCATTCCATCCCAGAAAATGCTTTCATGGGGAACCCATCACTGATGACAATGTAAGTAACTGTGAAATATCCATCAATCAATCTTATACTGGATATAAATAACTCTCAATTTGTTTTGTTTAGACTGTTTTATGACAATCCGATACAGTCTGTTGGTCGCTCTGCTTTTCAGAACCTCCCAGAACTCCAGACGTTGTGAGTAAATACATTGTACATTAATAATGAAAATGTCATTTGATTTTTGATTATTTGTTTTTAGATCTCTGAACACAGCAGTAAATCTCACAGAGTTTCCCAGTCTAACAGGAACTTCACACTTGGAAAGTCTGTAAGTCTTAACCCTCCCTATAACCTAAAGAATTAAGCTCCACCATAGCTAAAAATGTGGCCTTCTGAGACCCACCTGATCTGAACCAGGTCCAAAACAGTACTGGTCTGGGTCGAGCTTAGATTTAATGCATATATTTCTTTAAATGAGGACGCTTTTAAGTATCTGCCCCAGGAATAGTAGTCTCTGCTTTCCTTGAGACAAAATGGGGATCCTAAATAAATAAAAGTACACAAAGGACTGCCATAGTCCTATTGCAGACACATGTTAGTCTGACTACACAGACACAGAATGCTCCTGCTGTATCCAACACCACTACGGGCCACGAGCAGCAAACCTCAAGTCAAAATCGTCATTATTATTCTATCTGATGGGCCGTGAATTTATTTTCCTGCTGCTTGTCCATAATCAAAAGCCTTTTTCTCTTCTATTAACTTGGTTTCTTGATATAATAAACATAGGCCCAAAGTTTATTTTCTTGTATTTTCCATTTCAAGCTTCTTTCTCAGGGGCTGAATGCATGAGCAATAACCTTACCCTGAACCAGAAGGTGGAAATAAAACTCAAACTAAACAAACCTTCACACATTCTTAAACTTTCTGCTTCACTTGTTTGCACTTCTGAATGATTCGCCTCAACGTCAGTGGCTCAGTGTTCCATGGCTAGAATTGGATGGCATCAAAACTTGCGGAATATTTCTACACCTTTTGCCAAGACATGAAGATTGATTAGAAGCAGTGATTAGAAGCATATGTAATAGGTAATATGATTGGATGGTTGTTTTAAGTTGTTTTAATTTATAATATGAATGCAAAATGGTATGGTATGCTCTTTATTTTTAAAGTGTACAATAAACATTAGCCAAAAGTATAGATACATTATACCAGGTTTTAGCAGGAGGGCTAATTCACACCTGTAGTCCCTGAGAAGGTTGATGTCACATTATCACAGTCAACGTGATGTCACAAACCAAACTAGATGGATGACCATACAACAAAAACTAAAACAACATGGTGTTACTGTCGTCTAGCTTACAGTAACACACATACACACACATACTCACACTTACATACTCACAGAAGTAGCAAAATCAGAATTAGACCGATAACTTTATTTCAAATGTTTTCTAGAACCATCACTGGAGCCAAGATTACCTCGCTGCCTCCATCAGTTTGTGATCAACTCTCAAACCTTGAGCTGCTGTAAGTTGTGCTGCTCTATTGAAGTCAAAAGCCCACGAGCTTGCACTCTCTGTGCTATGGACATCAGTAATTACTAATAATCATTGTGTCTGTCCACAGCGATCTTTCATATAATCAGCTCCAGACCCTCTCCCTCTTCTCTGGCTGCGAGCGGATTCAGACAATGTGAGTTTTGCTGCATTTTGCTTTTATCTTTTAAGTTCTCTACACAGCACATTTCAGACTTGCAATTGTCACCTTCAAAACCCACATAGCAACACATTTATCCAATCAGCTTTTAGGGGATTTAATACTGGCATAACCATGACAACCAATAAAGTATAGCCAGCTGTGCATTGTGGGGATCATTTGCAGTTGAGACCACTTGATAAAGACACTGGTGATATAATGGAAACAAGTGACTATAACATTTATATAACTGTGCATTCATAGAGACCTCCACCATAATGAAATACAAGAGCTAGAAGAAAACATCTTCCACGGCCTGATGTCACTGCGCTCGATGTAAGTACAAAATACACACTGGTGCAGAGTAAATTAAAGCCGGGGCAAGATCCCATGGCTCTTTCTTTAAGTACTTCCAAATGGAGAGAGTGGCTCCTCACTTATGAGACAGGTATGATGCTGTCATGGGGCATGTGTTCAATCATATTTATAGATACATAGTTGCACATGAACTCAAATTAAATTGCTAGACGACATGACCTCAAAGGACAGGATATAACATATTGTCATCTATGTGAATGTTTACCCCTTTTTAGAGATTTATCCTGGAACAAACTCGTATCTCTGAAGCCAAATTCTTTTTCCGGCCTCCCTGCTTTGACCAAACTGTGAGTGTTCATCAACCCTTATACCTGAAAAGTGTTGTTCATACATTATGTTTACTTTGAATATTACTTATATGCCTTTGTTCTCTGTGTAGTGATCTATCATTCAATTGCATTGTGGCCCTGCCTCTGACTGGCCTGCAGGCTCTAACTCACCTGCGCCTGTCTGGAAACAATCAGCTAATGGAGCTAATTCCAAGAGAGACCCTGCCGCGAGTCAGGTGAACTAAAACATGTAAAACTGTAATTCTGACGTTCAGAGCTTTTAACCAAAGACACATTGCAGCTTATGAAGGCTTCACTTGCCATAACTTCAACATGATCGAACACATAAAACAGTCTGCTGCTGTGTTGGACCAACATTGTCACAGCAGGGAAAAGTGACATCACCACTATCAAACTTTGACTTTTTATTGCGGACTAAGAACATTTTTGCTTAGAATCTACAGTTATAGCATTAAGTCAGAAGAACGTCTAAAACATCTTGACTGCACTCATTGAATCATAATCCCACTATTTCGTGTTGGATTATATATTGGATATTTGGATCTTACTATTATCAGCTTGAGCCTGTGTGAGGTCTGTTATTTCCACAGGGGATGTTTAAGTGTTTGAATCAATATTCATTAGAAAGCACATGTACTTGCCTCTTACACATCAGACTAGGGGACTGAGTACTTTACAGTCAGCCCAGGAACAGAGAATTTTCCCATCAAAATTTGATACAGGGACTAGCAGGAGTTAGAAGATTTATGAGTTTAGTATTAATATTCCCTTCCCTTCAAAATCACTTGAACACATAAAGCTCAAGATAACATAAAAATGTGTGTAACATACCTTTGCCTACACCTGCTGACCCCATTGTATTTGTGCTTTCTTTTTGTGTGCAGAGTGGTGGAATTACCTTATGCTTTCCAGTGCTGCGCTTTTGTCTCTTGTGAACAACAAGCTGCATCCTGGGGAAGAGAGAACGTGGAGAGAGCAGGGGATCAATCTGGAAACACTGCGGCCCTTTCCAACCAAGGTTTATACAACCGTACATCAATAAAGGCAGTAATTACATTTAGTGTCTTGCAAAAGTATTTATACTTCATATTTTTTTATCGCCTTACGACCACAAGCATGAAGATCTTTTATTGGCATTTTAGACCAAAACCACGTAAAAGACAATTTGTAATTGAAAGCAAATTATATAATCATAAAATATGCAATATAATATTATAATTCTAGAATATATTGTCCCATGAGTGGAACCCCTCATATTACATTCCATTCCAGTCCTTGTGAAGTCATAAGAAGTGAATTGACTTATGTGGTAGACTGTATAGACTGTATATTGCACCATTCACCTTCCTATCAATTCTGACACTCTTCCGTATCCTGCTAAAGAAAAGCAGCACCACAGCATGATGCTGCCACCTCCATATTTGACAGTGAAGCTGATGTGAATAGAGTGATGAGCTGCGTTTTCAACTAAATATGTATATATATATATATATATTATTTTTATGGGTTAAATTTGTTCCCCATTTGGTTTTTTATGGCTTTATCACACAGCATAATTTTGCTTTCATATATTTTGTATTTTGTTGGATTTTCTCATGAAAGAACAGGTTTCAGTTTGTGGTTCTATCAGCAAAATGTGGATAAGTTACTTCATGAGTTACTTCATTGTTTGTGATGTGGTGTTTTGTATTTTATGGACTTTGAGTCTGATAAATAAAGATAATAAAATAATAATAATAATACCTGCCCTAAAAATTAATTTTAATTAGAAAATACTGAACTATTATTCATCCATTTATGTTTACGTCTCTGCCATTCTGTTCACTACAGTTGACCATGAATGGGAGGATTTTCTCATTGAATTTGATGAGGAACCAAAAGTTCACCAGGCAGTGCACTGCAGCCCAACACCAGGTAACAAGGTTCATACTTTTAGTAAAGAGAGTAAAGTAACAATGACATGATTTCTCATTATTCATCTTAACATGTATTCATTCATTTCAGGCACAGATCATTTCATGGCACAGATAAGCACGAGGTAGACAAATACAGTCAAGTCAGAGTGCAAAAGGTTAAAGATATAGACAAAATGTGAATGTACAGTATATACTGCATGTAAATATGATAATTCTGCCTGAAAAGGAGTGGGAAGAACACTATTTAGTCCCACCCGAATTCCCCAATTCAGCGATTGATGTGCTTCACTGCTATTTTATACAAGGATTATATAATATTATACAATGGGGGAATTACCACAGGTAACAAATGATTATTACAATGTAACAACAATTTAAATGAACAATAAACCAACCATGGTAAAAAATATTAATCATTACAGTATAGCAACAATTTACATTAACCCTCATCTCTTTATTGTGACCAGGTCTGATGTTATATTTGAGCCCAGAGTTTCACTTCGTATACGAACATGCAAAAAATGCTTTCAAGTGCTATGAACACTGGATCACTGGAGTCATAAAAAGACGTCGCAATTTGATAAATGCTTCATGTAAGACTATAGTTGTTTTACAAGATCAGATCATTTTAGCAACTTTGACTGCGTAAATAGATTGTGATTTCTAGAAAGATGATAATAAAGAGGATTTATTGTATTCTGGTAAGTTTTCCCTCACACTTCAATACAATACATAAGGTGTGGGAGCACCAAGGTGCAGTATAAAGTACCAAGTGTCTAATGTATAGTTTTGCTTTATTTATAATTGAGAGGCTTTTGTTTTTATGTTTGTTTATGTTTTTATATCAATAATTTATCATTGTTCTATTTATATTAAAAGACAACTTAATTTGTGTCCATCCAATGGAATCTTTTTTAATATTTTTAATTCCCTGTTCATCACATTTACAAGCTCATTATAATCATCACTACTGTAGAATATGTTTACAGTGTCTGAAAATAGTATGAATTTCACTACTTTAGATGTATTGAAAACATCATTTATATAAACATGATTAATATCAAATTTTATTGAACCTTTTCTAGGACCTTTCCGCCCCTGTCTCCATCTGCTCGGAAGCTGGCTGATCCGTGGGGGGGTGTGGTTGATTGCAGCTATCTCATTGGTCAGCAACTGCCTTGTTGTTGCATACATCTTCCTGACCCCTGCCTCAATGGCCATTCCTTCTAAGCTGCTCATTGGCTTGTTGGCTCTCGTCAATGCTCTTCTGGGCGTGTGGAGTGGATTTCTGGCAGCTGTTGATGCCTGGACTTTTGGCAATTTCTGGAGGTACAACAATCAATATAATCAGATGAGCTTAATTTCTATAGGTTAGGGGTTCTCAAAAGGTCCAAACTTTCTCAAAAAGTCCAAACTTTGCCTGAAACCAACTTGAGACTGCCACTGCTAAATAATGAATGAAAGCAATAATTATTTGTTAAAAACAGGCCAAATCCATTGTAGTGTTGTTCATTTGACATATTTATTGAGATATTGAACCTAATTTCATGTAAATTACCATCAAAGATTTTGAAAAAATACAGAGGTGTGTCTCGTGCTTTGAGAACCACTGCCATAGGTTAACAGAGAAGGTGATGGTTTTCACTTGCCAAAGCAAACCTGTGACCGTCACAGCAAGAGAACCGTACTGTACAGAGATGGAGCAAGATTCATATAGAAAACCACCTCATACTATGCATTATTATTAATAATATTATTATAGCACATAGGTAGGGAATTTGTGAAAATATTTGATAGGGTTGTATGGGCCATTCTGTAGAATCATATGGATCATTAATGATTGTGTTCTTTGGATTTAGATAATAACACGAAATGAAGTTCTTCACAAATAGAAAAACAGAAGATCTCCACAGTGTTGTTACCATAACCTTTTTGTGTAAATGTTAAAGGTATGGCACTGCGTGGGAGAGCAGCTACATGTGTCACCTGAGCGGCTTCTTGCACACGTTTGGCTCACAGACCAGCATCTTTCTGCTCACAGTCGCAGCTTTGGAGCGATGCTCGACTTTCAGAGCTGGTCCTCATAAAGTTGATAGACAAACTGGTAAGAATGTATTTTATCTGAGTTTATTTACCTAACTGTTTAAACAATAGTGCCCCATAAGTAAAAAAAAAAAAGCTGAATTAATTGTTTGTCTTTTCTTCCTTGTTTTATTAGGTCAATCTGTATTCTCATTACAACTGGCCATATCTGTTTGCCTCCTGCTGGGGCTAGCTGCTGCACTGCCGCCCCTGGTGGCTCAGCACAGTAGCACCTCTCTGTGTTTGCTGCTTCCCTCCTCTGCCTCCACTGCCTCTGTGGTCTTCTCAGTGTCCCTGGTGCTTCTGGACTCTCTGTGCTTCCTGCTCATGATAGTTGCCTACATCCGCCTCTACTGTCGCACCAACAAGTCTCTCTCCACTTCTGAAGAGGACGGAGCACTCACTCGACATGTGGCGTGGCTGCTCTTCTCAGACTGCCTCCTCTTCCTCCCAGTGGCCTGCCTCTCATTTGCTTCACTTCTTCATCTGCCAGACACTGGACCAGATGCGGCCAAGGCTGTCCTGCTGCTGGTGGCGCCACTTCCAGCGTGTGTTAATCCACTGCTTTATCTCTTTTTCAACCCACTGGCCAGAGATGAATTGGCAGCTTTGGCAAAAAATGCGTGCAGGACGATGGGCACCCGGGCGTCAATTAAAAACCGAGCAAAAGCATCGTGTAGGTTGAACCGCACAGATATAACGCTGGATGAAGATGCTGAAAAACAATCATGTGACTCGACCCAGGCCCTGATGGCAATTCGAGGCACAACAGACGACAAATCCAGCTGTGGGAAAATGATGAAGGAAACTCAGCAAACAGACATGTTTATTGTGCCACATCTTTGATTGGACATGTGAAAACAATTTAAAAGTGTGTGTTTCTAGCTAGTATATGCATTACATGAAAAGACATTTCAATTTGATGACAAATTTAAAAAAATAGGTCTGCTGACAGAGGTGTTTGGCTTCATCTCACTTATGTAACATATTTTGTAAAGATGCTGAACATGAACATGAACAATAGCAACTGGCATCTTGTATCAAGGGTGTGCAATACCTGATATGTACACCTGTAATGAATCAATGTGAGGTTGTTTTTGATTGGATCTCTACAAGAATGACTAGAGTCTAGACATTAATTTACATGTGTGTTGTTGCCTTTCATTTAAGTAGTTTTAACAAAACTTTTAAGTTTTATTCTGGTCTCAAGAAAGGGTCAAACATCGGCAACTTGGCACAATTCAATTTGACCAAAAGACAGTTTCAGTGTGTTTATTCTGTATTTATGAGCGTTGCTCTCCTTTGGCATGAGGAAAACCTGAAACATCTCATTCCCTCCCAAAATGATACTAAAGGATGAGAATGCAGATCAAGCGACAGATAATAGATAAACATAGAGTTTAAGGTAACAATGGCACAAAATGTCCCTGGTCCATGTGTATTTGAACTATTCCTGCCCAACATAAAGAAAAAACACAAGAAACATACAGTATTTCTTTGAGCTATTGTGACAATCTGTTTTAATTCATGTATAGTTTATTTTTGAGAATGTAATTTTCATTTTTACCTTGTAAATAAGTGAAATTTCCTGCAGAAGAACCACAGAAGGTTTGTGGTTTGTCCATATTCCAATAGTGCAGCTGGAAAGATTTGCAACAAAAAGACTCAGTAACTGAACATTTCATGGATGTGATGACAGCGGAAACTAAAATGTAAAGCTGTTTTAAATGTGTTGATGTTTCAACTGTTTGAATGTCCGCTGTGTGTGACAACATATTGGCTGCACTTTACTTGTGACCAGCACTTAAAACACAATAAAAACAAGCGCAATGGTATGGCTGCCTGCCCTTTTGTATCTTATTTATAGAAAATAAATCTCAGATATAATGTTTCTAGTACAATATTATAGCTGTCTGTCTGTAGCAATGCTTTGAGTTTCAATTATAAGAATGTGAGTTACATTTGCTCAAAATCCTGTTCTTCCACTGACCCAGTACACTGAGCTTTATACAGGGGTCACACTCTCAGACTGCCGGGTTACTATTGAATTACTACTGAGTACATGTTACTCTTGTCAAATGCACATTGATGGCAAAGGACCAGGTGCTCAAATTACTTTATGACTACAGATGTCAGTGCCACAGGTCTGTAGTCATTAAGTCCAGGGATCCAGGTCTTTTTGGGGACAGGAAGTTACGAGGAATCTTTTCCAGGTCTGGTGGTCTGTCCCAACTTTATTTCGGGCACAGGTACAACACAGGATGTACTCCTCTGGATATCCTTAAGCCAGGACTGGTCCTGGCAGAAGCGACAGTCTGGACCAAGGACCACTGAGTGAGTCAGGGCTCTGTAGCACCGGCGACAAGAGAGGCATAACTTGAGTGCCTGGAAGGTGGTCACACAGTCCTCGCTCCAGACAACTGGGTTCCTCTGGTCCTTCATCGTCAGCAGAAGTGTGTTAGTGGCCAACTGTGGGATAAGCCGACAACACTAGTCGGCCAAGCCCAAGAAGGAGTTGAGGACTCCTTTGTTCGAGGGCATGGCCTCTACCTCAGCCATCTGGGGTCCACACTTCCTTGTCCCAGCCGGAAGCCGCGATACTTTGCCTCTTCTTTGGCCCACTGACACGTGGAAGGGTTAGGTGTCAGACCCGCCTGCCCTATTTGGCCAAGGATGCACAGATGATGCAGGTGCTGCTCCTAGGTGTCGCTATGGTGGCTATGTCATCCAGGCAGGCAGAACTGCAGTCTTCACAGCTCCTGAGCACTTGTATCATCAGCCCCTGGAAGGTGGCAGATGGTCCACATAGACCGAACGGCATAACCATGAACTGGCAATGACCAGTAGGGGTCTGGAAGGCCGTGTAAGGATGACTGGCCTTTTCCAGTGGAATAAAGAAACCATTGCTGAGGTTGTGTGTGGTGATGAACCTGGCCCGACCGATCGTCCCCAGCAGGTCATCAATCTGTGGTATCGGGTAGGCGTCAAACTCAGCTTCCTGAAGTAGATGCAGATGCGCAGAGAGCCATCCTTCTTCACCACAATGACCACCAGGCTGCACTCGGCCTGGGATGGCTCGATCACACCCAGGCGCTGCATCTAATCTACCTGAGGGCGGACAAGCAACCGTCAGTGAAAAAAACTGACTGAAGCAACAGTGGCTCAGTTGGTAGAGCATTGGCCTTTGAGCCTAAAGGCCGTGGGTTCGAGCCCACTGCGGGACCTTCTCCACCGACTCCCACTGATGTCTGCTGTCGTTGTGTCCTAGGCAAGACACTTATACTGATAGCTTCGCTTCTGTCAGTGTGCCCCAGGGCAGCTGTGGCTGCAGTAGTAGTCCATCACCAGTGTGTATGGAGCGAAAGAATAATGACATGTGAAGCGTCTTTGAGTGTCCAAAAAAAACAATTTATTATTATTATAAGCAGGAGCAAGGGCAGGAACAAGAGTGTCATGATATGAGGCAAGACGCTCTTCATCAAATAGATTTATTTAGCTAGTCCGACTGTGTCTGACTCAGTTTACAACAAGATTCTAGTGCGCCCTCGTGGTTAGCATACTCAACTACGGTATCTTAACATGGACAAAAGATACTGCAACACAGGGCATGAGCAGGAACAGGATCAAGGGGCAGGTGAAGCCTCTTGAATAATCGTTTGATCTCCTCCTTAGGTATTATCAAGGGGAGTCTGAGGAGGTGATGGCTGATAAGTCTTTTGAGCAGTGGGGTTTAAGATGTCTGGAACAACTTTAAAATAACAGAAAAATGTATTCAATTCGTCAGTCAGCTTGCGGTCATCAGCACAGTGGGGGCTTTGGGATTATAATTCTTGTTAGCCAAAGCCCCTTCCAGACAGACACAGGGGCATTGTTATAAAACTGCTCTTGAATACGCTCTGTGTTGTGATTATTAGTCGTTACATTATTGACAGATCATAATTTCATATTTTCACAGTTCTTATTGGACATTAGTCGTCGTCCCAGAGGTCAACTGGCTCCTTCTGCCCACCTCTCCACTGTCCACAGTCAGAAGATCCACCACACTGGAAGAAAGACAGACACATTCAATCAATGTCCTTTAAAAGTGAATGAAAGATACTTCAATTGTACCTGCATTTTGTTTTATTGACATCTGTATGTGACCTCACAGTGTCCAGAGCAGGACCTCCAACCCTGCAGTAGGAGGTTCGTGACTGGAAGGAGGCCCTTGTCCTCTCCTTCAGGCAGAGGCTCTTCCTCAGATGCAGGGTTTCAAGTACAGTATCTGCGGGTATGTTTGTTTGAGGAAAGGAAACTTCTGCTTAGGATGACCCTATGACCCTAGATACTCTGGAATTACGACGACTCTCTGAGACCTGAGAACGCTGGCACTGGATAGGCAGAAAAAGGATACGTACAATGCCCTTTGACAAGACCTCATTTCAGATTGTGAATAGAGAACAGTCCTTTTCCCAGAGGTCATCTGGCCTCACCTGTAGATGTCTCCAAATCCATCTCACTGTGGTGTTTGTGTGTCTAGTGGTCACTTGCGCTGGACACTGTGAGGTCTGTGTGTGAGCCTGGAAATCGTACCCCTGGAGTGCCTCTAATGGTGCTTTCAGACCGGCAACGCTGAAACGCACGTTCTCCAGTTTTCAGACCCAGGGGTCTTCAGACCAGAGGTCCTGCCGCACGCCAAAAGTGGCGGAAGTAGCCGGCGGGCTCTGATGCTAACAGAGTTTAGCTAGCGGCTTCTTGTGTACAGATCTTCTCCAATAACGCAGCTTTGCAGCGTGTCTGTGTTCAGAGACCTTCCACGGACTTTATATAACAGTAGCATGTGTTCACGGAGGTGTGCAATACGTTTATTTTATTATTAAACGGTACTTCCGCATCGGCGAACACACTCGAAGCAGTTGCATAAAGTCACGGGAGCATGAAAACTCACATGTTAACTAGCACTATGTCCCCCATTGTCAACCCTGGTTTAAGCCTAGTTTATACTCGCGCAGCGCGGAGCTTACGGAGGTGACGTGACGTCACTTGCGCAACGCGTTGGTCACCGCAAGGCCCTTACGTCGCCTGCCGCGCAGCATCGACATTTTCTAACTACGTAAGGGTCGCCGCAAGGAATCTCCGCTGTGATTGGTCCGTGTGTGTGTTTTGGAAGGTAGCACGGAGCGGCTGCAGCAGGGACATGGACAAGGGACTATGGAGCAGAGAGCTTTGTGCTTCGAAGGAAAAGCAGTTTGGGCTCAGAGCCTGATATACGGGGAGACTGTGGACTATCTAACATATATATAACTTATAAACTATGCAGTCGTTTGTTTTGCACTGTTCCTGTCTTGTTTGAATCGTAGCTGCGTTTGTTGCTTTCCTCCTGCACTCTTAAATTGTTCATGTTTGTCTCAGATATTTACCACTATTATTGTTTTGCTGTTTGTGCTGAAAACTATTTAATAATAACTATGTTTCCAACAAGAACTGTGTCTTTATTCACATCATCACAGTTGAAATTACTTATAAAATAATGAATCCATAAAACTATCACATAAACCTACAGTAGAAACACGTGTAATGAGCTCAAACACCTTTGTTTGCTATTGTTGTTCTGAAGAGGACAACGTAGCAGCGTAAATGGGACCGCTCCTGTGTGATCGCCCTCATGTGGTTTGTTGTGGGATTACAACATTCTCCTCAAAACTCCGTAAGGGGAACGCGCCAGTATAACATTGATTGTGCTTACGTAGGTCCACCGCAACCGCTAACGTAAGCCACGCCGCGCAAGTATACACTAGGCTTAAGTCCTGATGTAGCTCCTGTTTTGGCTGTTTACGAGTATTTTCAGTCTGCTCGCTCAGTCCGCTAATGTCCCTGTGACCACTATTGAGGCGTAAAATGTCCAAACTGAGGCAATACGCCGCGGCAGGCTAAGACACGGGCTATGTTGCTGACGCGTAGATTCATTCGTATGCAGATAGGGACTTACTTGATGTTTTGTAGTGATGGGTCTTGCCGCGTCGGCGCTTCGGGGCGTGAGCCGAGAAATCCCTGAAGTTTTTATCGGAGCGCGGGCCGAAGCCTGAGTTGTTTTAGATGAGTGACGTCACCAATGACGTTTGAAGCCTCGGGAGCACAGGAAATGGAGCGATTCATGAAGTACTGCAGAGGATCCGCTCCAACTTTGTGTGTTTGTCTTGGTGATTAATTTAGTGAGTGATGGAGAGTACTGTAGTATCAGTGTGTGTGTGTGTGTGTACAACTGTACCAGTACATTATAATTTTATTGTCATATATTCATTTTCACTACTGATATTGATCATAATGAAACAGGTGAATTAATGGGTCATACACAATCAAATTACATTTGTATTTCTGTTACCAGTATTAATTCCTATGCAGCAAGAGCCTCACTAACAGTTCAATTGTCAATACAGATTTTGACCAACAGGAGGTTTGTGAGCATATGAAGCATCAAGAAATGAATCTTTTTCTCGAACCAATGGATGAAAAGGTTCAACACTTCATGAAGCTTCATCAACCCATCACTAATGTTTTGTCGAGTAGACTCTGTTGCCCCTCCGAATGATGACGATAATGTACAGAATGTTGCCTACGGTCAACAGAAAGTAGCAGCCCGTGCTCACCCTGCCATGATGCCTTCCCACATGTGCACATGCCCCTCTTAAGCCCAACACAGGTGCAGCCTAATTGAGAGACGCCACTCTAAACTGCCACCCAGTGGACAAACTAGGACAGTGCGTGAGCCCTCAGGCGTGCAGATACTATAAATAATAAGAAAAGCTAATGGTCAGCAGCACTAGATCATATACGGAATCGGGACGGAAGCGGAAGTAAATATAACAAACTACCTATTTATGCCTAAACTTAACCAGCCATTCCCATAAAATAACCCCAACCCAGCCTTAACCCTAACCTTAACCATCTTACTCAGACGCCTAAAACTTAACCAGTCACCATTTAAGGACTTATTAGTCTAAAACTAATTCGAAAGTAGGATTGTAACTTCCGGTTTTGTCCCGATTCCGTATATGATCTAGTGCCGACCAAAAGCTAATATGTGGCTCCTACAACCACTTTGCGGCTCTCTGATTGGTTGCTGCACGAACGTCCGGGGAAAGGTTGAGCAAAATCCATCTCCTGCGTTCCTCCCCTTCGACTTCCCAGCGAAGTTGTTTGGGAGTGCGTGCATTCCCAAACACATACACTACATTTGTGTCTTGTACTCAGTTACCTCACTAAATGTGTCATGTGTAACTTTACTGCAGTTTTCAGCTGTACAGTGTATAGTGCTCACCAAGTGTAACCAAGATCTGACTTTTGTACATTGAAAACAAACAGAGAGAGTAAACTCTCACAATGAAAACTTGACTAAGTCATTTGACTGTGTTGTTCATACTCAATGTTGTTAGGACATATTATTTTGACGACACAGACAGTTTCATTGACTTGAAGACTTGCTTTTGAGGAATTAACTTTTCATTTTGAGAAAGTTATGCACTTTTGCAGGTTATCCAGAAGGTTTTGCAGTTTTCACTAATTGTTAGTGATGGGTCCAGCAACACTGATACACCGGCGCATGTGCCGAGTTCGTTTAGCGAAACCTCGTATCGGCGCGCGTGTCGCTTTATGAAAAAGCCACGTGACCAATACAGCCGCAGTGTCGCTTGTCACCGACACGGCAAACTGTGTTTAAAAGGTTCCGCATCTGCAAGTGTCACCGGTATGAACCGCTGTCAGAAAAAGAAAATAACCCTTTCAAAAAGGAAAAGCATCCCATTTTACAGCATAAAAAATGGAACCTGCAACTAAAAGAAAGTATTCTGCAGTGTGATACTGCAAATAACAGCAAATAAGGCAATGTTTGTATTTTACATTTCACGCTTTATCTACAATCAAGTTTTAGTTTGAAACGCAAAATCTAGTTAGGCATGGTGGATGAGTGGATAGCGCTCTCGCCTCGCGTTTGAGAGAACTGGGTACGAATCCCTGTCGGACCTCAAAGGTTTATGTTGACATCACAGTCTTGAAGAATAATTTTGAGAAATTGAAGTGTAGAAAATGTCAAAGGTTTTTTCAAGTATACTTTAGTTGCCAGGGTTTACAGTGCACTTTGGACATGCTTATTGTTTTGAAAAAAAAAAAAAAAAACAATACATCACTCAATGACATTTTGCTTAATGAATACATTCACAACTATCACTTTAATTTTCACATAAAATAAAATAACACAGACAATGCAGTAACGTAATATTGTGTGCAGACAAGTATGTAAAGCTCATTGAATCAGTGAGTTGGATGTAATGATTTATCAGATCCACCAGGTGTCAGTATAGAGCAGCACAAGCAACACTGTTGCGGCACAGTATCAACACAGTTTGTTGGATGTGCCGAAACGATACGTGAGGTTTCATTTACCCATCACTACTAATTGTTCTGAAGCCCCAGCGATCCAAGATGTCTGCTCAAGATTAACATTAAGAGCTTATTCTTAAAGAGCGACTAAACACCTGTGCCCAGCCTTACTCCACCCACATGAAGATTTGAACATTTTCTCTAAAAAGGGCGTTGCCTGGAGGACCAAGGGACAAGAAGGGGGGCTTAGAGTTGGGCGTGGTCTGGGCTGTGATTGACAGCTCACTTGTCACAAAAAAAAACAGACAGTTGTCATTGCTGCTTAAAGCAATAGTTTACAGACCAGAAAGTCTCATTCCACCCTTGTTTACACACTAAGATAATTGTAAAGCTACACACCTGAACCTAATCACACTCAATAATCTCAGAATTACTCATGTAATTTCATTTAAATCCACTAGATGGCGCCAGAATACTCCAAACTGCAGCTGGGGCGTGTGTGAGAGTTGAATGGGTTCACATCACTGGCTCTGACAGACTGACGTCACACAAAACAACTGATGTCATAGAGAACTTCAGAGTCAATGGAGAGGCCAGAACCAAATTCAAATGTAGTACCACCAAAAAGGTTGAGAGGGCACCACACAGCGTTTTTTGGTTCAAAAGTGATATTTTATCTAATTTGAACTAAAATGTCAAAAAAAATGACCATGATATGTAGACAGCACTACAATAAACATATTTATGCAGTTTATGAGTTAAAAAAAAGTTGATTTGGTGTGTAGTCGCTCTTTAATTAAGAGATCCTTCACAAGTTATATTGATTTGAATGCATCAAACTCTTTAAGATGGTGACACTTACATGCATCCAATTCATCAAAATAATCTGGAATGAAATACACATACGTACATAACAAAAGTACTGTATGCTGCTATGTGTTCACAGATGCCAAACAGATCTAAACAAGCACATGGCTTAACAACACAATTTTATAAATGTTGGAGTGGGGGCAAATAGATACAGTACATTTCAAATCCAGAAACATAAACTTCATTAATCTCAACTTAAGTATATGAGTATTTTTAAGTTTATTTCAACCACTCAGACACTAATTCTGGTGAGATTATTGAATAATACAGAACGTGAAGCACTATATTACTTTTCATTGATTTTGACCTCCTATACGCTATTAATTATATTTCATGATATTGTCCATCTCTTATAACTAAATCGTGATGATTACAATGCTTTGTTTTTCTAATTTCTAACCATGCACAGTTAATATTTTATGCTGTATGTAGCTACATTTAGGCCTCAGGTGGCAGCAGATAATTGACATGAAAGAAATACACACGAGCACACAATTATTGGCCGTTGGGATTCATTATTTTTGTATTTTTGTGTGTTAAACACCCATCATGTTCCTGATGCTGCTGCAGGGGAAGGCGTTTTCGTTTTCACTGGTGTCCACATGAAGGCACTGTCACATTATAACAATGTTTCTTTGAACAAACTGACCGTAACATGATGATTATGTTGAAAACAGGACATAAGCCTCCAATGTAACTCGTGATAGTAACTTTAACATGCCAAGCCCATAGGTAGTCCCGTGGACACGGAAAGTGAAAAGTCATTATTCCCGGTGAAAGTCTGGTGGTCAGAGTCAGAGGCTGGTAAGGACACGGCTCAGGGAAAAGAACCCACACCAGAGGGATATTTCAGGACAAATCGTCGTGTGAATGCGCTCAAATGCAGCTTGTGGCCCAGAAGAAGTTTGCAAAGTTTTGCTTTGACTTTGAAAAATGCACTTTTACAGTAACCATAGAGAGATGCGCCTCGCGACAGTCGCTCAGGGCCGCGTTGACGTCAGCAGCGTGAGCGCGCGTCTGCTATATACAGTCTTTGCTGATTTAAATGTAATTGTTTAAACCTAGAAAATAAGAGATTCATGGTGTAAACATGACGTTAGTGTGAAGGAGCGCCTCCAGTTCTGAACAGGAAACATAAGCATAGCTCATTGGACTGATGAAGCTTTGAATGTGTCTCTTTGTATGACGTGGAAGTTGTGTCAATGGTGTAATGGCTTTTCTGCGCTAGCAGAGGGCACCCTTGTGCTATTGTGACGCCCCATAATCTGTACGCGGTAATAATAACTAGACATTGTCAGTGACTGCACATACAATAAATAAAACAAAACATAAAAACAAGACAAAAAAGTAATGCGATCCGAACAGTGAAAGAACTGCGGAAAGAACTGCAAGTACACCCTTATCTATCTTACCTTATCAAATAATAACATCCCTATTACACACTAATAGTGTGGCTCAGTGGAAGCAATGATAAGAGGGCATGTCAGGTCAGTGCAATCTGAGCATGGAAATGTAATCTTTCATGATCACGAGAATATCTAAATGAAAGAAATATAAGTCAGACCGTCTTACTATACATCGCATAGTTGTTATCCACAATATAGAAGCATCACACCCATAGACTGTATATAAAACACTGCATATCTGACCTATCCTTGAAATGGTTTGATGGTGCCTTTTATTGCACTTCTTTGGATGGTGCACTTAACTCTATGCGACACAAGTCTTTATCATGTGACCCGGGTGATAGCAAAAAGTAAAGACATGTCACTCTGCTGTCGTCTTCTGACTCGCGCGCTCTGATCACTCGCCTCAGTGGGTGTGAAACATCCTGCTTAACATAGACGATCTTTGGGGGCTAGCGGCTAACTTTGACAGACGCCATTAGTTGATAGAAAAAACAGGCGTTTTCAGTGATAAACAGGGAGTTACGTCGCGGTTACGATGCAGTATATGACCCGCATGAATTAGCTTGAACATATTTTTAAATCACCAATGTTGTCGTCTCCACAGACAACCAATTGAACGTTGTTTTTGTAGTCAATGTAAGCTGCGCAGGAGTTCGGATTGCAGAGATAGCACAATAGCTAGTTAGCATCGGAAGCGCTTTCTTTTCTGTTTTTCTGTAAATAGTTATTGCCCTGTGATGGCGGCCAGTGGGGCAGGTGGTGGAAAAACCTACTCTTTTAAAGTGGTGTTGCTTGGAGAAGGCTGTGTGGGAAAGACGTCTCTGGTCTTGCGGTATTGCGAAAACAAATTCAACGACAAACACATTACAACTCTACAGGTAAGAGGTGAAGCAGGCTGGTATGGATATGCTAGAGCCATGACGAGTGAAAACTGATGGGTGGCCAGTTCAATGGAAGAAAATATGTAAAAAGTTCACGGGATTTCCCTGTTGTCACTTGTGCTTTAGTGAAAGTGAAGTTTGCAACATCCATTAGCTTTGATTGAAATACAAGCCACTCCCGTCCTGTCGGAAGTCACAGAGGTTAGGTAAACTAACCTAGCCCAATGATTCAAAGTTATTAGCTAGTTTGTGATGTTTATCTTATTGGGGAAACATTTTATCCTGACAAAGTAAGAGCTGATTGAAAATGTGAAAGTGGTCCTCTTTCATTTCTATTTGATCTATAGATGCAAAAATACATGCATGTATAAACTAGTGATGAAACCAAAGTATTTTGAGAGGGAGTAACTCGGTGCATGGAATGTATAGTTAATTTTGTGTTGATTTCAAAATTATGTACTCCAGTTTAAGCTTTTGAGTTTCTGATTGCACTCAAGAGCTGGAGAGGCCCAGAGAATCACATTTACAAATGTGCAGGCTGTTTCTGGTTGTTTTTTTTGACCATTGAAATAGTTCAAAAACATGATTATGACAAAAATGTAGAGATGAAAACATCCTTGGAGCAAAGTAATTTAATTTATCCACTTGTTTTGTGCAGTCAACAACTTTGTAATTAATATCACATCTTTATGTTCAATGTCCTGTAATTGTCAAATGAGTAACCTCACTAAGCTGTGTCACAAGTATGCAAATCCCCATTTTCAGCTCTACTGTTAATAATCAGTCATGACATAGTTGTCACAGTTGTTTCAGAGGCAAATCTAGTTTAATTTGATGCATCACTTTAATCTGCAGTTATATCATTTTTGTGACAGTGCAAAGGTTAATGCTTCACTCTTAGAAATGATATCTGAATCTCAATGAATGCTGAACAAGTAACCAGATAATGTTTTTTTTCTTGCAGGCATCCTTTCTCACAAAAAAACTCAACATCACCGGGAAGAGAGTTAACCTTGCTATTTGGGTAGGCAAATCAGAAAATATATCTGTTTATTTCATTCTAGATGTGTATGTGTTTTGTCTTAACTGGTGCTTTTTCAGGACACTGCTGGTCAGGAGCGTTTTCATGCATTAGGTCCAATCTACTACAGAGACTCCAATGGAGCCATATTAGTTTATGACATCACAGACGAAGACTCCTTTCAGAAAGTATGTCATCTATTACCACTCTCCATGCCCCTCTCATGTCCAATCAATTATGAATTTATGTTTCCATGCAATGTACTTTTGGCATTTTTTTCAGGTAAAAAATTGGGTGAAAGAGCTGAGGAAAATGTTGGGGAATGAGATATGCTTGTGTATAGTAGGTAAGGTGACATCGTACGGATTGCTTCACTGAACAAACTTTATCGAGAAAGCCCATTATTCTTTGACTTTGACCTGCAGGTAATAAAATAGATTTGGACAAAGACAGACATGTTTCAGTTGAAGAGGCTGAAAGGTGAGTACTGCTGTTGTCCCAGAGAATGCACTTGTGACGAGTGCTGTTTAACAGTTGTTATTTGTGCCTGTGCAGTTATGCTGAGTCAGTGGGTGCCAAACACTACCACACATCAGCTAAGCTAAATAAAGGAATCGAGGAGCTTTTCTTGGATCTCTGTAAAAGTAAGTGAAATGTAACAGTGAAGGTTGAACTTTTTTGGAGGACATTGTATGGCACTGCGTATTTGTTTTCATTAAAGTCGACATATATTTCTTATGCTTTATATTGTATATTTTTAAAGCTGGGAAAATGTAAGTGTAATTTTTATATTAGTTTCTTAGATTAATTTTACCTGCTGCGTCGGTACATACCGCACTCCTACTGCGGAGAACCGTTTTCCCACGCTAGACTGTGGAACGGAGCGGCCGTAGTTTGGACCGTCCTGAGATCACAACACTTTTACACTTTTGATGCGTTTGAAGTCATGTTTAAGTTTTATTTACATTGAGACAGTGCATATTTTTAATGCGTTTTTGCAATGGGTAAAGAGTTAGCCATGAAGGCCAATTTTCCCCCGTAGTCCCATTGGCCAATTGATGTGAAGATGAAAACACATTTCCTAAGAGAAGCCCCCTGTCCCCTGCACAGACACAGTGCTTTTCTTCCAATTGTCTTCACGCTTGTATCCACAAAAATTACACAAGTTTTAGCGGGATAAAGCTCGAAACCATCTTTTTGAAGTGCCTCTTTATTGCATACAATTTAAAGATTTGGGATGTTCAATTTTGGAAATTAAAACAAAAACCAAAAACCTACCCCTGTCTCTGGTGGTGGAATAGGGAGTTACAGGCGGTAAAATTATATTCAAATTTGAATGTCCAATTATATTGGGGGTGACAGTGGCTCAGTTGGTAGAGCATTGGCCTTTGGGCCTGAAAGTTGTGGGTTCAAGCCCACCACAAGACCTACTTCACAACTCCCACTGATGTCTGCTGTCGTTGTGTCCTTGGGCAAGACACTTAACCCCACTTTACCTGAAGCCCCCACTGAAAGATCAAGGCTCCTGTGGACCTGCCACCTGCAGGAGGATCAGTGAGGGGCTGGTGCTCTGTGTACTGGGTGCCGCTCTGACTGCCACCCCCTTACCCAGAAATGGATGGATGGATGTCCAAATATAATGGATGGATAGAATTCACATCCAGGCAGGGGTATATGAATAGTGAAACGTGTGCTTTAATTTCAGGGATGATGGAGACGGCTCAGGCAGAAGAGCGATTGAAGGGAAACGGTGCCAGTCAGTCTGCGTCCAACAGACGAGGGGTTCAGATCGTAGACGATGAGCCGCAGGCCACACCCGCCGGAGGATGCTGCTCCTCTGGCTGAATACTTTGCATACATTTTCATATTACCCGCTCAAAACATGAAGCAGGTTTTCTGTCTGGTGTTCTACTCAAAAGAAGCCTCTGCTGCTGTGGGCCATGGGATTGTTTTAGTTTAAATGACATAATTCCATGTTAACTTATAAAACGAGTAAATTATAATGTTGATTCTTGCACATAAAAGAGGTACAAATCAAACACCTCAGTGGACAGTATTTCTACAGAGATTCCCACATTTTATAGATACAATTTTAATATCGGCAGACAGTAATGCACAAAGGTTGTGTTTTTCCCTCCATAACGGTCCCTGTGTAATCTTTATCTTTTCTTAATAAGCCAAGGTGCAGGACAAGGTTCTAGTGGACAAAACAATTCTTGGTTTGAAGATTTCCATTATCCACATTTCTTGTTAACGCAGGTTAAACATTTTGGTGAAAATGTATAATCGAGCTGCAGTATGAGGGATTCAGAGACTTATGCCTGAATGACAAGACACACATGATTTTCTTGCTAAGTAATGAATGCATGTCTAATTTCTGTTAAACACTGTTTTAAAAAAATAAAAACTGATCCGCTATTTAATACTTTGTGTTTCATCTATCATTGTTGTAATAAGATTACCATAATTGGTCCATAAATGAAAATGAAATTACGTTCTTTGTTTTGTAGCAGAGAACACCAAGGCTGAGACATACATGGTGTTCACTGCAGAGAATGTTTGAGCACACTGCTAGCATCAGGATATTTTTAACTTGAGTATTGACCGCTATAACTGATCAAAACTTGTGTGGATCTTCACAATTGTTTTGGCTCTGTCCTGGCAAAGTAATACAATTTGAAACATGAGCCAGTTATAAATATAGAAGCAATCTTAAAAATAGGAATCAACTAGTTAAGTTCCTGTATAATATCTGCCATATTTTTGTAAGATAAAAAGCCTAAGCCTGACCCACATTGCTCTGCTAAACGCCACAACTCATCTGAGCTTAGAACCAGACAGCATAAGCTACAAAGTCTATGATTAAAACAAAGATTTAAATTACAACTGAAAGATAAATGTTTTTCAAAAATTAAACCAGATTTAAACCAATGAGCAAGATGAAACAAATGTACACTAAATATTTGGAAGGCCATGAGTCGATTAGGTTGCTTTGTGAACCTGGGACGCTTTTTAATTGTCATATTTATGTATAGATTTGTATAAAGAGTGATGTTCTGAAAGTGGCAGCTGCAGAATTCCATGAACCTTTTGTTTTTGTTGTAGAAATAGCCATGAATACAAGGTAATCAATGCCAGATGTTACAGAACCGACTTTATACAATGAGCAATGGAAATGTTTTGATTTTTATTTCTAGGCAAAAAAGGTACACAGTGGAGTTTTAATTAACTGATCCAACAAGAACCCCGTAAAAAAAATAAAAAAAAATCCAAAAACAATTTTTCTTTGGCATTTTTATTCTAAATCACACTTTAGTAGTTCACTCATCATCCCTTTTTGATTATGGCCTCTACTGTGCCCTTTGCATGCTGGATTTTCTATTCACAATGAAGTAAAAGGACATTAAAATAATCATTCAATAAAAATGCCATAAAACCTTATAAAAATCACAACATAAAAACCAAGGTAGTGGGATATCTAGAGGCCAAACATTTCACTCTTTGAAAGAGTCAGAGAGCAATTTAGTATTGTAAAAAAGTATATACATACATCTGCTGTAAAAACTAGTGAGTGCAACTTTGTAGCATTAAAGGCTTGTCTGGCAGCGTGCACATTCAGTAAAAGGAACAGAAGAGACGCCAGACAATTTCCCCTAAACCGGTTTTTCAGGTCCACTTATAAAAGAGGAGGGCGATGGTTCCCTCAGTAGACTGGGTGCATGGGAGAGTTTTGAAGCTCCTGGTATTTAGGAGGATGTGGGCTGAAGATGGCAGGCACGGTCAACAGAACCGGGGCTCTGTTGGGGTATCTCAGCTGGTGAATCATGAGAGAGGACAGGCCCATCCCCAGCAGCTGCAAATTCAGACAGTGATTCAGAATTACAACACACTTTTGGACACATTTGTACATTTTCTTGTGATTACTCACAGCAAGCGTGCCCAGAGTGAAGACAACAGCGAGCATGATGTCAGCGATCAGCAGAATGTAGTGCATCAGAATGGGGAAGCATGGCTAAACAAGATGAGGGAGAAAAAAAGTTTTAGTTTTCAAGAAAGCTGTTGTCGTTTCACCAATACTTTACAAACATTGCTACTTACTTTGGCGTAGATCTTCTTTGTCATCAATACCTGCAGAGTACACAAATATAAGTATTTTTCAAAAAGCCATTCTGCGGGGAACCATTAGGTTTTAAGCTTACCTTGTAGAGAACCCTCACACACTCAGACTCCTCAAATTCCGTGTGGCAAAGGCAAGAATCCGGAATGTTATCGCGCCAATCAGTGTAGCTGAAGAGACCGCAGCATTGCATCTAAGGAATTAACCACGACACATCAGCAACATATAACTTATTAACTGTTAGAAACAAATAGAAACAAAAAATAAGTGAGATTGTAAACATGGAGTCAGTTCTTCCCACATGGTCAGGTCTAGTCTCAAGGCCTCAGTTTGCCTCTGACTGAGATGAGGCCAGACAGCCTCATCTCAATCTGCAACCACATTTGAGCCAGTTTCTGCATCTTAAACCATGCGTCTGATCTTTTTGGGGTATAAGAATTGCAACAGAAATGCTAGTGCATGACATCCAAGTTTAATGATTATAGTTTACCTCACTCTGGATGGCTTGAGTCATCTCCTGTACATCCTCTGGGGCCTGGTCCAAAGGCAAATACTTGCTGAATGCCTCTTTCAGAACTGGCTCCATCTAAAAAACAGATGTGGATCAGCAAGATTTACAATTGATATTAAGAAGTGGGAAGTTATGGTATGTCAAGAATCAGGAATTACCCTTGGGCGAGCAAAGGCAGTGAGGAATCCAATACGAAGCATGATCAGACTCCCAATGACCATGCAGACAAGAAACTGGACAGGAATAACAAAGTATTAAACTGGCTGTAAAATGCGTTAAATCTCAAGTATAGTTTTGTTATGGGTGTTATTACTCACAGCAATCAGAGGGCCCTTCTTCTCTTTGTGGGCTCCATAGGCTCCCAGACCGGCGATCACCATAGTAATGGCACCCACCACGTACAGCATGATAAGACTGAGGGTACGGTTTTCCAGCTGTTACGGGACAAGACAGAGCATGTAAACAAGTAAGCATCAACAACAACAGTGCATTTATAATTAATTTTGTGCTCTTACATTATCAGCTCCATGTATGCTAGTTAAGACATGAGCCAGGACTGCAAGAAGGATGATGAGGCCTCCAAAAACCTGAAAATACAAGTCAAATATCAGCACAATACTATACCAATGATGGGTTCTATAACAGTGCGATATGAAGTTGCCTCAGGGAAATGTACGTTCAAAACAAATAAAGATTGCAATGTTTTTAAAGATCCTTATGTCGGAAACTACACAAGAGAAGAGAAGAAGCATTTGGAAACACCCATATCACGTAATGCAGTGTTTTTTCAACCATGTGTGCCTTGAGATAATGCTCGTTGTGCCTTTGGAAATTGTCCATTATCCCTTATTGGTCAAAATAACGTGAAACTAAAATAAAAATAAGATTAAGATTATTTGTCCCAGTGGGGAAATTTCAGACTTGCATCACAGATATCAGAACAGTAGGAAAGAGGAACACACAGCACAAGATAAGTTAACAATAGCAATACTAATTAAAATAAAACAAATTCTCAAACTCTAGCATCAAAAGGGCAAGTAAACACCTCTTTCTTGAAAATAATAATAATAAAGTATAAAAGTTGTACATTTGGCAAAATAAGAGGAAAGTACAAAGTACTGTGTATTCTAGTGCAAGCAGTACACTATAACGTGAGAAGATTCCAAATATTCGATGTAACACACTTTGATGAGAATTACTTTACTTTGCTCCACAGTTTCACTTTAGTTTCAGTTTTGCCATATGATGTTTTCACTGTAATAGGTGTGTCACGGCTCAAAAAAGGTTGGGGAACACAGACATAACCCGGGAAAAAGTTAATTAAATCCCTGTTTTTGATGTTTGTTAGAGTATAAAGTTGTATAGCAGCCTTGACTATTAACTTGACGTCGCTAAAGTGTATTTAAAGTCTCCTCTAGTCTAAATAGACACCCCACCCCCACTCACTGCGCACTTTGAATTCCCTAAAGGTGAGACACTGGAGTCAAACATAGACTTTACTTACGGCAAAGATGATATTGAAAATGGTGAATGTACGTTTGAGACAAGTGTTGATTTCTCCCATGTTTGCGGTGGTGTTGGGTCAGTGGTGGCGTCTTTGTCTGTGGAAGAGAGAAGCTTGTGTCTGATCTCCCACTGTCCGCTCTGAAGCCTCCAGCGTCAGAGAACCAGACACCTCTTTTTGCCTGGGAAAGACAGGGGCGGGACTTCCAGTAAAAGATAAAGCCGATCGAGCCGAACAAACAGACTGAAAATATACACTGCACAATTTTGCACACTGTCTGTACAGGGAAAAAAACAGAATGGACGCCGATACTTAAACACATTTAATTCTTATTTAAAAACTGTTTTACTAAAAGGGGGCGTGCCTTTAATTCCAGATATGGACATCCGCTCACGTAACCCGAATCAGGATCAGGATGGCTTACTGGAAGAGAAACGGAAATTTCCGAAACGAGACATTTGTCCGGACATGATCCTCCTTTGTCAAAAATCAAGTAGAATGAAAGTGAAAAATAAACTTGGAGGAAGGTCTATCTCACTGTTATCTTTGTAGGTCACGGGCATGGTGAACTGTTTCCGTGTCTCACAAGTGTTTAGTCTGGCGTTGATAGCATCTATTCTAAAATATATGATTTCAGCAGACATTCAAATGCGTTATATAAATACAATAATTTATTATTATTATTATTATTATTGTTATTATTATCATTAGTAGTAGTATTAGTATTATTAGTAGAATTTGTCTATTCATAGCGTACATTCATTTGTCTCCGCAACCACAACAGGGACCGCAAACATGAAAATATCTTCTTGAGCAGCAGAGGGCGCTCGGGTTCAGTATAAACATCGGTGCTGGACTTGAACCACAAACCTCTATTGGTTATATTTAGAGACAAATCCGGTGTCAGCTGCTACACCCAGTATACGTATATTATATTATTGTACAGTCTATGGTGTGTAGTGATGCATATCAAAAGGCCTACGTTGTACAAGTCCCGCTGCAATAATGTGACCGTATATTGGCAATGTCGGGGACAGCCAATATGAGCAGCAAGCCCCCTCCTCCCTCTGCCTCTCCGGGGTTGTCAAAATCACATGTAGCTTTGCGGTCACCGCTGATGCCAGTGCTCCGTACAGACTCTTCATCATTCTTATAGATGCCGTAGTGGATCTATAAGATGCTCTCTGGCCGCAGCTGGTGAATCATGAGAGAGGACAGGCCCATCCCCAGCAGCTGCAAATTCAGACAGTGATTCAGAATTACAACACACTTTTGGACACATTTGTACATTTTCTTGTGATTACTCACAGCAAGCGTGCCCAGAGTGAAGAAAACAGCGAGCATGATGTCAGCGATCAGCAGAACGTAGTGCATCAGAATGGGGAAGCATGGCTAAACAAGATGAGGGAGAAAAAAAGTTTTAGTTTTCAAGAAAGCTGTTGTCGTTTCACCAATACTTTACAAACATTGCTACTTACTTTGGCGTAGATCTTCTTTGTCATCAATACCTGCAGAGTACACAAATATAAGTATTTTTCAAAAAGCCATTCTGCGGGGAACCATTAGGTTTTAAGCTTACCTTGTAGAGAACCCTCACACACTCAGACTCCTCAAATTCCGTGTGGCAAAGGCAAGAATCCGGAATGTTATCGCGCCAATCAGTGTAGCTGAAGAGACCGCAGCATTGCATCTAAGGAATTAACCACGACACATCAGCAACATATAACTTATTAACTGTTTAGAAATAAATAGAAACAAAATATAAGTGAGATTGTAAACATGGAGTCAGTTCTTCCCACATGGTCAGGTCTAGACTCAAGGCCTCAGTTTGCCTCTGACTGGGGAACAAGAATTGCAACAGAAATGCTAGTGCATGACATCCAAGTTTAATGATTATAGTTTACCTCACTCTGGATGGCTTGAGTCATCTCCTGTACATCCTCTGGGGCCTGGTCCAAAGGCAAATACTTGCTGAATGCCTCTTTCAGAACTGGCTCCATCTAAAAAACAGATGTGGATCAGCAAGAGTTACAATTGATATTAAGAAGTGGGAAGTTATGGTATGTCAAGAATCAGGAATTACCCTTGGGCGAGCAGAGGCAGTGAGGAATCCAATACAAAGTATGATCAGACTCCCAATGACCATGCAGAAAAGAAACTGGACAGGAATAACAAAGTATTAAACTGGCTGTAAAATGCGTTAAATCTCAAGTATAGTTTTGTTATGGGTGTTATTACTCACAGCAATCAGAGGGCCCTTCTTCTCTTTGTGGGCTCCATAGGCTCCCAGACCGGCGATCACCATAGTAATGGCACCCACCACGTACAGCATGATAAGACTGAGGGTACGGTTTTCCAGCTGTTACGGGACAAGACAGAGCATGTAAACAAGTAAGCATCAACAACAACAGTGCATTTATAATTAATTTTGTGCTCTTACATTATCAGCTCCATGTATGCTAGTTAAGACATGAGCCAGGACTGCAAGAAGGATGATGAGGCCTCCAAAAACCTGAAAATACAAGTCAAATATCAGCACAATACTATACCAATGATGGGTTCTATAACAGTGCGATATGAAGTTGCCTCAGGGAAATGTACGTTCAAAACAAATAAAGATTGCAATGTTTTTAAAGATCCTTATGTCGGAAACTACACAAGAGAAGAGAAGAAGCATTTGGAAACACCCATATCACGTAATGCAGTGTTTTTTCAACCATGTGTGCCTTGAGATAATGCTCGTTGTGCCTTTGGATATTGTCCATTATCCCTTATTGGTCAAAATAACGTGAAACTAAAATAAAAGATAAGATAAGCTTTATTATCTCACATAGGAGAAATTTACATGTCACATTTGGCATGGATAGAACACTCAGATTGTGCAAAGGGAGGAAATGTGCAAACATGTTACATGCAGGATATATGTACAATAAAAGTGATAATAATTATGTACAACAAAAGTGACAAGTGTCAATTGGAAACAGTGTCAATAGTAGTGCAGGTTTTCACACAGTGATCATTTAAAGTGACTTATTGTACAGTCTGACAGCGGTGGGGATAAAGGCCCTGCGGTAGCGCTCCTTCCTACACTGAGGGTGCCTCAGTCTTCCACTGAAGGAGCTCCTCAGCTCCTCTACAGTCCTGTGCAGTGAGTGGGAGTAGGGCTGGGCGATAAAACGATAACGATATATATCGCGATAGACATGTGTTCGATATCAATAGAGAATGGGGTCGATAGAATGTTCGATAGTTTAACTTAACTCCGTCAGGAAAAACAGGAAGAAAACACCGGAAGTAAAGCCGACTCATAAGCGCATGGCATTGTGGGGGATGTAGGCAGAGGCTTCTCGACCAATAACAGCCGAGCAGGAACCGCAAAACTTTGTGGGAAATGCAAAAACACCAACAACCGCACCATGCGTAGCGTCCATGGATCTATAGCTCGTGTTTCAATGCCGTGTCAATGGTTATGCACGTACGTGCGCGGAATAACATGTGCGGCGGCAGAGGCAGTGGACAGACCCGATGTATTCGGCGAAAGCAAGAGATTCACTTTTTCCTCGGGAAGCATGTGCGGCACAGAGAGCCGCACGGAGCGGTCACGGGGACACAAGACCCTCAAACAGCTAAACCAGGAGCTAAACCAGGAATAAAAAACCAGGATTAAACCAGGACTAACAACGAGGGACACAGTGTGAACATATTTCTCCAGCCTCATTGCCCCGTGACTGTAAACAAGGCCGCTAAGGTTGTGTCAGGATTTAGCAGACAGAGACGGATCGTGGTGCGCCAAACTCTGGAAGTTTATTTAAGTTTCTCTCAAGTTCCACTGGTTTCCTTTGTCTCTTTCTCTCAGACAGAATAAAGGCAGTACACAGTTTATATAGTCATTGTCACGTCACACATAGAAAGACGTACGTGTCACAAAGAGACAGTCAAATCATAGTCATAACATGGAGTCCTTGTAGAGTCCTTGTACAGTCCTGCACGTAGGCCATATTGCTATCTAATACTAACACCTGGTTAGCCCACACAACAAATATATTTAGGTAATTTAGGTTATTTAGGTAAAAAAAAAAAACTCTATATATATCGTTATCGACTGATATGAATGACTTATATCGTGATATAGTTTTCAGCCATATCGCCCAGCCCTAGGTGGGAGGTATTGTTCATGATGGAGGTGGCTTTGGCTAGCACCCTCCTGTCCCTCACCTCCTCCACAGAGTCCAGGGAGCAGCCCAGAGTGGAGCTGGCTCTCCTGACCAGCTTGTTCAGTCTGTTTCTGTCCCGCTCTGTGCTGCCCGGGGCCCAGCACACGGCAGCGTAGTAAATGGCAGAAGCTACCACAGAGTCATAAAAAGTCCTGAGCAGAGACCTGCTCACTCCGAAGGACCTCAGCCTCCTCAGAAGGAAGAGGCGGCTTTGGCCCTTCTTGTGCAGGGCGTTTGTATTATGGGACCAGTCCAGTTTATTGTTAATGTGAACACCCAGGTACTTGAAGCTGTCCACCAGCTCAATGTCCTCCCCCTGGATGTTCAGCAGCGTGTGGGAAAGTGGTTTTCTCCTGAAGTCGATGATCATGTCCTTGGTCTTACTAGTGTTCAAGCACAAGTGGTTGCACTCACACCAGTCGACAAAGTCCTTGATAACCGACCGATTTTCCAGTTCGTTCCCCTCAGACACACAGTCCACGATGGCGGAGTCGTCGGAGAACTTCTGCAGGTGACAGCTGTGTGTGTCGTGTGTGAAGTCTGAGGTGTAGATGGTGAAGAGAAACGGTGAGAGGACAGTGCCCTGAGGGGCCCCAGTGCTGCAGACTACCACCTCAGACTCACAGCTGCGCAGCCGCACGTACTGTGGTCGGTCTGAGAGGTAGTTGATGGTCCATGCAGTGAGGCTACTGTCCACTCCCGCGTCCTCCATCTTCCCCTGCAGCAGTGCCGGTTTGATGGTATTGAAAGCGCTGGAGAAGTCGAAAAACATGACCCTCACAGCGCTCCCGGCGGGCTCCAGGTGGGAGAGCGTCCGCTGCAGGAAGTAGATGACGGCGTCCTCTACTCCGATGTTGGGTCTGTAGGCGAACTGCAGCGGGTCCAGGGTGGGGCTGACCACGGAGCGGAGATGGGTGAGGATGAGCCGCTCCATGGTCTTCATCAGGTGGGAGGTCAGTGCGACTGGTCTGTAGTGAGCCGGTTCCTTGGCGTGTGCTGTTTTTGGGACCGGGATCACACAGGAGGTCTTCCACAGGACAGGGACCTTCTCCAGGCTGAGGCTCAGGTTGTACATTTAGCTGAGGACCCCAGAGAGCTGGTCTGCACAGGTCCTCAGCAGCCTGGGACTGATCCCGTCCGGTCCTGCGGATTTCCTCAGCTTCAGGCGCTGGAGCTGACTCCTCACCTGGTCCGGTGTGATGGAGAGGGGGGGGGGGGGGGGGGGGGGTGTACTGTCCGAGGTGGGGGCTGGGGATGCGGGGGCAGGAGGGCCCAGGGCAGCCGGAGGCAGTGTCCACTGGGCGGTGTCCACTGGGCTGGGGACGTGTGAAGAGGTGGGGGCGGGAGGGGGGGCAGATGGAGAGGGGGGAGAATCAAACCGGTTGAAGTACTGGTTAAATTCATCCACCCGGTGCTGGTCTCCATCCGCTGTCCCTCTGGCACTCTGTCCAAAGCCGGAGATGTTCTTTAGGCCTCTCCACACGTCGCGGGCATTTCCCTGAGCCAGCTTCTGCTCCAGCTTTTTCCCATAGTCCTTCTTGGCCCTCCTGATACTCCACTGGAGCTCATGCTGGATCCTCTTCTGCTCCTCCCTGTCCCCTGAGATGAAAGCCCTTTTCTTGAGGTTGAGGAGGGCTTTAAGCTCAGGGGTCACCCATGGGTGGTTGTTAGAAAAACACCGCACCTTCTTAGTTGGTACCGTGTTATCCGCACAGAAGAGAATATAGTCTGTAATGCAGTGTGTCAGGCTCTCGATGTCCTCACCATGAGAGCTGCAGATCATTTCCCAATCAGTATTTTGAAAACAATCTCAAAGGATTAAAGGACAACTCACCCTCAAATCCAATTTTTTTTGCTGATAAACAATTTAAATGAGTGTCCAATAGTGTTGTCTACATATCCTGGTCATAATTTTGTCACTTTGGTGCAAATTAGGGTTTAATATTTTTCCCAAAAATGAGCCATATCAAATCCCGGGAAAAGACGACGCCGTTCCCGGGAATTCCCGGGAAATAGCTGTTGTTTGTAGTTGTTGTTTTTAGCCCAAGTAATGTATGATATCACTCAAATATATAATCCAACAAAAGCTGCCGTCTCCACTAGTGTTTCACCAAGCGACTTGCTAGCTTTTCTAAAGTAGCCATAGCGTTTTCAGACGTTTTGTTGATGGGCTTTCTTCAGGAATTTCACTATTATGAGATTCTAAATGTCTGCACAATCCACTTGTCGACCAGTGACGTGCGGTGTGGTTTGGAGGCACTGACTTCAGCCCAATCAGATGAACATATATCATAAAAATCAACAGAACCTACAAAGCGGCTTATTCATAATTAGTTTGGCTACAGCAGAATGTTTTCCATGGCCCGCATTGTTTGCTCAAACAAAACGCAAAAGTTCGTAAAAGGTACATTTCCAATTGTGTTATGGGTCTTACCTTAGTTATTAATGAACAGCACAGACCACTTCAGTTCAGACCAGTTTCATGTTTAAGTCCAGATAATAGTTTGAGCGCAGATATGTAATCCCCCATTTGGAAATAAGCCCAAAGAGTTTTAAAGCGTAAAACAAAACGGGTGCCACCTCCATAAACTCCTCCGTGTGTTCGCTGCAGCCGGCTCTCGGGTATGGGGTGCCGATTGTAAAAATTCTGTTAAAATTTTTTAGCTGAACATTTTTCTACATTTAGCTCACTTTCCTCACATTTAGCACATTTTCCTCACATTTAAGACATATCTATATCTAAATATTATATCTATATCTAAATGTTAAATGTTATATCTAAATATTATATCTATATCTAAATGTTATATCTATATCTAAATGTTAAATCTAAATGTTAAATCTAAATGTTATATCTATATCTAAATGTTATATCTATATCTAAATATTATATCTATATCTAAATGTTAAATCTAAATATTATATCTATATCTAAATGTTATATCTATATCTAAATGTTAAATCTAAATGTTAAATCTAAATGTTAAATCTAAATGTTAAATCTAAATGTGTCGCCAAGTGTAAAGCTAAATATATAGAAACCACGCCCACTGCAGTGGCTTCAAATCCAGTGGGCCCGCCTTCCGTGCCGTGTGGTGAGAACCCTACAGGATTACACAGGAATCTCACGGGACTCCACGTGGCTTAGTTTACAGTGAATACACTCTGGCTCCAGCAAATAAGCAAGAATCTTCACAAAAATGCTAATTTTGTGCCGTGGCCAAGGACGATGGCGCCGGAGACCCAACATGCCTTGAGCCGTGACGTCGGTCCACGTGTATTCCTATGTTCAAAACACGCGGTACCGCCCCCACTCACCACACGGCACGGAAGGCGGGCCCACTGGATTTGAAGCCACTGCAGTGGGCGTGGTTTCTATATATTTAGCTTTACACTTGGCGACACATTTAGATTTAACATTTAGATTTAACATTTAGATTTAACATTTAGATTTAACATTTAGATTTAACATTTAGATATAGATATAACATTTAGATATAGATATAATATTTAGATATAACATTTAACATTTAGATATAGATATAATATTTAGATATAGATATAACATTTAGATATAGATATAACATTTAGATATAGATATAACATTTAGATTTAACATTTAGATTTAACATTTAGATTTAACATTTAGATATAGATATAACATTTAGATATAGATATAATATTTAGATATAACATTTAACATTTAGATATAGATATAATATTTAGATAGATATGTCTTAAATGTGAGGAAAATGTGCTAAATGTGAGGAAAGTGAGCTAAATGTAGAAAAATGTTCAGCTAAAAAATTTTAACAGAATTTTTACAATCGGCACCCCATACTCGGGCGCATCCAATTTCTAATATCAACCTTCTTACCCTTCTCCTCTCTTCCTTATCATTCCTATCGTCACTGGAAGCAGAACATTACCCTAAATGCATTTTATATGATCTTAAAATGTGTTATATGTATGTTAGCCAAACCTGTTGCTGCCCTTAGCAGATGGAAAAAAAAGAAAGGAGCTTTCTGATAGAATTGGACGTAGCCAAATTCTGGGCTCTCATGTGCCCCGTACCCTGAGGCTGGCCTCATTACAAGTCGTGGTTTAGCGCGATTAAGACCCATATTTGTTGTCAAAAACACAATTTATGAGCCATCCTCTCAGCTGTAGACATGTTGATTGTAAATGAAATATGTTTCAACTTTGAACAACAATAAACATGCTCTATAATTGGAGCGCACTGGATTTTTTTTTTAACTTTAATTTCCCGGTTCCCGTCATAACATTTCCCGGGAATCGGGAAATAGTTTTGATCAGATTTCCCGGGAATCCCGTGTCTCGGGATTAAACCCTAGTGCAAATTAGTTGAAAGTTAAACTTTCTGCCTAAAACCGTCTGTGAGGCGCCATCTGCTGGCGACCTGTATTACTACATTTGCATTTTGAATCTGGCGCCAACACTGGCGCGGCAGCAAGACCTGACGTCTGAAGCAAGACCTGACGTCAGCAGCCCCCCGCCCAGAGCAATGTAAACGGCCCAGTCTCATTCACGCCCCCTTTAGTCCTCCAGGCTACGCCCATTTAGAGGAAGATTTGAGCAGGAAATGTGAGTGACGTAAGCTCCGAGGAGAGGGGGTGTCCCAGTGGAGAAATTTCAGACTTGCATCACAGATATTAGAACAGTAGGAAAGAGGAACACACAGCACGAGATAAGTTTACAATAGCAATACTAATTAAAATAAAACAAATTCTCAAACTCTAGCATCAAAAGGGCAAGTAAACACCTCTTTCTTGAAAATAATAATAATAATAAAGAAGTATAAAAGTTGTACATTTGGCAAAATAAGAGGCAAGTATAAAGTACTGTGTATTCTAGTGCAAGCAGTGCACTATAACGTGAGAAGATTCCAAATATTCTATGTAACACACTTTGATGAGAATTACTATACTTTGCTCCAGTTTTACTTTAGTTTCAGTTTTGCCATATGATGTTTTCACTGTAAAAGGTGTGTCACGGTGTTCTGTCGAGTTGGTCTGCCTGTCGAGATGATCTGGCTCAGCTGTTAATGATGTAATGCAAACCTGCGCATGCGCGTCGCACGGCAGCCGAAGCAATCCAAGATGGCGGACATGTAGTCCGCGAATTGCTTTAAAAGTTTAATACAAACAAATTAAGACACAAATGTCTCTTTTAATGCAATTTGAGGCGAGATGTTGATGGTTCCACGTTGTGATATGTGTGTTTTAAGAGTAAGAGTTTCGTGTAAAATTTGTTTTAAGCAGTACACTGCTCCTGTGAAACTACACTGCTGCTGTGTGATCGCAGTCCCTGAGTTGACTGCTGCATACGTCAGGCCCATGACGCGTCCTGTGACTGGTCTGTCAAGTTGATAATGGAAAAAATAAATTACATTTTATGCATGTATCATACTGTATTCAATATGATTAATAATAGTGTGTTCAAACGAAATATTTAATTAGATTGAGTTTTTTCCCCATTCTGGCGGGTTGCTGCGCATGCGCAAGTCAGATTTGGGCACACTAGCAGTGTAGTTTCACTGGATCAGTGGACTGCTTAAAACAAACTTTACACGAAACTCTTACTCTTAAAACCGACATGTCACAACGCGGAACCATCAACATCTCGCCTCAAATTGCATTAAAAGTGAAATTCGTGTCTTAATTCGTTCGTGTTTAACTTTTAGCAGCTTTGGCTGCCGTGAGACGCGCAGTGCTGGTTTGCATTACATCATTAACAGCTGAGACAGATCATCTCGACAGGCAGACCAACTCGACAGAACAACGGCTCAAAAAAGGTTGAGTAGACTTCCGGTTATGGTGCGCTCCTAACAGCACGTGCGTCCGAGGCTCAGGTGTAACTTTTTAACTAATTACAATCAGACACTCAGTACTATGGACTAAACAGCAGTAACATCTTTGAACAACGCAAGGAACCAGAATGCCACCTAAACTGAATGCCGGGAAGACCGGGAAATCTTCTAAACCCGGGGGTAATTCCCCGTGCGCTGTTGAGCTAGCGGGGGAGCTAAGTAGCATTGAGGCTGGCAATGAGAAGGCTAGCGATAGCTCGTGTGAGATACTAGCCGCTATCAGCTCTCTAAGTAGTGAATTCTCGTCAATGAAAGAATACTTTGCGTCAAAATTGGACGGTTTACTGGGGGCTGTTAACAAAGTGCAAGAAGATTTGACAGCACTGACGAATCGGACAACTGAAGCTGAACGGAGAATAAGTTCAAATGAAGACGAGCTGTCCCGCATGGGAGCCCAAACTAGCTTGACTACAGCCAGAGTGGAGGAGCTCCTGCGTAAAGTGGATGACCTGGAAAACCGTGCTCGCCGCTCGAATATACGACTGGTTGGCCTCCCAGAGTCAAAAGAAGGATTGGATATGTGTGTTTTTTTGGAGAGATGGATTCCAACGACGCTCGGGGAACGCAACTTTCCACAACCTCTGGTGATTGAAAGGGCACACAGAGTTGGCCGAATGTGGAATAACGGTACTGCTTCGGGATCACAAGATCCCACTGTGCGACCCAGAGCAGTGGTTATGAAGCTCCTCAACTACGCTGACAAGGTCCGTATTATGAATGCAGCCCGAAGCGCAGGCAACGTGCTCGTAGATGGAAGAAAAGTTATGTTTTTCCCGGATCTATCCTCCGAGTTACTTAAGAAGAGAAAGCTGTTTGATGCCGTGAAGAGGGACCTAGCTGGTCTAAAACTTCAGGATCTGCGCTACGGGTTAGTCCATCCAGCTACACTGCTTGTGACTATCAGGGGAAGACGCCACACGTTTGAAAAAGCGGAGGCAGCTGAGACTTTTGTGCGAAGGCTGAGGCAGGAGAGGAGCGGGACGTCAGCGGAGGACGCGGAGTAGCGCTACAATCTTCCTCATCAATACTTAAATAACTGCAGGTGACTTTTATCCTTTCTGCTTCATGTGACTACGAACACTGTTTTGATACTGTCTAGAAGCAGGCAGTGTGTTAGATCTGGAACTATTTTGTTTAGCTGTTTGTGTTTTACTAATGTATGTTCTGATTGTGAAAGAAAGTGTGTATCATTTATTATTAATCATTACTATTATATTTTGTTTATTTTTTATTTATTTTTTGCACCGGGCCTTGTTTTGACCATTTGAGTATGCTGTTCCTCACACGTGTGGACTGGCTTAGCCTCATAGCTAGACTCAACCTTCGGGGAGTCTTTTGGAAGTGTAGATTTTGGGAGGGGATTGTGTATTTCATTTGGGGAAATACATCTTGTTATGTTCAGGTTATAGGCACTTTATGTTGTGGTGGTTTGCTTTTGTTTTTTAATCCTATTTGTGTTTTACCTTATTCTATAATATACACACTTAATAATACTTGTTACCCATATGTTGTGTAGTCTCAATATTATAATTCATTACCATGTCTTCTGAACTACAGTTCACATCCTGGAATGTGAGGGGTCTTAACAAATTAGTGAAACTTAAGCAAGTAATGAGCAGAATTAAGGACTTGAAAGCTAAGATTGTGTTTTTGCAAGAGACTCATCTGATCCCAGAGGATCTAGTGAAGGTGAGAAGGAGATGGACTGGTCATATTTTTTCAGCTTCTTTCAGTTCTAAGTCTCGTGGGGTAATAACTCTAGTGCATCGTTCAGTGCCCTTTCGTCTGATAAATGTAGAAGCAGACAGACTAGGGAGATTCCTTATTATACAATGTGAAATTAACTCTATCAGATTGAACTTAATTAATTTATATGGCCCCAACATTGATAATCCGGCATTTTTCAGGAATTTGTTCCTGTCTATGGCAGACTTGCCTGGTGCCTGTGTTGTAGGTGGAGACTTTAATTGTGTCTTCAACCGGAAATTGATAGATCAACTGGAAGGGACGCTTCACATATCCAAACCAGGAAAGAGCTACTTTATCACATTAGTGAACTCAATTTGACAGACATTTGGAGAAAATTCCACTCTAATCAATCAACCTTTTCGTGCTTCTCTGCTACTGCCCAAACATTTTCTAGGATCGACTACTTTTTGGTTTCAGCATCCCTTTTATCTGCCGTTTCTAAGGCCTGGTATGATAGTATTGTCATCTCAGATCATGCATCAGTATCTTTTAGTTTAAAGCTGCTACCACAGTCTTCGCCCCCGAGATGGCGTTTGCAGCCTTTCTGGTTGAAGGATCCAGGGTTTATGGAATATATTGGGGCACAAATTTCAGATTTTTTTGTTAACAATACTGATCAAACATCAGCTTCTATTCGATGGGAAGCATTCAAAGCATTTTTAAGAGGCCATATGATAAGCTATACAAGCTCCAAACATAAATCTTGGAGGTCAGAAATGGAGCAATTGGAATCTAAATTAAATCAAACTCAACTAAGACATTTTACGAACCCCTCAGAGCAAACATTTAAAGAACTACTTGAAATAAGAGCTAAATACAATGTGCTTTCAGTAAATAAAGCGACCAAAAGCCTTCTGAGGTTAAAGCAGTCCTACTATGAACAAGGAGAAAGAGCCAGTAAATTGTTGGCATGGCGTATTAAACAATCAGAATCCGAAAGAACCATAAACACTATAGAAACTAATGGAGGCTCTGAGACTAGTAACTTCAAAGAAATAAATAACACTTTTAAAACATTTTATGAGAATTTATACATATCAGAAGTCTCTCCTCATGCATTGGACAACCAGAAACAATTCTTAGATTCATTGAACATCACTCCTCTAGAAGATAATTTATTGGCTGACATAAATTTGGAAATTAGTACCAATGAATTGGCGACAGCCGTTAGAAGCATGAAGGGGTCCAAAACACCAGGGCCAGATGGAATTCCCATTGAAATATATAAATCTTTTCACAACTTATTAATGCAACCCATGCTTGACATGTACAAAGAGTCTTTAAATAATGGAACTCTGCCTCCTTCGCTGAACACAGCCATTATTACACTACTGTTAAAACCAGGCAAGTCCGCGACTTTGTGTGGATCTTATAGACCAATATCCCTCTTAAACAATGACTTAAAAATTCTTTGCAAAGCTTTGGCTAGGCGTTTAGAGAAACTGATACCACAAATGGTACATACCGATCAAAATGGCTTTGTTCAGGGACGGCATGGTTTTCACAACATTCGACGGGTACTGAACGTTATATTTGAGAATTCTGGTTGCAAAGACACTGCAATTTTGTCGTTAGATGCCGAGAAGGCTTTTGATAAGGTTGAATGGCACTTCTTATTTGAAGTTCTTCAACGATTTGGGATAAAAAAGTCATTTTTGGACTGGGTTAAATTGCTTTATGCAGACCCCCAGGCTATTGTACTTACAAACGGGCATGTATCCACTCCTTTTAAGTTGTATAGAGGGACGAGACAGGGTTGCCCCCTGTCTCCGTTACTATTCACATTAGCAATTGAGCCTCTTGCAATTGCGATCCGTAATAACGCATGTATAAGGGGAATTTCAATAGGAGATAACGAGCACCGCATTGGCTTGTATGCCGATGATGTTGTATTGTTCTGCTCTAACCTTAAAACATCAATACCTGCTTTGCTACAATTAGTAGAATATTTTGGTAGTTTTTCAGGGTATAAGATAAACAACTCAAAATCCGTTATATTATTCTTGGACAAATTTGAACGAATGAATCCTCCCCTTCATGTCCCCTTTGAGGTCTGCGTTAGTGGCTTCACCTACCTCGGTGTCAGAATTACTCCTACCATTGATGAGGTTGTCTCAAAAAACTACAAGGACCTTGATGAAAAGGTTGTACAATCAATAAATAGGTGGAACAATTTACCCATCTCGATGATTGGCCGCATAAATATACTAAAAATGAATATATTGCCCAAGTATTTATATTTATTTCAATGTATTCCTCTTGCTCCCCCGCCATACTTTTTCAGAATAATTAATAGACTCTTCTCTGCTTTTATATGGAACAAAAAGCGCCCCAGGATTAGACTCTCTCTACTGTATTTACCTTATGACAGAGGTGGTTTAAAATTGCCTAACCTCGAATGGTATTACTGGGCAGCACAAATAAGAGCATGTATGTTTTATTTTCAAAGAGACCACCTCCCTGCTTGGGTTTCAATGGAAACACATTTGATCAGTATTCCTCCAAACTTATACATTTTCTCTGCCAATCAGCGCACATTACTTAAGAATACAAAAAATCCTTTCCTCCGGAATACATTGTTGGTTTGGGGCACTGTCTTGACTTATTTGGGGGAAAGAGCTGATCTTTCTCAATTTTCTCCAATATTTGGAAATGAGGAATTCACCCCTGGCAAGGCAGACCCCGGGTTTAAAATCTGGGCAACATTAGGTCTAGAGAAAATTGCGGACTTGTATGATGAAAACAAGACCCTCATGTCTTTCGAAGATTTGAAATCCACATTTAACATCCCTTCAAAGCATTTCTTTAAATATTTGCAGCTCCGCAGTTTTATTCTGTCCAAGCGAAAACAATGTCTGTCAATCCCAACCCTGTCCACATTGGAAGAATGCATTTTAAAATTCTTACACTTTAAAGGGCAGGTTTCACTATTTTATACTCTCTTTGAAAATAAATCTACAGAATCATCTCAACGCTTTCGCCGGGCTTGGGAACGAGATCTGCAACAAGATATTACAGAGGAACAGTGGTCAAAATGTTGCAAATTATCCCAGTCTCAATCTATAAATGTGAACTCCAAACTGTTACAGTATAAATGGTTAAGTAGATGGTACATCACCCCGGTTAAATTAAACCATTTTAATCCCAATATTCCAGACACATGCTTGAAATGTAAGGACCAAAAGGGCACTTTGTTCCATTGTATGTGGGATTGCCCGCATATTTTTTCATTCTGGAAGAATGTTTTGTCTTTTGTGAGTGGGGTTGTGGGCAAGAACGTTCCTGCAGACCCTAAAATGTGTTTGTTGAATTTGTACCCCGAGGGCTTTGTGACCTCAAAAAACGTTGTGTCTTTATTGAACATTTGTTTTTTGGAAGCCAAGCGCTGTATCGCTACTTCATGGAAATCAGACACTCCGAGCACTGTTGCACAGTGGTTGAAAGGCATGGTTTTGTATTTAGCTTTAGAAAAAATAAGCTGGGTCAGTAAAAACAAACTCGACAATTTTCTACAAATGTGGAATATCTTCTATGGTTTTCTTAGGAATAACAATATCTCAGTTGATGGTTGGACTGATGCAGACTAAGTATATTGTATTTTCATTTGATTTCATTATTTGTGTATATTTACTTTATCCAATACTTGTGTAGACACCCCATCCATGTTGTGAAAGTGCCTTGTGTTCATATAAAAAACTGTAAAATTTCAATAAATACATGTTTGAAAAAAAAAAAAAGAAAAAAGGTTGGGGAACACAGATATAACCCGGGAAAAAGTTAATTAAATCCCTGTTTTTGATGTTTGTTACAGTATAAAGTTGTATAGTAGCCTTGACTATTAACTAAACGTCGCTAAAGTGTATTTAAAGTCTCTTCTAGTCTAAATAGACACCCCACCTCCACTCACTGCGCACTTTGAATTCCCTAAAGGTGAGACACTGGAGTCAAACATAGACTCAGTGGCGTTCCAAGGGTACCCCGGGGCCCCAGGCAAAAGAGTCCTTGGGGGCCCCGATACCGACCATATAACCACATAAAAAGGTTAATACTGCAGTAGATATAAATATATTATTTATTTTGCATCATAAAGTTGAAACAGAATTGACAAAATACTAACAACAACAAAGATCAGCAGAACAACAATATTATGAAAACATAATTAACAACTAAACAAAGCTAATAGGTTCTCAACTCTGTGACAATACTTCTTTGTAGAACTTGCATATTATAGCAATAATCCTGTGGATTACATGCTTTCCAGAGCTGCTCCTCAAGGTGCAATAGATCCTGGTTTATTTGATCTAGAGCAGATTTTGTTTTTAACCTTATCTGGAGCTCATGCCAACTTTTCATGTTATTTATATGGGTTTGGAATATTCATGCTCTTTTAAATGTGCAACAAGGTTTTTCCAGTTTTTAAACCCTCCTTTAGTTAGAGCATTATTGCCCTTTTTGCCAAATATTTTGCAAGCAAAGCAAAACACTGAATCGGTCGATTTTGAATATACTAGCCATGTTCGCTTTATTTTTTCACCATTTCTCATGACCATGTAATAATTTTCCTTTGTGAATCTCCGAGGATTTTGTTCATTGCTTTGAGGAAAAACAATATCCGTCACCTGAAGAGGACCTTTTTTCACCAGGGAACATCAGGCCACTGTCCAGGATCAGAAGATGTCAATCTTATTGGTGTTGCTTTTTCTTGGTCTGTGTCGTTTGAGCTGAAACCAATTAAAAAAACACATGAATTCTCAAAAGAAAAACACAATAACCATAAATAATCCTGATGTGATATCATTACTTGAACAAACACTATGTTTAGTCTCTTTTTACAGCCTTTACAATTACAATTGTTGCTAAAGATGGCTTGCTAAGTATGTCCATATTTACATGACTATTTATGTATTTTTAATTTACACATCTTCAAAATACAAACCAACTTAGATAGTGTTTTATTTTCAAGTATACCTCTTATATTTGTTTGAAATTATAGATATGGTAGATACTACAAAAGGCCATAGTGTGTAAAATTCAAGCATTTTTTTAACTAAATATATTATTGCACTAATATCATACCTGGAGTGGGTGCTTGTGGTTCTGTTTGGTCCTCTTGGTCAATGGAGGTAGGCGACGAAATGTTGACAATTGCAGTATGGGATATAGCTGACTGCTGCTCTGTCCAGGGCTGTAGAGCTTGAGGGGGCAGTAAACCTTGGCGTGGCAGTACTTGGGGCTGTAGTAGTGTGTATAGCGGCAGACTGAGCTTAAAGATAAAGAGAAATCAAACATGGCATTAACGTTGTAATGTATTTTGATAAAATATCTTTAGAAGTAAGAATATATATAGATAAAGTACTTACAACTAGCAGCCTGTTCCTGATTTGAAGAAGATGAGGGAACTAAAAATTGTCTTAGCAATCCTGAGCAAAAGGGGAAAAATATATAATTTAGTAAGTAAAAATGCAACATCTATTAATTATTTACATTAACATTAACAGGTAGACAATTTCTTATTTCTAACAATATATGTACAAGTCTGGGGCCTGCCTGGCATACTGCACAGTCTACCATAGAAAATTAGTATTTTAAAAAGTATTTGGTGACGAAAAGCAATGAGAAATAAATTAGCATGTCTATTTATAAACTTGTTCACTACACTCATGTTATAATCAATTACAAACACTACCTGCTATCAAAGTGTATTAATCCTTCAAAACGCTAACAATAGCATGCTAAATGTTGCTGTGATGTGATCCGCAAACAAACAAGTTAGTTCCAAGAGCGTCATGTAGACTAGATGAACTGACTAGAGCTGCAACTAACGATTATTTTGTAATCGATTAATCTATCGATTATTTTTACGATTAATCGAGTAATTGCTTGGCTGTGAATTGTGTAGAAAAAAAATATTTTTTCATCACAAAAAGCTAAAGTGGCAACACTCGAGGACGTATTGATGGCGTAAACTTAAAGTAAATGTTTGTAACAGGCTCTTTGTGCTAATTCTGCTATCTGTGTGGATGAGACAGACAGATATTCATGAAATTATAAAAGCAAAGTCGGTTTTAATCAAAAAGACTAAATTTTCATGTCATTTTTGCTCTGTTTGAGAAAAAATGACATGAACTAGAAAACGATTAATCGATTACTAAAATAGTAGTCGACTAGTCTAGTCGATTAGTCGTCGATTAATTGATTAGTTGTTTCAGCCCTAGAACTGACAGTCACTCACCGCTATCATGCTTTCTTTTCTCGTCTTCCTCTTTTTTGCGCTTTCGTTTATCGCTTCCAGAAGGATAACTTCTCTTCATTTGGTCGGACAACTTTGTTTTGCTTTGGGAAAAATAGCACGCTGCCTGCACGCTCCGCTCACCTCTGTCACTGACACATGTGGGGGGAGGGGCGAGAGGAGCGGGGCCCTATCAGGGGATTTGAGACGGGCGGTCAAATTGCAACTCGTCACTGCAGGTACCTGTTGTGGCCTGTACAAGTCGACCGCTTGAATCAGTCGGTCCCTGCCGGTTTTGGGCGGCACGGTGGCTGAGTGGATAGCACTCTCGCCTCTCAGCAAGAAGGTCCTGGGTTCGAATCCCGGTCGGACCAGGGCCTTTCTGAGTGGAGTTTGCATGTTCTCCCCGTGTCTGCGTAGGTTTCCTCCGGGTACTCCGGTTTCCCCTACCATTAAAAATATGTCCAATAGTTCTGGCATGTGCCTCCTGTACTGGCCCCGCTCCCATCTCTGTGTGGAGTGACAGACAAATGCCCAAAACAATTGTAAACCGCTTTGAGACTCAGATCTGCAGTGAAAAGGCGGTATATAAATAAAAACTTACTTACTTACTTACTATTTTAGTAATCTTTATTTATGTACCGCCTTTTCACTGCAAAGCGGTTTGCAAATGCCCAAAAATTGTTAATTTTTGGGCATTTGCCTCTCACTCCACACAGAGATGGGAGTGGGGTCGCCAGTACAGGAGGCGCATGCCAGAACTATTGGACACATTTTTTGTGGTAGGGGAAACCAGAGTACCCGGAGGAAACCTACGCAGACACAGAGAGAACATGCAAACTCCACTCAGAAAGGCCCTGGTCCGACCGGGATTTGAACCCAGGACCTTCTTGCTGAGAGGAGAGAGTGCTATCCACTCGCCCACCGTGCCGCCCATAGGGGTTTGGGGTCCCAGGCAGCTGCCTGCCTTGCCTGTTGGCACGGGACGCCTCTGCTAAGACTTTACTTACGGCAAAGATGATATTGAAAATGGTGAATGTACGTTTGAGACAAGTGTTGATTTCTCCCATGTTTGCGGTGGTGTTGGGTCAGTGGTGGCGTCTTTGTCTGTGGAAGAGAGAAGCTTGTGTCTGATCTCCCACTGTCCGCTCTGAAGCCTCCAGCGTCAGAGAACCAGACACCTCTTTTTGCCTGGGAAAGACAGGGGCGGGACTTCCAGTAAAAGATAAAGCCGATCGAGCCGAACAAACAGACTGAAAATATACACTGCACAATTTTGCACATTATCTGTACAGGGAAAAAACAGAATGGACGCCGATACTTAAACACATATAATTCTTATTTTAAAACTGTTTTACTAAAAGGGGGCTTGCCTTTAATTCCACATATGGACATCCGCTCACGTAACCCGACCGCAAACATGAAATCTTCTTGAGCAGCAGAGGGCGCTCGGGTTCAGTATAAACATCGGTGCTGGACTTGAACCACAAACCTCTATTGGTTATATTTAGAGACAAATCCGGTGTCAGCTGCTTCACCCAGTATACGTATATTATATTATTATACCGTCTATGGTGTGTAGTGATGCATATCAAAAGGCCTACGTTGTACAAGTCCCGCTGCAATAATGTGACCGTATATTGGCAATGTCGGTGACAGCCAATATGAGCAGCAAGCCCCCTCCTCCCTCTGCCTCTCCGGGGTTGTCAAAATCACATGTAGCTTTGCGGTCACCGCTGATGCCAGTGCTCCGTACAGACTCTTCATCATTCTTATAGATGCCGTAGTGGATGCTGCTTGCTGCTCTCTGGCCGCAGGAGACCTCCTGCAGAGCGGGTACCAGAGCAGTCGCCATCCTCCGGCTCTCCCGCCTGCACAAGGCTAATTTACGCGCTTGTCGCTTATTCCTTTAGCCCGCTTCTTATTCCACGATTCCAGCTCAGAACAAGCAGAAACGGTTTTTCCTCCAATCTAGCACAGCCACAGGACGTTGCCATGTTTCTTTTGCTATCCCTGTTGTGGGCACACATGGTGATCTCAGGTAAGATGTTTGCTGATACAAAATACATATTTTACAGAACAAATATTACAGATGGCTGTTATCACTTTTGTCACGATCTGTGAATATAGTATAGTCTCAAATTAATAATTATTTTCAAGAATTTCTAATAAGAATCCAGGTATATGTAGGCCCACTGTGTGTGTGCTTAAAATAGACCACTGGTCTCACTGGTCATTTATGGTTATTGGTTCTGGTTAATGGTTATTGATCACTGCATCAATGTTGATTCATTCCCCTTTCAGAAACAGTTCAATCACGTTTTACATGATAATGTTCCAAAATACTTTGTATTAGCTCTAAACATATAGTATGATAAAGTAGTAAAGTGTATTATTAAAAGTGATTGTGTCTCATCTATGTTCAACAGCTCCCGCTGAGATGGTAATACATGTCTAAAAGATAAAAATCATAAAGATGTGAGGGCCAATCAGAGGTGCATCTGGTGTTGTTTACAACAGGACGCTGTCACCAGGGAGAACAAACGCCATGGAGACACATGCCACATGGGATCTTTATTATCACCATTTATCAAGGCTCAGTCTAACATAATCCAGCTAATCGTTGTTGGTGAACATCGATCTGAAAATGACATCTGAAAAAAAAACAAAATTTTTAATATTAAGTGGAGTTTGTAGTAGATCCACCACTATTGTCATAATAACGTAACTATTGATTAATTGACATTTTGAATCTAATCTCATCCATGCTGTTTTTTTGTAAAGTGCATGATGCTGTTGAGAATACAATATTAGCTTCAATTGTGAGGTAAAACCTGAATATGTTACAAAAACAGTGATTGATTATTGTCTTTATTCTAAGGAGCGGTGCCTTAAAGGCCAAGTGCAAGTGATTTCATTATAGTATTGGCCGATACAGATACCTGATTCGATACTTCTATGCATTATTTTAGGAAGAATAGCAATGAAGCAGATCCAGGATGTCACTTATTTCTTACGTCTGCTTGATGCAACATTCAACCACTGCAGCAAAATGAAGCCTGTGTGGTTTGACGTCTCACTCTGTTCCAGCGTATCAATGCATCTGGAAGATTTATGCTTGATCAGGAGGTCAAGTCTGAGGCAGTGCGTTGTTTAGAAACTTTCAGTATATTTACCACATCTAAACTGATCATTTAACCTACAGATTGTTCCTTCTATTAATCAATGAGTTCAATAAAGTACAGACATATACATGTATCAACATTTAGTAGTACATTTAGAAGTAAATCTGACTGTAAAGCTGAACTGAAGACATTCAGGGAAATTATTATTCATTCTATTTCCAGACAAAATGTTTTCATCATTATAAAATTACATCTCTCAACCCATACTTTTTATAGAACAGTTTACAATTATTCAATTTCTTAACAGTTAAAGATTAATTAATTATAGATATAAACCATATATGTGTGTGTATATGTGTGTGCGCATGTAGGTGCAGGAGACACTGGAAACAAAGGTTTAGATTGTGTTTGTAATAATGATTTCTCTTTAAGAGCAACTTCTAGTGTCTTTTTAGTGTTGTCACATATTCTCTCTTTGGTCTTTTAAAGAGTCCTCCTCTGGCGACCAGGAGTTACACCTTTTGCCTTTCCATCGCTCCAGACTCATACACTCTCATCTGCCCGCCCAAAACCAAGAGAACCAAGAGCTGCCTCGACTGGGCCACCATAAGGCCAGGTTCAGACCAGAGGCTCTTCTCAGGTTCAGGTTACATCAGGACTATGGACAGTGGGGTATAAACCTGTTGGCACGATCGCCCCATCATGTGTTCCCTGAGCATGCAGAGGTGTCCGCCCAGCATCTGGTCACTGTGGTGAGTGCCATATAATTATTATATGTATAATCAAGCAATGGCTATGCTCTGGCTCCTAGTGTCTTACACGGTAAAGTAAATTCCTCTAGCTCAGTACCCGTTTGTGTCACACTATTTTGGGCTTAAACAAGCAGTGGTTTAGCAGTGTTTTCAAAAAAATAAGCAGTGTAACATTGTCAATACCATACCTTTGTCCAAAACAATGATTTGGGTTGATTAACTTAAAGGATTGGCGAAATACAGTGATCAAAATGCAATTGTAAAAGTGTGAAACTGGAAACCATAAATAACGAATTCCGGCGTTGTGACAACACTGCTCTGATGATGACTATCTATAAATAATCACTGAACTCTTAGCAGTCAACTCACTTACAGTGCCTTGCGAAAGTATTCGGCCCCCTTGAACCTTTCAACATGTCGCCACATTTCAGGCTTCAAACATAAAGATATAACATTTAAATTTTTGTCATGAATCAACAACAAGTGGGACACAATCGTGAAGTGGAACAAAATGTATTGGATAATTTAAACTTTTATCCAATAAAATAAAATTGGATAAAAGTTTTGGCTGGTGCTCTGTGTACTGGGTGCAGCTCTGACTGCCACCCCCCCCGACCCAGAAATGGATTAAGGGGAAGAAAATGGATGGATGGAATTTAAACTTTTTTAACAAATAAAAAACTGAAAAGTGGGGTGTGCAATATTATTCGGCCCCTTTACTTTCAGTGCAGCAAACTCACTCCAGAAGTTCAGTCAGGATCTTTGAATGATCCAATGTTGTCCTAAATGACTGATGATGATAAATAGAATGCACCTGTGTGTAATCAAGTCTCCGTATAAATGCACCTGCTCTTTGATAGTCTCAGGGTTCTGTTTAAAGCGCAGAGAGAACCATGAAGACAAAGGAACACACCAGGCAGGTCCGAGTTACTGTTGTGGAGAAGTTTCAAGCCGGATTTGGATACAAAAAGATTTCCCAAGCTTTAAACATCTCAAGGAGCACTGTGCAAGCAATTATATTGAAATGGAAGGAGTATCAGACCACTGCAAATCTACCAAGACCCGGCAGACCCTCCAAAATTTCATCTCAAACAAGGAGAAGACTGATTAGAGATGCAGCCAAGAGGCCCATGATCACTCTGGATGAACTGCAGATAACTACAGCTGAGGTGGGAGAGTCTGTCCATAGGACAATCAGTGTGCACTGCACAAATCTGGCCTTTATGGAAGAGTGGCAAGAAGAAAGCCATTTCTCAAAGATATCCATAAAAGGTCTCGTTTAAAGTTTGCCACAAGCCACCTGGGAGACACACCAAACATGTGGAAGAAGGTGCTCTGGTCAGATGAAACCAAAATCGAACTTTTTGGCCACAATGCAAAACGATATGTTTGGCGTAAAAGCAACACAGCTCATCACCCTGAACACACCATCTCCACTGTCAAACATGGTGGTGGCAGCATCATGCTTTGGGCCTGCTTTTCTTCAGCAGGGACAGGGAAGATGGCTAAAATTGATGGGAAGATGGATGGAGCCAAATACAGAACCATTCTGGAAGAAAACCTGTTGGAGTCTGCAAAAGACCTGAGACTGGGACGGAGATTTATCTTCCAACAGGACAATGATCCAAAACATAAAGCCAAATCTACAATGGAATGGTTCACAAATAGACGTATCCAGGTGTTAGAATGGCCAAGTCAAAGTCCAGACCTGAATCCAATCGAGAATCTGTGGAAAGAGCTGAAGACTGCTGTTCACAAATGCTCTCCATCCAACCTCACTGGGCTCGAGCTGTTTTGCAAGGAAGAATGGGCAAGAATTCCAGTCTCTCGATGTGCAAAACTGATAGAGACATACCCCAAGCGACTTGCATCTGTAATTGCAGCAAAAGATGGCGCTACAAATTATTAGCGCAAGGGGGCCGAATTATATTTTTCAGTTTTTTATTTGTTAAAAAAGTTTAAATTATCCAATAAATTTCGTTCCACTTCACGATTGTGTCCCACTTGTTGTTGATTCTTGACAAAAAAATAATTTTTTATATCTTTATGTTTGAAGCCTGAAATGTGGCAAAATGTTGAAAGGTTCAAGGGGGCCGAATACTTTCGCAAGGCATTTTAAGTGACAAGTGGACCACTTGTTATAGCACGTTTAAAACAGCCAAAGCATATGAAAGTGCTGATTCATAAAATAAACAAACAAGAGATCAAGATAAAAATAAGAACAAATGCAAGATAATAACAAACATAGTTCTTCTAGTATATTTCAGTTTCAGTTTCCCTGGGGCCACCCTGTATTGGAATTAGTTTAAATGGGGAGAATAGACCACAATCTGTTCATATACTGTCTCTACTTAAGAGCTGGTGGTGCTCATTTAGGTAAACAACTCCTTATCCATGGGGTCTATAAAAAAAGATACATCTTAAAACTAATTATTCTCATTTTAACAAATACAAATAATTTATTTCAAACATTTCCCACAGCATCTATGGATGAGTAGAAGTTTATTTGTCATTTTACAAATAATAATACATGTCTACATACTATTCTATTTTATTCTCAAATGTATTGGAAGTGGATTTGTCTGTAATAATTTGCAATATTTAATGCAACATTATATGATATAACCTCTGACTTCTGAAAATAAGCATGCAGCACATAGTGGTTTAATAAGGCTGCTAAAGCAGTGAAGTCCCTCACAGACACATTCTGTGGAGGTCAGATTAAATGGACAGTCAGTGATGGACATGTGTTCTGCTTTTGGAGGAGAGAGGCTCTGCTCTTAGTTGCCATGGTAATAATAATCACCCACTTGCTTCAACAATAGGGTTCAGACAAACAGACCTTCACTGTGACTTTGGGCTGACAATACCACACAGTTAACCATGATTGAACTGCATTTAGAGGCAGTTAGGAAAAGGATTTTGGAGACTTGCTGTCTATTGTGGACCAGGTCATTTCGTGGCTGCTACAGTAAAGAATAGGGTGGACAAAGAGTGCAACAAAGTATTGATTGTTTTAAAACAACAATCAATACAAAACATTTATGTAAAAATGTCCATCCATCCATCCATCCATTTTCTTCCCCTTAATCCATTTCTGGGTTGGGTGGGTGGTAGTCAGAACTGCACCCAGTACACTTAGCACCAGCCCCTCACTGATCCTCCTGCAGGTGGTGAGTCCACAGAAGTTGAGATCTTTCAGCAGGGGCTTCAGGCAAAGTGGGGTTAAGTGTCTTGCCCACGGACACAATGATAGCAGACATCAGTGGGAGTCGTGAAGTATGTCTTACGGTGGGTTCGAACCAGTGGGGGCGAGTCCCAGCTCAAAAGTGGCCAAAATGATGTGCGCTTGACATGCTTGCAATACCACCCCGGGCCGATGGGGGTGGACCCAGAAGAAGAATTAGCCAATGCTAACATATAGCGTTGGCAGACCTCTCAAAAACGTCTTTACAGGATGGACCAAAAGTTGGCTCTTGGCCCAAAGCTCCGTTCCACATGTGTGTCAATGCTGAGGGGGGGGAATTTTTTTGGTCCACTCTAGTTTACTCGCGGGGAATTTTTGAAGTCTCTCGTTCAAATTAATGGAGCTGCGCCGGCTGACGCATGCGCAGATGCGTTTTTTCACCCTTTTCTTGTGGGCGGGACCACTCGCGGCCATTTTGGATTGCTCCAGTAGAGCACATTTTTTGGCCCATTAGTTAGAACGGCGGAGATAGGCGTGACTCTGTCCGTTAATATATACAGTCTATGGTTCGAACCCACGACCTTCAGACCCAAAGGTGCTCTTCCATCTGAGCCACTGTCGTATGCTAACAAACAAATGGCTGGTCTCTATGTGAAGCTAAGGCCTTGTAGTTTTCCTTTCTGATGACCCATTTACTCTGATCATAATTGGGAACTACAGTATTTGCACAAAGAAAGATCCAACTCCAAAGTCCACTTATCGGTATATACTCTGTAATAGATTGATTTGATTGATTGATAGATTTCATTGATTCGAGATTTTTTTTTACAATCATAAGTATTTGCAATATTTACATTCCTTAGTTTATGTGACTTTTTATACATGTTGCCTTCTGTGTTTACAGTGTATACTTATACATGAAAATATATAAACATAACTATGCAATCAAGCAACAATATTTGCCCTCGTTTCACCATGTGTTGTACATCTATAATATCAATATGTATTTACAAATGAATTTCTATTCTCAATATGTAATGACCCACTGTTGGTTTCAACAGGCATGTCCAAAGTCTGTCCCGTGGTCCAATTGCGGCTCCGAAGCCCCTCAAATACATTTTACAATCTGGGTTGTTGGCTCACTCTGGTGAACATATGGGCTTCATAGATCACTGGTTTTTGGCTAAATTGAACTGCAGTGTAATAAAATGTCTTCACTTAGGTTTAATGTAAACAGTACTTATTGGATGCAGACCCTTTTATTACCCAAATGTGTTACGACCATGTTGTCTTGGCAACTGAAGAAATATGGACTGCACTCAGGAACTTTGTAAACAATGGTGTGATAATGTTGTGTTAATTCATGTAGTGGAGTGATGTGTTACAGAGGCTTATCAGCCCTAATCTTATGTTGTTGGTGAATAATAGATTGCAGTTGTCTACTGTGCCAGCCGTCTCACAGATGCATCGTGGGAGGATGAGGACAATCTGCTTAAACCTTGTGTGGAACTAAAAATCAGATGGTGCGTCTATGTATATCTTCTCTTATGTCTGCATTTAGATGTTCTCACCCTGGCTTGATTGGAGTGTTTATGAATTGAATGCAACAGAAAAGTCCATGTTGACAAAGGCAGTTGTGTGACAAATATTCACATTATAAAAATGCCATGTAGTTTGAAATAAAATTGAGCAAAAAGGTATATTTTTTGCAGGAGATGTAAATGTGGTTTAGAGATTATAATCCATTTGTTAATTACTTTCCTATTATTACCTCTTTGCTGTTTGCTCTTATATATTTTGTTATGGGACATACAGTCTTCACAGGCTGTTTATTTGTACACTCTAACCTCTGCTCAACTTCTCCACTTCTCAACCTCTCCTCAAAGAAACCACTCAAGCATGAACCATATGTGCAGCTCACGTTTTTGCTGCTGGCAAAAAGGGATGAATGCAGTGCAATAATGGAAACCATTATTTACAGGAAATAAATGATTCATATATATGGCCGTTATTATTGTTGGTACATGTTCATATTATGTGAGTATATGAAAGAATGTTGTTAGCAGAAGAGTTACAGTCACGTTTAATGAGTTTGAGTCACATCTTTGGTGTTATATTCCACTGCAATGGGAAGTTTCTGTACATATTATACATAATATCCATCTGGATGTATTCACTCTCAAATTAATCAACAATCAGAGATGATTTGGAAAACATTGTTGTAAGTTATATCATGTATCAAGTCAGAGATCGATTGACCTACATCGTGATCCTGTCTTTGTTCAAGGTGTGGATGTCACACAAACCTTTTAGCCTGCACTCACACATGTGTATGTGTGTGTTTATGTGTGTGTTTATTCACAATACAGTAATTCTGAAATCAATCACATGTATTGTTATGCTTTCAGAACTGTGATGGACCCCAGGAAGAGTAGTCTCTGAGTCTCCTGGGGTCCTAATGGGCATCCTAGATGGATGAATAAAAAGCATTAGTATTCAAATCAAACTTGAAAAACGAGGATTGTGACAACAGTATTCAGATATAAGTCTGACCTAGAATTGAGATGGACATGGCTTCTCCTTGTTTAATTCCAGCCTTTGTTTTTGTCTTTGTGTATTTGATGGTATTTCAAAAACAAGGCATCCTATGAAGAGTAACTAAGTCGGCCCTGGTTTAGTCCCAATTGCGTTGTGGAATATGTGTGTGTATTTATTTTGGTTGTTAAATGCTGCTCCTCCCCCTATGGTCCTGCCTTTAAATGTATTTGATTGGAGAAAATTAGATTCCTTCTCCCTCCCACTTTTGCCTTGAGGGCTATCAGCTAATTACTGGTCATTAAGGTGTGTGTCTGTGTGTGTGTGTGTGTGTGTGTGTGTGTGTGTGCATGTGTGTGTGCTACAGAAATAGCACCTGATCCTGACAGAAAGCACAGCACTATAATGGTTTTACCTGGTCGGCAGCCAATCAGGTGGCAGGCTCAGATTTGTGCTGCTATAAGCCAATCACACATCACAGAGCAACTAGATCAGGAAATGGAGCAAAAAGCCCCTCCACTTTGGTAGACAAGCAGTTCTGTCTCTGCCTCTGACCAACACAATCAACAATGTGTCCATGTTTACCAGGTAAGAGCATCTTATCTATGGGATACGCAGACCAACCACCATCTACTAATAAGTTATTAGTAATTTCTTTTGTACCACTCTGTTTTACGAGACTTGTTTTTTGAATTAAAAAATGTAAGTTAAAGTTTGTGAGGTTTAGTAACGTGTTTAATGACTTGATGGTCTATTGTGTTGTTGTGTCATGTTATACATATATTATTATTATTTCTATTTACTATGTGTTTCTTTTAAACTATACATTCCTAATTTTATTTTGATTTATTTTGATTTGTAACTAATTCAGTTCTTTGTAACTAATGCAGTTCTTCACGTTCAAACTGTTTGTAATGGCCTAGCATATGTTTTTTTATCTGATGAAGCTGAGAACAGAACACAACGCCAAAACCAAATCTAAAAGCATAATAGCATTGTGTGTTTGTGTGTGTGTGTGTGTGTGTGTGTTTGCGTGTGCGTGTGCGTGTGCTAGTGCGTGTGTGTGCGTCTGTCTATCTGCAGTGATGTTTCTCATATTGAATTAAGTGGCAACAGAACACGTTGTTGTTTTTGCCATTAGTGATCTGCCGCCTACACATGGACACACAAGGATAGGGTTGTTTGGTTCAAAACAGGTTTTATAGAAAAACAGTTTAATGTCATTGGAGGGGTTCAAGTTGAGAGAAAAATAACTGTACAGAAACAGGGAGAACATGCAAACTCTATTGCCCCCAGGAGTCAAACTCATGACCTTTATGTTGCGATCTCTATCCACTGCACCCCAGTGGATAGATAGAGCATCTATATATGGTTTCTTTACCGGAAGATTACAACAAAGTAATAAACAACTGGAAAGTGAAGGCAAAATGATGCATGATTTAGTATGAACATTTTTAAAGTATTTGGAGAGAATTTGAAAATGTCCTATTGACTCCTGAATACTCACATCTTTCCCCGACGAGTGTAATACTCACTGTTCTGTGATGGCCTCAGAGCTATGTTTAGAGTGTTCACTAAACAGCATCATGAAATCCAAGGATACACCATAGAAGTGGTTTTAAAGCATGGTTTGGTTATATAAACATTTTAAAAGCTTTAAACATCTCACAGAGAATGGAAAGAGTCTGGCACAACTGCAAATCAAATCTACCAAGACTCAGCTGTGTCCATGCCCAAACTCACTGCTCGAACAAGAACAACATTGATCACAGATGCAAACACAAGGCCAATGGTTTCTCTGGAAGAGCTGCAGAGACCCACATCTCACCTGGAATATCTGTACATGGGGCAAGATTATTATTATTAACGTTTATTAAGAGGAATAACCCGTTGAGGGGGTCCTCAAAATCAAATGTAAAAATAACAATACAGCAGCAGCAGTCAATTATATATAAAACAAAATTATTCATTAAACAAACACACACTCAGCTCTCAGAGGTTTCCCACTCTCCCCTATAACTACAGTAAATTACAATACAAATTAAATACAATATGATACTGATAGGGAATACAACTTAGCACAACAGGAACATAATACAGCAGAAGACACATCAATCAAAGCCGTTTTAAAGTGCTGTAACAAAGCGTGCTTAAACAAAGGGAGGGAGGGAGCGAATGGCAGATGGAAGAAGGTTCCAGTCGGTCGGTGCTTTGTAATGAAAAGCATGTTTTCCTATTTCTTTTTTAACACGGGGGGTGTGGAAGAAAAGAGTATCAGTGTCTGTAAATGGAGCTGAAAGGCATTTCAGGTATGTGGGATAATTAAAATAATGAAGAACAACCAGTGGGAGTGTCGACGTGCAGGCAGTGAGGACCAGGACAGTTGGTGATACATGTCAGAGCGGTGTATCCTGTAAGGGCAGCACAGAGCAAACATGCACAAACTGTATTGAGGTAATGGAGACATTTGGCGGTTGTGTTCTGATAAACAATGTCAGCATAATCAAGGATTGGAAGTAATAACTGAGAAACAAGCCTTTTTCTAACGGAAAAATTAAAGCAGCTGATGGTGCAATAGACATTTTTAAAGAATAGTTTAATTTGTTGACGGTCTTATGAATATGAGTTTTAAAAGAAAGGGTTGAATCCAGCCAAAGGCCGAGGTACTTGAACTCTTCCACACAGTTAACAGGAGACAAATCTAAAAAGGGAAGGTTGAGCTCAGGTAAATGTTTGTTTGTCTTCTGAAAAAACTATGGTATATGATTTGGTTGTATTTAAAATTAGTTTTTGAACAGTAAATAATAGTATCTTCTGCACATACAGTAACTGGATCTCACAATTAGAACAGATGCTGGGAGGTCATTAATAATAATAGAAAAAAGTAAAGGGCCCAAAGAGGAACCTTGTGGAATACCTTTGTCCATGCCTGCTAGATTTGACTGGCTGCCCCCAAAAGACACACACTGTTGGCGAGAATAAAGGTAGGAATTGAACCAGAATAAAGCAGATCTGGATAGACTCAGATACGATCACACAAGTCTGGCCTTTCTGGACAAGTGGTAAATAGAAAGCCAGTGTACTTTTTGGCTCAAATGAAAAATATAATGTAAAACTGACACTGCTCATCTCCCTCAGTACATCAGGGTCAAATATGGAGGGCAGCATCATGTAATGGGGATGACTTTCTTCAGCAGAAATTTGTTTGGATCAAATGTAAATAGTTGTATTATTCTGTGATGAGTTTGAATCAGTCTAATTGTTTTGTGATGATTTGTGCATTTTGTCTTTGTCAGTACTTGGCTGTGGACGTGCGGAGGCTGAACATCAGTCTTCTTCGCTGGTTTCGGGAAGGAATAGCTGCAGCTTTGGGTGTTCCTGTCAGTAATGTCCACATCAACCGCCTCAATGTAAGACCCAACGGCTTCTTTGTGTGGTCTGTCTCTTTAATCAACTTACGTGGGTGTAATTTACAGGAAGAGAAGAATGGAATCGAGCTTTTCGTCTCCTCTGATAGGCTGGGGATCCTGGAGCCTCGTCCAGCTGAAGAAGTTATCCAATCACTGAACATAAAGACCCTCCACAGACACCTGGGGCATTTCGGCATCACTGAGGTTTCCCCTGAGGTGTGTATGTTGCTTAGTTAGTTAGTTAGAAACGTTTATAAGTTATGTACTTATGAGTTTGTATGAATGGATGTGTTTCTGATGCTGGACACCTGCATTTCTAGTACGGGGGATCAAATTCATTTTTAATTTCAATGTATTCTTGTATAGCACTAAATCACAACAGTAGCTATCTCTGAGGACTTAACACAACCGTTGAATTCACCAACACAGATCTGTTATTCAAACAGTTCAAACAGAAGAAATACAACAAAGTATCTCTATCTATCTATCTCTATCTATCTATATCTATCTATCTATCTATCTATCTGCCAAGGCCTCTGCCAGGTCTAGTGCAGGGCAGCACAGTGGAGCCCTGAGAGTGCAAAGTGCTTAATACTATAGCGGAAACGTTAAAGACACATCGATTAGCCTGGGGAAGCACACAGACATTTTACACATTTGGGCAGATTTAATTACTCTCACTTCCCTTTCAAGATAAATGTTACAGTTTCTCCTGTAATACAGTTAGAGTTACACACCTCCTAATGTGTCTGTATATAGTATATGTACGGTGGGTAAGGTGGGCAGTTTAAACATGTAGGCCAAAAAATTGCAGGATTAATCAAAGTGGCAATATGTGTTCAAATAAAGAGATACCCTGTATATATGCAGGATTATAGCCTTGGTGATTTTCCATCCACAATTTTCCAGTAAATACTTTGGTTGAGGCATGGCACCTAACACAAAGGGATTTTTCATAACATTAATATTTAAAATAGATCCATATTTGTTTTGGCAAAAAATTACATTCATGCATACTTTATTTGGGGAATCTTTGGGGATTATTTTATAGTCTAAACTACAGACAATATTTTAATTATGTGTATTACGAAAACACCTTCACAATATAGGTGGGTAACTTGCCTCAGGACACAGCAACGCTTGGATTTTTTTAGATCCACTGTGGTCCCTCTGTGGCACCTATAGTTCCCAGCGGTCTCCCATCACAGCACTATGGTCTATGTGTAGCTTCAATTCTAATGCAAGGCTCTCTTGAAGATATGTTTAGAGTACTTTGGTTTTATGAGTTGTCTTTCCGTGTCAGAAGAACGTCCTCCAGGGCCAGCAGAGGGATCACGTGTGGAGCCGAGATGGGTTCTATGCTGTCTTTCTCTTCTTCACTATCTTCGTTATTGTCATCACATGCTTGATGGTACTATTACACTCACACATCCAGTTAAGGCTAGGTCCATTTGATTAGAAAGTTGCTCTACCAGTGCCATTCAGATATGTAAAGTGATTAACGTAAATACATAAATAAATGGCTGAAGCTGTTACCGATAAAGATAAGTTCCTTCCTTATACTAGCATTATGTTTTGGTCAGAGGGCAGCGTGTCTCTACCAACACTCTATTATTATTCATAATAATAAAATGATAATTCATCTATGTTCAAAGAAGAAAATCACAATCCCAAAGATAATTTTGTCCACTAGAGGGAGTACGATTACTTACAAAACATACACTCCGTTATTTGTTGCTCTTGTGTGACATCTACCGACACAATGTAATGGTCTTTATAATGGTATAACCGTGTTTGATTACAGCTGATAATCTTAAGTGCAGTACAGAACTTTACTTTTTTTTCTGTAGAAAGAGTCTAAGTAACAGATGATCTTATTATAAACCATGTTAAAAAGTAGTCAAACCAAATCCATTTGAGATACTAGTTATGGATTTGATAATAAACTTGACTTTTTATGATTTCAAAGTTTGGTACCCCATCTTTAAAGCGGTGTTGTCATAGTTTTTCCACCTCTCTTTGTTTAAAGGTTTTGTACCGACTAAAAGAGAAGGTGTCAATTTCTCAACATCAGGTGAAAGCTCCTCATGAATACAGGCCAAAACTCCCTGACCCTCCAGGCTCAGCGCAGAGCCCAACCCCGGTCACCAAGGTCAGCTCTTATATCACACAGAATAATGTATGATTTTACAGTGGACTCATTTGTGTGAAAATGTTGGTCCAGGCTGTGACAGCTGGAAGCATGGTCCAGGCTGAGCTACCTCCTTTCATAGCCACGCCCATTCCCCAGCCACAGCCAATCACAACGTGTCGCCGTCTTGTGCCTCCTGCCATTCCAATACCAAGGTAATTTAGTAAAGATGAATACAAATCACCATAGAATCAGACAACTATTTATGTATTTATTTATATATTCTCATGTCTTTAGCCCCACACCTGCACTTGTGAAAAGTTTGGACAAGGCTCCGCTGAGTTCGCCGCCATCTACACATGAGTTAAAGCACTGTCCCTCCCCTTTCAGAATGAAATCTGCAGCAGGACTCCAAGAAAGGTCAGTCCACGTCTGAATAAGAAAACATGGATGACCAAGACTTTCATTCGTGAATATAAAAGCACAGTACTTAAGCACGCCTGTATATAAACTGCACCAGCTACATTTTAAAAGAAAGAATATTTTTGGTAAATACTGTAACACAAGGATCTCTGAGGAGGCACCTAAGAATAGAATAGAATAGAATACATCTTTATTGTCTGTTCAAAATGAGCAGAGATTTGTCTTACAACACGGCACAATTAAAAATCATTCATAAAACACATTTAAAATACATTTATCAAACATTTAATAATTTATGCAGTGCTACCGGTTGTTTAGGGAAGTGACTGCAGACGGGACAAACGATCTCTTGTAGATGTTTTTTCGGGCCAGAGGGGTTCTGTATCTCCTTCCTGATGGCAGCAGAGAGAAGGAGCCATACAGTGGGTGTGTGGCATCTTCAGTGATGAGAGTGGCCTTCCTCAGCACTGATTGGCTGTGCAGCTCACAGAGCAGAGTTTGTGGTGTTTGAGTAATTTTGCTGTCCTGCTTTACTACACTATTGAGTTTTGTCCTGTGTTTGAGAGTGAGGAAATTGAACCAGGTGGAGATACTGTACGTGAGGATGGATTCAATGAGTGAGATATACACAGTTGATATAATGTCTTTGCTAACATTAAAAGATCTCAATTTCCTGAGGAGATGGAGGCGCTGCTGTGACTTTTTAAAAACGGAGTCTACATGGTGCCCAAAGGACAAGCTGCTGTCTATATCCGTCTCAAGGTATTTAAAACATCCCACCTGCTCCACCTGCTGGCCATGGATGACTAGGGGTTGAAAAAGATCCACAGAGTCTGTTTTCCTAGCGGCTCCACAGCACAACTCCTTGGTTTTGGAGATGTTGAGCTCCAGCGAGTTCTGAGTAAATCCAGAAACCAGCGTGTGGACCTCCTGCTGATAGTGCGCTAGGGCCTGTGCCTCAGTGAGGTGTGCCACCAGAGCTATGTCGTCTGCGTACTTTATAAGGGTCAGTCCTTCTGTGCTGCAGGAGATGTGATTAGTGTACACAGAGAAGAGCACAGGTGACAGCACAGGCTCACCATAACTGTTATATTTCATGTTGGGACTTATTTACCAATCTATTAAAACATTTAAATAGCTATAGCTACAGTCAAAATATATTCCATCCATAAACTTTGGTCTGTCAACACCCCTAAGCCCTAATCACATAAAAGCAAGTCCCCTGTGTTACCCCTCTCATTGCTATATAAGCCGCGGGGTCTAAAGAACTAAAAATTGTGGCTTTTAGTCCGGCAAATTCAACAATCATAATTCAATCTGAAGAGACCAAAGACACGATAAATACATTAAAATTATTTATTTGTTTGGCGCATTGACCCCGGCAGTGACACTTGCAGCTATGAGATCGATTGCAGCTGAGATGATCTCAGATCCCCCGGGGTCAATCACTGGTGGTGGCTAGAGTATGGTGTGAATGGGGCGTAGGCGGAGCAGGAGCCGGAGTGGGAGCCTAGAGCGGGAGCCAGAGCGGGAGCCAGAGCGGGAGCCAAGAGCCAGAGGGGGTGCTGGGGAGGTGGTGGGTGTTTAAGAGCCTCAGGAAGCGTTGTTTGTCAGGAAGTGGCTGCCTTTTAAACTGCCCGCTTTGCTCTGAGAGGGTTGGCAGGAGGCTGGCCTGGCTGTGTGATTGGCTGAGGCTCGAGGCTGGCAGAGCTGTGTGATTGGCTGAGGCTCGAGGCTGGCAGGCACTCTTTCAGTCTGAACATCCGCTTGAGCTTCATTTCAATCTGAAGAGACCAAAGACACGATAAATACATTAAAATGATTTATTTGTTTGGCGCATTGACCCCGGCAGTGACACTTGCAGCTATGAGATCGATTGCAGCTGAGATGATCTCAGATCCCCCAAAAGAGGAAGCCATGCTATGTGTGCCGGGGAATGCGCAGGCCTCCCGTGGGAAGCTGCCTATCTGGAGGCGTGGGAGCCTTGCATGGAGGCAGCCTTGCATGGAGGCAGCCTTGCATGGAGGCAGCATTGCATAGGGGCAGCATTGCATAGGGGCAGCATTGCATAGAGGCAGCATTGCATAGAGGCAGCATTGCATAGAGGCAGCATTGCATAGAGGCAGCATTGCATAGGGGCAGCATTGCATAGGGGCAGCATTGCATAGGGGCAGCATTGCATGGAGGCAGAATTGCATGGAGGCAGAATTGCATGGAGGCAGAATTGCATGGAGGCAGCATAGCCTGGAGGCAGCATTGCGTGGAGGCAGCATTGCCTGGAAGCAGAATTGCATGAATAGGGTACAGAGAATATGCGGGGGTGACAAATCCGCACGCTCTGTAATGATTATGTGTGTGTGAAGCGTTGGCCCTTGGAGCGTGCGGAGGGTTTCTCGCGCACAGACCGCTTCGTGAGGGTGCATGTATGACGTAGGCCGCAGGGGATCTGTGGGAACAGACACTCACTGAATGAGCGGCTATGTGATCATGCGTGCGTGATGGATGCGTGAAATGAAGAGTAAATGCGTGTAATCGCAGAGCTGATGCGGGCTCTGCGTGTTGAGAATGTGGAGCAGCAATGTAGAGAGCTTTCTCATACGATCTGCAATATTTGAGCATGCGTGTGTCAGCGTATGATACAGAGAATATGCGGGGGTGACGAGTCCGCACGCTCTGTAATGACTATGCGTGTAGAAGCGTGGGCCCTTGGGGCGTGCGGAGCTGCCTCTCGCGCACAGGCCGCTTCGTGAGGTGCGTGTATAGCGTGAGCCGTAGGGGGTTATGCAGAGAAGCTTCTCTGCACAGAGCGCTGCGGTGAGCATGAATGTATGATGTAAGACAAGGTGATCATATGCATGTCCGGATTGAAGTGCAACAGATGTTGAGAATGCTTATGTGAGAGAAGAGCCTTAGCCACCACCAGAGTATTTGATAATTACCTCAGATTGAAGAGGGAGCGCTGAGCAGTCAGAATAGTGTCAGTGTTTAGTCTGATCGAGGATGAGGCAGGACCAAGCCGTGGACCATTGACCCATTTGCTGTAGGGAAGAGTGAGGAAGGCCCAGCAGGCTGGAGTGCGGCGGCTATTCTAATCCAGCGGCCGGTATTGGAGAATCGGGAGATCACAGGAGACCGGCCGGATTTATTAAATGGGCTTGGATGCATTGCGCAAAACACGACGTCATTTGACAGAGAGAGAAATAGCAGCCCATCTGAATCTCCTCTCCGTGCATGGAGGAGTGCATTTCATCAGGTGTTTATCTGGACAGGGGAAAATTAATGCATAACGAAAGTGTGACGGCACCTTCCTTTTGGAGTGTTGAATGCAGGGATTATAGTGATGGGGGTAATAAGTCCTTGGGGCCAGGGTGCAGCTAACCACTGGCCTTGATATGACCCCCAAAAACCCACGGACTGAGCCGCGTCCGTGAAAAAGAAATAAGTAAGTGGAAGAGGCGGTGCCATCATGAAAGACGCCGTTCCGGCAGGCAGCAGCTGAAGCTGAGGTCAGCGCAGCACCTGCGAACAGGAAACAGGGTTGCAGAGCGCGCAGGAGCCTGGGGGTGAACCACGGCCTGAGGAATGACGTGCACTGCGAGGATGAGGCGGCCCAGCCGGAAGAGCAGCACCTGTTTGGGACGTGACAGAGGACAGGATGTACCAAGAGACCTTGGTCCTCCTCCTCCTATCCTCTCTCTCTCCATGTCCAAGCCGAGGGAGCATTTACGAAACCTTCGATGAGGGTCATCACGTGTGCCGGGTGGCCAGTGTGACGGCCAGACGCCTGCCCGGCTTGAGATGGACGAGCCCCGCGTAGGAAGGGCATGCCCCGCGCGGGAATGACAGGGCCTATTGCTACGAGAATAATTCGCAAGGTGCGGCCGTGCAGCAAGAGCGCCCTGCAACATAAGGGAGAGATTAAACAAGAACCGACCGAATCTCCTACTGGACAGGAGAGAGCTATCTTGATGCAATTAGGAAACTCAGAACGACGGCAAGAGCGGCCACGGAGCAGAATAAGTACGAACAGAGCGGCACCTGAGAACGAGCAGTAGAGCGAGCCACCGTTACGATGACTCAGAGCCATGAGAGTGCGGCAGAGAGCATGTGACCGTTGTGGATGCTGCCCCCCGACTCCGCGCGGAGAATCGGAGAGAGATCGCCCGTATGAGGCGCAGGGCGGATCAATTGCACGCGGTAGCAGTGAGGGAAGGCCAGAGCACGTGGAGGATCCGGAGCAAACCGGCCGGACGAGGGGAGAACATGCAAAACTCCGCACGGAGGCATAAAACTACTTTTGATAATCGACACCAGCCTGCTCAGGATACAATGAAACACGCTGCTAATGACCTGGGGCAACGCGTCCCTATGAGCAATATTTACTGTGCGCGGAGGGGGCTCGAGGATTTCAGTACGAGGGCCACTTCAGTCCGCCAGACTAGTCCCGGGGCCGACACGTAGGCGAAACCGCATTGGACTGGTCCGAACTTTAGGACGAACTATGAAAGAGCTGAAGTTGGCTGAATGACGACCTCCTGTCGTCTCGCTAGCTACAGGTTAGCGGAGATTCGAGCCCGACCGAGAACAACAACATCTCAGAACGGGTTACGACACGTCTATATTGGCTGCGCTGAAGTAGAATGGACGACACCGAATAAGTATTTACGAACCCAGATTCCCTTGGCCTCAGTTGGAACGGGTTGTCTTTTAACGGAATAGCCCGACGACCAGCGAAGGTAACTCACATCATCATTGCAAAGCAGAAGTGTGGACTCGAGTCATGTGACTTGGACTCGAGTCAGACTCGAGTCATGATTTTGATGACTTTAGACTCGACTTGACCAAATGTAAAAAGACTTGCAACTCGACTTGGACTTTAACATCAATGACTCTGACTTTCACTTGGACTTGCGCCAATTGACTTGTAAAGACTTGCGTAACCCGGGCCATTTTTACCTTTCTCCGCATCTCTCTTTCTATCTATGCCGTCTCTGAAGAAACAAAGCCTCGCGGTAGTTGTAGTGCTCGCGAGAGAGTTCGAACGTGAGTTCCCCGCAGTTCGCGCAGCAACACTTCCCTAAACAAGCGGACTGCATTCACCGGTGGGTGTTTTGTCTAGGGGAGCTGGAAATGAGCGAGCTGCAGGTATTTATCGCAACCTAACGTCATATTTTGTTCTACAAACCGTAATTGATATGCTTTCACTACAGGCGCCTCATACAATTGAATCGACGCAGTTGTCACACTCTGTGCCGTGTTTTAAAGAGGAACTGGTGAGTCAAACTAGCGCTAGCCTGCGCTGCTCTGTTGGCTCTTTCTTATATTTTTCTGTGTGGGCGCCGAGGCCTATTATTATGAGTATGTTTTTGCTGTGCTCCTCCTGCTAAAGTTTGCATACATTAGATAGTTGTTTGATTATGTGCACTAAGCTAGATTAATATTTGCACTATTGTTTATGGTGCATTGATATGAGAATCAGTGCTTTGACTGATTGAATTAATTTATATGAGACATTTTATTATGTAATGATATATTGGTAATTATGAGATATTACTAATGCTGGTCCAGTTCATACAGGCCGGGGTCCTTCCCCTCCATTGGTCCCTTCAGTCCTTTGGAACAATAACCACTACGGACATTAAACTGATTATATAGATACAGGTCCTAGCCCAATACTCATATTCATATATGCTGCACTGCTGCACTTGCTACTTCCCATTAAAAACCCCAAAGATAAAAAGTATGTTGACATGGACTGCTCTGATTTTATGTGTGGTCTGTGCATGTGTAACTGAGCCTGCATCTGGCACAACATCCAATTAGATCACGTAGATAGTTTTGATTTACCAGCAGCCAACGACATGGAACAAACTGTTAGTCCATGGGTCAGAGACCAACGAGAATGCACCAGCAAAATGATTCCTAACATTATTTTGTTTGCCTACAAAAGTACGTGGAGACCAACAAGAAACAAATCGCGGTCAAAAAGACTCGAGAGGACTCGAAAGTCAAACCGTAGGACTTGGGACTGACTTGAGATTTGTTGGCCTTTGACTTGGACTCGACTCGGGACTTGCCTGTCTTGACTCGTGACTTGACTCGGGACTTGAGGGCAATGAATTGAGACTGACTTGTGACTTGCTAAACAATGACTTTGTCCCACCTCTGTTGCAAAGCATCTAATCATAATTACGATTAAACTACGGAAAGTTTGACGAGAGCAGAGACAGCCCTGATGAGAACTGAGCGAAGCGAGCTTAAGACCATAAAACACATACGCATATACATATACATAATATATATGCACGCACGTATACTACGTACCTACATGTGCATATACAAGTCGAGTCCCTGCATGGCCTCGCACCAACATATAGTAGTGACATGTTAGTCCCATATGAACCAGCCCGGACTCTGAGGAGCACAGGGACTGGACTCCTGTTAGTGTCCAGAGTCAGAACTAACGTGGGAAGGCTGCCTTTCAGATTCACACTGCTAAAATCTGGAACAATCTTCCTGAAGATGCGAGACAGGCCTCCTCTCTGACAATGATTAAGACAAGTGCAAAACGTATATTTCTATCCTTTTTAATGTTCTGTGAATATCTATGATTTTAATGCTTTCTTATTTTGTTCAGCACTTTGAATTGCCTTGTGTATGAATTGTGCTATACAAAAAAAACTTGCCATGCTTTGCTATACGACATGCATTCACATACGCCATTATGCGTGTGACAGGGCCATGAAGCTAAACGCACTTTCTTCACCTTATGGGAGCGTCCAAATCAGACAGGCGTCAAAACTGCAGATTCCTCTTCACCCTGAGTGAGCAATATTACATTAGGCCTTTGTCTAGGGAGCAACCAAATCAGAGAGGCGCCAAAGCTGCAGATTCCTATTCACCCTGAACGTGCAATATGTCGTTAAGCCTCGGAGACCGATACATTAAGCCTTAATACGAACAATTCGGGCCTTAGAAGGAGACTGATTAGGGAAGACTCCAAAATGTAATTTTGCATGCCACCAAGCACGCTGGAGTTTGAACTGTCTCACGGAGGAGACTTGAGCAGCAGTGACACGGAGCCTGGACGTGTTTAAGGAGCGGCGCCAATAAGCACTGACGAGCAGATCAGAGCGGGTCAAAGCAGGAACAGACCCCAAACAAACGATGGCACGGGACAATCACGGGCCCGGGACAAGCACGTACGACGCAACCACAATGCGAGTCATACGGGCAACAGACCATGTCGCGCCAGCGTGCGCCGCTTGTCTCTGTGAGCCAGGTTACATAGGTGTCTGAAAAGCTGAGCCGTAGGTGCAGCCTGGGAGCCCGCGGAGCGGCAGCGGCAGGAACAGCAGCAGCGGCACGTGTAGTAGTAGGAGCAGCAGGAGCAGGCAGCAGGAGCAGGCAGCAGCAGGAGCGGCAGCAGGAACAGGCAGCAGCAGGAGCGCCAGCGGAACAGGCATCAGTAGGAGCAGCAGGAGCAGGCAGCAGGGACAGGCAGCGGTAGGAGCAGCAGGAGCGGTAGCAGGAACAGGCAGCAGCGGGGACAGGCATCAGTAGGAGCGGCAGGAACGGGGAGCAGGCATCAGTAGGAGCAGCAGGAACAGGCAGCAGCAGCAGCGGGAACAGGCATCAGTAGTAGCAGCAGGAACGGGGAGCAGGCATCAGCAGTAGCAGCAGGAACGGGGAACAGGCATCAGGGAACAGGCATTAGTAGGAGCAGCAGGGACCGGCAGCAGCGGCGGTCAGAGAACCATGCCCATGGTTGTTTAAGAGCCTCAGGAAGCGTTGTTTGTCAGGAAGTGGCTGCCTTTTAAACTGCCCGCTTTGCTCTGAGAGGGTTGGCAGGAGGCTGGCCTGGCTGTGTGATTGGCTGAGGCTCGAGGCTGGCAGGCACTCGGTCTTTCAGTCTGAACATCCGCTTGAGCTTCATTACTTGTCTCGGCTGACTCTACAAAAGAAAATCAGAAAAACAAACCAGTTTAATAGTGATGAGGCGCCAAAAAATATTGATCAAAGCTGCTGCATGTGTCATGGGTTAATGTTCAGTGTTTTAGGAAAGACCTCTGAAATGTTCCCTAAAATAATGTTTCTGCTGCACTTCAAGTACATGTCCTCTTACATGTTTATGGTGAACCGGCTTCCTTTAAACCTGAGCTACTAAGTTAACACAATGGGCATTATACAAATTAGCTCAGTATGATTATGCTTGGCCACGTTTCATTTCCCTTTTCGAAGGGTTTCATAACATAAAAAAACACCTGTCTCCATGTCTTTGTCTGAGCCCCTAACTTTTCTGCTAACTTGAATATAAAGACTTTCTCCTGGTTACATCAGCGCTAATGCAGAGGCTGATGTTTCTTAAAGTTAGAAAAGGAAGGAAGATTTTAGACACGATGTGAGAACAGGATGTTATTCAGGCAGTTTGTGTGTCCGTGTGCATGGGCTTGAGTGTGTGCGTGTTTTTGCTTTCTCCACTCTGGATATCAGCCAGTCAGCAATTAGATACTTCGGGGAGTGGGGGGCTGCATTGTATAAAGGAAACCAGAGAACACGTACGAGACACAAAGTACATGGCGCAAACACTTAACACTGTGATTAAAATAACTAACTGCAACAGCACATTGACGTGATCTTGACATTCAGTTTCAATAAATACATTGATATTTAAATCTAAATAAATCTATATAGAATGACAGTTTCCATTTCTGAAATATATGTTTCTGATCTTCGTGGCAGCATTCCTTCTCAGAAACGGCATATTTTGATAATCAGTGTTTTTGCATGATGAAACCCCACCCCCCTCAAATGTATAAACTGTGTTTCAGACGCGGCTCCAACGTGTCGTTGGTGTTGGACATGTCGGCGCTGGGCGCAGTCGAACCTCTGAACGTTACCGTGGTGACGCCGCGGGAGGCTGCAGCTAAAGAGTATTTGCTGTCGGCCGGACGAGCCCTGACACGACAAGAACTTCAAGAAGTCGTCCACAACACTCAGACGCTGCACGCCGAGTTTGCTGTACGTGATTTTACTGATATCCAGCTTTAAAGGAATAGGCCACCTTTTTTACATACTGACATATGTTCTTACCTTACCTTAGACTAGTTGATATGTACCTGTCTGGTCTTTGTCCGTGCGCTCTGTCATGCAAACAGAGCACAAACGCAGCCTCTTCCACATTCTGTATAGTAACAAATCAGCTCCCGTTAGAAGCTACCAAACTCTTCCACGTGTTCCCTATTTAAATTCAGTTACGTGACGTGTTACACTACAAAGTATAGTTACACAGAAATGTAACATGTCGATTTTCTCAGCGGATAAAAAGGGGTACTATATTGTGAGGCGTAATAATACGAGGAGCACTATGTCCGCGCACTAACTCCAACAAGTCACACTGCTTCTATTGACGGAAGTGAGCGGCTTCTAACGGGAGCTGATTTGTTACTATACAGAATGTGGAAGAGGCTGCGTTTGTGCTCTGTTTGCATGACTGAGTGCACGGACAAAGACCAGACAGGTACATATCAACTAGTCTAAGGTAAGGTAAGAACATATGTCAGTATGTAAAAAAGGTGGCCTATTCCTTTAAGGGCTCAAGTCGTAAAAATACAAATACTAGTGTAACAATCAACATTTCAAAGTTAAAGTAAATTCCTGTACTTTTCTTAAGTAATTTACATACAAGCCCTTGTATGGAATTAAAAAGTAGTAAAATGCATTTTCACTTTTTTAATTTGATGGACCATATATTTATTTGAGACATTTGAAGCACATATTTGTGTTTGTTTGTTTATGAATATGTCATGTTAAGTGTCTTTGGGGGTCATGTAAATCGCTACAGGTGTAGTTTGCATTATTATTTTTATGAAAGTACTGACACCAGGAAAAAGTACATACAGTATATTAGATAAGTTTACATTTTGTACACTTTTGTAACAAAAAAATAATGTTTCTTTTGATGGCCTATTGTTAAATAAATTATAGAGTTTATGACTAATTAAATATTATATGCATATTATGATAACAGATTGTGTTACAACATATTGTCACAATCCTAACATAAATGTGGTCAAATATTATTACAGTTTGTTTGTGATTTTACTTTGATTGCAACATTATGACATCAATAGTGCCTTATTTTGTAATGTAACAGAATTATATGACAAATTAATAAAACATAAATTAGCATCAATCAATATATTTGACAACATTTTGTTTCTAATGTGCTATTCTTATTATTAATGATTTTTTTTACAATGTTGCCATTTATTTTGCAGGTTGCATATCATATGCAACGTACCATGAAAAATGTTGCATATCAATAATTCATGACTGAACCAGAAGTGTGTCCCATTACTGCTCTGTGACTTCTTCCTCCAGGAAATTCCTATGAATTTTATCGATCCCAAAGAACTGGATATTCCAAACCATGGGACAAAGAACAGATACAAGACCATTCTGCCAAGTGAGTGACTTTGCTAGACTCTAGATGGAGTGGGGTATGTATAAAATGGAGGTTTGGCTCATAAAAAGTCAATTTGTCAAAGATGAAATTACTGAGAAAAAATATGCAAATAAAAGTTGTTTCCAGGCCAGTACATTATGGAACAGACCTCCCAACACAGGGAACGTGTCTGTTTTGGAAAGCGGGCAGGATTATCCAACCTTTGAGTCGGGTGTGGAGTGTTTCTTTCCTTCCGGCCAATCAGGATTCTCCGGATTCTGTCATACGTCTGATGTCAATCAAGCTTTTCTTTATGCTCTTTTGATGCTAGTTTTAAATGTGATTAAAAAAAATATATCACTACCACTCTGTTATGAATGGTATTTTTCCTTCTATGTGACGTGTTATATAATTTTAATCAACATGTGATTTAAATGTTAAACATGTGACATTTGTGGCATTTTTATGTTTAGATCCTCATTCAAGAGTCATCTTGAAGTCCAAGAATTGCAATGACCTGCTGGGGTCCTACATCAATGCGAACTATATTCGGGTGAGTACAGTTATCTGTCCCCAGTAAAACTTATGAGCTGACATGTTTTCACTTAGAGGTACTAAAACTGGTCTTACAGGGAACCTCTCAGTGAAAATATTGTCCTGTAGAAGTCAGTACTGTCGCTCTCAGACTCTAATACAATAGTCTTTCTTCCTGCCCGGAAGCGCAGTTCAGTTGTGGGACCAAACATTTTTCCGTTCATGGTGAATTTTTCCATAGACTGTTTAAAATGAACATTCTTGTCGAGTATAGACAAAACACCTCATGTTAAAGCACACAATAGCCAACACTACTATAAATGCTTTAAACTGCTGTAAACTGTTGTAACAATTATGTGCATAATGTTTTTAATCTCAGGGTTACCTTGGCGACGAGAAGGCATACATTGCAACACAAGGTCCTATGGTGAACACCGTGAATGACTTTTGGCAGATGGCCTGGCAGGAAGAGTCTCCTGTTATTGTCATGATTACCAAACTGAAGGAGAAGAACGAGGTATTGTGATTCAGAGAAGATATGTCTTACAGTATGTTTTGTTGAGCTGAAACATGTAACATGTCTGTTACAGAAGTGTGTTTTGTACTGGCCTGAGAAGAGGGGCATCTATGGAAGAATCGAGGTTTTGGTGAATAGCACGCAAGAGAATGAGCATTACACCACACGCAGTCTCACTCTGAAGGTGCAGGACTATCCTTTCATCTGCTGTCTGCTTTGACCATCAAGCTAACCATAAGTACATGAAATATGTCTTTGAGCAGTGTGGAAATCAGACTCGCATGGTTCAGCATTTCTGGTACACCTCATGGCCGGACCACAAAACTCCAGACTCAGCTGTGCATCTGTTGGAGCTGATGACAGAAGTGGAGGCGGAGAGGAGGTCGTCTGCCGCCATGGGCCCCGTCATTGTCCACTGCAGGTAGAAACAAACCACACACAACTGATGCGATACAGAATACACAACTGGACCATACACAACTGATGCTATACAGAAGCTCTAGTCTGTAGCTGTATGCATTTAAAGCTCCAGTACCTTTTTTTTTTGCCTCATGATTATATGTTTTCTGTCCCAACAAAGAGTCTTATTTAAGTATTTGTGTATTAATCTTATTTTACATAATGAGAGTGTGGGCTATAGACTGTATACAGATGGACAACACTATCCACTAGCTCAATGAAGCCCAATAGGGAAGTGCTCATGGACAAGTTTTACCCTAACTTGCTCTGGCTCCTATTCACTTATATTGAAAAGTATGGGCACGGTCACGGGCCAAGTGGCCTGGACCCGCGGGCAGAAGGGTTTATTTTCTTAACTGTTCTAGCTCAAATACAGCTGTATTACAACACTCGGTCCAGCTGGTGGCGCTAATACTAACCTATCTCTTCCTGTTTACACTCGCCTACTTATATACTGCTCTAGCTCAATAACCGTTTGTGTCACACTCACCATTTTGGGCTTTAAAAAATCTGGTTTAGCGCTAAGTAAAGATAAAGGTGCACTTTTATATCCAGATAGGGCAATTCATCCTCAGCATTTGACCCATCCTGATGACACTAAGGCAGTGGTCGCTGTAGTACAGCGCCCAGGAACCCATCTCCAGATGTTGATGCTCGGCTTGGTCAGGAATACCGGAGCTGGAGGATTTTACCTAGTGAGCATGTTTTTAGTGATAGGGGAAACCAGAGCACCCGGAGGAAACCTATGCTGGCACGGGGAGAACATGCAAACTCGTCTCAGAAAAACCCTGTTATGATCGGGATTTGAATCCAGGACCTTCTTGCTGAGAAGCGAGAGTGCTTTCCACTCAGCCACCGTGCCGCTCTCTATGATCCTGGTGTTTATAATTTGCAATGGTTTTGCAAATTATAAATCCACATGAGCCATATAAGGGTTGACCAATCAGATGTGTTCATTTGGGAAAGTCCAGCTTGCCTTAGCAACCATCTCAGCAATATGTTTGCCCCAGATACCGCGCAAAGCTAACGGCAGAAATAAAAGACCAATTGAAGACATTGACAAGCTAATGTTCAAATCAGCTCCTAATGGACGCTCTATAGTGAGGGCTGGTACTCTCTCTTTCCCTGATCTAAAGATCTAAATACATGCATGACACGCAAAAACTTGTGCTAGAACAAACTCTTTCGAGAGATGGGAACTAGTTTCATGGACCTTATTCTTCTTTTTTGTGTGGTTTCAAAGCAAGATACTCCAGCTTGAACTGTTTTTTTCTTCTCTTTCTTCAGTGCTGGTCTTGGTCGAACGGGCTGCTTCATTGCCACGACAATAGGATGCAGACAGTTGCAGTTGGAGGCAGTGGTTGATGTCTTGGGCATCACGTGCCAGCTCAGGGCAGACCGGTAACTCAACGTCAATACATGTATTACATTGTATCTGTAGTGTAATCCTGCTACCTTATGGTTTGAATGTGTTATTGTCTGCACAGGGGCGGGATGATTCAGACGGGAGAGCAGTACGAGTTTGTTCATCATGCCCTGAGCCTGTTCGAAGCCCGACTCTCTGCTGAATCTGGACCATGAGCGGTAGATCCACAGAGGACATTACATAAGTGAGCAATTGTGTGGTTTCATGGAAATCACTGCCGGTGTGGACTTGTGGCTCACAGACTGCAATGAAAGAGCTGGACCAACACCGTGGGAAAGATTTAGACGAGTGACTTAAAAATGATTTGTAGATTCCTTTCGTGACAAAGGTTTTATTTGTTACAATGTTGGCTCAATATCGTCTGTCTCTATCTTATAGGACTTATAGACTGTTAGTACTACACCCTTTCATCATATTCTACCCTGCTCTTTGATAACAACACAATATTTTCCATCATTTGACTTTAAAAAAATTCAACTCTTTTTGTGAAGGTTCTATTGCAAATATCCTTAGCATTGCATTACAAAGTTGTTTACCTGAAATACATATTCTATGATTGTTCAATGTACTGTAATACTACTAATACACTAGTCTTAGTGCTAAGCGGCATCCTTTCAGGTTCACTACCCCAACAGAGGGAAGCAGGATTATATTTTTGTCAGCTATGAGCATTAAAGGCTTGTTTTGATTCTGTATAATGTAAATGGACTGAGGTCAGGCCACAGGGTGGACTGGTAAATGTGGTCAAATGTTCTGTATGTTTTAAGAGCAATAGATCCGGTTACGATTATGGGAGCATGAATTGCGTCCCACAAAACAAATATTTTTTTAACACTAAACCTGCCTTTACACGGTAAAACGGTTTTTGAGGAGCACTTTGATGAATTCTGTTGCAGTTGCCTATAACAAGATGAAGAAATGAATAGTAGTCCTTTTTAGACAATTGTGCAGTTGGCTCTCAATGGTTCGTGTTGCATTGACAATTGTTGTGGATTATGTTGCTTCATACCAAAAATGTGAAATTATTATTCAAAGTAGTAAAATACATGTTGTAGTGAGTAAAAAGCTTATTTTTATACTTCTTTTCTATCATATAACTTTATTTTAGCACATTTGCAGCATTTGACATGGTCGAAATAGAGGAATGTTTATGTTGCAGTGACTACTAATTACCAACCTTATCAGCTTTACATAAACTAAAATGTATAGCCATGATAACGAGACAAAATATGTTAGTGCCAGTGGAAGGAAAAAAAATTGGTTGATGTGGCCATGTTTTATAAAATATATTAGTAAACAAATCAATGTATTTTTGTACAGCCCAAATACAGTCGCCTCGAAGAACTAAATCAACTAAATTGTTGATTTACACGATTAGCTAATTAATTTAAAAATGGAAAGAAACAATATATTTTCTAAGCATTATAGGAAGGGATCTATAATCAAGTTAAAGGACCTCAGCAAAAATGGTTAAAAATTCAGCAAAAAGTGAAGTTGAATTTGAACTGTTTTCACTGCTCAGTATAAATGCATCGGCAAGTTTATTTGTAAAAACCATGTTCGTTTATATCAATACTGCGTTTGCCATCTCCACGCCCTCTGCAGCTGCGGGGAACACAACACACTGCCTCTGACTTAGTATTGTGAATTTACACTAGCCGTGGTTCACACTGTATTTAATCGCTGTTTGACTGTTGAAAGAGTTTAAAGGGATGCACCCAACTTTTCCATGTTCATAATAACAGTGCTGGCCCAGGTCTTTACGGGGCTCCAAGCAGAAGTTGCTTTAGGGACCCTTGCCACTCGGACGCAGCCATTGTAAAATGTGGCACAGCTTAAATTGTCTAGGGCTGCACAATATTGAAAAAATACCTAATTGTGATATTTCAAGTCTGATTTATTTTCCTAAATTGTAAAAATAACCTCTTTAAAAAATTACATTTGAAAAAGTGTTCATAAGGAGCAAATACCTCTGCGTTAGAAGACATAATTGTTCAACCAAGATTTCTCTGAAACAGTGATCCTTCACTGTAACGTGCTTCAACTTTCACTGCCTCACTGTTTTGTGGGTTTTGTTTGAGCAATTTTAAAATGAGCCGGATGTATACTGCAACAACATCATAGACAACATCATGTAAGCGCCAGTACAACATGACAGTTACCTTTTCTTTAAAGTGAGAAGAAAAATGTTGTGACTTGTGTGCACTGCTGTAATTAGTTCAGATGTAGCCGTCAGTCCTGCTCCTGCCTCTGCAGCTGTTTTTTACAGTGCATGCATGGCTTTTGACAGCTATAGCAGTGCTCAGACCTACAACCAACAGAATATCTTCATGATCGCACTTAAGCAGTCGTGCATAAAGTATGTTTGTGTTGAGGAGTTTTTACAGCCTTAAAACATACAGCTGCTGTTGAGTTCGCTCATTTTTAGAACAGAAACCTGTGATAAACTCACAAAATTATTATAGACCTGTTGTGCACATTTTGTAAAATATAAATTGATATAAACCTTATGCCGAAACAAACCATTCATTGGCAAATCTTCAAAATATGCTCAAAATAAGATATTTTTAGTTTGCAAAGAATTTCATTGTGGCAATTTGCAAATTGTGCAGTCCTAGAAAGGGCCATTCTAATGCATCAGTGAAAAATCTGAAATTGTCCGTGATGATAACAGACCTTTGAATCACTTGTGAAGTCAGATCCATGCATCCCTTCAAAGTCTTAAAATTGGGCATTAGTTCAGTCAGGTGAGACAAATGCCAAGTGTTGTTTCAATGTACTCTGATGAATGTTGTTGTTGTTCAGAACATAAGATGTGCTGTACGTTGTGACCTGTTTATCTTCTCTACACATACTACCTGTAATATATAATAAAACATCTGGATCTATGATCTTTTTGTTAACTATAGATTTTCCTAGAGTTCTTGTTGGTGTGGGGCTACAGTTCAATATATCCACGTCATTTCATCAGGAAATTGATGAAGGGGAAAGGTCTGTGTGAGTCACAAAATGTGGAAAAGTTATTTAAAAATCACAGTACTTACTGGACTATAAGCTGCCACTGTGGCTTCAATAGCTGTACGCCAAATATATGTCTCCAGAGCTGATGACGCAGCACACCTTCCTGCTTTAGTGTGTTTATGTGAACAGCAGAGAGAAACAAGGAAATGCAGGATACACTAGACGTGTGTTTGTGTGATCAGGATTATTGTCAGAGCATATTATTTTGTAGGAATGTTATTGTCAAAACAGAATGGATTTGGTCATAACGACAATCTTTAAATGTTGTGACCAGTTAACAGCCAATCAGCTGTTGGTTTAGTGTTACAACACGATTACAACATTCTTCAAGCCATTCTTCTGCCTGTATGTGAACAAAATATACTTTTCTTAACATTTTAGCTGGAGCGGTTTGCAAATGCACACTTAAAACTCCAGCAAGTACTGGAGATGGGTCGACTGTGCCCATATTGCCCCGCTACACAGCCCTGTTATCTTTATGATTCACATTTCAAAAAGATAGGTTAAGTTGATATAATTGTGGTTATTGCACATGGGTTTTGCAGCTATTTTTAGAGCTGGTGCAACATGGGGGTACTCATTCCTCTATTCTGACTCACAAGGAAGTCCGTTAGCGACTCCCAGCTTTGGCACTATGTAATCTGACCAATAAGCAGCGAGAGAAAGACAGGAAGAGGACCACACTGTGGGGGGACAAAGACTGAACCAAAGTACTGACAAGTTTGAGTTGAGGATGATCAGCCGACCCGACGGAGAGGCCTATTTCAGATCAGAAAAACTGGAATAATATTAATTACAGCAGAACTCAACTATAATTATCATTTTTTTTTTACTTTTGTTGTAGATTTAAATTTAATTTTGATCTAAACATTTTTTGGATTGGCTGCAGAAGAAGAGTGGTTTAGTCCTGCTGTGTATCTGTCAGTATCATCTGGACCCTGGATTATGGTGATGTGTGCTCTGTGCATGGATCTAAAAGTTCAACATGCGGCAATTTAAAGCTGAGAGAAAACTGCGCAGGCTGTGGGTCCCCATCCTCCTGCTGCTCCAAGTGAGTTATCATTCTAGTTCTAGCTCCAAAACTCAATCCATGACCATAAAACTGGGTAAACACAAATCTATCATTTATTCAACCAAAATCTAGGCAGCAAATTTGATGCCTAGATAACATAACACAATAACATTGTGTTATGTTATCGTGTTATGTTATCGATAGGTTGCGTTCATGTGACATTGCAACCTTCCAAAGAGACTACAGTTCAATATATGGTGAAGGGAGGTTGAAATATCTTTCGTGGTAACTATGGTAACTGCTCATTTCTTTGTAAATCATGGGCCAATCCGCATGAAGTTAAAAACAGTCACAAAGTTCAATATATTTTTTGTAGTAATAGTAATCTTTATTTATATACCGCCTTTTCACTGCAGATCAGAGTCTCAAAGCGGTTTACAATTGTTAATTTTGGGCATTTGTCTCTCACTCCACACAGAGATAGGAGCAGGGGCACATCAGGAGGCAAATGGCAGATCTATTGTTCATTTTTTTAGTGGTAGGGAAACCGGAGTACCCGGAGGAAACCTACGCGGACACTGGGAGAACATGCAAACTCCACTCAGAAAGGCCCTGGTCCAACCAGGATTCGAACCCAGGACCTTCTTGCTGAGAGGCGAGAGTGCTATCCACTCAGCCACCGTGCCGCCATACTCGGGTCCGCCCATACATATTTACTCAGGTCTAATTATTTAGTCATAAAGTTTAAGTGGTGACAAAAACATGCAGGACATTGGCCAAGAGAAAAAGGTCTTTCAGACATAACAATAATATGGCGGCTTTGTGAATCTAATCAAATGGTGACTTGGTAAATCTTAAGACATTTTCTTTAGCAAATTTAAAAAAAAAAAGGTTTCTTTTAAATACAGTATAATTGGTATCTGTCCTCCAGCTGAATTAGAACATGAACGCAACAAAAGCAAAGGCCAATTAAAATACATACGTGACCTGCACAACCAAGACTTTTATCTTCTTACATATATGAGGCACTTTATTTATTTTTGTTTGTTATTTTTTGTTATTATTATTTAGACTTAATTAAGGACTCATATGCAAGCACAGAAGCCACAGCTATTTTATGTGTTTTCTTTATTATTGTTTTTATTGATTTATTAAAAGGGACAGTGCACTTCAATATACATTGTACATGTAAATATGCAGATGTGTTCATTTGATGTTCAGCAGCAAACTTTCAAATGTTGTCAAATGTGAATTGTAGTGGCTGAACTATAGATGTGAATGACTAATGTATATATGTCTGTCCCCATCACAGACCTGGGTCAGGCTCGTCCACGCAGAGGTGTCTGACAGATCATGTGCATTCAATGTATCTCAACAAGATTCAGGCCTGGACTACATCTCCCTCTCACTCAACACCACTGGACCAGACTGCTCCTTCTCAATCTCATCTCCAGAGGCAGAAACCAATGCTGTTGAGTGCAAGACTGCGGAGGGAAATCAGATAAGAAACAAAGTGGAAAGAAACAATGACGATGAAACGTTAACACGAGATTATCTGACGACTAATGAACTGGGGGAAAACAATGCACTGGACACTGGTGGAGCAGTTTTTATCTGTCGCTTGGACCACCTGGAGCCCGGCTCTGTCTACCATCTGCAAATCCACACACCGGGACACGTAAACAACTTCACCATCCACACCAGTAAGTGACTACCTGCGTTCCTCCGGGTGCTCCGGTTTCTCCAACCACTAAAAACATGCACAATAGGCATGAATGGTTGAATGGTTGGTGAATGGATGGTGTTTGGTCGGAGGCTTTGATGCCTCAGTGTGTTCGGCGTCTTGCTTCCGTCATCACCGTGTGTGGAGAGAATGGAAATCTGTCTGAACTCTGAACAATTGTAAAGCGCTTTGGGTCACCTTGGTCTGTACAATGCGCTATAAAAATAAACATTATTACTACTTACTTAATTACTACAAGAACAAGAACAAGGCCACATTACTTTCTTGTCTCAAGGAAATTTTGCTGAGGATATAAGTGCTACACAGATCTGCATGAGATTGGATAAAAGATAAAAAGAAACATTTGGTCCAATTCTGCATCAAAATGAATAATAGGCCATGAATAAAACAATTGAAATAGTTAAACTTTGGTCTCCATCAGTTCAGACATGTGGTTCAAGCCTCTTCTAACGCTGACCTGACCCAGAGGATCCTGCATTTCCTTTCATCTCTCTGATTATGAAAGAAATGGTGTCATTGAATGGTTCATGTTTTAATGGCTGTATTGGCTTCTTTGTTATCAATATGACACTGTATTAGGGATTCTCAGTGCCAAAATAGCACCATTTTCCCATATGACATGTTTAATTATCAGAACTTCAGTATACATTTGTTTCTTACAGTAATGTGTGGTTTGAGAACAGTGCTGTAAAGAGTGCTTTGTCTGTGCCTGAGTTAATATCGAGCTTTCCTCTTGCTCAGCGATTAGCGACAGGAACAGACTCCTGCTGAGCAAGTCTGATAGGCCTCTAATAGCACTAGACTGTGTGTGTTGGGACTGGCCCATGTCCAGAACAGAAGTTCGGTCTTCAGAGTGTATTTGCAATGCAGTCAAGCTCAGGGTTCATTTCCTGTCTCCTTTGTTTCTTTGTTCTGAGGGAAGCAGTGGGAAGGGTGTAAGTGTATATACAAAACAGGGTGTTTCTGAAGACCTCACCCCCCTCCACACCCGCCCTAACCTTCTCTGCAGATCCGCATTCTGATCTGTGCTTTTTTAGCTTTGTATTTGACCTCTTATCTCACCAGCGCGTCAGCTACATTGACCTTTTTCTCACCACATGTATGTTTGTAATTTAGAAAAGATCACACTTGACAGGCAAACAAAAGCTTTATATGACATCAACAGTAATAGGGCAAGGGTCTCCAACCTGCATACCTCAGAGAGCTCTTTGTCAGGATAGAAGAGATAGTTCTTATTACTTTGTGCCAGGAGCGGAAATGATCATGGTATTTGTGAATTCACACATTCTCAAGAATGTGCAGCACTTACTGTATATCTGAGTCAAATCTGAGCCTGGTTTATTCCTTTAAGTGGTTGGTTGACACTGGGCCTTTGAGAGTACCCTTGGTCACTTGTGGCACTTCATTATTCAAAATCGGATTTATTAATGGTCACTATGTATTAACAGTGAAATCATATCCTATGAAACATATGCGGAACTACTTGGAAGGGGGCCTACTGGACTTGAGCCACAGGTTGGAGAGTCCCACGGCACACTCAGGAGGATTTCTCTCCTTGTTTCCATAAAATTTCTGCCAATTTTCTGTTCATTCTTTTTACATTTTATCACCGCGTGGCACAACATGTATGTCCATGACAAAGCTCAAAGGTTTTGAATTTCCTGAAAGTGGTCATAATGTGATACATTTATGTTGTAACAGTAAAACTGCATCATATGACCGAAAACAAATGATCTATTATTGTTAATTGGAAATGACTACCTTGTACTTGCACCACTGTATGATGTGATGACTTTTGTAATCTCATCTTTGAAAGAATCAAATACAATAAGCCTTGAAAAGATTAACTTTAACATCTCTAGAGCACATGTGAAACTTCCGAACGAGCATATTAGCCTGGCCATAAAGTTTACACTGCTGTCGATACATGTCTCTGTCGTCAGAGAGGTCAGAGGTTATGTAGTGTCCAAGATACTTTACCTCCTCTGTGGGTTGGAGAATATCACCACATAGAAGGAAATCAGGGAACACAAATTTTTTATCCTCCTTTGTTTTTACAATCATGATTTGACTTTTAGAGGCATTATACTTGATGTCATGCTCTATGCCATATCGGGAGCAGATATTTAACAGCTGCTGTAGACCTGCACTGTAAGGACACAACACTACAAGGTCATCTGCATACATTAAATGGTTACACAGGTGACTGCCAACCATGCATCCAGTTTTACACTGATTTAGCTGCAGAGACAGGTCATCAATATAGACATTAAATAGAAGAGGAGACAAAATTCCACCCTGACGCACCCCATTGCTAACCCTGAATGGGTCAGAAGTGGAATCGCCCCATCTGACCTGCATGGACTGGCAGGAGTACCAGAATGCAAGTATCCTTATGAGGAAGTCTGGAACACCTCGATCTAATAATTTTTGGAACAATGTTCCATGGTTGACTCGATCAAATGCTTTAGATGCGTCCAGAAAATACATGAACATAGTTGATCCCTGAGAGTTATATTTGCCCAGCATCTCTTTGAGGGCATAGATGCACAGGTCAGTACCATGTGCAGGCTTGAAGCCAAACTGGTTAGCAGTGGTGTACAAATATGGCTCGAGTCGGGTTAAAAGAATAATCTCCAAAACCTTAGACACAGAGCTTGCTAAAGCAATTGGGCGGTAGTTGTTACTGTCACTGAGTTTACCAGTCTTATTTTTGATTATAGGGATCAATATAATGGACAAAAGTGACTGAGGCAAAAGGCCATGAACCAGAAACCCAGTGAAGCAGAGGGCTAAGAGAGGATATAGCCGTGAGCTGGCAAACTTTGCATGTTCAGAAGTCACTTTATCTAAACCACTGGACTTGTTGTTTTTCAGTTTGAAAATAGCTTCATACACTTCTTGAGGGGTGACTATCACTCCTCTGTGATTTCCAACAGGTTTTGTGACATTTGTATTTATATTGCTCTCAACGCAATTGAACAGATTATTGTAATAATTCTTCCAATGCTGGCATATATTATAAGGTCCACTTACACCATCAATATTATTGGGCAGGGAGGTTTTAGATTTATTTATCTTACCAACCTCTTTCCAGAAGTCAGTATACTTACTATTTTGCAGCTTTGACACTAAAGAATCAGCCCTTAATGTGTTTTCATTACGTTTAATATATCTGAGGGCATATTTATAGTTGGCATTTGCCCGTTTTTTATATTCAAAAACAGGGCCAGATCTTGGTTTTCCACCTTCATGCCAGGCCTTGAAAGCCCTCCTAGCCTCAGCATGTGGTTCCTCAACAAACATGTTCCACCCAGGTTTACCTCTATGATTTTTTTTCTTTCTATTACATAAAAGCTTTCCAGATTTAATGAGGATATCTACAGTTCTATCATATAAGGTGTAGAGTTGAGCCCCATGCTCAGGATCAGTACAATTAACATTGCGACACAGTATGGCACTTTTAGGTAGTATAACATCCTTAAAAAAATACTCAGTTCTTTGAGTGTAGGCATGCACTTCTTCACAGCTAAGGCTAGACCAGTCCGGGCACTCACTTAAACTATTCACAGGTACATGTACAGGAGTTAATTTGGGAACATTTTCTACGTTACAGTACACAGTTAATGGCATATGATCACATGTAGTCATATTATAATCAATATGCATTTTCACAATGGTCGCATGTGCGTCAGCACTACATATGCAGTGATCCAGCCACGATGTGGTGTGCCATGCATCACTAACATACGTATAGCTTTCTGCAGGCAGAAGCTCCTGGCTGGACAGGACGAGTCTATTTTCACAGCAAAACTGTTTCAAATGATTACCAAAAGAAGAGGTATCATCTGAAATATCTGCATTCATATCTCCAACTATATATATACACGAACAGTCCAAGTCTTCAATGAAAGCCATAATACATGCCAATCTATTTACATATTCATCTTCATTATCAGTGCATTCATACGGAGTACAAATAAACTTGCCTTGCCTTTGGCAAATAATGTGGTAGTTTTACAGGAATATTCATAAAGGAAGTATACCAGTGTTAGGATATAGGCTACAGTATATTATAATGCTCTGAAAGGAATCCAATTAAGAGTATGATTAAGACATGCTTTATTCATCCCACGGTGGGGATATTTACTACTCTACATGACAGCAGCATGAGGCTCTTGGCAAAAAGTTATTAAAGTGGTCTTATAACCTGCGTTATAGCACAATCAAATTTCTAAAGAAAAAGGAAGCTGAAAACACAAAATAACTATAAAGTTGTTTATGTTTATGGAGTTGAGAAGGAAAAGAAGAGCGACCCTTTGGCCACTTGATACCGTTTTTTGGCCTTCTCCGTTTGTTCAAAATATTCGTCAACACAATTATTATGTGTTTCAATACAATGACGATATTAATCCAGGTCATGCCCCGGAGAGCTGCAGATTGAGTCGGACCACAGTGAGTTTGTGTTTGTGCTCAGGCCCCTCCGCGGTCCGCGCCCTGACTGTGGCCTCCACATCCACCCAGAGCCTCGGCCTCTCGTGGCAGGCGGGACCCGGCCGAACACAGCGCTTCCGGCTGCAGCTCTGGGACCTTCTCCACCCCTCACACCTGCCAGGTACAACCACTGCACTATTGCACGATACTGTAGTTTATTGATCTACGATTTAGTCATGGAACTGTAGTCCCACGTTTCACCGCCAGGAGACGTAATCAGAGTCAATAACGAAAGAAGTATAGTGTTATGAGTGGTAGCCTGTAATCGAATGTGACTTAAAACTTTAACCTAAGAACATAAAGTACATTTACACTTTTGCCTGACTTTTGGATTTACAACAGTTATATCAATGATTCATATTATTTATGTTAACATTGTTTTATTTCTCAAGTATCCAATTAGAAAGTCCTATAAGCATCACATAACTCGCTCATTTGGGTATCTAATATTAGCAAAAAAATACATCAATTTCATTCACGTCCATGTGGAAATATCATTTGTCTTTGTCCCATCTCGGCACAGATAACCCTAACCCTCACACCCCTGTTGGGGTTGGCGCTGGACTATATTATGGTGTAGGCACCAAGAATGTGGTAAAAGTACAGAATAGAGAATAATCAAGACAAAAAGGATGGAAACCACTGCCTCGGTTTTATGTTTGCTATAACGTCAATCAACAAATATCGATTGTTTTAACAGAACTGATAAGAAATGAAACACTGGAGAGCACTGCGACGCAGCTTGTCGTTCAAAATTTGCTGCCAGGACATGTGTACAAAATAACAATGGTGACAGAGTGTGGAGGGCTGCAGAACAGCACGTCAGTATCAGCACAAACAGGTAAATCCTGGTCCATGTTTAGTGTTACCTACATTTTAGTTTTACTTTCTCACTTTGTGTTTCTTCCTAGTTCCTGCTGCAGTTTCCAACATCACACTTACATACAGAAACAGCACAAGTCTGTGTCTGTCCTGGCAACAGCCTGAAGGCCATGTGGATGCTTTAGCCATCAGCGTCTTCATGAATGAGACCAGAGTTTGGGAGGCGGTCCTTCCCTCTAATGCCACTCAGGTGAACATCAAGGCTCTCAGCCCAGGCTCTGCTCATAGGATTACAGTGACATCATCAAGCCAGGGACTCTCAAACCAATCACAAATTACATACAGAACAGGTAAGCAGCTGGTCTCCTGTGCTCTTTGCTTTTTCCATATAGCTAATTGTTTGTGTTTGTATCCATAGCCCCAGAAAGAGTATCTGATTTAAGCCTGAGTCCATCCATCGATGGAAGCCTCATGTTGTCCTGGACTGCCCCGCCCGGCTCCTGGGATGGCTACACGCTCTTCCTGTTTGATGGAACCCAACAGCTACTCCACACACCTGTGGCTCAGGAAGCTGTAAATTTCACCATTCCTGGGGCCAGCATTACTCCAGGAAGGGTTTACAGGGGCAGTGTGAGGGTCGAGAGTGGAGGCCTTTATGCTGAAAGAGTCTTTGAGGGATCCACAGGTCTGTAATAACTGAGGAAAATCAAAACTAGTTGTACACCACAAGATCTCACTGCCATGTTGTATCTGTGAAAACATTTTGGGCTGTAAAATAAGGTCATCTGTATTTCTCTCTGTAGCTCCTGCTCCAGTGTTGGACCTGCACATTCGTCATGCGGATGAGACGTCTCTAAGTGCCATGTGGAACCATCCAAATGGATCTCGAGACAACTACTTTCTGATTATTCGCCAGGGTATTCTTTTTATTTTTTATTTTATTCATATATACACACATAGTTTATTTACTTGTGTGCACTTGACTTTTATTTAGGTAATGACACTGTGGATACCCGTGAAGTGCAGGCCAACATGAGAGAGTGCACCTTCAACGTGCTGACCCCCGGGAGGCGCTACACCATCACTGTGATGTCCAGGAGCAGGACGCAGAACAGCTCTGTGTCTGTGGAAGGCCAGACGGGTGTGTACTCATCCAGAGATAAATATACTGAATGAATACTTTGTCCCAGACCCTCATGCTGCTAACGTGTACAGATGTTTACATACTATTCTTCCATATAGTCTTGCTTCTTCATCATGCTAAAGTTGGAGATTTTCAAACCTTATCATGCTAAAAAGAAAATTTATACTGCTTATTTTTATGCTATATTTCCCCACTGTGGGACGAATCAAGCATCTCTTAATCTTGATCTATAACACAGTAGAAAACGTCTCAATGTGCCAAACCTGTCTTTCATCAGTTCCTTTGCCGCTGAAGACGATGAGCTTGAGCAGCGCAGGAGTGGACAGCCTTCAGGTGCTATGGGACAAACCAGGAGGAGATGTTGATACTTATATATTTACCTTGTTTCAACACAGGTTTGTATCAACACCATAAAAACCCAATCCTCCTCTGCACTTGTCTTGAAGTTTCTCAACTCTTCTGCAGTGATATTGTGAAGAACTACAGCGTTCCAGAGGGATCCTTGTCTTTGTTGGTGCCTGACCTGACACCAGGCACTCTCTACAGACTGCAGGCCTCCACCGTCAGCGGAGGAGCACAGTCCAGATCCACCAGCCTGGAGGGACGCACAGGTAAACCAGTCCACCTCATCCGGATATGTCCCATTTGTGTTGTTAATGTTGTGACAAACAGACAATACAATACTTGTTCATATCTGTTTCACCTCTCTGGCCCTGTTACGTGGTGGAAAGGAGGAAGGACCCAAAAAACAACATTGCAAAAATAATGTTAATTAATAAACAAAAATCCAAAAACAAAACTCTACTGAATGTAAAACACAGGAACTAAGGATGAACAACGGAACAAATACTCAGTGGACCACAGGGAAAGAGCATGGATTAGATTAGATTATATTCAACTTTATTTTCATTACAAAGTTAGAACAATGCAACAAAATGCACAGGGAATTTAAAGGAGCAATATGTAAAAATCTGGCCAAAAGTGGTACTGCAGTCACAGTCAATATTTTGTAGTCCTCTCCCACTCTCCCTGACTCAGGTTGCCAGATTCACACCAAATCCAGCAGCAAACACAGGGAATTATTTTATCAGTTGTTTGTCCGTCTCCATTCACATTGCCATGACAGCCGTGCTAATGCTGAATGAATGTTTTGATTAATGTTTTTTTATTATTATTATTTGGACATTTGAGATAAAAAACAAAACAAAATAAAAGCAATGTAATTATACATAGTTTATGCAAAATAAATAAGCAATTGATGTCCAAAACAGGAGTGGGAAGAATGGATGTTGGAGCGTATTTCTTCAGCGTATCAACATCAGGGTTTGCTCAAGAGGATATCACCTTAAAGTCCCACATCAAAAAGAGACTAACATTATTTTAATTGGGGTACATGTGGTCTTAAATTATTATTTTTACAATTAAGCTATAATCTGCAAAAAAACGTCTTGACCTTCATCTATTCCCGTTTTTAGAGCAATCTGTCATAGAATGTGATAACATGCAATAAATACAAAAAGACATAGCCCGGAATCGAACTCGGGTTCCTGCATCGTAAGCGCACAGCTAGACCACTAGGCCACCGATTCACACGAATGTGACACTGTGACGAACGGACTCAATCTAGAAAATTCTGCATCACACGTGAATTTTTATCAGCTGTCTCAATTGTTCAAAGGCGTCCTGATATAAATCCTCGTTTTAGTCTTTGTTTTGTCATTAATGATTTGAGAGTCATAACAAGACCTTTTTTAGTTCTGCGCCACATGTTATTTTACCACTGAGATTAATGAGCCGCGCGGAGTTCTGGCAACTCGATCACGGACTTACATGACACTTCCTGATTGGCGAAACGGCGGAGGGTAGGACATCAAAATCAAAACAATAACAACTTTTACGGGTCGTAAAACTAATTTTGATAATCAAATATCTCGGCTGAACTACTCTTGTCAGTTAGAGATGAATTCGAAAAGAGTATGATTTAATAACGCCTTTTGAAATATTCGGGTCATTTAATGATGACTTGACATGCAAATATTACATATTGCTCCTTTAACTGGGTGTAACACAGGTGCACATAATAATAAATAAAAAAACCAGGAACTGAACCATGACAGGCCACAGCTTGTCACCTCTGTCCTACAATCTATTCTAGATAGTTTAACTTAGGTTTAAACATTATTTTGCTTAGTTTTTGTACAGATTTTCTATGAATTCTCAATCTCTTTAGCACCCAAAAATGCCAAATGTGACATGAGGATACTTTTATTCTATATTCTATATTTTTTGTGAGAGAGTAATGGTTTTATTACTGGTTAAAAGTAGTATCAGGGTTGACGGTGTGATAAGATCTGACGGGTCGTGAAACAATGGATGAAATGCCAAAACTGTTGTGTGGAATGTTCCAGACACACAGACCCTCCCAGAGCTGCACTCGAAGACTTCCTGTAGAAACACACACAGCTTCCTGCTGCAGCTCCTATTGTGTTTCACTAAATATCCCTTTTATTTTCAGAACACACTGTGTATTTATGTCTGTGTGAATACTTCAATCAGCTTTAAATTAACTTCTCATTTTAATTAAATATTTTTTGGTAGAAGGATGCATAATATAATGTCTCTTTACCTCTCACCTCTATAACACCTCCAAAATTGGGTAAAAGATTCTAAAGAAATTCAAACCATTTGGAGCACAAACAAACAAACTAATTTACTAGTGGGAACCACAAGTGAAAACCATATCTGCAAAGAGAAAGATCAAAGTCTGCTTAACTTTCCAGGGTATAGCTGGTGTCTGTGGATGGGATCTATTTGGCTGTAGAATGTCAACAACTCACAGCCGAGGCAAATGTCCCTGGAAATAGGATTTACATTTGTAATAATGAATAAAGTGGCAGAATCCATGAAAATCCCGATTCAAATTTTTTCCTGTGATTTGGATACCATTAAATTTAGTTCTATGTTATACTGAATGCTGTTTGCTGTTTCTTCAGTGCCAGCATCAGTTCTGGAGATTACCTGTTCCAATGGCGGCAGGTCAGATGCGCTGCAGGTGTCATGGCGACCGGCGGCAGGGGCTGTGGACGGTTACATGGTGCGTCTTCAGGATGGCAGCCGAAGCGTTCACTTTGTGGCCGTTTCCCGCTCCACCTCCGAGTGCTCCTTCAGTTCGCTGGTGGCCGGGCGCCTCTACTCTGTTGTCATAGTGACAAGAAGCGGCAGTTTGGAGAATGCGACCACTGCGCAGGCTCGCACCCGTAAGTGCCTGAAGTGAGTTTGAGGAAAGATACTGTGTTTTTGTTTCTGAAGAATGTGTTTTTCAGAACCAGCCGCTGTAAAAAACCCAACAGCTGTTCACTCGGCTCGTGACGACTTCCTTAAGGTTTTTCTTTAATTTATATGATTATAATGTAAATAAATGCATAAAATCACATAGTTGTATATTGTGTTGTTGTTTTGTAGGTTTACTGGCGTCATGCTGCTGGAGATCTGGATTATTACATGGTGAAAATCCAGTACAACAACAGTGTGTTACAAAACAAGAGCGTTTCCGCAGGACGCAGCGAGTGCGTGTTCTCATCGCTGAAGCCTGGACGCCTATACACCGTCACCGTGGAAACCTGGAGTGGAGACTATGTCAGCACTGCCTCCACCGATGGACGCACCTGTCAGTAACACACATTACACACACTTGTCAAACACTTCACACACTTCATACACACTTTGCACACACACACATAGACACACTTCATACACACTTTGCACACACACACATAGATACACTTCATACACACTTTGCACACACACACATAGACACACTCCATACACACTTTGCACACACACACATAGACACACTTCATACACACTTTGCATACACACACACCCTAATGCTCTTTGTGTTTCTGTTCCAGTTCCAGCTGCAGTGGGGGATCTGTCTGTGGTCAGTGCAGGGATGGCAGATCTGACTGTGAGCTGGAGCCCGGCTCCTGGAGACGTGGACCACTATGAGGTGACTTTAAACAGGAAGTGAGACAACATGTGTGTGAATGCAATAATCCGAACAAAAGCCTCTCTGCTCACAGGTCACATTACTGTTTAACGACTCTCAAGTCTTTCCTCCGGCCACATTGAGCAGTAACACTCAAAGTCATCGACTGATATCTCTGACCTCTGGCCGACTGTATAAAATAGTGGTTTCCACATTCAGTGGGCCATACCAAAGACCGCAGTTTATTGAGGGACGAACAGGTAAGAAAAAAATAGTTGCATATTCAAAAGTTCACGAGCAGAGACCTGTCTCTGTGTTCAGTTCCTAGTACAGTTGGGAACCTACACTTGATACCAGCATTCCAAAAGGCTTTTGGAGGCCTGATCGCCTCTTGGACACCTGCAGCTGGAGACATAGACTTGTACATAGTCTCTCTTTCCACTGAGGTAACGTATTACAGTAAATATTCTAGTAGAAATACAAAAATAATGGAATGTATATTCAACCATTCATCTGTTTGTTTGGCAGAGTGAATTTATTGAGAGACGCCCTGTACCAAAACATGTGTCATCTGTGGAGTTTGTGGACTTGACCCCAGGACAACTCTACACGGTCACTGTGCAGTCAGAGAGCGGGAAGCGGACCAGCAACTGCACTGCTCACGGAAGAGCCGGTAATTTTACAGGCAGGAACTTTTTAATATGAAATATAGTGTCTGATCCATGTTAATCACTGACCGTCCACTATGACTCAGCACCTGCCCAAGTGACCGCTCTTCAGGCAGATAATGCTCACACGACTCACAGCCTCACTGTCTCCTGGGAACGGCCTGTGGGAGTGTTTGACAGCTACAAGCTGCAGCTGCTCGACAAGGACCGTTCTGTCCTCATCAATCGCACTGTGTCCATGGAGAGTCGTCAGGAACAACTGCAGAACCTGACATCAGGAAAATGGTTCATAGTTAGACTTGTGACTTTGAGTGGTGGCATCTCATCACTTGAAACAACATCTGAAGGGCAAACACGTACGTTTAAACTAATTATCATTGCTCATTTTCAATTGCAGAATAGGAATTGAGAAACATGACATTTGCTGACCATATTCATTACAGGCCCTGCAGCTGTCAGTAACTTGGCAGTTTCCTCAGCCAACATGACCTCCCTGTCTTTCTCCTGGCGTCCTTCAGACGGTCATGTTGACATGTATGACCTGTCTCTTTATCGTGTTCCTGAGAGCAACGAACGAGAGGGTGCAGAGGACAGAAGAGAGGTCTGTTTTCACAATCTTTCTCTGAGGGGTTTTGACGTTGACACTTGTGACTTGTATAGGACTCACATGAGTTGGTGGATCAGCAGAAAGTCAACCCCACGTCACAGAGTTGCTTGTTTTTGGGGCTCACTCCTGGAAGTCTGTACAGACTGCAGGTGCTGAGCTGGAGCAGAGGCATGAGCAGCGACTCCTCCGTTCTGGCCAGAACAGGTTTGTCCTCTGCTGACTGTTGTCACATCATGTGACAGACTGATTTAGCAGCTTTTGTGAATATGTTCTGATGCAGTGCCGGCTCCTGTCTCATCTCTGGAGGTGCAGAGTTCAGGCCATACAGACCGGCTCACTGTCAGCTGGGAACATGGGGTGGGAGACAGAAGTAGCTACCAGGTATTACATAAATAATATAAATCAATACCTTACAGTTGTGGAGGCCTCTCAATGCTGTCTTACATTGTTAAGGTGGCTCTTTACGATTCAAGTGGAGCCTCACTCAGTACTCAGACTTTTGGGGAAGACCATAAAGATCACACTTTCTCAGGATTACGCTCTGGTCATTTATACCGAGCCGAAGTCGTCACACACAGTGGAGAACTCATCAATAGTGTGACTGCTCTTGGGCGAACGTGTAAGACTTATAATTTTCTTTTGTTTTAGTCAAATGTTCATATTATTCTAATAATGTTATCTTTTACCAGCCCCAGATCCTCCCACTTACATTTCTGTCAAACAAGGGCCGACAAATGACACCATACTGTTATCCTGGGCTGGCCCTGCTAATGGGGACTACAATAACTTTAGTCTGCAGTGGACCCCCCCAGACTCGCTGACGGTCACCCCAGTTCACATGACAGAGGGAATCGTGAGTGGGATGTTTCCTGGAAGACTGTACAACTTCAGTTTGATGACTGTCAGTGGGTGGAGAGACCAGTCCATGACTACGAGCCAGCCAATCCAGCGCAGCGTTCGTACAAGTAGGTGGAGCTATGTCTCTGTGCATTAACGTTGATTAAATGAATCAGTCAATGAGTCTTTGAGTTTTTGAAAAGCGCTATATAAAACCGATGTATTATTATTATTATTATTATTATACATAGGTTTCGTGATGTAATAACATTCCTTATGTACAGTGTGACATCCTGACAACAAGATATTATTTTGTGAGCATAATGTCCATAGTTCTACCTCCAGGTGGCAGTATAATAAAAGGCTTGAATAGTGAACCACATAGTTTTCTGCCAGTTTTGAGTATAAATCTATTTTAATCAAATCCTGTTCGCCTGCAAAGGCTTTGGCTACAGAGATAAAACTGATAGCACCAAAGGAGTGGAATTCAGGACACACATTTATAAATATGAATGACCTATTTTTTCTTTTTTACTGTGGCCTGAGTTTTATTCAAATTTAAGTTTTTCAGACATAAGAAAAACACGAGACACAACTTTTGGGGTTTAGTTGCTTTGAAAAAAAAGAAACCAATCACATATATTAACATTGAATGTTACAAAAACTAAATTCAAGCAGACACAAAACAAATACAAATCCACTGTTGCAGAATGCTAAAACAGTGGATTGTTATCATTTTGATGAATAGAGTCCTCCTTTGCCTTTCTCAGTGTCCTTAAACATTCATCCTCCAGATGTTCCTCTGGTCCTATCAGCAGCTCTCTGTGATGCCATCTTGTGTGGGTTTATTATAAACACAAGTTTCACTGATTGTCCTTGTGATCTGCACAGGTCCATCGCAGCCAAGATCTCTGCACTGCTTCCCCCTGTCGTCCTCCTCTATCTCCTGCTCTTGGGGGCCTCCGCTCTCCGACTTTGACTCGTATGAGGTGGAGTGTCGGCGTCACGAAGACCAGGAGCTGACCTCTGCGTTACGGTTAGCAGCAGGTGTCAGCACAGTAACCTTGGAGCACTTGGACGCGTACAGAAAGTACTCTGTTACTGTGCGAGTGTCTTCAGCCGGGCAGATGAGTCCAGCATCGTCACACACCACCATCACCATGATAGACCGTGAGTTCACACTATCACCACTACATCATATTGTTCTCAGACAATGTGCTTCAAGATCAACTCACCACATCCAGTGTTGACCAAACAGCAAGAGGGAATGGAGCAAGAGTCCCCTGAGGGACTCAGCTGAGCAAATAAATTCTTATTCAAACAGACTGATTACACAAGGACCAGCAAAAGACAAAATGATGCTGTTTATCTGTCTGTAATTAGGAGATAATAAAATGTGAATGGAAACCCCTCTCCTCAGGGCCTCCTGTTCCTGCTCCTACTCTCCGTGTGAGCGAGAGATCTTCAAAAGTCACATCGTCGTCCATTTTGTTTCGTTTCAACTGCTCCTGGTTTAGTGACGCCAATGGAGCCATTCGATATTTCACTGTCATTGTGGCCGAATCTGACGGTAAATACTTAAAGAGTAACTGTGGAACTTACTTTTGTATTTATTGAGTTGTACTTCTACAGCCAATGAGATTCTGCAGCCAGAGCTGCTCCACCCAATGCCTTCTTATCGCGATTACATCAATAACTCATCGGTGCGTGCATACCAGACCGCCTTCTTCCCCAGTCGTTGCTCGCAGGATTCTGAGGCCTCTGCTGGACAGGTATTGAAACCAGAAACGATTGTCGGTTGAGTTTGGTGTCTTTCTGCCTTTTGCATGTCTCTCCTTGTGTCTGAGGAGGGTAGGTTTCCTTCAGGTGCTCTGGCTTTTTAATTGATTCATATAACAAGACTTGATTTCCTGATTTGCAGGTGGTCGAGGTGAACCTTGGGGCAGGAGGGGATCGGCTGGGCGGAAGCTGTGACTTCTATGGTGATGATGACTTCTTTATAAGTGACGGCTATGGCGACTTCTGCGATGGTCCATTGAAAGCTAAAACTTCATATAGGTAAACCTGCACTTTCCAAAAAGGAGAAGGTAAATTTCTTTTCGGACTTATCGTTTCCAAATTGTCTTTTTGTTCAGGCTGAGCATACGTGCTTTCACCAGACTGTTTGATGAAAGCCACCGAGAGTTTCCACAGCCGCTGTTTACAGACTCTTACCTGTCTGCTCCTCTGAGGACTCATGCTGGTGAGCCCCAAGCACACATTTAAAACGCTTTAAAAAAACTATTTTAATCATGTTTCATTTTGACAGAACCGCTTGGTGGAGTTGTGGAGGGCTTGAGTGCCAGCATGTTTTTGATCGGAGTCCTGGTGACGATTGCGGCTCTTCTGATGTACAGACAGCGACTGCATAAAGTGTAGGTGTTTTCACTGCTTATTTCAAGAACACTATACATGCAACTCAAGTATGACATTAAGTTCAGCATATTGAATGCCTTTCAACTTTTGGTGCGATCAAAATGGGTTGTTAAATTAAACTGGGCCCGACTGGAGGTTTGAAGGGGGCTGAGTGGCCAATGCAAGGGTGTGCTCCATATAAAGCAAAGGGATGTTTTTGAGTTTTCTTATCAAACACACACCTGGAGCTGCTTTTAGCTCCATATATACAGTAACGTCATAAATATCTAGCACCAATCTGCATAAACACATCCTCTCCGCCCCATTCAAAATCAATACACAATGACTAATCCTCATAGTCCTTGGCAACTATGATGCCAAGGAGAGAGTCATTTTCTGCCTCATAACACAAATGTATTGCCACTAATTTAGTTTTGGAAATGCCTAGTCAAGTACATTCTGTCCAAATTTGTGCTTTCACTTAGACTGCCCCACATCAAATTAAGAATCTAGACCAGGCATGTCCAAACTAAAGCCTGCGGGCCAATTGTGCCCCTCTCTGTCATTTTATGTAGCCTGCCTCCTCAACACAAAGTCGCTTTAGACATCATAAACACAAGTATCATTCAGCCAACTTCAGCTCGGGCCAATATATACATCTTGTACCTTGCTGTAAAGGAACTCTAGAATTCAGCTGTTGACTTTTTTTCAATATACTGACATTTGTTTCTGATTATGTCACAAAGTTATGTCTTTGGTGCTGTAACTATATGGCTGATCTTAAATCTTAGAACAGCCCAAATCCAGTTAATGTGTTGGTGTTACAATTTTACACATTCAAACATAAAAGTCTATTGTAGACAGTCTCAAGATCAGGCTGAAGGGCTAAAACAAATACAAATACTGCATGATGTGTGTTGTTTAAGGTTGATGTAGCGTTGAGAGTCAATGTAAATGTTCTCTGCAGCAGGGCGGTGCAGGACAGCCCAGTGGTGCGGATGAGTATGTGGAAGGAGGTGCCCACATCAGGGATATATGTGGGGGTCCGGAGGTGAGTGTGACTGATGCTCCGTCTCTCATTCAGATGTTACAATAGACTGAGACGGATTAGTTCCCGATACCGCCTACGTCCAATATGTGAGAGTGTGAAATATTACTTTTCGATAAAGTCCTCGCTCTGCCGGATTACCTCATCATTCAGCGCCTCAGTCCACGACACCAGATAATTGCGGCACAGATGTTTCTGAGCGCTCGCTGCTCTCATTATTCCCACAAAAGCAAAGCACTTAGTGCAATGCTTTTGTGCCACCACTCAGCACGCTGGCTGAGTGGATCGCTCACTCGCTTCTCAGCAAGGTCGTGGGTTCGAATCCCGGTTGGAACAGGGCCTTTCTGAGTGGTTCTGAGTTTGCATGTTCTCCCCGTGTCTGCGTAGGTTTCCTCCAGGTGCTCCGGTTTCCCCTACCACTAAAAACATGCACATTATGTCTGAATGTAATGAGTGAGTGAATGGATGGTGTTGGCTGAGGGCTTTGATGCCCTTGTGTGTCTCGCTCCCGTCATTGCCGTGTGGATTTGGAACATTGTAAAGCACTTTGGGTGACCTTGGTCTGTAAAAATGTGCTACATAAATTACTTACTAACTAACTTAGTGCAACTCTAAAATGTCAGCGGAGGGTTTATTTTATGACATGATAATTCTTCAGCTTTCTTTTAAAAGGCAAACATATTTTATCTAATTTTAACCAGAAGGAGTAAGATTTTGGGGGGATTTGAGGTGATATTCAAGAGAATGTATGAAAATAAACTTTAGAAAGATTCATCTTAGTAGTTATTTGGTTCTTTTATACCAGACAATTGTGAGAAAGCCATGTTAAAGATCTTTTATTTGTCCCACAACCCAAGATCAATGAACAATAACTCTATACTGAATAAAATAAAGTAAAAATCTCAATCATGAAGAAGAAACAAGTACAAAATCTCTATCTTTAGCTTGAGTTTAAAAAAAAACTCTGGCTTTATAAAGAAGCATAAAATCTCTACCTTTATCATTTATTTACATTTACATCTCACAAGGTAATAACATAGCTATCTCATAATTATCCGTTACAGAATGAAAATGTAGCTTGTGCTGTGGCTTTATGATGAGATAGAGAAGCTAAAGAGAAACGTTACTTCACAGTTTGGAAATGTCAATGTCAAAGCGTGGTACTGTATGTAAATAATTACATTATACAAAATAGTGAATATTTAGGGATAAATAAACAAAATGTGCTCACATATCTTTGCTGAGGCAGAGAACTATTGTGGCTTTACGCATTTACTTTTTACATATTAATAATGTGAGTGTTTTGTCTTCCAGCAACCGCAGAGTCACCAGGTATGTATTCAACAGTCGCATTTTTAAAGTTGGACTATGTCACTTTTCAATTGAAGGAACTAGACAATATGTCGACTTTATATACCTTGTGATTTTTCAATGAATTATTAGTGGTAGATTTGAATTCTATTGCTACAAAACTATGGATTCCAAAGGCCTCGCAGTTGTTCTGACATGTAAACTGACATGTCCTGAAATATATGGAGATTACTCTGGAGGTGCATAATCCCTTTCCTCCACTCGAAAAGTTGCATAGCACACATAAACTTTGACTTTCATACATTTAACGAAGTCTTTGGCTTTTCAGTCCAATCAGTGGCTGCCATTTTGAGTCGCACTTGAATAAACTCCAGGCCGACTCTAACTATCTGCTGTCAGAGGAGTTTGAGGTGAGGTCTTCAATGAGTCCGCTGCAGTTTGAGTTCATTAAATCAAAAAATAACGGAGCAGGTTGTGTCTTTCAGGATCTGAAGGACGTGGGTCGAAACCAAACCATGGACCTGTCTCGGCTGCCTGAGAACAGAGGAAAGAACCGCTACAACAACATCCTGCCTTGTGAGCACTGATTACACTGATACAAAAGAGGGAATAAGTGGCGGGATATAACATGAAAAATACTGTATATAGTTCACCATGACTGTACATCAGAATTTTAATTATAGCTACAATACAATACAATTTAGTCTTGTATAGCCCTAAGTCACAACAGAAGTCATCTCAGAGGACTTAACAAAACCATTGAAATCACCAACACAGATCAGAGAATCAACAGTTAAGACACAAAAAATAATATATAGAACAGATGTTGATAAAGCTCAAATACTTAACTTTCAAGACACAAAAAATTACCCATGTGATAAAGTCAAACTAGTTCCTTGTTCTCAAAACAGTTTGCAGTTTTGTCACATCATCAGATCACTTTTTTCACACAAAAAAGTGAAGAAGAGAGGACCAGCCTCCCTCGTCCAATCAGTTTGTAAGTTAGAAAGTAAATACGCATTTTATTTATATAACACATTGATCTTTCCTGATGAGGACAGATCAATGCTCTGATTGAAAAGCAGTTCCTTCCTTGTTTTATTTCCATTGATTCTTGCGTGCTTGAGCAAGACTGAATCCAAAGCTTCAAGTAGCTCACGTATCCTCAGCCATTTCTCTGTTATTGAAAGAAATAAAAATCCAATCTTTTGAACCGGAATTACATAAAATAATTAATTTATTTACATTGTTCACAAATGTAAGACGGTTGAAGTTTTGAAAATGTGAGCGTGCTGTTGTTTTAGATGATTCAACCAGAGTGAAGTTGTCGTACTTGGAGGACGACCCCTGCTCAGACTACATCAACGCCAGTTACATGCCGGTACGCTCCACCCCTGTTTCTTTCTTCACGAGTTCACAAAACACTCAGTTGAGAATTGCTTTTCAGGGTAACAACTACCGCAGGGAGTACATCGCCACCCAGGGCCCCCTGCCCGGCACCAAGGACGACTTCTGGAGGATGGTGTGGGAACATGGTGTCTGCAACGTTGTCATGGTGACGCAGTGTGTGGAGAAAGGACGGGTCAGTCACACACACCTGAATATTACATTTTACTAGTTAAAGAGGTGGCTTTAATAACATTACCAACTGTAGATCTCACTTTTCAGAATAACTGAATGATGGTATGGTGTCTACAAAATAGTTTTTGCACTAAACGGTTTAAGGATATTGAAGTAATAGTTAAAAGTTCTGCTTCACTTTTCACTGCCTTTTCTAGTCATTGGAATTATTTTATGTTTATCAAAGCCCCTAAAGTCAGTGTTACAAACCTAGACTGTGTCACTGTAATAGGAATAAACTAATTAACCCATAGTGTTCGGCTTTTACTGGAAAATGCAGATTAAAGCTCGCTATGATTAAAATCTGGCATAGTAACCTCATAGCAACCAATCAGGAGTGAGACCAGCTCACCCTGTTCACTGGTTAGAAAGCATTTGGTTTGTTAGATATGATTGATTTTGATGTTGATTTACAAAGTGGTCCCTTGTTTATTGCAGGGGTTACGTTCTAAAAATAACCTGCAATAAGCATAATTGCCAAAGTAGCAACTATATATTTTAAGTCACCACACACTTTTACACTTTTCTAACCACCTGAACTCACGGCTTAAGTGCGATCACAGAGATATCAAACCTGTGACACGTGGCACATGATGCTGTATAAAATTAAAAAACAGGATCATGTAGAGCATCAACACCAGAACATTTTAATCCCAGAATTAACTCCGAGGTGGATCTCAAGCAAGTGGATGGGAGCCAAAGACTATATAGTGGAAAATGCTGACACTAACTACAGCAGGTCAGCTCCATGCATCCTGTGTGGACTTACTGTATGTATCAATGACAGACAACATTTTTATTTTTTTCTTGAAAGAAAAGAAAGAAACCTTGAAAGAATCTGTTCCATAGATTGATGTTACCCAGTGTTATTACAAACTACAATATGACTTTGGCAAAAACACCCTTTTTAGTGGATGAACTAAAAACACTTAAACTCTACAGGTAAAGTGTGACCAGTACTGGCCGGCGGACAGGGAGCCGCTGTACTATGGGGACCTGGTCATTGAGATGCTGTCTGAATCTGTGCTGCCCGAGTGGACCATCAGAGAGTTCAAGATGTCCTCGGTAATCAGTCTACCATTACATCTCTGCTGGTGGTATGTTTATGTTGAATTAAAGGTGTTTGTGACACAGGAGAGCAGCTGCACTTACCCTCGGTTGGTGAGGCACTTTCACTACACGGTTTGGCCAGATCACGGAGTCCCAGAGAGCACCCAGTCACTCATTCAGTTCGTCCGCACAGTGAGAGATTATGTGGACAGAGCTCCTAACACAGGACCCACTGTCGTTCACTGCAGGTATGGCAGCAAAATAACTACATACTACTACATACGCAATGTATGTTGAGTTCAAATACATGCCATGGTTTATAGTCACAGAAAACCTTGAAAAGTCATCGACAATTGAAATCAGACTTCCACCAATTGTCTATAATTTTATTGATTATTGAATGGAGATTCAAACCAGTAACAGCATGTGTACTAATACTGAACTCACCGACCAATAAAACTGAAACTGTATTTAAAACCTTATGAAACATTGAAAATGATATGTGTTCAGTCTCTGTTTAGTCTGAACTGAATGAGGAAAGTGAAAAAGGCAGAGACTGAGGCTGTGAATATACAGTATGAATATACAGATGCTACACACATCCAGAGACAAGTTAAAGAAACATGATTATGAAAAAGTCACGAAGAGTCATGGAAAACCTCAAGTCAGAACCTGTCCAAGCTTTGATGTGGAATTTGTTTTGGTTTCAGCGCTGGTGTCGGCCGCACTGGGACTTTCATGGCTCTGGATCGAGTTCTGCAGCAGCTGGACTCCAAAGGCACCGTAGATCTGTACGGATGTGTGTTCGACCTGCGGCTTCACCGGCAACACATGGTTCAGACGGAGGTGTGTCGTCTCATTCTACCATTTTACAACACGTATACATGCACTGGGCTTTTATTGCAATTCAATGACTTTTGTTGTTCTCAAAGTACCACCATAAGCAGTCAGAGGTTCTTGAGGTTTAAATTAGCGTTCTCGTTACCTAAGTAAAAGTACTGTCGGCTCTTCCTATCATTGTGAAGCAGAATTCACCAAGTGAGCTGGGTTTAGAGAAGGTTAGTTTTACTGATGATGTTTGTTGCAATAGTTATCCTGCTCAATCACAAAAAAATGGGAAACTGTTGCCTCCCAAATAGGATACAAAAATAAGAAACCACATGGAACTTCAGCTAAATATTTACGTTTAAAAGTCCATCCATCCAGTAATTTTCTTCCCCTTAATCCATTTCTGGGTCGGGGGTGGTTATAGACCACTCGTAGTGGTCTATAATAAACTCTGTCTATTGTTATATATATTATATGTCTTTGTTTGTGAATTTTGTTATTAAAAAACAGCTACATTTTACCTCACAAACTGGTAACCCAATTGAGCCCTTCTGCTCTCTGATTGGATATGATATTCTATAAACATAAATATTATATTATCAATTGTAGAATAATGTTGAGAACAAGTGCTGCACAGAAAAGATGAACTATTATTGAAACACAGTATGTGACCTGTTATCTGGGGACACAAATAAAACATGTAGATTTCATTTAAAAGGTACATAGAAATACATTGTTTCTTACTAGCTTTGACATAGGTAAAGATTTGGTCTGTATCTAAGTCAGGTCGGAAAAAAGACTTTGAGAATTAGGAGGAAAAATTGTCAAAGAAACAGATTTGATGTGAGGGTAATATTTGAGGATGGTTGATGTGTTGCAGTGTCAGTATTCCTTCCTGCACCAGTGCGTGAGAGACGTCCTTCGAGCCCGGAAACACCGCAGTGAACAGGAGAACCCCCTGTACCCCATTTATGAAAACTACAACCCCGAATTCGGCCGCGGTATGTCCCATGTCTTTACAAAAATCCTTCTGAATTAAGTTCTTACTTCAACTTAATGTATTTATTTCAGATTTTATCCACACGGGACTTCTACAAGATTGAACGGAAGATCAGGACGGTAAAATTATTAGTGATTCTTTTTATTAAGAATCAAAGCAAAATCATGCAGCGTTCAGAAACAAACTACAATTCTCGCTATGGTAGAAACGGTAAACTGAATTTTCGTTTGATGATTGGATAGAAGTGGCTCTCGTGTTGTTACTGTGCACTTATGTTCTCATTGCCACGTGAAGTATAAGCTATTGAACTCATATTGCTGAATGTAAATGTTGATGTATCGCTATATTATGTGTAATTGGACTATATACACACATGCACATTATTCAAAATATGCTTCAAATATTTGCCTTTTTTATCTGCTGTGATGTCAAAAGCTTTATAAAAACAAATCTATACATTTATTTAATTGTTTGAATTGAGTATGATTTCATTTTTTTTAATATAAAATATGCAAGTGCCATTTCTGTACCAGTGTTTTGTACTCATTTGTGATTTTGGATTTTCAAATAAAATAAAATAATTAAACTAACATTTCCTCTTGATGCAATTACAGATTACAAGATTCAATGTGTTTGCCATAAAGAGCAACAAAAGTAAGATTATAGCACCAACACTGCAGAGTTAGAGCTGCCCTCATTGTGTCACCACAAACTTTTGAAATGGTTTTTTGGGGGCAATTTCAAATGGAAGATTTCCATATTGATCTAGGGCAGAACAGAAGTAGGTAACCCACATGAATGCATCAGGAGTCCGTATGGGTCGAGTATGCTCCCCCTTAAAAATAGTGTGATATATAACAGCACAAGCAAAAGTTAAGCCAAATGTTATCTGAACTTAGAAGCATCAAAAAACACAAAACAATCATCTTAGAAGCATGCTAACCATTTCCAAACTGTTTTGACATCTTTGCCATCTACAATGTAACTTCATTGTAACATAAAAAAAGTACTGATATTTGGATTTAAAAGTAAGCAGTAACTAAGCTCCAGAGTTTTAGTTGATCTTAATACCTAATGTTATTTTATTATCTATTATCTTAAATGATAGATCCTGTTTGATGTGTGCAATCTGAGTGTTCTTATTTCCTCCTTTTACTCTTCTGTAATGTGCCAAACCTTGACTTTGAAATTTTCCTTATCTTAAAGTAACGGTACTAATAACCAATACCAGTAAGAAACAGTATGTAATATGTGCTTTTAATACAGTTGAACTACCAGCTTCAACTGAAACTGAAACAAAATTGAACTCTTGACTTGATTAACAATGCAAGGTCATTCTCCTCACAGTTTATTGAAGAGTCAAACAAATAAGCACAAAGGAAAAGGCATAAGACCAGAGCAGATAATCACTCATTCAGGCTATACTGAATGAGTGTGCGTGTGTTTCCCTGATTTGTATTTTTTTTTAATACGTTAAGATCCCAGGCAGAAACAAACTGCAGCTTATGTGCAACAATATGGTGGAATATTGTATTGTGCACAGATTATTGGCGAAGTCACGGGATATTCATATTTGTCCACAGCGAGGTCATTCAGCCTGAGATTATGATGGGATTTTGTTTTTTTCATGAAAAACATAGAGCAAGAGGGCGGATGTAAGGGCATAGCCATCATATCAATCCAGACTAGATTTTCCTGAAAGATTAAATCAAGAGTGAAGCAAGAGTGGTTTGAGCACAAAAAGTGATTTATTTAAAGGTCTCTATCAGGCACTATAGTAGTCGTGAAAACACATTTAAGCAGCTAACCTGATCACGGGTCACAGCTGAACAGAGGCATAGAGGAAGATGAAAGCAAAAACGGGAACATATAGACTTAACTTACTACTCCTATTTAAAGAGCTTAAACACAGACATTTTGAATAGTGTGTAAGACAAATATTTCAACATTACGAGGTGAAGAAGAGAGATGGGTTGAGCCACATGGCTTTGAAACAAGGTCCCTTAGAAAACCGGACTGCTAGGTTAAGGCTACACACTTTCTTTGGAGAGATGGCTCAGTCAGGGCTCTCACACAGAAATATACTGATAATGGCTTGTACCTCGGTTTACACAGTTGTTTTTTTTCATCTTGCCCACTTTGACGCTAGTGAAAAAGCAATTTGCAGTCCAAACAAAATGAGGTAGGGCCAAACGATTCCAAAGTTATAGTTATATGGTCGAGATTTGCTATGAAATTGTAAGGTGCGCTGGATATACAGAGTTCCTGTTGCTACATAAGCCTGCTCTTCTGCGGTGGAAGTAAAGACTGATTTAAAAAAATATGTTATTAATATGTTATAGTTAATTATAGAAGTAAAGGTATAGAAGCTACACCACAGCAGTGAACCAGATATTAAAAGCCTTATGTCGTTTTTAACAATGTTTGTTTCTATCAACATGGTACACAAGTACAATAGAAAGCTTATCATACACAAGAGGTTTTAATATAGTCACTGGCACCAAACTAATAGGCCTCTCATGCATGTAATGTATGAATAAAAGAGCAGGTGAGGCTTCTAATGAGAGCCACAAGTCCCACACTTTACCGGAACACATTTGATTAATGATGAAAAAGCATCACGCACACACTTCCATCTTCCTTTTAGTTCATTAAATAAATGTAGTGCCACAGACTTTGGTCAACAATTCCTACATCTGGTTTGAGGACAATATCGAGCCCTGTTACTTACTACATCAAAAGAAACATTGCACATTTTCACCTTAAACACTAAAACTTGTGAGTTCATCTATTCTCCAAGAAGAAGTGCTTGGTTGGTACTGATAGTCAACACAATAAAACTGAGACTTTGTATAGGCCTTTGCTACATACAATATTGATAAACCTGCAAGAGAATGGCTAATACTTTGAGTTACAAATTTACAGCAATTTGTGTTTCTAACAGTTTATTTCATACAAACTCTAGAGATAAGATAAAGTGGTCAATTATCATTTTCTACATTACGATGTGTTTCTGTTTGTTTATGGTTTGACAAAGGAAACAGTATTAAAGCCAAAGTTTTTAGAAAGCGGCTAAACGAAATAAGTTGATCTTAGATATCGCAGCTTAAAATACATTTTCTATCTTGCTGTGATGACGAAGGCTCAGTAAACTAGTCATAGATTATTTTCAGTTGTTTTGCAGCTTGTAAAAGTGCACATAATGTCTGCTTGGGATAGAGCTACAGGTGGATCTTATAAAGTACAATAAGCCACCTTTAGTGTAGGTCTGAGGAGACCTTAAGCAGGTTGCCGTGTAAATTGCTACTGCGCCTGTCAGAGAAAGCCCTGCTGCGTGGCTTGGGAGCAGAACTCTCCTTTGCAGCTCAAATCAGATTTCAGTCGAGTCGATTGTATGCCACAAGCCGAGCATCGTTTGAGCCGCACAGATGGCTCGGGATATTTCTACCTCAGTTGCCAATTGCCCATGCAGTGCTACAGTCCACCTCAGTGTTCACGATCTCTCCTGCGTACTGGCACGGCAAACAGGGGCAGTGTCCTCGAAGGAGACTGGGGTTCGGGGCCCGGAGAGGCGGCGAGGAGGTCTGCAGCTTTGTTCCGGTCTGGGGGAGGACTTCCCAGGTCCTGGCACACCTCGTAGGAGCACTTTCTCTTTTGCAGAGCCTCAGCGCGCACCGCCAAGGAGCGCGTGCACACGGTCAGCAGGACGATCATCGTGCCCAACAGCAGGGAGACCATCGGCCACAGAACACAGTGAAGGAGCACGCTGGTGTCATGGGAACGCCGCCATAACACGTCATCAGGCCTGCTCACACAGACACAGGCACACACATTCATTAGGCATGTCAAAGGTATTGAACATCTCAGAGCTCTGGCATAAAACAAGTCAATCACTTGAAAAGAAACATTTTCAAATGTAGTCATCTACTAATCTCACTCAGATATAGATCCCATCTCACTAAATTCCTTTAAACTGCAGAGTTCTGCAGGGTTCCATTACCAGATCACATCCATCACATATATTTACTTATATCAAAAATAAATGCAATATATGACAGAAATACCATGATGATACACAAATGCACAATATCTATATCTTTTGATGATTTAACTTAAATGTTAAGGCCTCAGCCTGTGCTGAGAGCATGTATTAAAACATCTTTAGAATAACAAGCCATTAATCCATGCAGGAACCATTATTATAATAGGTGCAAGAACTCATGATGACTTGATCTTGGTTAATGCTGATGATTCATGTCGTTCATAATGAATGACCTTCATTAACAATGATCATCATGAGTTTCACATTGAACATGAACTCATGATGATTTATTCATCATTAAACACATTTACACATCATTAACTCACCATGAACTCGTCATAATGCACTGTTATTCATACATGATCACTGCTGACTTTATTGACCATGATCTCAATTCATTTTGGAGAAAATAGGACATAGATCAGACCTGGGCAAAGTGTGGCCCGGGGGCCGCATACTGCTGCTCTCTTCAAGTCCTTGGAAATCTATGTAGCAATGCGCCCAGGTGTGTATCTATATTTTGTTAAAGCTCCCCCTGAGGTGCAGGAAAGGATTGGGCACAGCTCTATCAGCTGTCAATCTCCAGAGCTGACGACGTAGCACACATTCCTGCTTCACGGTATGTTAATGTGAACAGCAGAACGAGACACAGGGGAAAATACACTGGGCGTGTTTTGTGATTAGTGATTAGGGCTTTAGTCAGAGCAGAGTTTATGGACTTATTTGGACTTCAACAAGTATTAGTTGGGATGGGATGTATGTTCATTAGCAAAATAGATTGGATTTACCAGAGTTTCTTTGATCATCACAAGTAATATGCACTTTATAGTCCCAGTAAGGAAATTTGTCTTCCGCAATTGACCCATCCTGATGCCACTAAGGCTTACGTCAGGAGCAGTGGTTGCCGTAGTACAGCGCCCGGGAACCCATCTCCTGATGTTGAGGCCTGGCTTGGTCAGGACTACCGGAGCTGGAGGATTTTCCCTGTTGTGCATGTTTTAGTGGTAGGGGAAACCGGAGCACTGGGAGGAAACCTACGCAGACAAGCGGAGAACATGCAAACTCCACTCAGAAAGACCCTGTTCCGACCGGGATTCGGTTTCTGAGAAGCAAGAGTGCTATCCACTCAGCCACTGTGCCGCCCCACCTAAATCATGCTGTTCCCGGAGAACACAGTCATTCATCAGCAGTGTTCTCATCAGCTAAGTGTTCAACACGAAAACCTGGAGACAGAAAAAACATACTTTATTTTCAAATTTAGCTAATGCGGTTTATATACATGTGCGCTTCTTAGTCCAGAAAATACTGAGAGTCAAAGGAGCCAGAGCGAGTTGAAGCAAACTTCAGCCATGATCACTTCCCTCAGGCTTCACTGTCCACTGTCACTGTCCTCTACATACAGTCTATTGCGAAAAGGTAATTAATAAACATTATTCTGCCTCAGCTGGTTTGTGTGTGGGCGGCAGACTGACCTCCTCTGCTGGTTGAAGAAGCAGGTGAACGACTGTGAGCTGACCTCTCTGGAGAAGTAGTCCTCCCACCACAGAACACTGTCCCGGTTCTTCTGGTTGTCCCGTTCACAGGGAGGAACATACGAGCACTGAACATACACATATAGATAATTCTCAACTTTAAAATTGCCAACATGAGTCACAAGGTTAAAAACAAAGGCGTGCAGGAAAGCAAAAAAAATTGATTTAATACAAAAAATAAAGTCCAAGGTTAAAAAAATCCAAAAAACAGGGACCGGGGCAAAAACACAGCTACAAATGGGAATGAGCGCAGGGTACACATAGACAGAGAGGCACGGGGAAAAACATAAGGGCGGGACAAATAATCAAACAGGTGAACAGGACAGGAAGTTGAATTAAAACAAAAGTGATGTCAAAATAAAACCAAAAAAGTACCAAATAACAAAAATCCACACCCTGACAAAAATAGAGAAAAGGGAGCTCATATATATTTGGTGTAGTGCAGGGCCTCTCTGAGTGGAGTTAGCATATCCTCCCGGTGTCTGCGTGGGTTTCCTCTGGATGCTCCGGGTTTCCCCTTTAATACCCCTAAACAAAATAGTTCCCCTCTCTCTGCGCCCAATGAGATTCTGAAATCTCAAACTCTAAAAGTCAATAGGGTCTCACATGGAGAAATTATGCTGAGGCAATATAATATCAACAAGAAAAAAAAGAAATTTCTTGTTTTAACATGTAATTATTATCTTCTTGTCTCTTGGCAGAATTGTGCAAAAACTACAGGACGAATGAATCTGAAATGTGGTGAGTAGATGGACTGTGATGGGGCGGAGATTTCCAGATGCCGCATAATGACTGCATTTCTTTCTTTCAAGTTGTGAACCATTATGTTGACAGACCATTGTGTATATGGGTTTTGTTCGGTTGTATTCGGAGAGAGACTTATCAGGCATGATTCCTTGAATAGTGAGTTTGTGTCCCGAATGCAGATCAGCTCATTGTACTAGTTCTCTTCGCAGGAGGCTGATTGGTGCCTGGCTGTTTCTGCTGCTGTAATGACACGGGTGTGATTGGCACAGAGGACTTCAAAGTGTGGCAACTGAATAACACTGACAGACGACAATTCTGTACAAAAAAACAAGAAAATAACTCAGCATTTTTAGCCGCTTTTATTTCATTATTATCTAAAGTATTATTATCAACATGTAAATTAAACACGCTACAGTATATGAAGGTTTTATTATCAACACTTTTTTTGCTTTTGAATTATATAAACTACAACAAAAAAGTATTCAGTGTAAAACAATTCAATGTTTTAAAATTCAGTGTCTGATAATAAAGTTATAGAATGATATTGTCATTTTAATGAATATTTAATGCATTGTCTTTAAACTAACTGTGTTGTCAAAGTTCACTGTGACTGCATGTTAACAGGTCAATGGGATACTTGCTAACCGTTGTCTTTAATGTTTGCATTGTTGATGGATGTCCATATGTCACAAGTTTGGGTTGTGAAGTGACTTTGCTAAAGTGCAATTTTTGGGTTGTCAGCGTGAGATAAGACTGGAAACCTTTGTAGGCTAAAATGTTTGAACTGTGTTAACAAACTAAGGGTTTGGGCCATATGGAATCTTTGGAGTGACCATAATGAGACCGTGATGTGGGTGTGTTTTTGTCCGAATAAATAGGCCTGTGACACAATGGATTTCTGTGCACGCACGGTCACAGCACCCAAGATCAGAGATGTGCCGTGACCTTGCAAGTAAAAAATAATCCTTGTCTGTTGTGTATGTCTTTGTCCAGGCACTGTAGTTTATTAACATCTTCAACAGTGTCCAAAAATTCAATGTTGAAAAAAATTCCAAAATTCCAAAAATTTGTTGCATTTTTTTTCATTGGTTGAAATGTCATGCTTGATTTCCGGGTAAATCACGCTACATTACAACAACTTCTAAATTTGCACACACACTAATAATTGTGACAGAAATACCCGCAAATAGTACATACAGTAAGCAGTCTGCAGTTAAAGAGTTAGAACAATGTTTCATTAGGACCAGGTCAATTAGACAGAAGAGGAAATGCCAGAAATGAAAGACTAATGAGTTCTGACTCTGGCGGTGGCTGCAGACAGTAATCTTCAACTTATCCCTGTTAATTCATTTACCTTTGCATAAAATTGCATTACTGTGATTGTTCATTGCATATTGTTTAAGATGTTCCAGCATTTTAAAAGTTAGCTTATCATGTTTGTTTGGTCGAAAGCATAATACTGTTTGAACTGCGAGTTTAGATACAGGTTTCATGTCAGTGGAGCCACCAGAGCAACACACAGGACATTTGGTGATTTGCAGATAACTTAAGGCGGATAACTTTATAAAGCAAACTATAAGTTAATATTAAAGGTCTGAAAAAGGTCCGAGGAGTATTGGCCAATGGTTACTTTGGAGGAGCGGCAGACATTCGCAGCTCATCTGGTGGAGTCTGAACATGGGGCAAATTTTAGTCATGCACTACACAAATCTTATGAACGAGAAGTAACAAGAAAAAGACCAAGCAAGGCGCACGTAAGGAGAGTGTCAGCGAAGATGGGAAGGTGAACGGAGACTAAACAGGACCACCTCAGAAGAAATTCTCCTGGATTCTCCAAAAGACTCGAGGCTGGGGTGGGGGGTTTGTTTAAGAAAATAAATCATCCTTATAGTTTTGTTTTAAATTCACAAATTCCATCCACTTTGTTTATTGTTCACATAAAATATATCACCATCATGCTCTTTTCATAACAAGACAAAATGTGAAAAGGTTTATGAATACTACAGTACTTTATACTGTACATAAACTATACCAGCTACCTTTGAAAAGGAAGTAAATGTTGTTTTCATCTTGTAATGCACTCAATAGACATAACACAACATGATTTAAAAATAAGGTGTTTTAACGCACTGTTGACTCATGAAGATCAAAGATTCAAAAGTTAAAATAATAAGTCCATAAACTCTGTTCTGACAAAAGCCCTATTCACATAAAAACTAGCCTTGTGTATTTCCCTGCACTTCCTTGTGTCCTCTCTTTCTGCTATTCACATAAACACACAAAAAGCAGGCATGGAGAGCTGCAGATGATAAAGCTGTGTCCAAATTCATTCCTGTGCTCCGGTGTCATACTAACAAATTAAGAATCAATACATTGGCTTCAGAGTTCACAGAAACTTATAGTTCAGCAAGAACGGTACTCAGAGCACTTCAAAATGTTAAAGGGGAAAATGTATTTAGCACAACCTTGAGGTAGACTGGCAGTTTGCAGTTCTTGTATCTTGTTCATACACAATTTAACTGTTAAATTAATTGAATTTGAATCTAAATTTAGAATATACATAATTATTAGATATGTATTTCAAGTACAACGTGAACATTTGACCATAGACACAAATAAAGTAGATCCTTAACAGTCGACTGTTCTGAGATGGCCTTCGGATACAGCGTCTGTCATTTACATTCATGACATAATTAAGTCATACATGAGGAAATTACTCAGCTGCTAATTGGCTGAGTCCAACCACCCACCTGCCTTTCTCTCCCCGCCTTTTCTCTTTCAGCTGCTTTTCAAATAAAAAATGAGTTCTTGTCCATTTTACAAGAAAACTACAAGCAACAATGCGTCTAAAATATTGAATCACAAAACATGAATTACTCAAATGTTGTGTTCACTTAATGGAGATAAATAATGTATACTAATGATTTGGATAAGCGTGCTGTGGAATAAGACTACAAAAACACCACGAGGGCTCATTTGATACATTTCCCTCAGTAAAAGCAAAGGAAGGTTTCTCACCCATCATCTGTACTTCTTAGCAAGTTCTCCCGACGTTTCGTCCTCAACCTGGGGACTTCTTCAGGGAATGAATTCTCGGACCGCGTGTTGGAGATTTATAACCTATGGGTGTGGTTAGCCACACCCTAATCCTGATACTAACTCGTAAACAATCTCAGGTCTGCTTGATGTAGAAGGGAGCAGGTCTAACGACCCTGCTGAGGCTAACGACCCTAACTCCTTAGCATGTCACAGACCTATTGTCTGCTGGGATGCTCAAGTGGAGTGCAGGTCTCACCCCTCCTAACTAATTAGCATGTCACTGACCTTGTCCCAAGTTAGGGCGTTGTTTTTAGGATGTCGTCATAGATGCGAGGCAAAACAAATCTTAACCCTCCTCTTCTGTTAAGAGAAGGTTTTTGTTTCCTCACAAAAATGGCTTCTTTCACCCCTCTCTCAAACCAATTCTTCTCCCGAGCCAGAATTTTAACCTCTGTGTCATCCACCGTGTGGTTGGAGGCCTTGAGGTGGAGATGAACAGCCGACTGTGGCCCACTAGAGTTTTCTCTACGATGTTGGTAAAGTCGTTTCTGTAGAGTTTGTTTGGTTTCTCCAATATAGTGGTCAGTGCACTCCTCTTCACTACATTTAATTGAATACACCACATTGCTCTGTTTGTGTCTGGGTGTTTTGTCTTTGGGATGCACTAATTTCTGTCTTAACGTGTTGAAAGGTTTGAAATACACAGGGATTTTGTGTTGCCTAAAGATTCTTTGTAGTTTCTCTGAAACTCCCGCCACATACGGTAAGGACACCCCTCTCCTCCTACTTTCTTCTGTCTGTTGGACTGTGTCTCTGGCCTTTCTCGTCCTTTGGGCTTTAGTAAAAGACCACTTGGGGTAGCCACATCTGGAAAGTGCTCTCTGAACATGTTTGGTTTCTCTGTTCTTTCCTTCCGAGCTTGTGGGGACCTGGTGGGCTCGGTGATGAAGCGTTCTAATGACCCCGAGTTTGTGTTGTAGCGGATGGTTTGAATCAAAGGCCAAGTACTGGTCAGTGTGAGTGAACTTTCTGAAGACCTCAGTCTCTAATTGTCCGTTCTCCAGTATGATGACCTTACAATCTAGAAAGGCAAGTTCACCCTCCTTAGCATCCTCGCGAGTGAAATTTATAAAAGGGTCCACCGAGTTAATGTGTGCTGAAAATGGTTCCACTTCCTGTTTCTTTAACTTAACCCATGTATCGTCTACATATCGAAACCAATGGCTTGGCGCTGTCCCTTGGTAAGAGCCCAGGGCTTGTTCCTCCAGTTTCTCCATATACA